AAGAAACATGTCGCGGGTATCACCCATCTCATCCATTCACACTCCCTGTGGCGGCGCCTCTTCAAACATCCCATTGTCCTCCGACACTCCCGATGCAGGGGACCGCCTTTTGTCTGCTATAAGAAGGTCTTGGCACTGTCATTTTCCAAATTATTATTCTGACATTTGCTTGTTGCGGCTTTCTTTTTTCAAAAATTTAATTGATTTTCTATTTGCTTGCGACTTGATTGTTGTTTGCTGAGCTGAGCTTGCCTACGCTATTTCGGCCGCGCACAAGGAAGCTTCGATCTCGAGACCACGACCAAAAGGGGCTAGGAAGTCTAGACAAACAAACGGCTGCGCGGAGTGACGCACCACCTACCGCCACCACCAAATACAAGACGAGAGTTGCTTGTTTGTTTGCCTTCTTTCAGTCTCTACTTCAAACCTTTCCTTCGTCTTTTCGTTCTCACGATCTTGGCTTCAATTGCTTAGATCTGTACATACGCCTCTCCCGCCAATTCCTCACCATCTTGGCTCCAAGACAAAATGACAACCCTCACCACCCTCCTCGCCCTCCTCCCCCTCATCAGCGCATCCACCTTCCAACTCTCCATCGCGCGCTCTCCCACCGCCCACCTCGCTCAGCTCGAGCGTCGCCAGCTCCAAAACCGCGGTCTCGACAAGCGCGACACCGTACAGGTCTCTCTCACCAATGCCCTCACCCAGGGTCTCTATTTCGCGAATATCAGCGTCGGAACACCTGCCCAGCAGTTGATGGTGCAGATTGATACGGGGAGCTCGGATGTGTGGGTGCCGGCGAGCGGTGCGAGTGTGTGTTCGGAGCCGGCGAGTCAGGGGGGTGGGTGTGATGGGGGGAGTTGTGCGTATATCCTATTCCATTGTGTTGGAAGAAGTGGCTAATGATGTGTAGTTGACCCAAGTACATCCTCGACGTTTCTCGAGGTCGGGCAGGATGAGTTTAATATCTCGTATGTAGACGGTACTGGGTCGGCGGGTGATTACTTCCAAGATACGTTCTCGATTGGAGGCGCGACGATTCAGCAGTTTGAGATGGGGTTGGCGACGAGTGGGACGATTGGCACGGGGATTATGGGCATTGGATATAATAATTCAGAGGCGAATGTTGATACCGGGAATGGTACGATCTATGCGAATTTGCCGTTTGCGTTGGTAGATCAGGGGTTGATTCCTACCGAGGCATATAGCTTGTGGTTGAATGATCTTGGTGAGTTAAGCTTTGGTTAAGCTTTTTGGAAATTGGCAGGGCTAACGGTTATTAGAATCTAGTACTGGATCTGTTCTGTTTGGAGGAATCGATACTACGAAATACCAGGGCGAACTTCAATCGATTACTGTCTACCCAAGCAGAGCTCGACGCGCAGTCACCTCATTCTCCGTCGCTTTCACATCGCTTTCGGCAACCTCAAGCTCCGGTACTGATGTTCTCACTCCATCCGACTTTGCTGTTGCTGCGATTCTCGATTCCGGAACTACCATCACCCTTCTCCCAGATGATGTTGCGGCTGTCGTCTATGAGGAACTCGGAGCTCGATACTACTCAAAACTTGGTGCGACCCTCGTTCCTTGCAGTCTTGCCCAGAAGAATGGAAGTATCAATTATGGATTCGGAGGTGTAGACGGGCCAGTCATTCGAGTTTCCGTTTCCGAACTTGTCCTCCCATTAACCCTGACTAACGGCCAAACTCCTACATTCACAAACGGACAGGCCGCTTGCCAACTCGGCATCCAACCAGCAGGTGATCTCCCAGTCCTACTAGGCGACACCTTCCTCCGCTCCGCCTACGTTGTCTACGATCTCGTCAACAACCGAATCGCTCTCGGCCAAACCAACTTCAACGTCACATCGTCCAACATCGTCCCATTCGCCAGTTCAGGAGCACCAATCCCATCTGCCTCTTCCGCTCCCAATGAAGCTGCTGTCACGCAAACCGCAACTGGTATCCCAAGAGCTACAGCGGCCGGAACGGCTACTGGTGCGGACGCATCGGCTACGTATAATCCTACCGCGACCGGATTGAACGCTGCGAGCGGATTTGCTGCGACAGGTACAAGCACGAGTACGAGCACCAAGAAGAGCGCTGCTGGACAGGGACCAGAACCTTTTAGATGGGCGGCGGTCGTGGTGGGTGCTGTCACCGTTGGATTGATGGGTGTGGGTGGTGGGGTGTTTGCGATGTTGTAAATGATTGCATTGTATACTGCTCATATGGCGTTTATTTTTTGCATTTCTTAGAAGTGTTTATTGGATTTAAAAGAGGTTTTGTTAAAAGATGGTGGGATGGTGGTCGAGGGAAGCAAGGGGGTTGAGGAGGGGATGTGTACAAATTTAAATAGCGAGCGGCGTTTGTTTTATCTGGATAGCATGCGTTGGTTGTTCTAATCTGGTGGAGAGATGGGGAAGTGCAGGTAGAAAGTCTATAGGATAGGCAGAACGTGGCATAGATAGATGAAGGATGTATTTGTTGTATTTGCATCGCCTGGGAATGGGATGAGGATGGCGGGGGAGCAATCCGCATAAGAGGATGAATGTGAAAATATTGTATAGATGATCATATTAGAATTGTTTATACTTTATAGATCAATCGAGGTTTTCAGATAAACGTTCCGAGTCAGCTTCTTGTGTCCTGGTAGCCTCGTACTGTAATATTCTACTCGACGACTAGCGTGATATCTGCTGCGGCACGGTGTACTTGGGCGGGTTTGGCATGAGTGCCGCACCCCAAAAGTTTTGGTGCGTATAGAAGGTTTTCTCAAAATTACACAAGCGCACGCTAAGCAATTTAAAAACTAAGTAAGTGGGTTAATAGAGTAAGTATTAAGATACTTTAAGCAAGAGTTTTAGGATATTCTATTTATATACTAATAAGTTATATATTTAGTAAAGTATGTCGAAATCCGGGATTTTGGTGTTCTTTCGCCTTGAAAATCAGGTTAAAACAAGTACTGCGCGGCACTCATGCCAAACCCCCCAAGTATGCAGGCATTGCTTTGTGGGGCAGTCTCATGAAAGACAGGTTACTTCACAACTACTGACTTCCTTAAGTACTAACTCGGTGGAAAGCACACAGCTCTTTTCGTGAGGTGGGTAGTATCTAAGTATGCTAAAATCCTATCATATGTTTGACCGTATCGCCATTCTTACGTTATGATCGAGCCACCCCATTTTTGATCACAAGTACAAACTCCCGCCATGGTATTCTGTGGTAAACCCAGCAAATCCTGCGCGGAATGTCGATCGAGAAGAACCAAAGTGAGAAATTTCTAGACTCTAAATATGTCAAGCTTTATGAGAACTGATTGCTTTAGTGCGACAGGCTCAAACCGTCGTGCTCGCAATGTCGCAGAGCGCACAGGGTTTGCGATGGCTACAGAAACTCGGACGACATGATTTTTCGGGATGAGTTGAAATCTGTTCTTGAAAAGTCACGGAAGTATGGCTGTAACAAGAAATCCTCACCACATCGACTCTCATCTGAGCGCCAAACCCCAGTGCCAAAACCACCAATCCCCACCCCCCTCACCACCCCCCCAGAAACCCAGGCAACCTCATTCTTCTTCCACCACTTCGTCCCCTCCCGATCCGCCTTCTCGTCCGGCAGCTTCGGGTACCTGGACACGCTGTTCCAGCAGGAGAAGATGGATGGCGCGGTCGCGGATGCCATTGCGGCGGTGGGATACGTCGGGCTGTCGTATTTCTGGAACGATCCGGGACTGCTGGACGTGGCGACGCGGAAGCATGGGGCTGCGCTGAGAGGGATACGGGCGCGGATTGGGGATTGTGAGGGTGCGAGGAGGGATCAGACGTTTGTGGGGGTGCGGATTCTGGGAGCTTATGAGGTGTGTGTGTTGTGTGGTTTTCGTTGAGGTGCAGAGGCTGATTCGAGGTAGACGAATTCGTTGGCGAGTGATGCGTCTATGGAAGCGTGGATGAATCATACGTTTGGTGCGTCGGCGCTGATGAAGTTTCGTGGGGTGGAGAGGTTGGAGGATCCGCTTGGGAGGGAGATTTTCATTCAGCATCGTGCGCAGATAGTAAGACTCGCTCTATTTGGATTAAGTAGGACACTGATGATATATAGGTAGCGAATTGTCTCCAACGCAACGTCCCCGTCCCGCTATACATCAGCGAATGGAACGCCGCCCTCGACGAACCACCTGTCGACGCAGCAGCGACGCAGGTCTGTCAGCTATACGTCAAATACATCAATCTCATCTCCTCCGACGCAGTTACGAGTGCCGAACTCCACGCTCTCGACGCAGAATGTGTGGTCTGGGAGCGAACCTGTCCGCCGGAATTTAGATATCAAACGGTAACGTTATCCCAGCCATGTGAAGAGGTCTTTCAGAATCACTACGACGTCTATCCTACCCTCCTCATCGCCGTCATCTGGAACCACCACCGCACTCTTCGTCTCCTCATCCACCGTCGCCTTCTCACCATTCCAACCTCCACCATCCCCTCCTGTCACCACACCCACACCCTCACCGCCGCAATCTGCGCCTCCGTCCCCCCCTTCCTGCACTCCACCCCCGCCACCCCCCTCCGCACCTGCAACATCACGAATCTGCTCTGGCCGCTGTATCACGCCGGGCTAGAAGATGTGTCTGCCGAGCAGCAGGCCTGGATCAGAGGGAGGATGAGGTGGATTGCGGATGTGTTGGCTAGGAGACAGGGGACGCCGTTGGTGAGCCATTTGAGGACGAAGGTTGGAGGGGGGTGTGGGCTTGAGAGGTGGGTGGGGGAGGTGGAGGGGGTGAGGTGGTGGGGGTGAGAGTGTAAGGGGGCTTTTGGGTAGAGGGAGGGGGGATGGTCAGATGAATGGAGATGTTCCCGGACGGGTTGATTTATGGTAAGAGCGACGAATAGTTGATGTACCTACTCTTGGTATCTATGACCAGACGCCGGATCGCTGAGTATAGATAGACTTATCACGACGTGAGGGAGTGATGTTGTACATGTATACATCTTTGACGTATTACACTCTATAGTATACTTTCGTCTTTGCCATTTCTACATTGCTTTGATAACTTAGGCGTGTTATAAAGATAGTACTGTACCTGATTAACTCAAAGACTCTACGTAAATCGTTACGGCGTTAAAATGTTACATAAGTAGTTAAGTTGTTTAAGTAAATTGCAATTACGAGTGACAGTACTCGTCAATATTATTTCATTTCGAACACTGGAGAGCTTTGAGGAGGTAATTTTCTATTTGGGTTTGTAGTGGTTATAATGGCAAGTTTGGTTGATATGGTTTATGTATCTTTTGTTATATTAGACGGAGATGGAAGACAAATGTTTGGGGACAGAACTCAGGAGTTACCAAGTGAAGGCGAAGCGAGGCTGAGGCGTGAATTTATCGATCTCCAACGTCACTCTAATAATATTCCGTCGGCCGTATTCAACCGAACTCTGTATACCAGCCTTGCCTCCATTATCCATCACCATGCCCAACACCCATAGATGAGCTGTGAAAGCCCACAGTCTCGCTCAGATCATCCAAACCAGCACCACAATCACATAATGGAAGCTTCCCAATCAATACCGCACCCAACACCGGGCAAAGACCCTCCTCCGGCATCATCGATCCCAAACGAGCACACCAGTGCGGAACAAACAGATCGAACTGCAAAGGACGCACACGTAGATGGTGGCCCAGATGAGGGAGAAAGCAACGCGGAAAATGGGGATAAAGATAGAACAGCGATGCCGCCACCTCCCCGACGTACCTCGAATCCAAAGGCAAGGCTGCATATAATCCCACCTCCATCGCACACCTCAAGTTCAAACCGTCCTCTCTCTGCAGATCCAGAGCCTCATCATGGAGCGCATAGTGAGGGGCTAGGCTTGGGATCTAGTACATTACGCGGCGCGCTAGGTGGGGGAAAGACGACGGACAGACCCGAGGATTTCCAGCCTTTCTTCGTGCTAGTTGATGATTCGAGGACGGGCGATACGGTGCATCCGAATGAAGTGCATTATTTGTTTGCCGATGATGAGGATGGGGAGGGGTATACGGGGAAGGTTGTTAGGTCGTTACGAGGGGGTGATGATGGGGAGGGAGCGCGAGAGGAAAGGGTTGTGGTTATTGATGTTAATGATGCTGGGGATGGAGTTACTTGCGTGAATTGCTTTTCGAGCGATTGGCAGGTGTTGAATGCTAGTGTGGAGGTTGCGCCGACTTTTGATGGTGGGGAGGGAGGGAAGCAGGCTGGGGGGTTGATGTTGAGGGTTGAAGGTGTGGATGCAGATACGTTTTCGGGTGAGGGTTTGGTTGCGGGTGGTAGTGGGGAAGTTGGTGATGAAGAGATGAAAGCGCTGCTTGAGGGGTTTGATCAGAAGATGTCGATTATTAGGAAACTGAGTAAGCTTGAGATTGCGGGGAAGGAGGACGAGGTTGTTGAGACGGTAGATGAGGGTGCTGCTGGGAAGTTGTGATATGAATTAGGCATGGGATGAGAAAGGCGTTTGATATTTAAGAACTTTGGGTACTTTCGGTTTTGAGCAAATTTGTTCCATCATAGCCTGGTGTTGGGAACTGGGTATCTTCATTTTTGCGATATCAAGCGCATATATAGGCGTTCAGGCACAGACGATAGCGATTACGAGTCGAGAGAAGATTTACACTTGCTCAACTGGATACACAACCCACGGAACGCAGATCTTGAACATTATTTCAGCCAAAACATTTTGTCACACATTATTCAAGTCTCACCAAACCTAAACTTACCTCTTCGAAAGCGTTTCACGAAGCTTCGTCATTCGCCCCCAGGTGTAACCCCACGCCTGCAATTCCTACATGCATTTCCAGCTTCCTAATGCAGCTCGTACCTGCATATTCTTCAGCTCATCCAATCAGCCAAACCATTCGTACCCAAAGAAGCATGCACACCTTTTCCAAAGCACAAACCGAGGCACAACATGTGTACGAAAGTTAGAATATTATTCGCTAGCTAGAGCGTAGCTGCGTCGTATTCATTCGCTAGCTGAACGTAGCTCATATTCAAGCTTCAGCTAGTCGCGGCATCTGAATGGTATGTTGCAGATGCGGGCGCTAGGTTGTTGGCGTGGATGAATAGGAGGGTAGTTGAGGGTTTGATTTTGTCATAAGAAGCATTGAAAGACTTTTTCTCTTTGAGAAATTCATTCCTGGTTTCAAACAACACTTTTTCCTATACCAAACCATCATGTTGTTAACCACCCTCCTCATCCTCGCCCTAACAGCCACAGCCTCAGCGACACCAACAGTCTACCTCATCCGCCACGGCGAGAAACCCGCAGACGGCGGCGATGGCCTAACGATACAAGGCCAACAACGCGCGCAGTGTCTACGCACTGTGTTTGGAAATGCGTCACAATACAACATCGGCAAGATATTGGCGCAGACGCCGAAAGCTAGTTCGTCTTCCCTTCCCTTCCCTTCAACTTCTCACTCCACAATTCAGTGAAACATTTTTCTGAGCTGATGTGTGTGAAGATGGCAAAAGAACACGCCCCCTCCTAACAGTCCAACCCGTCGCCGCGGACTTGGGAATTACGGTCGATACATCCTGTGATCGTGACGATCCGGATTGTGTCGCTGATGCGGTAGCTAAGTTCGAGAAGAAGGGGAGTGGGAAGAATGTGCTTGTTTGTTGGGAGCATGATGCGTTGAGTGATATTGTGGGGAGTTTGGGGATGAAGAAGCCGTTGAGTTATCCTGATGAGTCGTGAGTTTGTTTCTCTATTTTTGTGACTTGGTGGAATGGTGGAATGGTGGAATGGATGGTGGGATGGGAGTTGAAGGAGGATGGCTAATGAATTTGGTGCAGGTTTAATCTTATTTGGACGGATCCGAAGCCGTATAAGAGTGTTACTGCTGTTACTTCTGAGAATTGTCCTGGACTGGATTGATGGGTGAAAGCTGGGAGTTTGAGCCTGTATGCGTGAGCGCTGGGTTTTGAGGAGCGATACTCTTCGCACAATGATCCAAATGTATAGGCTCAAGTGTCAAGCATGATGATTTTCTCAGAAACCGGAAAGTAAGCAGTAAACTTCATCCTATAACTATTCATTGAGGCCGATTGTAGTTCCCTTGTGTTTTTCGAGGTGATCCATTGGCTTTTGCAGTGAAACGGCAAGAATCTCAGTGGTTGGGATATCTAGCAATGCATAGCTATCGCTATTTAGAGAAACTTTCAACCAACTAATTCGGTAATCATGATTTATTTGACTACCTTAACTACTAGTTGTGTATAAATAACTATGAAATACAGTTCGATTCGCTACTTCTGTATACTTTTGAAAACTAGTAATGGGTTCTTTTGTTTCCTTAGCTATCGCCTTAAGTGATTTTCGAATATCACTCTAGAAGCGCAATTACTCAATACCCAAGTACGAAATTTCGACCCGTGTACATCTAGCTGTTCCACTAGTCAAATTACATGTGGATGGCGGTAATCAAAGTAGCCAAGCTGAAACTAGTTACTGTTGATGTATGTCAATTTTGATTACATTACCTATACTACATTAACTTAATCAAATCGAGGCATATCAAACAATTTAACACATTGAACATGGCAAGCTAGACGGCATACACCATCTGCCAAAAAAAGAAATGGCGACATGAAGGACGACGAGAAACAGAATGTTATCTTGGAGTTCCAATAAGTAGCAGCTCATAGGGTCATGTAGGTTATTGCTCGAGGATTCGTTTTCCGTTTTTCAATTTATTTGACCGCCTTCGCCCATTTATCTTTTTTGGGATAAACACAAGTTGACATATCCAAAGTCCCACACTCCTTATGTCGCCTTTTCCTATCTATCATAAATCATTTTCGCTGCCCATGAGGTATCCCAACATTCTATCGCTAAAGTTGCTCGAGCGAATAATTACAAATATATACATTTGAAGAAGTAATAAAATGACAAAAAACATTAAACCATTTAGTGCGTTATTTCGTTGGTCATATGAGGATTTCCTCTCTCACACACGATCGTTTGTACCAGTACTGTGAAAGTGAAGAGTCAGCGAATCCTTGAAAGGGCGGCTACGGGACTGGTATTGTGACTTACCTAGATCCCGCACCGTAATTACTATTGTAGGTTACACTACTCTGTGTTTGATACCTACCATATTTCAAGGCGATCAAGTACGCATTTTCTTCGTCGGTTGAGATTTTGAATCTCTCCGAAGGGCCAGTAGGTCTATGCGACGATTATTGATTCTCAAATATTCGTTAGTTTAATTAGGAAACGATAATTATCGAGGTCCTTAATTATATCACAAATCTAGATATATCTATTAATTCGAATATAAATATCGGCTAATAATTATCGGTTCTAGGTACTATTTAGTATATAATATCGACTACTACCTAGTGTTCTATATAAATAGATAATAATAAGTATTCGAAGTCTAATTTTATATACTCAGTATAGATTAGACACATAAGAGGTTATACGGCCTCCAATTCCTTAGTTGACCGACTTAATTCTTAGTGTTAAAGTAGGCCCCTAGATCATTTACTATAGTCGTAATACTATAATTACTAATCTTGGGGTTTTTTCCCGGTAGCTTATAGTATTAGATTTTGATATATCCAAAAGAATCTTGAATATTGAATATAGAAATTATCCTTAATGTTAATCATGAATACAAATAATTGCCTGATTAGAACCACGTATATAATTTCTATATTTGATACGTATACTAATTACAAAGCCTATATTCATTGTATTCGTTGCACAGAGCTAAGGGCCAGCTCTCGAAGGAGCTCAGGGGTGACGATGCTGTTTTGCTGAAAATCATAATGCACATATTGAGGGAGGCTGATGCAATCTCTCACATGCTATAATCTCCGAGCGTAGCCAGAGACAATTCCCTTTGCAGTACAGCTACACAAATATGTGGGCGCAGAATCTACACGGTAGTGTCAATATACACATAAAGCTGTTAACTCATCATGTCAGCACACAGAAAACCCAGAATTCAAGAAGTAGAGTTCGACCAACAGTCCAATAACAGTTCAGAAGGATTCTTTACAAGCTCTATCCGAAGATCACAATGTGATATTTTAACGCCCGCAAGAACCGCAGCATCTGCTCTTACTGGACCAAATTTGATCCCACTTTAACAAGCTTTTTTGAAGGCTTCATGGTACGGTTCCAACCTATTAGGATATCAGAAATAGCCGATAACAGTGATTTTAAAAGCCGATATTCCCGGCTTACTTGGCAGCGAGCATCTACCGACACTTTTTCAACGTTCGGGCTTTGATTCTCTGATTTACGAAGCAAGGTCATATGCCTGCGAGTCTGATTAGTCTAATTCAGTCCTCTTGAATTTTCGTGGCAGCGCTCAATCCTGCATCACAACAGTTTTCAACTGTCCGATCTGAGCTCTACACAGACCAGCATATTGTCCTTTGGCGAGTTGAAGGTTACCTGTTGGCAAGAGTTAGCGTGGACGACCCTACTCCTGTTCTCAGCAATGTCAACCAGATCCGACCTCCAGTATCCGAGTGGCATTCGCGCAGTCTTTTTCGATTTCATGGGCACCTGCTTAGACTGGTACTCGAGCATTACAGCCGCGCTCCCAGAGGCCCTAAATGATACGGCAAAGAAGGATCTCGCCATAGCTTGGCGGGAGATTTTTTTCGAGGACATCCATGAGCGTTTTCAACAGAATCTCCCACCGGAGTCCTTTGATGTGACCACTGCTCGTCTGCTTGATGTGGTTTGCGCTCTTCATGGGGTAATATTGACGCCTGTGGAAAAGACCAATGCTGTGCAGGCATGGCATGGCATGTCGGCGTGGGCAGACGTGGTGTCATCTCTTGCTTCCATCAAGGCTCATGGAGTCGAGCTGTTTGTCCTGGCAAACGGAACCATGCGGCTTCAGCTCGACCTGGTGAAATCGTCGGGGTTGCACGTCTTCGACATGCTCTTCTCCAGTGAGCTTTTGGGCCTCACAAAACCCGATCCCCATCTGTACCAAAAGGCGATGCAGCTGGTCGGTGTCCGGCCCGAGGAATGTGCAATGGTCGCTGCCCATGCTTATGATTTACGAGCTGCGAAAGCTGTTGGCATGAAGACTGTGTATGTTAGGAGGTGGACGGAGGATACGCGCGAAGATATGACCAAAGTCGACGACGACGTAGACGCATTTATTGGGACGGTTACAGAGGCAGGAATAGAGAACGAACCAGTATACGACGGCACTTTTTATGACCTACTAGAAGTATTAGGACTCGTTGATCACCAATAATCATGATCAGAGACTACTTATTATTTATTGAGAAGAGCGACCTTCGACCATGCTAGAACAGCAGGTCAGCAGAGGTTCAGGTCACCTCATCAGACTTGTACCGTCTCTTGGTCGGTCCTAGTCCAAATGTTACTAGTTCCTGAAAAACGAAAACAAAAACCTTAAGCCACGTCCTATGGCAGGAATTATAGTCATAAATACGCTTATAATCATGAACTATCAGAGGCAGGTGAATCATATAGTAAGGAAGTTGTCTTTAGTTGTAAGGAAAACCTTTCTAAAAATATCTCGATAAGCACCTTCATTTTTTGAAAAGTCACCTTCTATACTAAATAACCACGAACATCCAGGCATATTGCATTCTACCCTTTTGACCGCGTTTCCCACAAGCGACAGCCTTTTTCTTTCCCAAAGATTCAGAATATTGGCTCGCAAATATTGTACTTGAAATTGAAGAGAAATGAAGAGCCTGCAAGTTTACGGGAAATTTTGTCTGAGCCTCACTAGGTCATTTGAAGTAGTCCTTGACGCGACAGGCTTGTGTGTAGAGGAAAACAGCCACCAATAGTTTTTTTTACATTTCATTGCGCTCAATATTTATAGTGCAACACTTCCAACACCAACCATCAAACCGCACCATCTTGCAAAGGGTCACAGTTTAACTGGAGATATTATCTTTCAACACTTAACCACGAAACACATTCCAAATCTCATTGGAAATCAAAAGTTTGAGCACAACCTTGCTACAAGAAACGACACTCTTACCCTCGCAAAATGCATTCGAAACCAATAAGAACTCTCATGTAGCTAGCGTTCGATGAAAAAGAAGTGTTGGTGTTGCGACCCAACCCTCACCGGCATCACGAGGGACAAAGGTCCTTCACATCCAACAGAAGCGCCCACCATTCCATCCCGTCTTTGTCTTCGGTGTTCATATTCGATATTTTAGTGTTGGGAAGAATGTTGATATCTTTGTATCAAGTCAAAAAATTAGAGTTAAAGAGTGTTGGTGTCATGAAAGAGATCAAGTGACTGATCAAAGATATCGAACTGTCCACTTTCCAACGGAGGCGCCCATCGCGCGTCCAGTGGCTGTAAAGTTTATCTTCGGTGTTCAAATTCGAGATGCTAATATTGGGACGAAGGTTGTTATCTTTATTTGAACTCACCAAAATATTAAGGTTAAAGAGAGTTGGTGTTTCGAAATAGGCCCAGTGACGTAAAAAGATATCAAAAGGTCCACTTTACAACGAATGTGCCGGTGGAAATCTAGGCTGTTGAAGTGTGAGTGTTCAAGGGAGAATGAATAACAGTTTGGTTGGTTGAGTATGGAGTTGTGATTCATGTTGTGAAAGCACTCACTTCAATATTTCATGTCTTCGTTCCTTTCTTACCTCATTTTACCACTCCTAACTAGCATTTCAATCATCCTTCTATCATTTATACCACTTCGTTCAAAATGGATTACCGTAAGCGAGCCAACAAGTTTACTAGACTTTGCAAGCAACATCGAACTGCTAAACGGCAAGCGAAGACTTCCAAAAGCCCGCAAATTACCAGACTTGCCGAAACGAGCGATAGCATACCTGTTACGGCTCAACGATCGAATAAACAGAGTAATACAGAACTTCTAAGCTCCGTTAATAAGCTAACGCAATGTGTTGATGACTATCGAAAATCCAACATGGCTCTTCAGAATGAGGTATGGGCCGCTGAATCTCATTAGAGTCATTCTTGTTATGTTGGGATTTACATCTCAATGCTGACTGCAAATATAGATAAATACCTTGAAACGAAAATATAGTGACATGGAATCGAATTTGCGGACACTTGAATTCAAACAACACAAAACTTGGCCCTATTTCATGAAATTACCAAAGGAGATTAGAATGTAAGTTGATTTACCATTCTGTGTAATTTTCCAACTTCCTACGATAAAATCATGAATAGCATATTCAAGGTTTAATTAAAATCTCCCACAGGACACCGCTCAACTTTCGATCACTAACTAATCTCCCCAGAATAATCTATCAAACCGCAGCCACCATCCCCCAAACCCACATCATCACCGCAAAAACCATATCTCGATCAAAAGTCCTCAACATCGCCTACGTCTGCAAAGAATCACTCCATGCCCTTGACTCGTTAAAATTCGACTACTTCCTCTTCCACTCAACTCAGCACCGACCGGCTCCGCCACTTGTATACTGCAACACGAATCTCGAGCGCGAGGAGACGCTGTGGGCTATTGGTAATTACGAAAATCTTGCACCAGAACCCGAGAATTCAGACATCGACGGTCTTGAAATTCTCAAAATCGGCACCACCAGACCACCACCTCCCGAAGACCACTCACCCCGCTGTATCCCTTTCGACCCTCCACCCCGCGCCTGGAACCCCTTCAACAAAGACACAGACACCTTTTACTTCCCCTCCGACCCTCTTCGCACCCTTCCCCAATCCACAAACTGGCTCTGCGGCAAATGCTCCCCCCACAAAGGGTTTTCCACCACTTCATCTCGACTTGTCACAGCTCCTTGCTCAGACTGCCTTACAAACAGCTGCCTCACCTCAGGACCGGCGAAATTGCATAGTATAGCGCTCAAATTGACGGACTTTGTATCCCCGAATGAAGACGAGGCGTTCGGCAGTTTTGAGATGTTGATTATGCATCAAGTCGATGAATTGCTGCTCGTTGTTGATGAAGTGAGGGTTTGTGCGCAGGAACATGCTGTTGTTTTTGGTGAGCCGATGGGAGATCCGAGTATGGTGCTTGAGGGGATGGTGCCATCTATAGAAGCTGTTCAGTTAGTGCGAGAGCTCAAGAAGGGGTTGTATGAGAAAGGTTCGGGGGACTGGGACATCGTGACAAGGAAGATGCAACAACTTTTGGAGGAAGTGAAGATGAGAAATCTCAGGGAAAAACAGTTGAGAAAAAGTGAGTTGCAACCCGAACCCCTTTTCTTCCCTTTCACATATCATAGACCCGCCTTTCCCCTTGCCCCTTTTCCTCTTGCCCTCACTAACTTTCCTCACAGTCCTCCCCTCCCTCTTCACCTCCGCAAACAACGGTCCCTTTCTCGACCTCTCCACCTGGAACCCGCCCACAGTCCGTTTCGTAACCGCCTACAAGAAGCAGAATGAATGGATTCAACGACCATCTTCCCCCCCAACTACACCGCCCCCCGCTCAAGAAACAAGGCATCCACGACCAAACCCCTTTGTGCATTACTGGCATATTACGATTGAAGAACGGGATGGGTTTGGGAATCCCTTTAGACGGTAGAGAGGGGTCGGGGGGGGCAGAAAAGGAAATGGATGGGATTAGAGGATGGAGGTTAGTGTAGTGGTTGCTTGGGACTCAGTGGCTGGCTTTTATCTGTATAAGGGTGCGTAGAGGGTTTGGTGTTTGAAAGTTTTACTTCCTCTGTATACAAGCGTGGTTAAAACAGATCCTAGATTTGGTTTCGTTCGAAACTTCAAGTCCACTTAGGACTTTCAAGGTCGTCCCCAGTATATGAAAATCTAGGGGGAACATCCAAGAAACCTACTCGGGTACGGAACAACGAGAAGCAGATGAGCTGGGAACGAATATGTATTGACCTCCTGTGAGAACCACATCCCGCTAACTAACCTGACTAATATGCTAATACTCCAAACGCCATCGCCAACCTATCACCACCCATACCCAACTTCATCATTATCATAACAAAAAGCACAACAAATCACTTGCGCCCTCTGGCAAGCAACTTCTCACCCAGCTCAGCAACCGCAGCACCCCAAGAAGTCTTCGTCGACTTGCCCTTCTCTTCGACTACATTACCACATCTATTCAAAAGGAATTCTCCCATCTTCGGCTCATTGAAGCGCTCCCCGTACACGACTGTAGCGGTAGGATTCATCTCGACGTGAATACCATCATTGCCACTCTGGCTTGTCAAGTCGATGGTGATTTCGACTTTAGTGGTCAATGGTGCAATAAGGAGTGTCGATTTAATCGCAATAGAATTGTCAGAGGTTTTGCTGATTAGGGTTGGGCAGCTGACTTTGAGCAGACGGATTTCATCGACGATAGAACATGCTTTGTTCCAGGATGAACTGACAGAACGGAGGAGGTCTTTGACTTTGGTTTGAGATTGGGGTAAACCTCGAGCGTGGTCACGGATGCTCTGCAAGAAGAACTCCTTCTCGATAGTCAGAGGTCGTGGATTGAGTTCGCGGTTACCGCCGATATACCACAGGTCAATTCGACTTTCGCCAACGGGCTTAGTCGAAGACTGCGAAGTGTTTGATAGAAATGACGCGGCGTCGAAAACAAGCTCAATGTCTTTCAGATAAGTCATTGAGGTTGTACTGCCAGATACACCTGTGATGGTCCAGCCATGCTCTTGCTCAATCGTATCTACCTTGGCTAGAAATAGAGTTTCAATATACATAGTCGATCAGGGGTGAGGGAAACAAACCTTTTAGAGAGCTGATTTCGCCAGATGTCCAGCCTCGACACTCTTCTCTGACCTTTTCCGCTTCGCGGATCTCTTCGATACAAATTTGTCTGCGTTCATTACCAGAAGTGATCTCACGGTCTTTGGCTTCCAATTGACTTTGAAGATCTTGAATCATCCGCTTTTTAGCCTCAATCTCCGAATCAACAGACACCAATTCTTGACGAGCTGTGCTGAGGACTTCTGGATCGCAACTTGCCAAATCTTCGGCAGCAGCGTTTAGATCAGCTTCCTCTCTCTCCAGCCCTTCTGCCTGCCGCACCAAATCTGGAAGAATAGATTTAAGCAAGCTATACTGATGATCAAGCACTTCCTCGTCTTCAATCATTCCTTCCCCGGTTCTAAACAGACCTTCCTTAAGAGTACCAAGAAGTGTCATCCGCCAGTCATACCACATTTCCTTACTGAGAAGCCTCGCATGCGTCTTTACATTCTTGAGCTGATTGTCCATCACAAGCCTGATATCTGGTGTCGCTGAAATATATTCACGGAAGAGTGGGGGGTTTTCTTCGAAAGTTTCGCTCTCAATCTCCCGGACTGTCTTTCTGCCTTCGGAGATGTAGCTCTTCAACTCATGACAGGCATGTTGAAAGAGTTCTAACATTGGAATAGTCGCGGCTCCGGCGGCAATACAATCTTCAAGCGAGACATCTGCTACATCCCTTGGTTCCCTCGAGTCTATGTCAGACTTCGGCGCGAGTGTGTGACGTCGTTTGGTTGCTGTCAATTCCATAAAGTGGATGTTGGTCATGTTTAGAAAGTCCTGGAGCTGGATACGTTCATCCTCAAAGCTTTCATCATCGATCGGAGGCTCTTCAACCGGATTCTTCTCGACCATGGGCCCCGCAGTTATTGCACCAGTATCTTTAAATCTTCCTTGATCCTTGGGTGTGGTCGGCTTGACCACATTTGGCGTGGAAGTTGTTGGGGTAGCAATTGTTGCGGTTGCTTCCTCCAGACTTTTACGTGCAGCGCGGGTTAGTCGGCCAGTCGTCGTCTCTGATTTTGTTGGCGGCCCTTGGAGTTTCACATTTTTAACGGGACTTCCATGGTGACCTTTCAAGCGTTTTATCCCGCCTTCATCGTCATCCTCGTCCTCATCCAACTCAGCAGGTCGTTTCCCTAAAATTCCTTTAGCAGCGCCAACGTGCAAGCTTTTACGCGGCTTCATAGCCTTCTTCTTTGGTGTTAAACTCTGAATCATTTCCTTCAGATTCAGTGTTGCGTCTTTTTCTTCCCCAGGTTGATTTACTTCACGCTCGAGGATACTACGACCATTCTCACGATCCTCATCCTGTTGACGCTCCTTGTCTATCTCTTCTCCAATAGCTCTCGGATCCTGAAAGCGAACACCAGCAACGTAGTCAGTGAGTTTACTAGGTGTGAAGGTTCTGGCCTGTTCGCCAATTGAGACTCGACGATCAAGCAGAGCGGCAACTCGTGGAGAACCGAGTCCCTCGCGGTCAAGGCCAACTCCAGAGGATCGTCGTCGTTGAGGCGTCAATACAAAATTTGGTGTTGTGGTACCAGTCTGAAACAATTTGTTGGGTGTAGCAGCAGTTTTTGATTTTGCTGATCGAGGAGTGGACGCAACCGCCTGGATTTCGTCTTTGAACAACTTTTTAGGAGATGCTGAGCGTATGGAAATATTCTTTGAAGGCGGTGTTTTGCTGGGAGTTGTCGGCCTTAGCGGCTGAGGAGTGAGTTGTTTCGACGGCGTAGCTGGCTTCTTCACTGGTGTGCTACCACCATTAAGCTTCGACTTTGGCGTTGTTGATTTCCTAGCCTCTGTGCTTCGGCGAAGTCCTTTGCCTCTTAAGCCTGTCATACTTGGACTACCAGTTTCTGAGGCGGCTGTATGTGTTGAAGCGGCATTCTTTGGTGGTGAGTTAGGTATTATGTCTATCTGAAAGGGAGAGCTACCAAGATCAGCTTCCAGTTCCATGATTCTTTTGGCTTGGGCTTTGTTTTTAGAGCTGGATCCAGGCTGCAGGATACCTCCCAGAGCCGTCGTTATTTCCATCCCAGTGGTGGCATCCAATTCATCTGCTATAGATTCTTTTACCGAGTTCAAGATAGAACCCACAGCGGACGTCATATCCATAGCTTCATCTCCAAAATCAGAGCTGAGACTCTCTCTCGTAGACCTTGTTTGTCTCTTTTTAGCCGTAGCCGAGGATTGCCTTCGAGATTTATTATTTTGTCTTCCTTGCGGCAGGACACCACCAACTGCAGTGGTAAAGTCCATAGTCATGTCTTCATCCCCATCTGCGTCGTTACTCTGCGATGTGCGAATGCCGCCGATAGCCATTGTAAGATCCACAGTTTCATCACCTGCTGAGGTGTCTTCACTGGTAGATTTCCGGCGAGTGCTCTGGCGCCGACCAGCTCCAGCAGATTTGGCTTTGGAGATGGCATTGTTAATGTCGTTTGAAATTATGCCTCCGAATGCATGTGTAACATCCATCGACATCTCATCATCATTTTGATCCTGGCCTGCTATTATGCCTCCCATTGGGCGGGTCATATCCATTGTGATGTCCATTGTCATATCCTCATTTTCAGATTGATCATCCTGGATTACCGACTTGCTAGCTCTGGATGTCGCCGAGAAAGGATCAATATTTTCTTGATCCTCCTGGGATTCCAGGTTGAGCAAAGGCGCGGGCTTATTGAAAGGCGCAAAAGAAGCTACGACTTCTTCTGTTAATTCCTGCTCCCCATGCTCGTCGAAGTCGATGCCTTGAGTGCCTGCTAGACGCGCTGCTTCTCTCAAAGCTTCATCGAGACGACTGCTTGATCCAGATGTCGAAGCAGATTTGACAGATGCCATTGACATATCAGTTGTTTCTCCCCCGTCCATGCTCATGGCAGTCTCATCATCATTGTCTGAATTGCTGTTGGTATCGGAACGAACATCTTCATCATCTTCAACAATCTCCTCGGTATCTGCCGTAGAGCTTCCGCTGAGGGGGCTGGAGGAAAACACTTCCTCGTCGTCTGGGTTGTTGAAGTTCATTGGCGGTATGCCAGAACTTCGTCGGCGCTTTTTCTGGTGCAAATCTCGCTGATGCGCAGGGCTTGCCGTAACTGTCTCCTCCTCCACCTGTTCAGGAGGCGTCGAAGGTGGCTCGGAAGGGTCTGAGTTTGCGTGTCCCGGGGTCTGCGGCTCCGAAATAGATGATGCTCGGCGAGTGGAATTTGTCGCATTCGACGAGGTTGTGGAATCTTGATACTCAACAACAACATCCCACGTGTGTAAGGTTGCCTCTGGCGCAAATGATACTCGACGGTTGGCCAGAGATTTCCTTCTGGCATCACGTCTCGAGATGACCTCCTTCTCCAACTCTTTCCTTTCCTGCTCCTCGCGTTCTCTGGCGGCGGCTTCTTGTTCTTCTTCCGTTCTCAGAGTAACCCGTGTCTCATTGACAGCTGGATTTCCATTAACGTTGAAAGGATTTGGCAGGTTATCGGCGCCAGTGATCGTTGCGCCAGGTGTAGGCGCAACATCAAAGTCAATTAAATCGCTCGACTTCTTTGGTGATTGCGGGGTAGCTTTCTTTGGACTCCCTTTTCGCGTTGATTTATGCGCGGGAATTTCTCGAAGAGGGGGCATTGTAGGTTTGAGTATCGATCGGGGAGCAGGCGCAGGTATTGTTGCTAAAGACTAGTATCTATTAGCAGATCATCAACCATTTCCTCTGTGAAATCCCTACTTTGCGACGGTTCCCTGTGGTGCTTTTCAGCGCGTCGAGTCCACCAGGTCCTATGCTCTTGCTCCGAGACTTCTTCAAGACCTTCTCTGTCGGCGTCCTTTTCCCCTTTACTAATGCTGTGAAATCCGTTGTCATATTCTCCTGATCCATTACGCCTGCTGAGGGTATGCTACCCAAGGACTTTCGCGATTTGGGGCGAGACGCTGGCAGCGTCATCTCGTCTCGAGTGGCCATGTTGATGTTGAGAGCACACGCTCTGGGAAAGACAATAATCAAGTAGACTCTTGGTATTGCCGCATCAAGTATAATGTGGTGTTGTGTCGAGTATCGCAGCCATCGAAAGCAAGTGGGATGCCATTGGCAAGAATTCCAATGTAAACAAGCAGGGATCTGACGCGTCGCGAAAAGCGGGCCGAAAGCTAAGGTCATCGGTGTTCGGCCTCAGGACTGAAGTCTCGAAATCTTGAGGTGGGTCCCCCAACGTGATCTCGCTACGCTTTTGCAAGCCGCACCACACCATTTTTTGAAAATCGAACTTCCACTTCAAGCTTCTCACGACAACCGCCAACAACGACCATTTGCGCGCCTTCGACAAAAGAACACCGCAAACATGGCCACCGAACTTACCGTGCAATCGGAACGTGCTTTCCAGAAGCAACCTCACATCTTCCTCAACGCCAAAACCAAGGCGAAGTCCCGCAGAGTCGGAAAGGGTGGACGAAGATGGTATAAGGATGTTGGTCTGGGATTCCGTACACCAAAGACCGCCATTGATGGAAGCTACATCGGTATGTAATATTTGCGCAATTCGGAATCGCAAAATGGGAAAGTTATGTTGCAAGAAAACGACATGTATGGGTGGCGTGGAGGGGTGTAGAGGAAGACATGGGAATCGAATCGCACATGCGATATGGATGGATGCGCATTTGCGACGAAGGAATTAATGCTGACAATTGGAATTCTAGACAAGAAGTGCCCCTTCACTGGTCTCGTTTCTATCCGTGGTCGTATCTTGACCGGTACCGTCGTTTCTACCAAGATGCACCGAACCCTCGTTATCCGCAGAGAATATCTTCACTTCATCCCAAAATACGCCAGATACGAGAAGAGACACAAGAACTTGTCCGCACACGTTTCCCCAGCTTTCCGTGTCCAGGAGGGTGATCAAGTTACCGTTGGCCAGTGCAGACCTTTGAGCAAGACCGTATGTGATCCTCAAGCGATGCGATTTGGGTATCATGCCTACAAACAGGGATCAATTAGCGCAGGGAAGTGTGAATGCTAACTCTAAGTTTCAGGTCCGATTCAATGTTCTTCGCGTACTTCCCCGAACCGGCAAGGCTGTTAAGCAGTTCAGCAAGTTCTAAAAAGTCAATTGGGTGTTTCTGGGATTTTTTCATGGCTGCATGGGGGAATTGTCGTTTGTCTGGTCATACTTCGAGAGCTGTGGCATATCGACCGAATTGGCATGATGGCAACAAGCGTTAGCTACAGTTGATAGTAGATAATGCAACAACCTTACACTGAACCGGGATTTGAGTACAGGGTGACAAGAAGCAGGTTTGGATGGTGGCACGTTATGGATCTACTAATGTGGGCTCGGCCATGCATTTCTAGTCCTCGAAATTTCCACGACCGATCTTAGATTGATCTACGAAGCGAGTTCCTCTCCAAGACGTCCACGGATTTTGTTTCCCATATTGGCGGTCGCATCGTACGGCATAGCAGCGATATTGTATGAATATCTTACACTCACGACGTAATTATGGCCATAAGTTTGCCTTTTTCTTTCTTGCAAGATTCCGTCCGTCACCTCCCATGAAAGCCCACGCCTCATCCGACACCGATCCCAGCGAACGGAGTACGCAGTCAATCAGGTTATTCGCTCTTTTCAATTGGGACAGAGAGGTCAGGCTCGTCGAATTTGCTTCGTGGTGTGCTATATCTGTGTACTGTTGGTCTAAATTTTAGAAATTGCACACCTCTGGAGTGACCACGTTTATTTTGCCTTTCGAAGTCTCGGAGTATTTTCCTTTTTTGATATGCGTATTACATGAGATTAAGATCTCGGTGGTGGGAAATTGCAGTCAGAGTCGCAAAGAGCTTGAAAATGAATCTCCTGCTTGGAATGTATACTTGTGACTACCCATCTATTTTCATACTCGAGTGAGCATCCACCTACAATATCCTGTTACTAACGGAGCTATTCGCCTGATGCAGAGTTGCAATTTATCTCCATTCAGACATATCCTCACGGAGATTTAATACTCATTCTAGCCACTGCAATCACTTACAACAGCTCAATCACTAAATCCATGATTTCCTTGCCCTTCCAATCGCTTCACAACTATAACTTCTCCCTCACTCCTATCCTCCTTTCCCCATCTCGTACCTATCACCCACCCAAATCAACCATCCAAAGCACTCAAACACACAAAACACAAAAATGCCTCCACCAATCCTATCCTCCCCCTTCCGAACCCTCCCCAAAGCAAACCCACTGTCCAACATCCCCTTTTCAAACCGAGGAATCTTCAACGTCCAAATCCCACAACCACAGGACACAAAGTCCAGTACGAGTGAGCTTCCGGAGAGGATGGTGAGTGGGGAGTTGAATCCTTGGGGTAAGAGGCAGATGAAGGAGGGGAAAGCGACTGAGATTGAGGTAAAAGAGGATGTTGAAATAATGAAAGAGGAAAAGAAGAGGGAGGATGAGGAAAGAGAAGAGGGAAAAGAGGAGGGAGGGAGGGAGGAGAATTGGTTTAGTCGTTTTGAGAGGAGTAGGAGGATGAGATGAGTTTAGATGAGTTGAATAAGTTTGTATAGTGGTGCTTGGTGGACACAGATTTGGTAGGGCCATGAAGAGGAATTTCAACAATTAATATACCTTTTCCAAGCTTTTTTCATGGAACTCCTGATTTCCACGAGACGTAGTCGAACCTAAGAGTTGTGGCCACTGACAAGGTGACTTGGGTGAGGTAAAATAGGTGGATTAATTTTGGTTCGTGAGATCTTATTTCAGACGGTTAGCTATTTGTGACTCTGGGAATTTGGATGATGAGTTATCCACTAATAGTAAAAATCGAGTGACCAAGTATCCTCATAGTGTGAGGTTTCAAGATAGTATTGAAAAGAAAACTGATTTCCCAATCCGTAGCCGGCGAAAGATTTGCTTATAGGTTTATATTCATATGTACACAAACTATCATCATTTACAACCCTACAAATGCACTTCATATCCATATTTCATTTGCCGAAATTAGAACCACTCTTTTACTTCTCGCAGCCATTAAACATTAACATTCTTACGGAACACATTGGCCTGGAGTGTCAGTTAGCAACAGATTCTTAAAACAAAGGACACATTGAGGACTTACTATAATAAAGACTCTGCGCCTTGCAAGTCCCACTAACACAAGTCGTAGCCCCAGCCCACTTATCACCACCGCACTGCGCATACAACGCAGCAGGCTTCGCCGTACTGCTACTCACCGCAGACGTACTAACCTTCGTGCTGGTCGCCAACGTCGTAGGCGTAGCCGCCGGCGGAGTGGATGTCGTGCCCGGCGCAGGACCAGACCCAGAACCGCAAGTGAAGACAGGAGGACCTGGAATCTTGTAGCTAGGAAGGGTTTGGTAGATATTGATCAAGATTCCGGGATCGGTGCTTTTGTATGCGCCAGGGAAGGCAACGGTGCTAGGGGCTGCGGTGCCAGAGCCGCCGGTGACGTTAATTTGAGCGCATTCCATGTAGAGTTGGGCGCCTTGGGATGAGCCTGCTGAGTGGAGGGCGATGAGTTCGGCGCGGAGAAGGTACTGGCCGTTTGCGAGACAGGAGGGAATGGTGATGCTGTGGAGACCGGCGTTTGCTATTAAGTCTGTGACGCCCCAGCTTCCGGTCGATGGGTTGTAGCCCTGTTCTTGGATCTTGAACCATCCGTCTCCGACTCCAGAGTCTGTTGTGGCATCGGTTACCTTTTTCAGATAGGCGATTGTTGGACCTTTGTGAGAGGGATCGATCACGTAAATTGCATCGTTTGCTGGAGTGCTCGTGAGGGTATGTCTCCATACGGCTTTGACGGTATCGCCAGCTTTCACATCGATGATCTTTGATGAGGGTGTAGTTGGGTTGGGACCTCCGTTGCAGACCACATCTTTCGAAGAGACATCATTGATAGGACCATCGTAGTTTGGTGTCCGTATTCCATAACTGATTGGATATGTGGTTGACCCAACTTGGAGCTGAGAAAAGATGGTATGAGCTGAAGCAAATGGCAGGAGCGCCGCGAACGAGAGATAGGACTGAGTCTTCATTTTGATGAGAGGAAGATGATCTAATCGAGAAGCAAAACAAATACAGAGCAAGATGATCTCTTATATATAAGATGAATGCCGAGGCAACCCCCACTAGGAGATCTGGACCATTCCAAGATCGAAGGCAAGAATAACAGGACTACTGCATCTCGCTACTGCTTTCATATATTATTCCGCCTCGTCTCTCCAATAGTCGCCTTATTGTCAAGGTATAGCTACTCCTGGGAACAACAAGTTTGCACGAGATCCGGCCGCCACATTCCGAGCAGCACAAGAGATGCATGTATGAACCCAGATAGTTTCTTTTTCAGATTCATCCGACGTCTAGCTTCGCGCCCCGTGCTCATTTGACATGAAAATAAATTGCAAAATCAAGCCAAGGTGGCCGAAATCCGAGAAAGCATCGTGAGTGGCGGATATCTGCTTGCTACTTAAAAGACAAGGGGGTCTCCTATTCTTTGGGACGCACTGTGTTCGTGGAAACAAAGTGCCATGCTGGATAGCAATCGTGCGGCGCCGTTGGGCCGTACCTCCGCATTTCCCCAGATTCCACATGCAATGGATCTGGTGCCAATTTTATATTCCGAGCGCTGTGTGATGTTTGTGTTCCGTTCCCGAAATGGACGTGCTTGAAAATCCGGCAAAAGTGCCGGGAAAAGAATTCAATCATCCAGCACGAATGAAAGACCGCCGCTCGTTGGAAATAATTTTGAGCCTCGCGAAACCAAGCCAAAGAGAGGTCAGCAGACATAGAATATGGAGAAGCACGGGCGTGGAATGTCATGTTTTGCGCTGATTGCGTGGATATTCAAAGAACTGGACCCGGCCGTGTGCTACGTGATACATCCCGCGTCCTGCTTCATAGAACGTTAGATAGAAGGATTGTAAGTGATCTCAAGATGGAAGGAGGACTGGATATAACTTCACGATTGTGAATTTCTTCGACTTGGAGCATATATGTGAGTGATAATAGCACGGGGAAGTGCGACATAGGTAGACATCGTGTAGAGAGAGACTGAAGCGAGCTTCAGAGAAGCACGAACAGACTTCTGAATCGCCATTCGTGGCAGTGGCAGTAACCTCAACTCCTTATCTGCGACCTCCTATGAACCTCTGATTTCGAGGTGGGATCATATTTTGGCCGCAAGATTGGATACACTTTTTCGAATTTGACAAGATGTGTTCGATTCAATCCTCAGATCAGCAGTATCTGATAGAGCTCCCTCAAAGTCGTTGTCAGAGTGTGTGGTAGAGGCCTGAAGAAACAATGAATGGATGAAGTTGAAGAGAGGATCAAAAGATCGCGGGGGCACGAAGAAGCTTGGATTTGTGATACGACACGTGACTGGATCTGGTCTGATGTGGGAGGTATAAATTCTTTTGGTCATCCCCTTCTCTGTAGGCCGTGCTGTCCTATCAATATCGCGTCTGACTTTCTGGATTAATTACTACCTATTTATTGAGATCAAATGCCGACTGGAATAGTCAATTGAACATCACGTGATGCATAGTTAATCAACTACTCTGTTTTGATAAGTCTCAGAGACCTGATAGCACGTACCTAGATAGATACACCTCTTCATTCAAAGCTATTAAGTACTCCCAACTGAAGTGATTGAACCATTCACTCCAAAGCCGATATGTACTCCAGAAGCAACCATCAGATTCAACGATTGTCTCATATTAGAACTGGAACTAAGCGAGATACAAATCACACGCCGAAGTTTCTTAGAGAAGTGCCTCAGCTACCACCCAAATATTCCACCAAAAATTTCTCTTTACCAGCTGGTATGGACATCGTAATCATAATTTCATCAAAATCATAGCGTAACTCCTCTCTCGTAGCGCAGGCCATCTTCTCTCTTCAAATCGCTTCTGGCAGGTCTCTCAGGATGTATGCGTCGCTGTTGTATCTCTCGGTGCTTGTTGGCAGTACATAGCGAGATTGAGAAGGGTTGGTAGCATCTATTGAATTTTTAATACCTGAATTTTGTTGGCGAGGAACCATCATACCTGCGGAAATGTATCAACCTGGCAGCATAGGTCAGATCCCACACGACATTCTGCGTCGCTCTTGCCCACAAAAAATCAGTATGGACTGACCTCACTCCAGCTAACCTCCAAAGAACCTACAATAAATTCCATTGACACTATTTTTGTTCAAAGTGTATCCAATGACCGGAGCCAGCTCAAGCAGCAGCGGAACATCGCCATTGAAGGTCGACTGACAGCAGAGACGTGTTCCTTGATTCAGCTTGGCACATTCTGGAGAAGGTTGTTTGGTCATCATTTGAGAAAGTGGCCGGTCCAGCAGAGGAAGTCCATTTCCTTGGACCAGGTGTCCCACAAAATCGATTAGTCCTGGGGCTCCATCCGCTGATTGGAAAATAAAGGGAAACAAAAACACGAAACAGAAGGCTTGGAAATAGAACTGCATTGTATTCTGCAGAAGTCTAGAGCAAAAGTCAACTTCCAAAAGTGTCAATAGTGTGGAGTAATGGTCTGATCGAGGAGGGTTGACTTTGAGTTCAGCTGAATTGATGATTGAAGGTATTGGGTGGCCTAGAATACAATAAGTCATCCAAGCTAGCTCAAGTCGTAACGCATCACCTCAAGCAAGACATTTCTGGCTTGTTTGGGGAAGGTGCCATCCCTGAGGTCGAACAGAAGCTCAGGAAGGCATGGGACGGAGCATATGTACAACATCGATCGCGTTATTTTTGAGCTCGCAGTGGCCATGGTTCGGCGACTTCCTGTAACTTAGTACTGGAAGCAAATAGGAAAAGGACATAACTTGTGCAAACATATTACCATTGGATCTCGATGATGAAGAGCAAGTCTTAAGAAGTTGGAGTTGATGATAGGTGGTCGCTTAAGGTACTATTATAGGCTAGCGCGATCACCGGTTGATTCTCGGCTCATCTTTATTCTGGATCCAATTCCCCTCAACTCAGACTTCATCTCTTCACCCATCCCTCACCATGATGGAAACGAGAACTTCCACCTTCACGGACAAACTCAGCGAACGAGCTACCCTTCGTTAACTATCCACGGCACCTTGCAGTATCTTTGACTCCTGAATTGGAGCTGGGCGTGACACGCGGCGTAACCTTACACCAAATCCATCGAAGCGTTTGTACATCGTGAAATGGTGGGAGAATCTCCGGTACTACCTTTCTGGCCACTTCAACAACTGACAGATTGTAGACCGAGCGTTGAATTGCTGTTTGATTCATGATACCGCGGCATTAGAAGTCCAACCTGAGCCCCTCGACGCCCAAAGCTTTTCAAATTTCTTCCTTGCACAACACAAACTCTTCGATGGCATGCTCGCCAAGTTCCGACACTCGCTGGTCTAGCACCATGGCTCAGTTACGGCATGCTCATAACGTATTGCAAGTATTGTCATTGATATGATACGATTTTCCACGTGTGGGCCATTTCCTTGGTCGAATCGATGGTGAAGATGCCTGGAACGGGGCTGTGACCTAAATGCTCATGGCAAGTGTTGTCATAAAAGCAGAGCTGCGTTGGGATTCCAGGGCCGTGCATTCAGTGTCTGTATTTGTGGAAGGTAACCTCTGACTGTATGGTATATGTGAGTGCGCGAATCTCCATTAAGTCAGTATTTCACGCCTCCAAGGAGTACCGTTGCCTTCAGCTACTGGAAGCTGTTAGCTGTTCAGGACTTTCAGGACAAAGTACCTTCTTTTGGAGCCAGTTGCGATTATCCTTTCATAGCAGCAACTTCTTTTGCCATCTCTGATCGCCGCCTTGCGCGTCACTGCATCGGACAGTATCGACGATCATGCACTTTCTCGGTGTGAGAGTCGATGACAGCCGTTATGTTGCGGGTATAATCTCCACATCGGAAAATTCTAGCGACCGCTGATTCTCTCGTCTGCCGTCTGAAACAAACTTTCATGTTCTGTATGGTGAGTTTGCCTCGTGTTTCGGAGTATTTGAATCCATCAACAATGGAGGCTGCCGACCTGAAAGGTAGATGATCTTGGCGCAGACCTGGAGGAGCGCTTTCCTTCTCTATTATTGATTGACGTTTGCTGTCTCGGATGGTAAAAACAGTACCATCTTTCCAAATGCCGATTGCACGTACCGCAAACTGATGGTGGCCACGAATCTGTACTGAATCTGCACTTTTGGCATTTGCGCTGCTGCCTCTCACAGTACGGCTTGGTAGTTCCTGCCGATGAAGTTGTACCTCTTAGTGCTCTTTGTCTCTGCTCTGTCCTGCTTGGACTATAGTTGCTTGGGCAATTCACCTGCGCACCCTCCGCGTAGAACTTCCGTCGGTGTGTTGACTTCAAGGCGTTCGCCGAGCTTACCACGGCTCAAAGTCTTGACATCAGACTAGTCCACTGACCAGGTTGGTGGACCCATTCACACTCGCCTCATCTTGTCGCGAACATCTGTCTAGCTGTTCTACTTTCTAGAAACAGCCAACGCGTAACACCTTTTCTTTCCCAACTGTCGTTAACTTCCACCCATTTCCTCCTTCGTTGATTGTTGCAAATCCATACTACCAACTACTGAAGAGCTTTGCTTACACTCAACCCAATCTTACCATTCGCACTACAACGATAGTTTCGCACTACTACACTCAGATGGAGTTCCAAAACCACTCGCTGTCGTTTCTTTTCCTCATTGGATTCGTCCTATCACTCGTTCACTGGATTTACCACAGACTTTTCTCTCGACACTCTCTCCCGCCAAACCTCCCATGGGCTGGCACTCGAAACCGTGGCGCCTCCTCTCGAGCTCGGTCTACACTTCGCAGTTTATTTGACACCCGGGGTCTTCTCAAGGAATCTTACACAAAGGTTTGTTGCACCAAATGTCATTTCATATTTCGCCGCTAACACATCGATAGTACTCCAAGAATGGAGTGACCTATGTTCTACCAAATGTGCTCACGGGTCCAGAAGTCATCCTCCCACAAAGTTTGATGGATTGGCTCTTGCACCAGCCTGATAGCGTTCTTGACCAGGGCGAAGTCAACCGCGATTTCCTCCAAGCCGATTTCACCATGCTTCATAAAAAAGTCGTCACCGACACGGTCCATAAAGATGTAATCCAGAAAGAACTCACGCGAAGACTTGGGGATTTTACCGCCGACGTCAACGAGGAAATTGATTTCGCGTTCAGGAAGGCATGGGGCGTAAATACCAAGGACTGGACCACCGTCACAGCGTACGACTCCATGTCGGAGGTAATTACCAGAATATCCAATCGTGTTCTTGTTGGCCTACCACTATGTGAGTAATTTCCTTCGCAGTCAAGGATAAGTGCTCACGTATTCTAGGTCGGAATGAGGATTATCTCCACTATTCTTCGACGTTTGCTCGCTTTGTTGTGCTTGAGTCCGCCGCTATCAGTCTTTTCCCGGGATTTATGAAACCGTAAGTACATTGATAAGCTTCCACGGCCTTGAATCTGATCATTACAGAATTGTGGCGCCTCTTGTAACACTGAAAGACTATTGTCGCTACCTTGCCATGACCAAGCACATATTACCAGTTTGGAAATGCAGGACATCAGAATCCGCTCTGGATAACAAGCCAAAGGTAAACCATTTTCCCGATTTTGTGAGACCCAATTCGATACTAATTTGCTCATAGAACGACTACGTTCAGTGGTGTCTTAACCATGCCGACGACGAACGAGACCCCGAGGAACGAGGAAGTGACATGATTACTAAACGCCTCGCTGCTATAAGCTTTGCCGCCATTCAATCCTCAGTAATTACCTCCTGCAATTTGCTATTGGATCTCGCAGCTTTCGATAAGACCGAAGCCCTTCTCGAGAACATCCGACGAGACATTGCTGCGGAACTCGGAGTTGGACATCGCACATGGAACAAGACCTCTCTATCGCGCATTGTTCTTCTCGACAGCACTATCCGCGAGAGTATGCGGTTGGGTGGTTTTGTCAGCCGAGGAGTTCTGAAAACAGTTGTCGCAAAAGACGGTGTGAAGCTACCAGGACTATCTGGAGTCCGTCTTCCTTATGGATCCAAGGTCGGAATTCACGCTTTTCCCGTTCATTATGATGAAGATATATATCCTGAGGCTCAAAGCTTCAATCCAACGCGATTTTGCGACGACCGAAGTCTCGAAATCAAATCTGAGGATGCATCTGCTAGCCAGAAGCAAGGCCAGGCTCTTGTGACCACTTCGAGCAATTTCATGGCTTTCTCGCACGGTCGGCATGCTTGGTAAGTTGAATTCTTGATTTAAAATCATCTGGCTCTTTACTAACCTTTTTGTTCTCTTAGTCCAGGTCGTTTCTTTGCCGCACAGCAACTGAAGCTTGTCCTTGCATATATTGCTATGAATTACGAGATCGAGCCTGTTGCCCAACGTCCAGCAAACCACTGGTTTGTGGGAAGCTCAGGACCTCCGCTCGAGACAACAATCAGGATTCGACGCCGCGAGAGTACTGTTTGACCAACTCGAGACAACATTAACTCCAAGAGGATGACATGTTATTTCGCACGACTCTCGCCTCTCCTGTCCTTTTGTCTCGTTCATGATACCCTCGTCTGTCTTTTTCTTTGAAGCGCATCTTGTTGGATCTTGCAAAGAAATTTTGATCGTCACTGTCGTTTACATGAAAGTTGTTGGGCTTGCCATTGCGGAGACTTTTATATGCTAAATCTTGGAGTTTTGTGTTTCCTTCTCCTTGGGCTTGATTCTCTGGCGTTGTAGCAACAAGTTTATCGAATGGTAATATGTACAGTTGAGGGGTATGTTGAGTTGATAATGGATGTTGTTGCATTTGGTGGTTGTTCTGCTGCATTTGTATAGGTGTTGAAGATTGGCTCATTTGGCTTTAAGGTCATCGACTAGATGGTTTATTAGAAGAGATACAAGTCAAGAGTAGATTCTGCTTCCATAGAATATAAACCATCTCCTGGCAATCTTCTGCGCCTATGACAGTTTGCTTCTGTGTACTGCGGTCAGGAAGCTCAGATGGTTATCTAATACTGCCCATCTCAGAATGGACATTTGAAATTTGCACTCATTCCAGTAGACAGATGCACCATTAGACCTTTCAAAGCAACACAATGCTCCTCGCCTTTTCCTCACAATTACGTTTCTTCCTGTAGCAAGGACCATGTGACGCGAAAATCTACGGAAGTCGAATATAGTTCACTAGCCCCGTAAAGTTATTTCTAACTACTATTTTACTATAAATAGCCAGTGGCTTATAGAAACACATGCTATTTACAAGAGTGAATGTTCACTCTACAGTCATACACTCCTCGCCGATTTAAAATTGTCGGGTAAAGTTTCTCGATTATCAGATGTTGATTATGTCAAATGATCAGTGCCTGGACTTGTATTTAGGAAGACTCATATGAGGACATGAGATGTTATTTTTAAAAGTCACTTATGTGCATGTGAAAAGCGGAGAGAAGTTGTAAGGATAGAAGACGGGGTGAGGTGAATTTCGTCCTGAGCCCTCGACGGTTATTTTCTAAGTGCTCAGCTGCCTTTTTGATGCTTGTCGATTGCGTGTACCTCCTCTCATCTGATTATTCCATTTTCTTCGTGTTTCTTAATACTGAATAGTCGGGTACATAGTCTTCTGTTCACGTATATTGTCGAAGTGAAGTTGCTGGGCTCGCTTAGGCTACTAGGAGGGCAAATCGGATTACCAGCTAGACAGGACACAGCCCCTTTCAGTACTTCAGAGACGACTAATGATTATTTTTAGACATCACGATTGATCCATTTGTATACTACCTTCAAAGCCTCACCACGTGATAGTACAGAGAAATAGTATTGCAAATTCCCCACTCTTGACCCGCACGGTTAAAATGGATAAATGGAGAGGGGAAGCATTCACACGATACCCGGCTCACCATAAGAGCCTCCTTGACCACACTTCTCATACCACTCACAAAATCTCTAACTCACACTTTGTCATAATCCCCAGAACCAAAATCCATCATGCCTCAAATTCGCAACCCCATCCTCCCAGGGTTCAACCCTGACCCCTCAATCCTCCGCGTAGGAAAGGACTACTATATCGCAACCTCAACATTCGAATGGTATCCCGGCGTGCAAATCCACCACTCCACCGACCTCGCAAATTGGAGTCTACTCACGCGTCCCTTGACCCGAAAAGCTCAATTGGATATGCGTGGGGACCCTGACAGTTGCGGCGTCTGGGCGCCATGTCTCACTCATGACGGCGAGCAATTCTGGCTAGTATACACAGATGTAAAACGCAAAGACGGATCATTTAAAGATACACATAATTATATCGTTACGGCGCCGAAGATTGAGGGGCCCTGGTCGGATCCTGTGTATGTTAATTCTTCGGGGTTCGATCCCTCGTTATTCCACGATGAGGATGGGAAGAAGTGGTTTGTGAATATGCATCAGGATCATCGACGGCGACCGAGGAGTTTCGCAGGAATTGTGTTGCAGGAATTTGATGCAAAGGCTGGGAAACTGGTTGGGCCTAGGAAGAACATTTTTCTTGGGACGGAGCTGGATTTGGTGGAGGGTCCGCATTTGTATAAGAGGAATGGCTGGTATTATCTCCTTACTGCTGAGGGAGGAACTGCGTATGAGCATGCTTGCACGCTGGCGCGCTCGAAGGATATTTGGGGTCCGTATGAGTTACATCCTCAGAAGCATGTTTTGAGTTCGAAGGATGCGCCGTTTGCGGCGCTTCAGAGGGCTGGGCATGGTGATATTGTGGATACGCCTGAAGGAGCTACGTATTTGGTTCATTTGTCTGGTCGTCCCATGACACAAGTCCGTCGATGCGTTCTTGGTCGTGAAACTGCGATCCAAGAAGCATTTTGGGGAGATGACGATTGGCTATACGTCAAAAATGGTCCTGTTCCGTCACTTCACGTTGAAGTGCCGGGTGTGAGAAATGAAGACAAATATTGGGAGGAGCAGCGGTATGAGTTTGTGGATAAACTCCCACTGGACTTTCAATGGTTACGAACTCCGGAACCAGAACGGATTTTCACCATCGAAGACAAGAAGCTCAAACTTTTAGGTCGTGAATCAGTTGGATCGTGGTTCGAGCAGTCTTTGGTGGCACGAAGACAGCAACATTTTTCATATGACGCGGAGACTGTTATTGATTTCTCACCAACAGACGAGAGACAATTCGCTGGATTGACGGCTTATTATTGTCGATTCAATTTCTTCTATCTCACAGTAACAGCTCATTCAGATGGTAAGCGGGAGCTACTCATCATGAGCTCAGAGGCTTCTCATCCGGAAGGTCGCCTTCAAATGCCACTGGCGGATCCTGTCTCAATTCCCGACGAGGGGAAAGTCAAGCTTGCTATCGAAATCCGGGGTCCGGCATTACAGTTCTTCTATGCTCTAGAGGGAGAGGAGTTGAAAAAAATTGGACCGGTGTATGATGCGACTATTCTTTCTGACGAGTGTGGGGGTCATCTAGCGCATGGAAGCTTTACTGGTGCTTTTGTGGGAATGGCGTGTTCGGATTTGAATGGGACGGTTCTGCCGGCGACGTTTGATTATTTTGTGTACAAGCCTGTAAAACACGAGAGTGATCGGTATGAGATATAGTCGCACTCAATTCAAATATTTTTAGCAAACTCTGAGAACTATCAACCTTCACTAGGAATTTTCAATTGTGAAGAGAGGAATCATCGGCTTATACGTGAAAGGAATATTGTCGAAAACGGGAGGAGCGTTCAAAACGATTTCCGTTACGAGTATGAAAACGACCGGAATAGCGAAACAAAACTAAATGTAAGTTAGTATTTTTGCAGCTGAAAATATGCTTGCACAATGAACGCACCATGCAATTTTGAATTGTCTCCCGGAAGCCCCTTCTCAACTGTACTACTTGTTTCAAAGACAGAGATCAGTACTTTGCATTGTCCGCCAAGGGAGTGATAATGCTTCAAGACGTCTCTTCCACTCAGCTTCTCTCCAATCCTCCTCCTGTTGCTGGCTTTTTTTTTTCGGCTCGCTGTTCTTACTATCTGTTTGTTAGCTGACTTGTGCCGAAGAGTCATCGAATTGAGTTGGAACAAACACATACTGCAGTAAGATTCATTTTGGCGTTGTATTTTCCGAGGCTCGAATCTCCAAAATGCATCTTGAGATGATCGCGAGATGCTCGTTGGTAAGTTTTGGGTCGGCAGAGCCCGCGATATTACAGGCAGGTGCGAAGGCGACTGTGACAGTGTGACAGCATGGGAAAGCAGTGACGCTCACTCAGTTTTTGCACATCGACTTTCAGAACATCGAAGTCACGACAAAATATTTCATTGGAGACTGACCCAGATACAGTATTTTTGGTATGATGAATTTTACAAAGTGGCTGGAAGAACACTACTGATTACACAAGAAACGTATGCAAGAAGAGGAACAATAAGAAGAAGGAAAAGGAAAAGAAAGAAAAAGTGGGAGCGAACGAAAATTCGACCAAACCCATTTAGATCAATAAAAGACATGTGAGTTTTGTTAGTAAAACCCATCAGCACCAAAAACTCGCCCGAGATTCTGACGCAACCGAGAATCTAAAGGCAGCCCTCAAGAACGCAGGACGGAAATTGAAACAGAAGAAGCGGGAGGAAAGAAGATGTTATTGATGTTGTCAAGAGAATAGAAAAAGTTTGATGAGAACAAAGAAGAAAGTTGTGTCCGCGCAATTGAAACCACACTTCGGGTTCAAATCATGAGCGACGAGAAGCAAAATCTAAAAAAGAGTCAGCCAAAGTGCCAGGGCTGGTGAGTACACTCTTCAAAGAGAAGACTGGGTGAAGAGTAGAGGTTCATCTACACCAGCTTCTCTCATCTGCATCGATAATCTAGAAGTAAGGCCGAGAGAATAACCTCATCTACCAAAACAACTATTGTTTTGTCCGAAGACAAAACTGAAATCTCAAAGGCAGAGGGAAGAAAGGAATGTGTACTCACAATTTGTTGATGTTGATGTTGCTGTCGAAATGGAAGAGAATGAGGGGGGCGAGGAGGGAGGGGAGAAGAGAGATCTTATACTTCTGAGAGGTGATGTGCTTCTGGAGAATCGACGATGGATCGGCAATGATTGCATTATCGTGAATACATCATTGTTGTATGAGCCTAGCAATTGTGGCATTCGTGCGACAAGGTAATGACCTAGATTCTCTTTAACAGCCATTGTGGACACAGTGGAGTCTCTTTAACAGCCATTATGGAGTCTCTTTGACGGCCATTGTGGAGCTACAACTGCAGCTGCCGAACCTAATTCTGTTTTATAGTCTAGTAAAGAACCACTTTTTGTTCCGTATGCGTCTGAAATATCGCAATGGCTCCAATACATTTCTGACCTAAAAAGAAATCCCATACAGCTTTAGCTTATGCACCAAATGAGTATAGGTAGACTTGGCCCCTCACACGATGCAACGTCTCGTTCTTCATCAACGCTAAGCTGTGAATCAAAACTGCTGGTTCCTCACAATTTTAGCAAGGCACAACGATGATCTTCAAGCTCCATGCTTAAAGGCAGTCTTCATGTATGAGGTGACAATGCTTGCCATCTGGTCACTGAAACGTACATCTCTAGTCCCTTTCGCACAATTTGCTGAAGACTTGGTGAAAATTTAACGAGATACTTGTTGCTCAAAAAATGCTGCAAATTTCACCTAGCACCGGATGCACTGTTGCAGCGATTGCGTAAGATCATTTTTTCGCACTCAACCGCATAGTAAGATCAGAAAATTGAACCATTTCCTTGGACTGTCGGAGCAGTCAGAAGCTTCCAGGTTATCTCAACTTTCCACAATGATCCTTGGCGGCGGGCTCACAGTGGCCACTTTCGAACGTAAGTGGAAAGAGCGTCCGTCACTTCGACATGATCGAAAAAATGCGCAGAATATGCACCAGTGATTATAATGCTTCTGATCATTGGAACGTTCAATTTATTTATTTGAAGCAGATGAAATCGGAAATGATTCGCGCATTTACCGCTGATACAAATTCAAAGTGTTATGCGATGTTGTCGTGGGTATTGACGATTTCGTCTCAGATAATCTGGTCTAGCCTGTAGATCCGAGTCAAGTCCATTACTTTTAGTTCGTGTATTTGCAAAGATAACACCTGCCTATGGTCCCAAAAACATCCATGATTGAATTTAGATCTGCGCGTTTTGCAATTGGGAATTATGTCGATTAGAGTCAGGATTGGACTTTATCGCACCTGCTTCGTCTTATGCTAAGGGTACTACACCATCCACCACACGGCTGAAAGTGCTCGTCGAACGCCACTGCGAGGCGTATTCAGGTGCGCCAAAGCAATCGAGTGCAGCGAAAGTGAGACTTGGTTGGCTCTCGGCCCAGCCCCAGCGCCCGTTAGGGGCGAGCTGAATGAGAAGTTCCCGGTCTGAGACACGGCAAAGAGGCTGCAATTAGCGACGATATTCCTGTGTCAACGCTCAAGAGGACTATAATATCAAGAAGAAGCCCTATAGCTCCGCTTGCTTACATGTCAAGCTCTAAAACAGTCATTATAAAATGGCTAGGTATAGTCTCGAGTTTTCTATATGATTTCGTCGACATGTTATTGCATCACTTGGATGAGGTAGTGATGTGCATCGAATTACTATAAAAATCCCTATACCATAATACGTGAACGTGCTAATTCACGAAAAGTGGGTTTTGGCAAGCCCCTTTCTGCACGTTGCTCAGTTAATGGAGGTGGCGACGGAATCGTTGGTAGCATAAGGCTGCGTCGAGGCGTAGAGTATATTTAGTATAAAGCTGAATACCCTCTTGCATGTTGTTGAAGGTCTGTATCCTGCCCGTGTCCCTTTAGAGATATCTTGTTTATTTAGTGACTTTTAAATTGCAAGTACTAAAGTATGTCAGCGCCCTTAGCCTCGAGATCAGAAGGAAAGACAGAAGAACAAGCCGTCGCAGCACCATCCCCAACCACCAGCTTGCCCTCTAGCGACACAGGCCCAAAATGGGGAGATACTCTTCTCTTCTGGTTTGACTGGGGCATTAAAGTCCTCGGCGTAGCCGCAGCAGTAGTTTTCGGCATCTGGGCACCATTATCCTACCAAGCCGCCAACGATGCCAGTACGAGCGGCGATGCTACTCAAAGCTCGATATTACAAGCAGCATTATCAGCAAACTCGCAAGCGGCGAGCGCGCTCAGCGCTCAGAATTCTCTGGCGGCGAAGCAAAGTCTTGCGCTTGAGGACTTGAACCAGCGAATCGGGGCTATTGGCCAGCTGTGGCTGTTAGACTTTTGTGTCATTAATACGGTGCGAGAGAGCTGTATTCCACGTGGAAATCATGTACTCACAGCGTTAACCTAGGCATTGGCAGCTTGTAAATCTTTTACAAGTCAAGTACCCATTATCAGTCTTGTGAGCTATCTCGCCTCCCCGACTACAACGTTTTTGACGTCAACCGCTGGAATGACGTCAACCGCTGTAACTGTACCGACAGGCACTTTCCCAACCACAAGGCCTTTGACATCAACCGTTACAAGTCGACCGTCAGTCACCCCTAATCCTGGGTTGGGAAGTTCTCGGCCAAAGGCAACTCTGTCGCTCCCAGCTATTCTCGGAATTGTGTTTGCTGTCATATTATTCCTAGGTGTTATCGCGGGGATGTTTGTTTCTCGGTTCAAGAGGTCGAGAAGCAGAGCGTACGAAGAGTCAGCATAGCGTTGGGAGCATTCTGCACTGTCCTAAAAATGGAATACACCAGTTACCTACTGATGGGTCTCATCCTCGTTTGTGTGAGAGCCTCACCGCCAATTATGCAATCGGTAAAAGGCTATCTACTGGCCCAGATAATTGTCTGTAGTGGCTCTTATAGGCGGCATCTCTTATGATATTGTGGCATGAGATCTCCACAGCAACTACTTTATGTGAGAGTGATTTCATAACAACCCCGCATGTTTCGAATATTTGCGTTATTGATTTTGAATTACGGGGAAATGACCTTGGAATTTAGCATACAGAACTGGGGAGTGGCAACATACTATTTCTTTGTAGGTGAAAAGGCGCATCCTTCTGCTCTGGAATAATGAGAATTATAAGTGAGGAAACTATGATCATTATTAAGTGCATTTATCTTCAATAGTGGTCCTAGAGATTGGCACCGACTAGCTTTATGAGCAAGCAAAACACCCTGTTTCTCTGTTTTGTAAATTAAAAGCTTCTCCGATGAAAAATAGAGTCGATGGAAGATTCAAGTCCCTTCTCTTGTGGTCACGTACGTGGAGTCCATTGTTAGCTAACTATAATTATCCGCTCTAAACATGACTACTGTAATTGTAATCATTTTGTATCTTTTATATCATGTTCGTCAGTCTCGAATGCAACTTCTCGCATATATGAGACTATCAAGGTACCACGAAGAAGTCAAAACTAGCCAAGTACAACTGAGCATGACTAGGCTAATGCCTCGGTTTTCATCCCCTCGGATTTCACAAATGCTTCACTGAGACTACTAGCGATTTACGACCACTCCCGGTTTGGCTGGACCATGTCCGGTGCCCTGGTTGACGAGCATCCGTCAGTGGATCACAATAAACCTCTTATAATCTGCGATAGTCTTACGTTTATGGTCTATCGATCTTTGGATATCTCCCGGCATTTTCAAAATTTAACAAATTAATCATCACCACCCAGAGCGTCGCAGGTTTCGGATCCTGGATTCGGAGACTCCGAATGTTGTTCCGACGTTGATTCTTTTTGATACGGCTTTTTGAAGGAGGTTCATTTTCTCGAAAGACTGGAAACATCAACCAATATCAAGATTTTCGGAGTAAATACCCATTATCATGTGTTGAATTTAACATTCAATACAAGACTTTGGATTCCTATCCTTAGTACCTAATCTCTGTTCATATGGTTACTCAAGCCTCACGTGCTACGGTTAGTCGCATAAGTGGGGCTGCTCGATATTCGAAGCCTCGAACATTGATGTTGGTCTCGAGTTGGTTGCCTACCTTTGTCAAGTTTCTAGCCCTTATCTCTACAACTATTGCCTTCCTGGAATCTTATGGTTAGCCATTACGTGGCAACCAGTCAATGTCATTCTACCGAGACTTACAGAATGATGAGGTCCGGATGCTGACGATCATTGACGCTCCTACAGATAGCAACCCTGATGTGTCTGATCTGGGTCATTGCCGACTTGATCAGGTTTCTTTGCAAGATATCACGCCGGAATGGGCAGAATTCTTGTTGCAGAAGCAGATGCCATTTGATTCCAGAATTTTGGGGAAATGGGTTGAGAGATGATCTATGAGTGATTCTATCGACTCACCAGACGATTTTATCCCGCTGCCATTTTGGCGATTCGTTTGCGAACATAGCAAAGAGGATGACTTGGTCGAATGGGATGATCATGCCCAAGCAATGGGAATCAAAGCAGTCAAAATTCCTTCGATTCCTGATGCCTCCGAGAAAACGGAGTTAGGAAGTCTGCTACTCTCTTCGCCAAGCCCTACGGCGATACTTCTGTCAGTTCCTGATCACGCTGTTCTCAAACCAAGATTTCATTGGGGTGACTTTGAAGCTGTTTCTTACTGCTGGGAGTCGGAGATAAGAGACAGGACGATTGTGATCGACGAAATTCCATTTACTGTTCCACGAAATCTTGAGACTTTGCTCCGCCGTCTGCAATAGCTCCCAGAAATAAAAGCGGGAATGAAACTATGGGTTGATGCTCTTTGTATCGATCAAAGTAATATCGCTGAGCGAAGCCATCAAGTTTTGTTGATGGAGACCGTCTACAAGAAGGCTTTTGCGGTAGTTACTTGGCTTGGAGAAGAAGGTGACGACAGTGATGCGGCGATTGGGTTCATCTTGGCCATCTGTCGACGAGCTTCACGGGGTCAAAAGCTCAAACACCTCGGACTGTCTCCAATAGAAATTTCGTCAGAATATAAATCGGATTTTCTCAATTTGCCTTGGAAAGCATTGTTTAAGTTTTTATCTCGAAGGTATTGGCGCCGTCTGTGGATCGTACAAGAACTGGCTCTTAACCATCACATGACGCTGTTTATGTGTGGGAAGAGCCAAATATCCCGAAGCATGATTATTCGGACTTGCAAATCCTGTGAGATCAATATAGGAATCATTGACAGACTGATACCACCTTATCTAGCTCTAGGGCGTGATCCGCGTGGTTCCACTTACGGGAGTTTATGGCCTACGGTTTGGCATGTCGATATTCTACTGCGTACCACGCAAGAATGGAAAGACACTGGACTAGCTAGTATTCTAGACCTTAGCCGTAAGGCTAGTGAAACTGATGCTCGAGACAAAATATACGGACTGCTGGGCCTCCTACCTACCTCGATCAAACGCGCCATATCCCCGAATTACGACGAGTCAACCACACCATTAGCGGTATACAAGCAATTTGCAAAGACCTTATTGAACGAACAGAACGGTCTCGAATCAGTTCTTTCGTGGTGTTCCTACAACAAGAATAGCATATTTCCCTCCTGGATACCAGATTGGACAATGGAATTTCCTAGAAATCATATCAGATGGCTGAGAATACATAGAGAAGGTGGGAAGGCTGACCATAATACTTAGGGGACGCAACTACTGGGGACATTCTGCACATACGAGGTATCATTTTCGATTGGGTGTCGAGTATGAGCGCATCGCTTTCTGAAAAAGACGTGTCGCGAGCCGCTACTCAAGACTTAGCTGCTCCAAGGGAGACAAGCAACAATTTTCACGTCTACGGAGACAAACTCAGTGAGGCTCTCGAGAGAACTTTGATGATGAACCACCCTTCGAACCGTGCCAAAGATGTGTCGATATTCGAGATTTACTGGGCAGACATCAGCACTTTTGGTGATGATCTGGGTGCTTACCAAAATACTCATTCTTCGTTTCGAAAAGCCATGCAAGCTGTCTTGAGTACCTATCGCTGGGAATTATTTAACGGTTTCCGCAACATCAACGCTGAGTATCTTGTCTTTGGTCGCAAATTCAGAGATTTCTTCCCACCTAACTTCCGCGAATCGTACCCCGGACCCGACCTTACTACTGGACACGCTCGCGAAATGCTTATTTCTTCTATCGCACTTGTTGGTCGCAGAATAATCGCTACGAAAGGCGGTTATATTGGACTATTACCCGAACAAGTTCAGATAGGTGATGTGATCGCAATTCTGTTTGGGTGCAGTTTTCCAGTCGTGTTAAGACCATCTGGACACCAATACATTTACATTGGGGAATGCTATATTGACGGGATCATGGATGGCGAGATTCTAGAGCAAAAGAACAGCATCCAATATAAAGAGGTGGATATTGAAATTTGCTAAAAGGCATATGAGGTTAGGATTGGCATAGCTCTACAAACTTTTGATGTAGCTAACAATCGGCAGCGGGTAAAAACCGGTACAAAAATAGTGAAAAACGCCTCATCATGACTGCGCTGACGGAATTTGTCTATTTCGTGAACCTTCCTGGAACTGGGAACTGGTACTGATGTAGTTGATGTTGGCTTTTCGTCGAGGATACCCCATAACTCTCGGTCTTTGTTATGAGATTCTGGTGAGGTTCTTGGAAGCTGGACTTAAAACCAGGGAATGGTGCTGTTGGATTGCAATGAAATCTGCGAGGAAAGAATTGTAATTGCGGTGTAGTCCCAATACAACTAGTCCAGATCATTGCACGTGACAAAACAAAGCACGGTCAAAGAGCACGGGCCTCGAGCTTCTTTTATGCCTCGACGCGTCTCATTTTCTTCTCTAATTCCGTAAGTCACTCCCCTTCTTCTTTCGTCGTCGTTCTCACGTTCTCTGATGTCAACATAAAGTTGCTCTCCATCCTTGTTTCGATATACTTTGGCGCCCTCGGCATGTACTCGATACAGTCAGCCGCATGCAGTGCCCAAAGTCTGCCCAAATGCAGGTGCAGATGCATCTTGGGCTGCGGTGTGGCTGAGGAATGACAGCAATCTCGCGTCTCGCAATAACTATTCCTGTACCTGGGTACATTGATGACAACTGAAACTATGGCTGCTTAGCTATCGCCTGGGCAGATCCACTACTTCGAATTTCAGTACTCGAAGTCAGTCGGCCAATACTCTCAGCTCAGCTCAGGTTTTGTGTTCCTCTCATACCCAAATTTGACATGTCGACGTACAATTATCATGAGCTCGCCGCTGGCGAAGAGACTCGGCTGGTGCGCTTGAAGCCGGCAAAGGAGTTGAAGGACGAATTGGTGTGTGAGCTGATCAATGTCTCTCTTGATTCGATGCCGGAGTTTGATGCATTATCTTATGTCTGGAAAAACTCGGCTCACCGAACCACCGACGAGATGACCGAGGAGGAGAAAGAGAGAAAATGTTCCGCTGTCACGTACGATGGGGAGAACGCCATCAACTATTCATTGACCTGGGAAGAATTGGGGCGATCAGAAGTGGATGAACTCTGCGGAATGTACTATCAACTCGGCGGTGAAAGAGCGGATGGAACAATTCTGCTCGACGGGTATGCCTTCAAAGTTGGCTTTGAGTTAGAAGAAGCAATGCGTCGCCTTCGCTATGACGACCGTGATCGGCTGGTATGGATCGATGCGCTTTGTATTAACCAAGTAAGTGATCTATATTAATTGATCGTCTTTGAAACCCACAATTAGCAACCCCCCCCCCCCGTCTAGTTCTCTCTTCATCTTAGGTACGAGACAACATGTGTACTTGGAAACCACTAACATATTCGGTAGACAGACATGATAGAGAGGAACGTCCACGTCAAGAAGATGGGACAAATATATGGTCTTGCTGATACGGTGGTGATTTGGCTTGGGGAGTACGTGCCAGAGCCACATCTTGCACTGGGTGTACTAGACTTACTGAACAAGAAGCTTCCTGCCTTCATTAGCGCAGCTGAACAAATTGCACACGGTTCTGTCAAAGACGCCTTTCTTAACGACCGAGATATCCGCAAAGCATACTGGGATCAATTCGCTCAGTTTCTTCGGCGCGCCTGGTTCAATCGTGTTTGGTAGGCTCATCTCACCACTCCATCTATCAACTACTCATTTCTCCTAGGGTGCTACAGGAAGTGGTCAACGCCAAAACAGCTGTTGTCTATGCCGCTCACTTTCAACTTACATGGGATTATTTCTCGGGAATTATAAATTGGCTCCGTGAAAACGGTTGTGAGACACCACTCTTAGCCGGCGGTAGTCTTGCCTGCATTCCGACAATTCAAATGATTATTCGTTTATCTCATTTGAAAAAGAACGCCAAAACATGTCGGCTACCACGTCTTATTGATATTTTGCAGGATTCTAGATCTACAAAAAGCACATATCCAATTGATAAGGTTTATGGTGTTCTGGGCCTTATTTCCGAGCAAGAAGCTTCGACAATTGAGGTTGATTACAATCTCGACGCAAGAGAACTTTATACCAAGATTGCGACGGCAGAATTAATGAAAGGCCTCGATGTGTTGGGTTTCTGCACAAAACCAGAAAAGCCTTCGGATCTCAGTTGTCCTTCTTGGGTGCCTGATTGGACGCAGCAATGTTACCACTTTCCTTTTAGCAGACTACGAAGTAGAGTGCGAGGCCGTGCTGCTGGAGATTCAGTCCCGCGGTTCCAAATCGAGGGCAAAATCCTGGAGATAACTGGTAGGATTGTGGATACAATTGAGGCTGTGGAGCCTTATCGTGAAATACCCAAGGGATCCAAACCAGGGGAACTGAAGCTAAACAACCCAGAGAGATTCTTCAATACCGAAACTGTTGAGAAACCCGAGAGATTTTCCGTCGAGACAATGTTTCTTGATCATCTGGGGAACTACTATGCTCTATCTATAAGATGGCTACAGAGCGCCATTTCGATCGCATTTCCTACCGGAGAAATGACTGAGGACTCATACGATGCGCTGTGGAGGACTTTTTGCTGGAACACAACAACGAAGGGGACACCCATTCCCGACGATTATGTGGATTATTTCTCCGCCTGGGTGAAAGCCATTATCCAAACAGAAGACGGTACAATGCTTGATACGGTGAAGTGGACTGCCGAAGACATCCTAAGGACAAGGCGATTTGATGAAGTGTTTGGCACCAAGTGCTTCAATCGTCGATTTTACCGAAGCGAAGAGGGTCGATTTGGATGGTGTCCCGACCAGTCCACAGCGGGCGATAAGGTCTGTATTCTGAACGGAGCACCCGTCCCCTTTGTCATAAGACCGACAGAATCAGGCTCGTTCGAGCTAATTGGAGATGCCTATCTTCATGGCATTATGGATGGAGAGGCGATGGATCTTGAGGAAGTGGGAATCCGCCTGGTATAGCACCCGCTTTTCATGTCCACTCCACCTCCTGCTGCCTATGATTTTACATCCCGTTGCTTAAATTGCGCTTTTAGTCTCGCTCTTGTAGTCTAGGCGAGAAGCATCTTACGTTGTTCACTTTTCGTTTCTTGCATCGCCATGATTTTTATACCCTGCAGCGTAATTGTTCACTTGTCTTTCTAATCCTGTGTTCCATCCCGCCCCCGAAACAAGTTTCCTCTGTGAGTTCTTAAACTTCAGAAACCTTGTTTCAGAATAGAGATTGAGTGTTCCACTCTTGTCAAGTATTGTAGTTTCACGAGTATTCTTAACTATATTCCACCTCCAACCTCAAGAAGGTGGCCATAAGAGTGTAACTCATGTTTTTAGACCACATGCATTTATCCTGCCTCAAGCAGGGGGTTTTGTCCAAGGCGTGTGGTCACCACTAGATACTTCACCTTGTTCCAGGTTGCTTTGATGTTTCTTTGTCACCGCTTTATAGTGTCGTATTTTGAGGTGAAGTGTTGAAGCCTTCCCGGCCCGCCTTAGGTGAGACCACTGAGCAACCCGGTGCCTAAGGGCGGTCAATGGTGATGGTGCTGCCCTATCGCTAGAAGACCCGTGGACCCCTGAAGAATTACCCGCCAATTCGCTGAGGCTTGTGCGGCGTGACTCTTTGGCCCCCGTGCAAACCCTGTCGTTTCCGGTCAGCCTCATTCAGACATGGTGAATAAATATGCGGCTGTGGAACCTTAATTTTTCTAACAATCATTGACCATCGACTACTGTACTCTTATCTACTATACAATACTTCCCTCAGCCTACAGAGTTATCCTGTACATTATCAACTGCCGCAAAGGAAGCTCCAGGCCACGTTACCCGCCCCTTTTTGAAGGTAGAAGACCGGCTTTGAGCGTTTTTACTTTCACCATGTCCAAAAACAATGCAATGGGTTTATTGGCGAACCAGTTTGGGTTGAAGATCGTTGATGATTCGAATTCATCGACATCGGCGGAAACCAGCACCGCAGGCGATGACACTCCTAAAACGAACTCAGAACCCAGCATATCCGACGAGAAACCCAGCCAGACAATTGGCACCCAGGAGAAGGATGTGGGAATTCCCAAAGATGCACCAGTCGGATCCATTGCTCGTATAAAATCTCTCTACCAGGGGCCAGAAGACAGCCAAGGTCGAGCTCAGTGGCTTGACAAGTATCCCGAAGATGTGGAAGAAGCTGCTGAAAACGAGGAGACTGATAAGTATGCCTTAATTGCAAGGAAAGAGAAATGTTTTGATGGGCGTAAGAAGTTCGAGATAAGTTCTATCGTCGTACATAGTCCTGACCTTAAGAGGGTCCTCGGGGTTGTTTTCAAGGATTATCCAGGGATCACTTGTCAGGTAAGATCTTCCCCCAAGCTTTTTCTTCCCGTACCCAAGCACTGCTACAGCTCGCTCTACGCTTGTAGCATTATGATCATCAGAAAGATGTGCTGACATACTGCGTCTTAGCTTGATCGTCTAGAATTTCATGCACCATATGAGCCATTCGTCCACCGCTGGCTTGACTTCACAAAAGCAGTCAAGTCAGAAAGAGATCCACTCACAAAGCAGCACCTGGATCTTCTTCAATCACTTCTCAGGGAAGAGCTCAAAGATGTCATCAAAGCCGTAGAGGACTACGTGGTCCATGGTGTTACGACTTGGAAGCATCTCTGGGCCATTTTCCAACCTGGAGCCATCGTCTATTCAGCGCAACGTGGTTTACCAAGGGCTCTCAAATTTTACAGTGGAACTTACACAAAAGACAATTGTGGCGAAAGCTACCAACTGCGGGTTGAACCTATTGACTGGGATGGGTCACGCTTTGGTGTCGGCGACGACTATATCTCCATTTATAAATACTTAGGAACACGGCCCATCAAAGACCTAAGCGCGTGCCCCCTTTCTTTCCATCCAGAGAAAGAAATTATTCGCACAACTCTGATAAAAAGGGGAAGAAAATTTGAGCAGTTAGCTGGATATCATTACAAAGCGTGAGTTGGGAACATGTTATAGCACTCCCAATGATTCAACTTGGCTGATAAAATGTAGTTACAAAGGAATTGCTCTCACATGGAATTCAAGGAACGAACTAATACCGATTACGGTTTGTCCCCCACGAAAGTTCTCGAATTTGACTAACAGTATTCAAGGCCAACGGCAGGATTATTATCGATGCTCAGTCGCTCAGGAAGTTCAACCCTCAATTCGCGTCAGGCGTTAATGAACTCGACAAGGACCACTTCGTGCTGGAAGATTCAAGCAAAGATATGCCACAGCAGAAAATCGATTCCACTGTCTATGAAACCGAGACATCAAGACCTAAGGTGCGCTTAACAGACGAGGGTTGTCTAATTTGTAAAACCACGGTGCCTGGGTACTCTCTGTCGCTCAAAAAATGGCGTAAGTGAAATTGATCCACCCTTTTCCATGAATCGTTGCTAACTTGAATAGTATATTTTGCCGTTGACAACGTCTGCGAGATTGAATGGAATGACAATGCTTTCGAGAAGCTGGTCCTTCCTGATGATACAAAGGACTTACTTCTTGGCTTCGTAGAGAGTCAATTGGAATCAGTAAACACCTTTGACGATGTCATCTCCGGCAAAGGCAAAGGCATAATCATGCTTCTATCAGGTCCACCAGGAGTAGGCAAGACCTTGACCGCCGAATCCGTCGCCGAAACCATGCACATCCCTCTATACATGATGTCCGCAGGCGATCTCGGAATCCGACCAAACGAAGTCGAGACGTCCTTACGCGACATCCTCGAAATGGTGTCGAAATGGAACGCCATCCTCCTCCTCGACGAATGTGACGTCTTCCTCGAAGCACGCACCTCCAACGACCTCGAACGCAACAAACTCGTTTCCATATTCCTCCGTACTCTCGAATACTACGAGGGCATCCTCTTCCTAACCACCAACCGCATCTCCAACATGGACGCGGCATTCCAGTCGCGGATCCACGTCTCCATGGCGTACCCGGATCTTACGACCGCTAGTCGTCGCCAGATCTGGCAGAACTTTTTGACGTTGTCGAAACAGAAAAGTGAGATTGAGGAGAAGGATTTGGATATGCTGGCGCAGGTTAATTTGAATGGTAGGCAGATTAAAAATGTTCTTAAGACTAGCTTTTTGTTGGCGAGTCGGAAGAAGAGTCCGTTGAAAAGGGAACATGTGGAGGTTGTGCTGGCTATTGAGGGGAGGAGACCGGATGGGGGGTTTGATGTTGTGGGATGAGTAGTGGATGAATGGGAGAGTAATGACAGAACATGCTTAATGAAGTCGCTGCGGCTGTAGGAAGGCATATTCAAAGATACTCGAAGGTGGTTGTACCTAGAAGTTGTACGTACCTGTATGTTAAGCGAACACAAAGTCGTTTGAGAAATCTAGGAAACATACAAGAACATCCCACGAAGACAATCTTCGTGCGGATTAAGCCTATTTTATAAACCGAACTCAATACTTGCCTCTCTCCCACCGGTAAACCATTACAGAAGGCCCATCGACCACGGTCGCTTCCGAGGTCGATGCAATTATCACCTAGAATCCCAGGCATGCCGCCCCCACAACACCTCATCCGAAACAAATGATCTTCGCGCAATGCCGAAGGGCCTAGGTAATTGGAGATAGGGCTGAGGTTGGCCGTGACGCTCCCACTCGGGAGTGATGGTGGTGAGGCGAGCGATCTAAGTGCCGAATCCTGGGATGGCGAGGATTCTGATGGCGACAATTCGATATCTTGATTTCGAAGCACGTTGGTCTGAAATGTTTCTGTTTATAGAAGTATTGAACCGAGGGGCACTGGGTGGTTGTGGGAGCCTGGTGCTGAGAAATCGCGGTTGATATTGATATTAAATTGTTGGTGTGACTGCGATGATGGGTGGATATATACCTGCCAAAGACGAAACGAGGAAATGTGAAATACATTCAGTCACTGCTCAAAAGGTTTCACGAGAGAGAAGAAGAAGCCATGGCTCATTACCGAGCACCTGAACATGAAGGCCTTCAGGTTGTTGAGGGGTTTGGGTTGGAATTAGCGACACTTCCTCCTCCCGCCGCGACGCCGAAGTACTTACGGGTTCTGTTCGCTGATGAAGGTTGTGGAAAACGAGGAGATGAGCGAAAAAGCGTTCGAGGGATGCTTGATGTTCTTGCGGCGTACCATGCGGATGTGTTAGGGGGGAAGCGGATGAGACGACAGAAAATCTTGCTTTGGAGTTTTGTCGTTGTGATTTGGATGATTGTTGTTTTTGGGGGTGTCTATGGGGGGCTGGTTGTTAAGAGAGGTTCGAGATCTGGAACTAGGTCAGAAGACTCTCCTTGAAAAATGAGATAGGCTAATTATTCTTCAGCTCACTTTCCAGTCAAGGGCTGAGCAATGGGACTCAAAACTTGGTACACTCGAAAGTTTCGCCATCTGTACGGTCTAGTCCACATCCACTGTCGAGCGGCGACTCAAGTACACGGAGCAGCACATCAAGCTTCATCGGGGGAAGCGTCATCAGTACAGGCGAAACTCCCACCGTCACAATCGTTGTGACGGCGTCTGTTATTTTGACCGCGGCTCCCAGTACGGAGTCAACGAAAGCAAGCGAAACGGAATTGAGTTCAATACTTGAGACGTCCTCTTCGGGGTCGGTAATGGATATCGTGGCGAGATCAGCCTGCGAAAGTGCAACGGTATCGTTGAAGCCGATGTGATGGATTAATACCGCAACTCTTGCGATTACGTGAGTTAGAATATACTCTCCCGTTGTCTGCAGATACTTAATTTGTGTGGAAATCGTGGAAGTGTTCATAATGCATACTTGATCAGGAGCAATGAACAAGCGAGTTCATACGGAACAGGCTATTCTCCCGTCGTCCGTCAGAACCTCACCTAGAGAAATTTGCTTCAAGGTCTAGAAGACTGGTAAATGATCTATCCCCGGGAAATTTGTTCATAGTAGGCGGTAGCCGTAGAGCAAGAAAGTATCTGCTACCTCCTCTTTTCGACCTTTTCGGGATAAGGAAGTAAGCGAGGACGTCTCTTGGACTGCGATGCAGAAAACATAGCCAGCCATGCAGTCGTCTTGCTTCCAAAGTCATATCAAATAAAGCTTAATTCATGGAATGGTTATCAAGTCGTAAGCTCGACGGGTACTCGTTACGTCCACTTTCGGCTGGTTATCAAGACGGGCTGACTAGATCGATGACTGGTACGCCCTCCGATAATAGCCATACATGTCTAAGTACCTCTGTAACATTTTTAGCGCCCTCTCCGAAGATTTATACCGAAATACAACCAAAACCTACCCTACTAACTACTCATATCCTATAAGTCTCAAGTGAGAAATAGATAAGATTGATAGAATCTCTGCAGCCAATTCATTGATCACATTGTCACGACCTCTCTCCCAATTTTTGAGATCCCGATTGGTGAATATCAAAATACTTGCACGGTATAGTGATAAATTCTATGCTGATGTATGGATACTTGCGACTGCTTGATACTTATTTGGAAAGGAGGCAGGGGAAATATATATAGAAGCCGAGAACGGCGTGCCCCGCCCCACCACCACACTAAGCCGAGAACCTTGATGACCACCTAGTAAGCTGCATCCCACTTTTTCAACAACATCAAAACAACCTTCTTACCTCGCAAAAATGGCTACGAATTATACAATCCAGTCGATATGCCTAAAATCCTGCTTTTCGGCGCAGGCGGCGTGGGAAGCATTTACACCTACGTTCTCACGCAAGGCGGCGCCTCGGTGACAGCAGTCTGCCGTTCGAATTATGAAACAGTCAAGAAGGATGGGTTCACAATAAACTCTGCGATATGGGGGGAGGGGATACAAGTCAAACCGGAGGTCGTTCGCACGCCAGAGGAAGCTCGGGGGACGGAATGGGACTATGTGATTTCTTGTAGCAAGGCAATGCCGGGTTCGAGTCCGTCAACACCAGACATCATAAAACCTGCGATCAGCCCTCGAACAGCAATCGTACTTTGCCAGAACGGCATCCACATCGAAGACGAATTCGCCAAAGCCTTCCCCAACAATGCTATCATCTCCGGCGCTGTTTACCTACCTGTTACTCAAACCTCCCCGGGGTTCGTCACCCACGGCTACATCGAGCGACTCGAAATCGGAACCTACCCCGCCGACGCGGTCAAAGCACATAAAGACTCCGTCCAGACCTTCGCAGATATATTCACTGCTGGGAAAGGAACCGCGCATGTCTTCGACGACGTCCAACCCCGTCGCTGGAACAAACTCATTACGAACGCGTCGTGGAATCCTCTTTGCGCCCTGTCACGTAGCAAAGACATTCACCTCTTAAACTCTACGCCCAGCTCGAAGAAGATGATCTACGGGATTATGCTCGAGGTTGTGAAGATTGCGCAGGCGTGTGGGTATACGGATATCATTGCGAAACATGCGGATGCGCAGATGGAGCGCGTGGTGGTGCAGATTCCAGACAGAGGCATATATCCTAGCATGGTTGGAGATGCGCTGAATCTGAGGCCGATGGAGGTTGAGGCTATTGTGGGGAACACGGTGAGGATTGCGATGGAGAAGGGGGTGGAGGTGCCGTTGTTGGAGTTGACCTATACACTCATTAAGGCGCTGGATGAGAGTAATAGGAAGAGACGTGATGAGAAGGCTTAGCTGTTCGTTGTGGTGACTCTAGATAATAGAGCACCATCTGTCAGTTTCTTTCTAGACCGGATACTATATGGATTCTGGCTCACTAATCACCAAACTAATGTTATAGACAGAGATGAATGAATAGAATGATACCATAATTTTACATGCCCTTAAACCTCTCCTGTATGAGCTTAGCGAGTGGAGCTCTTCCAATGTGTTACCAAACTGCTATAACTTTCTAATAATATTTATTGTCTTACTGCACATGGGAGAGTTGAAAATACTAGCAGCCTAATGCTTTTCGGAGATAAGGTACTAGAGTACCTTAGCTTGGTAATTGATCTCCGTCACGTGATCTAGCCTCCCTGTTGCTTTTTGTGAGGGAACGACAGGACTCAAGACGTTTGCAATTGTTGCCTCAAAATACATCAACCAAATGACTTCCGTACTACGATCCAAGCAAGGTTGCTGGACCTGTAGACTGCGCAAGAAGAAATGTGATGAGCGTCGCGATATATGCACCACCTGCGAGTCTCTCACAATTACATGTTATGGCTATGGCGCCAAGCCAGACTGGATGGATGGTGGGGAGAAAGAGCGTGCAATGGGGAATAGTATCAAACAAATCGTGAAACATACATCTCGGCGGAAAGCGACTGGTCGACTTGGACTTTTGGCTGCCAAATTCCAGAAAAATAGCACTTCTGGATCTGGTGATGCTCAGCAACCACTTGAGCCTGCTTCAGGGCCACGGATTTTACCTAAGGAAACGATAAAGGACACGAAATCTCATTCCCCACCCGCTTCACAATCGAATTCCAGTGGCACTACCTTTACTCCTGAGACTCAGCCATCACCTGAGAGCGATTGTGGCAATGCCCCTTCCCAGAACTCTCCAGTAAGTGATCGAGCTCCGGTACTGAAAATCAAAGCTAAGGTTCGAGCAGGATACCAACCATAGTGGCAGTGAAGAGCTCACTGTTCCTTTTTTTGTAGTATCAGGCGATGAATCAGTCTTACTGATGCATTACCTTGATATTGTTTTTTATCTCCAATACCCGATGTACAAGTCGTCAGTGGAAGATGGAGGACGAGGATGGGTACTTTCCTCTCTCCTTAGAACCAAGCCTCTATATCATGCAGCGCTTGCTTTAAGCGCATATCATCGGGGTGCTTTACTCCTTGCAACTCAGCAAGGAGTCCACCACGATCCAGAAAACTACGCGGAGCAGGAAAAGCATCTTGCAAAATTCTTCGAGGAATTCCAGAGAGCGATAAACCGTGTTAGTAGATTCGTCGAAAGGGAACCAGGCGACTGCATGGCCATCATTTCTTGCATAGTGCAGCTAGTGTTCTTTGAGGTCAGTCTCCGTTACTACAGGCCCAAAAAGCATTGAACCTAATATTGTCATAGCTATTCGCAAATCGAGGCAACACTTGGCAGCTGCACCTCAAAATGGCATGTAAGAAAATAGCTGATGCACATAGTTCTGCGACAGTTCAGGAAGTCTTGAGCATGGCTTCTGCACAAGAAAGCGTCCCGCCACGTACTCATCACAATCCAAAAGCTCATGATATCAAGACATACAAGTTCTTTTCTGGCGTTATTGTATGGCTTGACACGATATCATCGGTCACAAGCGGCACCACACCGAATACTTTGCCACTCGACTCGGTGCAAGAACAGGGGCAACCTCAACTCAACCTCGAGAATATTATGGGCTGTGAAAGTTGGGCTTTGCTTGAAATCGGCCGCATTTCGAGAATATACGAACTGCAAACCCTGTCATGCCAACACGACTACACAGGTTGTACTGGCGATGGGATACAAACTTTGATCGATCGTATCAGAGGAGAGTTGGTTCAAGGACTGGCTGAAGGGCATATGTCGACTCTTAACCTGTCCAATGATCGATGTATGCGCAGTAGATGTACAACAAGCGAAAAGATCACTCGACTGTTTGCTCTTACCGGGCTGGTATACCTGCATCTTGTCATTCTAGGTTTACACCAAGGCGCTTCTTGCGTTGACTCTACCGTTCGGGACGCAATGACATTGCTACGACAAGCCGAGTCAGCGAACTTCCTCACTGCTGTTGTTTTCCCACTTTACATCCTCGCATGTGTTGCCAACGAAGAAGATAAGCCGTTCTTCAGACGGGTTTTCTCTTCCGCGCCTCTGCTAGATCCGACGCTGGATCATCGATCCAAGATGTTGCCACAATTGGAAGCGGTCTGGACCATGAGGAATAATGCCGATGCAGTGGGAGTAACCTGGACGGAAGTTCTGCAAGTCTCCAATGGAACTTTATTGATATAGTGATGGCCGTCGGTAATTGCAACTAAAGAGTTGTGATGAAAAGGAAGCACGCCGCAGCGCAACTTTTTTTCGAAGTAGAGATGCACCGGTGAAAGACTTATCCTCGTGGCAACAAAGTCAAAACTCGCCCAAATGGGAAAATATCAGGGACATTTCCAATGCACCAGATTCCGGATCAATCAAAAGCCAGGCTTTTAGTTACTTCGTGTGAAATCTGTGGAGACCTTTTGCCACTGAGCAGTGGCGGAGATATGTTGCAAATTTGAATGCAATAAGGCGAGCGGTAAGTGCGATTTCAACAGCTCGAAGATTCTTACCGCAGTGCTAAATTCCAGTCAGGAATTGAGCCAACGAATATATAGGACGACGAACATAGCACTTACTAGAGAAATCACTCTAAATGATCAGCACAATGATTTTCAAAATTCTATGCGCCCAAGCTTCGGTAGTGATCCCGTTGATGATGGGAACTATTCTATCTGCTGATCGCTTGTTTCGAGGCAAGTGAAGATAAATTTCTCTCTCATCCAGTATGGTCATCAGTCTCCATGGCTTTCAAGCAGAGGACCGTTTTGAGTGGAAGAAACTTTTACACGATTGAATGAGGTACAATCTTCTTCTCGATGTCATATTTTACCCGACCTATTTTCTTTCTAGGACAGGCTGCGGAAGTGCCCAACTTGCATGAATCGTATATGCGTGTAACTGTTGACTTACCCTTCAGCGTTGGCTTTATCGCGTCGAACAAGTTTCTTTTCGCGGTCCGTTCCATGTATTGAAACATGGGGAATTTGGTTTTAACCACATCGAGAAAACGAGAAAGTCCACGTAACCCATACTAAAGTTTTCGGACTAGACTTTTTGATCTTAACGCCGTTACTAGGGGACTTGCCTTCTCGGCAGTAATTTATTTCGCGGTCATTTTCCGTTTTATTTCTTTGCTTGGTACAAGATTTGCGTCCAAGGTACTCGATGAATAAGCACGTCGCAGACTTCATCCGCTGCTCGATGGGGCTTTTGAAATATGCACGTCACAGATCCCACCAATCGTATTCTATACTTTTATACAGTGGGTCTCTTGATGCTGACAGAAAGCTACTCTCGCTTACGTGCTTTCTGACAACGCTCATCAATCCCTTGGTCTGGAGCTTTCTCCTTACGGCTCCTGCCTTTATGCCACGAGTTGTGACATTTTTTTGCAGATGCTGTTGCCGAGAACTGCAGATGGCATTGGTCGCTCGTATTCCGGGGAAATGGCATGCAGCTTCAAGCTGTCGATCCCTGACCGCTCATCTACACTCTGCTGAATAATAAGGACTTTTTGGTTGTCATCATTTGATAATTTGTTTTGAAGAACTCGAAAAGTCGGCTTAATTTCTGTAATTCTTCATTGTATCTTGTATCATTTTACCTACTAAACGATTAACGCTTACTGATTGAAAGGTAATACCACTGCGTACTTCATCCTCTTCAGAGCTGCACAAGATTGACACTCGGGATACTTTCGGCGAGATTGTTTGCCATCTCCTGGATACTTTGCGTGCAACTCCTCCCGTGTGGGGTCACACCAGTACTAAGACCTTATGTAATGACTGAGCATAGAATCGAATCTCCATTAGCTTCGGTTCTTGCTCAGACCCTAGTTACTAGCGTGCCATCGAGTACATGTGATATCAAGATGGATCTTCCAAATGTGAACAAAGATATGACATTGGATAATACCTGTTGAATTTTCATGTACATGGGCATTTACAAATGCGACTGTAAGGGTGGCCTGCTTTTCAAAGTGGATGGACCTCACATATCCTAATTTTATAGTTTTGGGCGGTCGACGTTGAGCTATAAAGACTCCTTCATGATCCTCCAATGTTTTCTTTTCCCATCATCCTCATCGCATCTTTCTGATATCACTTCCGACTCTTGATCTCTTCTTAGCCACTTCCTCGATCATTTCCAAACCATCAACATGAGATCTCAAATCATCTCTGCTACAGCTTTGGTTGCTGCGGCAGTTGTGCAAGGCAAGACCTGTACAAAATTTAGTAACGTAAACTTTGCTAACAAATGTTCATAGGATATGAGTTTGTTCGCCTCAACAAGACCGATGCTGTAAGTAACGGCTCATGCCAAACCAATCCGAAATTTCCTAATATTCTTAGGCTCTCCTCGTTGTGGACCACCAGATCGGTCTCTCAGCACTAGTCAGAGATTATGAACCAGCTGCTTACAGACAAAACATCATCGCTCACGCCGCTCTTGGGAATCTGTTCAACTTGCCAACTATCTTGACTACTTCTGCTGAGTCTGGTATGTCAATACTCATAATTCTTATTAAACGGAATGTGCTAACAGACATCGTAAGGGCCAAACGGTAGACTGCCAAAAGAGATTACAGATGTGAGTCAAATAATCATCAAGAGATTGTGTGCATACTGACTGCTAACCAGCTCCACCCAACCGCTCCATTCATCAAACGCAACGGCGAAGTCAACGCCTGGGATAACCCCGAATTCAAAGCCGCCGTCAAAGCCACCGGAAAGAAACAAATTATCCTCGCCGGCATCGTCACCGAAGTTTGTAAGTCTCCAAGCCCCTCCCCTCCCCCTCCTACCCAAATACCCCTCCCTCCACCCCCATCCTCATCACCCATCTAACACCCCACAGGCACAGCCTTCCTCGCCCTCTCCCTCCGCGCCGAAGGCTACGAAGTCTTCGCCAACACCGACGCCTCGGGCACCTTCAACGACAAGCTCGCGGCCGACGCGAACCGGCGCATGGAAGCCGCCGGCGTGCATCTCATGGGCATGTTTGGCATCGCGATGGATCTGATGCGCGATTGGAGGAATACGCCGGGGAGTGCGGAGGTTTTGCCTTTTATGGATAAATATCTGGTTCCCTACTCGTTGGTTGCGAGGGCGCATGGCGATGCGATTGATAATGGGACTATTATTCCGGGGGAGGCGCAGATTTTGACGGTTTAGGTGGGGAGGGTTAGGGGGGGTGAGGGTAAGGGTGAGGGGTGAGGGGTGAGGAGAGGAGGTTGGATGAGGTGGTGGGGAGATAGAGATAGGTGGAAGTGGGTTGGAGGCAGTGGAATTTGAGATGTTAGGGTCTTCTTTAGAGGTGTCAATCAACTATGATCTTTCACTTGAATTGAGATAACCATTCTTCATGTGCTCTAGTTTGAGAGATTGTTTCTCTATGGGTTTCGGGTACTGCAAAAATGGGAAAAGAAATATCTTATCGTCTACAAGAATTCCTCTTCCTCCATGTATCATATGGTTTTGCTGAAAAACTAAAAACAGCAGTAGCTTATTTTCCTACACTTATGACTTGACATACCTCCCAGCCATATCAGTATGAATCCAACACTCACTCTAATATATGTGTGAGAATTGCAAAAGTGTGCGCCATATGTTTCTCACTCGATGGTCCTTCACACTTCAAGGAACGTCAGAACTAGAAATGGACGATTTTAATTACCACAGCATTCTGAAGTTCATGGCACCGTCTGCAATATTAATCTCCGATGAGCGTCGATGAGAGGGGAATTCGGAAGGGCATTGAGGTAGGGTATTAGATACAGTAGTTTTAAATAATTGAGCGAACCTTATCTTTGTTGGATGAGGAAGGTGATTAAATTTAGTAGTAAATTTTTAGGTGTGCTATTGTTGACCTAAAATCACGTGTAATCTTCTTTCGGCTTAGTTCCATCTAATCCCGTATAGGTATATACCTTGGACGAGAGCTCTGCCCACTTAGTCTCCTTTAGACATCTCAATATATTACTTTCTCCCTCTATTGCTCACTCTCCCACTTCCCTTCCTACGAAGGTTCATAGCTGTCGAATAACCTAGGTAAATAGGTTCGTATACGATCGAAAGAAACAAAAATTAATGGAGAGAAGTCTAGGAAACTCAAAGATGAGATCATGGGAGTCATTGTAATGTTCGAACGTTATGTTGGAAAAGAAAATGGTGTACCAAGCCTCGAAGGCCTTTCGAACTTTATCTCACTTGTACGGTGGCAAAAGGTCGCAATTTAGATCAAAGTAACATTATATTGGTTCAGCCATGAATGTATTGTGACGTTGTAAATTCTAAATAGGATTGTGTGTTGTTGCTATCTGGTCCCGTGTTCCTATTTCAATAACCATCTGACAGCTGATAGCTATGGACCACCGATTCCATTCTCGTATCCAAAGCACAACGGAGTAAAATTCATCCGCGCAACTCCACACATCTCGCTCCTTAACAATACTTTGGGTAGAGAGACGCAATCTCCTGTAACTGCTTCACATAGCAGAAATCCGGCTTCAGTTCGTGAAAGACAGTATGAGCTGACGTGAGCGAAGACTTGTGGTCCATAATCGTTATTTTGGCCGGTAATTCTCTGTCGTGCTTTTCCCTCCAAATCTTCCTAAGACAAAGTATCCATCTACTGATATGATTCCGCTCTGATTGTGGGAGGTGATCGTCTCCTTCAAGCCGCCAAATATCCTTGATGATCGTGATTTGATCTAGATTTGGGAAGCAATCACGTGGAAGTTCAACGCCATTATCTGGACCAACTGCCTGATCATAGGGACGAACATGGTCCCTAAATGCCAGGTGTTTGAGGGTGGACATGACAGGATAGTCTTTTACTAATTCTTTGAAACAGGTAATGTCGAGACGGCCTGCAAGACACAGTATGTCAGCCGCGGGATTGACAGCATAAGATGATTTGGTGGGGTGCGTCCAAACAGCTTGAGTTACCGTTTCGTAGATCTTTTTGGCCCGGTCTCGAGATTCGTAGTTGACATGAAACATTGGTGGTATTATGTCCGGATCCGACAACACCACCGGATATGCTCGGTATATCGTCCATAAACGTAAGACACGAGGTTGGCAAAGAGCGAGCTCCAAGATCATCAATCTCAGCTCCAGTGGAAGCTTCGGGAACAAACTGAATTCGGACAGAGTGGCTGGTGTCGATGATGGTTGACATAATGCCTTGTTGTCCACGGATGGGAGCTTATTGGGTTTGGTTTTCTGTCGCTTGTTGTTCGGTTTCTGGATTTTGTGGCTTCGTAGACGCTTAGCATGAGATCGCGGAGCAGGAGCCATTGCGATAGTGACACCAGGAGTTGAATTCGGTATATTCTTTGTATCCTTGAAATGTGGTTGTAGTTGAATGAATACTGCATCGCAGATCGCAGATCGCAGAAAGTTTTCGTACTTGTATTTGCTTAACGCATATTCAGGGCTGAAGGTAGTGGTTATGGTGAAACTCTTGTTAACTTGGCTTGAAGTAAACATTCAAGCTGGTCAATTCACCGGGGTGTTTTTGTAATTCGGTCTACACATGATCTCTGGAGGAGTTATTTGCGGGGTATGTCTTGTCATAGTACTAGTTGAATCAGAACCTAACACTAAGAAGATGAGTTGTCGTGCGTTAGTTACACTCAGAAGGTTCGGGGACAAGCATTTGTATTCACTACCTCGTCCGACGTACAAGACGCCGGATTAGCTTTCAATTAAATAGCTAAAGACAATATACTATCTACTATATCATCAATATTGAATTGAACACTCGTGCTTGTATCTGAAATTTAATGTTCAATGCTCAATTGGTTACAGAACTCCATAAATATTTCGCAATTTAAGAATCATTCTCATAGAAATGGGTCATTGTGCAAGGTTGCTCGGACAAGCTCGAACTCCACTCAAACTCGTGAAATACCGTATGCCCTGCTTCAAGTGAAATTACATCCGTCATCGTTACTTTGGCTGTAAGTTTTCTGCCGTATTTTTGCTTCCAACTCCATTTGAGTTTCTCAACCCACCACTTCCTCCGCCCGCGTCCGCTATCGCCATAAAACCCTCCAGTGATAGTCTGAACGGTAATTTGCTCCACGTTTGGAAAGAAATCACATATAAGCTTGATTCCCCAGCCACCTTTGGGGGTTCGGACCGCGACATGTTTTGTTTTTCCCCAGGCTGGGTACTTTTCCAGTATTGGCCTCAATGCTTGGGAAAAGCCACGATGCGCGAGAGACAGGATATCGATAGCGGGATTGATGTGAATAAAAGCTGTGGGTGTGTCTGTGGAAGTGACCGACGATACTTTCTCAAAAATCCTATTGGCAAAATCCCGAGTTTCGTGATTGACATGGAATATTAATGGGACCCCAACCGGATGCCTTTCTCGTAAGTAGCCCGCAAGAGAATTATCGTACACGGGTATATATGGGGCCTTTATTTGAATAGTCCGAGGTCTCCAGAAAGCAAACTCCCAAATCAACAATTTGAGTTCCGGCGGCAGCTTCGAAAATAATGTAAATTCGACCAAGGCAGCCGATTTCAATGGGTTTTGGCATGGTGGCTCGTCACCAACACACTTTTGCGTCTTGCTCTTAGCCAAAGCTACTGATTTGTTCCGCTTCATACTTCTGAGAATTCCGGAGGCTCAAGATCGCTTCGTGTAACTCTGGAGTATTGGAAAAGATGAGTAAAGTACACTTCGAGAATAGACGTGATAAGTAGGATGAAGAAGTAACTGTCGCTGAGGTGTAAATGACCCGAGGGGATGACTTGTGTAAAGCTTTTTGTCCTTACAAGTTCTTGAAGGATATATAAATGTTAAGGATCAATGGTGTGGAAACCGTCAGTACTCGAGAGATTTATCACAGGTCGTGTGAAGATAGATACCCATGGCAGAAAGGTCAGAATTGTCATGTTTATACTTGATTAGAAACTCGACAATTGTTGTTGCAGTGCTTTGTTGATCAGAGAACAGGTGAAGATTGTTCATTGTTCTGTGCTTATAAATCCCGCTCCCGAATCAAAACTTAGACGTGCTTTCACCTTGTTCTCACAATTCCATCTTTGTTCTCAATTCACTTGTCCGGTTTTGGCACCAATCAAAAGGGAACCTATCATTTGGTGGAATTAGTGTAAGCTGTCTGTAGAAAAACCTGGTAAGATTTCAGAGAGGTCAAAGCAAGAGGGTAAAAACGCTTTTAGGACTGTCTACGGAAAGTAAGATAGCATCTCTGGCACAAGATCTATTCACAAGTATGTAGAATATATGAGATTTAGACAAGAACAATTACTGCAAGAAAGTAGTCTCATAGTTTATGTTCTCAGAATAAGAGAATCCGTCTAAAGCTACAAGGACTAGTCGTGTTTCGTCATGAATAGCCGTAAAATATCAAGAGAAGAGTTTTTATATTTACTACCTAATCCGACGTCACGAATCCTTCTGATTATCTAAGTAGACCGCTGCAGACTGTACCATCCATGATTATCTCGTGCTCATGTGTCTTTCATTGATTACTCATCCATAAAATCCAACCCCTCGCGTACGTTTTCAAATGCCAGGCTCAATTGTGAACCCCATTATGAGTCTTAGAGATTTCCACTAGTTGGTTTAGGATGCGAGTATTCCACTTTAATTCATGGAAAACTGCTCGCCCTAACGTAGGCAAGCCTCTGAAAGAGTCTATCATCGTGAGCTTAGGGAGCGGTTTGTTGCCATAAACCTCCCTCCATTTCTGTTTGAAATTTATTGCCCATAAACAAGAATATGATCGCATGACCGTCATGTTTCCGCCCTGACTTTCATATATAGCAAGACTGGTAGACAGGGTGATTTGTTCCAGGTCCGGGAACAAGTCACATATCACGTCATGGCCACTTTCATGATATCCCACAGGGTCAAACGCCAGGTGTTTAAATGTCCTCAAGATAGGATATTGTTCGAAGATTAGTACGTAAGGGTTCAAATTGCGATGATATTCAATGTGAAGAATGTCCACAGCGGGGTTGATATAGATGGTTGCTTGATCGACGGGACCTTCATCGGAGGGAGATATGATAACCTGCATCCAGTTGGTGTATATTTGGTTGGAAAGTTCCCGACTTTCGTGGTTGACGTGAAGAAGTGGTGGAATTTCCGACTGATAACTTCGTGCTCGAAACCCGCCAAAATAAGACGGGGAAGCGTTGCCAGGGGGGAAGACTGACAACGAAATACTCCGGGGTTTACTGCCAATAGCAAACTTCCAAACCATCAATCTTAGCTCTGCTGGTAGCATTGGAAACAAGGTAAACTGAGGCATGCGTTTTTGTCTCTTCCTCGTGGCTGGAGCCAATGATCTGAAATCTTCCTCGAAATTTTGTCTCTTCCGTTTCCTGATAATCTGAGATTCGAGGGCTCGAGATTGGTTCGTGTAGCTTCGAAGATGCATAGCATGAGATGAGGAGGATGGTCTGGTCCGAAGACGCATCTGATGAGTGGGGAGTCGAGGATGCATTGTGGCTGTGGTTGGAGTAACAGCAAGACGGGAACCCGGCGAAGTTCTGCGTCCGAAATGAAGTTGGAGTTGTGTAGATGCTAGCTCTGATATACGTGGAGATTAATATCACCAGAGTTGTCGAGGTTGGAAAGAAGAAAACAAGTAGAGGAGTCGGAATAGTTGTATTTATAACCCGTCAGGACTTCTAAAGTGTCGTGGGAGCTTCACTGCATTGCATACTGTTTTCGTGAAGCTGAACAGAGTTGAAAAGTGAGCCACAGTAAGAAGTAAGAAGTAGCCGCGAACGACCAATTCATCCATCTTGTCGTCGCATTTTTGTCTCTCACACAGCTACTGTTCTGGCTTCAGTGACCATGTTTTAAACTGTCGATGAGGGCTGAAGAAAATGAAGCGCACCACCAACGAGGTGCTGGCTTCCCGTAATTAATGTTTGCACATTGCCACAGTCGTCACTGATATTTCTGATAACGTCTAGTGATCTTTTGATGGTCGGCTGAAAGTGAATGTTCGTATCAGTGTGTGATCGTTTCCAGATATTTGCGTAATCTTGTTGTATCTGCAGAGTGGTCGAAGGAACATCCGAGTTTGTGTCTGAAAAGATGATTAGAATATTCCAATTGATTTATGTGAGTGTAAATACCATCTATAGAGCTAGATATATCTCCCCATTCATATGTAGTAAATATTACGTGCTCAATTCCACTGCCCACAAGCGATGCAGCTAGGCGTTCGAAAACTGCAGCACCATCTCTTTGGTCAGTAAGAAGGCTGAATACCAGGACTCGCATGACAGGTAAGTTAAGTCTAAATTCTTTCAGCACTATGCATAAAGTTCTTCAGGGGCTCTTACGTCTGAGCTTTCGAAATGTCGAGAAACCACTCCGCAGCTATGACCACACTCATCTCGTTGTGTGCACCATCTAAAAACCAGTGAAACTGATCTTGAACGATCATCTGAAATCTACCAGGCCAAGAGAAATTTTCTATGCCCTGGTTGATATCTGAAGAACTCAATTGGGTGTTAGAGTTTGTCGTTTTGCACAAAAATGCGCGCACAATTGCAAGGGCCAATGAACAGTTCGTTCGCTGGACGTCCGGTTCCAGCTGCATTGGATGATCAGTGAGAGATGGCTCTCTATCAACGAACTCAAGTTTGACGCCAATATCAGACGCTCGCTTGCTCAACATATTTGCACCTTCAGATTCCTGAGGCGAGCTAAATGCCATGGCTCCAGATTTGAAAATGCCTGCTTTATGCCAAGCAATACTTTGAAGCGAGGAACCTAGTTGCTTGACATGATCTAGTCCAAGAGTTGTGACGGCTGTTACAACAGGCTTCTCGAAGACATTTGTAGAGTCATATTCGCCGCCATGGTGTGTTTCAAAGATCGCAGCATCAACACCTTCTCTGATGAAAGTATGGATGCAGAAGAGCGCGAAAAGTTGGAGGAAACGAGGTCGAGTGCCTGAGCTCTGCTCGTCGTTCCGCGAAAGTACATCTTCTACCTCAAAAAAGTACTTTGCGAATAGGTCTTTCGGAAGAGGCTGGAAATTGATCCGAATCCTCTCTTCTGGATGAATGAGATGTGGTGAGGTATAGAGACCAATCTTCTGTGGAAACCCAGTTCTTTTTCCATGCGCCCTCAAAAATGAATCCACAAAAGCACATGTGCTTCCTTTACCTTTCGTTCCAGCAATGTGGATAATATTAAGTCTATTAATATCCTCGTCCTACAGGCGTCAGCCCAGCTAAGGCAGTAATATGTGCCAAATTGTAATCTTACAGAGTGGCCGAGTTCATCCAACCATTTTCTCATACCTAGAATACTGGGGGTTCCTTTTAACTCAGAACTTTCGTTTGACTTAGGAATTCGGGTCAAGCCTGACAAGCTCTTGTCTGATAAGACGCTTGGCCTCAGCAGGCGGCGTCTTTGGTGTAGAATTTCTACCGCTCGCTGATCGAAGTCAGATTTGCCACTGACGATGGCCTTTCGAACTTACTTTATAGCTTTTCTCCATGATGAGTAAGAATAGAGAACCTGTAGTGTCTAGGGTCTAAATGCTGTAGCGCGATTCAATAAATGTAGCAAAAACGATCGTAAAATTGAAATTGTTTAGCGCTCGTAGGACATGTTGTCTGTTTTACACGAGAGCTCGCCGTGACTGGCAGAATGCCATGATGCCGTCTGAAGATTTAGTTCGCATCATTGGTCATGGCTTTGATAATAGATATGATAGGGAAGGGAGAGATGTCGCAATCGGCGAGGAAGATTTGGGTGGGACGGACCGAGGATCGAAAATTGTGGGGCGTACGAGCAACAAAATGAGTAACCACGTGCATCAGAACAGTTAACTTTCAAAAGAATATGTGCTTATCTTCTTATATCAAATAGGCAGTTGAGATTGATTCTGTTTCGCCATAATTTGTTACACTTGTTCTAGTATATTGATTACTATATGGGAAATTGGTGGAAATCTATATTTTATCACTCTTGAGGCTTCCTCGACGATTGAACAGTGCCCAACCTCTTCAACATTCCAATCTTGCCTATATTTTTAAGACCAAAAATAACCAAACCAAGTGAAACAACCATCAATGCAAAACAAAACCATTCGGCAGATCTGAGCCCAGACAAATAAGCAGAGTTCTCAGCTTTACCCCGATCTTTTTCTCGATTCTGTACGCTGTACTGGATAGCAGCTGTTATAGGTAGAAACATAGTACGCCCAAGCGCCGCAGTTGTTTGAAACATCGCACCCGCAAGACTCTGGTCTTTTCGTGGTAGGGATTGCGTGGTAAATAGACCTAAGCAAGGGTACACCGTGTCGGCACCTACAGCACCTAGGCTCATAGATATAAGCCCGTAGGCGAAGTATGATGTAGTTGGCGGTATTGGGGCGGCAAATAACAAGTTTGAGATTGCCCCGGATGAAAGGCCGATGATTAGAATCCAGTTGCCGGGGACTCGTGATAGGAGGTATCCGGAGCTGGCCACGGCGATAACTATCTTGTCAGTATGATTTCTTCGTGTGATAGATCAACTCTTACTTCCAAATATTCCCAGCGGGAGGAACCGCAAAGTTGTCTGAATGGGTGATAAGAGTTGGTAATTCTGGTAACTGGCACACATTTAGCTTTTAATACAATGAAGTGGGGATGGAGTACTTACAAATAAGTGGAATACACAAGCCAATTCGTAAAGCCTGCCGAAAAAAGACAAACAATAATCATTGCAACTGAGAACCTTCCATTGGAAAATATAGAAACTCGCATCAAAGGATCCGATGTTCCCCGCCGCTCAAGATGAAGTTGCCAGGTTATGAATGCCACCAGAAATATTACGGAGAGGACGAGAAGAGCGATGATGAACGGTGTTTTCCAGCCTTGAGATACTCCCTCGGAAAGACCCGTTAGGAGCAGCAATGTTCCTGAAGTATAAAGAAAAGCTCCGATCCAATCGACACCCGCTGCGCGAGCTTCCGCATCGTCACGTCTCGATGATTCGCGTGGGATGACAAAAAAAGCGGTGATGCCGATGACAAATGATGCTCCTGCGAATACAAAGAAGACGACTTTCCAACTTGTAAATTGGGATATCACTCCACCCTAAAAGCGCCAGCGTTAGTATATAATTGACTAGATGAGGCATCACGTACGAGTAGATTACCCAAAATTTGCCCCATGGGGGCACCACCAGAGTAAAAAGCAAAACTATAGTTTTTGACACGTCCTGGAGGTATAGTGTGTCCAAGGATTCCCATTGCCGTTGGAATAGTAAGAGCAGCACCCTGTTGATATGTCAGTCAAGTTACCAGAGCCCAGATTCGTAAAGTCGTCACCAGTCCTTGCAAAGCACGCATAATGTACATGCAAACCTCAATAGGTGAGAATGCAGTCCCCAAAGCAGTTGCTGTAATCCAAAAGCACCCAAAAATGAACAAAAGTTTTCTCCCATACACATCAGCGAGCTTTCCACAGAGCAGAAGAAAAGATCCAGAGGTGAGTGCAAATGCGGAGATGATCCATTGTTGTCGCGTTTGTGGGATGCTGAGTTCTTTGGTTATCTGAGGTAGAAGAATGACCACGGCTTGAACTGAGAGCGTCTAAATAGTTTCAATGAATGACATTATATTTTGAAGGAGATACTTACGTTTAAAAATGTCGCTCCAGTGAGAACTAAAACCAAAGGTCCTACTTGACGGATTGTAACTTCCCTTGCTCCTTGGCTCTCAGCCACCGATACAGAAGTAGGAACCTGTGCTAATTCCCGAACCAGTCCTTTTTCTGGAACAGCGAGTCCCTCAGCTGGTGAAATATCAGTGGGACCATCACCTCTATTTATAACCGACATCATTCGTAACACAGAATCAAGTATCAAACAAACAGCCTCTGGCGACAATTCTTTGCACCGCAATTATTCCATTCTCGAACAAATGTCAAGTCGCCGACGAAAAAAAGTATTCCGTGATCGCCACATCTAGAACCCCCACTACTGGCGGAAATTAGGTACGGCACAACTGCCGACAATTATTGGCTTTCACCGCCATGACGACTGATGATTACAGTTCAATATTGTTTTGAATATCAAACGATCCAGATGTGTAAAATCACAGCTCTTGGATGCGAAACGGATCAGCGTAGATAAACGATAGAAAGCAACCAATTTACTGGAAATACGAGAACGACGATGGCGCTTGGAATCTAGAGCCGTGCAATCAATCAAAGACAGGAAAGCTTTTTATTTGGAACTCGTGCGAATTCAAGAAGCCATACTGGTGATTCTAATCATGCTAAGAAAGCGTCTTTGTGATCACATCAGAAACGATTTATTTATTTGGCACTCGAGAACATCTAGTCACATGACATGGATCGTTAGAAATTCTTCTATATTTTATAGTAAGATTATGGGATTTACTAAATTGGAAAAATAATTAACTTGATTCATTTTCTTATACAGATAAGCAAAAAATAAGTATTGAGGTGTAGAAATGTATACAAGCCTATTGTCACAAATGCAGAGGCGTCTCACAATCGTCTCCATTGGATCGTAACTTAATATATTTCTCGAGAGCAATCTGTCCCTGGAGCATTGAATCATGATGATCTACAGTATTAGGCTTGAGGGTTAATGTACATGCTATCTGGGCACAATCTGGAAACTTTGCTGGGCGTTGGATTGAAAAGTTTGTCCCACCTCCGCCAAGCAACGAGAACATAAAATAATGTTATGTCTTCCAACGTTTAGCTCCCCAGGGAACAAACATTTAACTCGCCAGCCAATTGTACGGTAATGATTGTTGATATCAGCCTTGTGCCCTAGAATTCAAAAATTCAGCTTGACTTTAACGGACAGCAGATGGTTGTTCAACTAAGCATAGTCTGTGCCAAATCGGTTTATTATCTCGAATTTTGTTGTTTGGACTGGTCAGGGGGCATAACCGCATTAATCATTTGGAATCATAACCCTGGTACTGTATGACTCGGAACCCATCGTGGAGTCAATGTGGCGTCCGGCACTCCAAAATACTTGATTCCAGCCAAAATACTCGGTTCCGCGACCACCCTGTCCATTTGACCTTTCCCAGCGAAACACTTGCCAATCGCAAAAACTAGACTTGTAAGTTGCAGACAATTCCAAGTAAGAAAAAATTCAAGTCTTCCACGTAGAACACTATGTTTTCACAACTTTTGCCGTTGGGAATGGTCTCTAGCTCGATACAGCCCATTCACGTACACATTTTACTAGCCCTCATTGTCATCGGGTCATTATTACTGCGACGATCTCATGATGATAAGATTCCGAAAGTCAATGCCAGGAGAACGTTTGAGTTTTCCAGGAGTAGAGTGAAACTTGATTTCCTAAAGAATGCCCGAAAGCTGATTGAAGCTGGCTTGCAGGCATGGAATGCTTTCCTTTGCCCCACTGCGATAGCGCATACGGCGCGAGTGCTTTTACTGACCTGAGGTAATTATACTAGATGTCTCCAGTGTTCAGGATTGAAACAGAAAGTGGACCTCATGTTTATCTCTCACACGAGTTTGCACATGAGATTCGTGACGATGAACGATTGAGTCTCTCTCGGTATCTGGTGCAGGTAAGAACACCAGGCATCTGATCCGCCCTACTGAAGCTTTTGAACTCACTATTGCGGTGCCTAGGAGCTGTTGGTCAAGATACCAGGGCTAGAACCCTTCCGCGAAGGGACGGTTAATGAAGGCGTAATGCAAGATGCAGTGAGAATAAAACTCACACAGACACTTGGTGAGAATAATCTATGTTTATTTAATATGTTTGAGATGAACTTCCGCTAACTGGTCTGGAGGTAAGCTTGCTGAGCCACTCGCTGAAGAAACCGATTTTGCTTTGCGAAGGATCTGGGGTGATGGTCCAGGTAAGTGTAGCAGTGAAACCTGCTAGCTATTCCCGGGCAAACACCAATATATTGACAATCCGACTCTTGACAGAATGGCGCGAGGTTAACTTGAAGAAATCGATGGTGGACCTAGTCGCAGAGCTTTCAACTCGCGTCTTTTTAGCAGAGATGTGCCGTGACGAGGAATGGCTGCAACTCAGCGCCAACTATGCTTCGAATGCATTCAAGGCCATTACCCAGTTGCGTACGTGGCCCATTCATCTAAGGCCCTTCGTCCACTGGTTCATGCCTGCTTTTCAACGTGCGCGTGCCGATGTGAAGCAGAGCCGTCAGATGATCCGTCCGGTATTGGCTGCGAGGAAAGCCCAGAAGGAGCAGGCAATCAAAGAAAAGAAGCCGCCGCGCAAGTATAATGATGCTTGTGAGTGGATGGAGGAAGTGGCAAAAGGACGGCCATACGATCCAAGCGTTATCCAACTCACTTTCTCTTTTTCTGCCATTCACACAACCGGGGATCTTATAACACAAGTACTTGTCGATTTGTGCACACATCCTGAGTACATCGAACCACTGCGGCAGGAAATTCGAACTGTCGTTGCCGAGCATGGTTGGACGAAAACGACGATTTACAACTTGGCGTTGATGGACAGTTTCATCAAGGAGAGCCAACGATTGAAGCCTCCTGCTATGGGTACGTTTTTCTCTTTGCTGTTAATGGTCAACCAGCCTATATGACCGAGTTTTTCGCTATTTCCGTGCTTCCCCTCTGCTCTTTGATGTTCTTGTTTAGATATTGATGTGTAGTTCAGTAACGATGAACCGAACCGCCACCGCCGATATACAGCTATCAGAAGGGACGAAACTTCCCAAGGGTTCCCGTATAGCCGTATCGGCTGTTAATATGTGGGATCCTAAGGTGTACCCAGAACCTCTAAACTTCGATGGTTACCGATTTTTGAAGATGCGTGAGATCCCTGGACAGGGAAATGCCGCGCAGTTTGTCACGATAAGCCCTAACCACTTGGCGTTTGGGCTGGGTAAACATGCTTGTCCAGGCCGTTTCTTTGTTGGCACAGAAGTCAAGGTCGCACTTTGTTTTCTTCTCCTCAGATATGATATGGAGTTGACTGATGAGAAGAACTCAAGACCAATCATGAATGGTCGAACTCTGGCTGCAAATGTATTTGCGAAAATACGGATTCGTAGAAGAGAGGAGGATGTGCCATTGATCCCGGTTGGATCTTTCTAAGGGCTTATAGCAGCGACTTTGAATGCAACCAAGATAGTTTCAATAAATTCGAACCAGAGACTGGACCCAGAAATCGTGATAAGGATAGCTTTGAGTCTGTTAGATGTGAATACTGCTGAACTTTCTTATTGATATATTGCTAGGGACTAGTTAACTCCTATGGTGTTCAACCTATCTGCGGAGGCAGTGAGGAAATCGGGTTTGGCTGATTGAGGGATGAAGCAGCCGGTTGTGTACATACGAACTTTCGTACGGTCTCAGCACAAGCACAATTTCTCTGACCAATCAGTGTTCCGGCCTCGGCACCCACTATCAAGATAACGGTCCGATCCGGCCCCGAGCTCAGCTCAGTGAAATATCCCGGCCCGGTCCGCAGACGGTCAGACAATTCTGCCACATGCACCTGGGTCTTCATTAGTTTTTCGGTTCGATGGACGGCACCTCAACAACACCACGACATGATTTTTTATTTGCTATATTCTTGTTAGGTTACACCCTCAAGTCGAACTGCTTAGATAAGGGACCACACCCGGATTATTCAGCCTAGGCTAGTACCAAGGTGTACCCTACCCAATACCGAAGACTCACCAATGCGGATGCAAGAGTTGTGGGAAGTCTATATTTGTGCCTAGGTGTGTATGCATCTCCAAGGTAAGACGGGTAAAAGATCTCTACAGATTCAAGCTCTGGGAGCTTTCCAAGCCATCGAAAGGTTGTGTTCGGCAATCAGCACAGGTCTCACGAAGCACAGTTTTCTTCACCAAAGACGCGCTCGAGAAAAAAGCATTGAACTATCTGTGCTGTTATTCGTTGCAAACGGGTTTCAATTCGAATCTGCCATTATACATGTCGCTGAAGAAAGTTATATCCCTCTGTTACAGTTCTCATCGTAGCCTTCTTCCTTCGATGCTCTCGGTACAAATCGAACAAATGCGGCACCTCTTCAACAATTCTAAGTTCTGCATCAATACCGTGGGCGATCATTGCTTCCCATGTCCGCTGCGCCTGCTGCCACGGGATCAGGTCGTCCTCGCGGGGATGAATCATAAAGGTAGGCGTAAAGTATGTGTCGTTCCGAACGTGCGCAACTGGACTCACGGCAGCAACATCTGCGGGAGATGGGAGTGAGGGCTCGCTATGGATACGGCTATCGAGTCCGTTCAAAAGGACATGCAGCGTGCGGCCTTGCGAATTCATATATAATGCGAGTCGACTGCGAGGATCGCTAGGTGCTAGCCACCCACCGACGGAAGGCTCAGTAGGTGGAACTTTGTAAGAAGTGATCGGGTGGTCGTATACGGCCTCCCAGATGGTTTCATCAAGTTCATAAGATGAGGCCAAATTTGGGTCTAGATTTGGGTCTTCGGCACCGATGGGTATGTTAGGTTTGGTCCAGAAGGCATCTTCGTAATCACTTGGACAATAGAAAACAAGGATAGCCTCCGGAGGTCGAATTTCTCTCGAAAGACTTGTCCACGCAAGAGACATGGCCAAATGTCCACCGGTGGACCATCCCACGCTCACAACTCTCTCGCCGTCCACGCGGACATCTGCTCGGGCCAGCGTGAGATGAGGAAGCACAGTCCGGATCCAAGTCAGCGCATCGACAACATCAGCCATGGGTCCTTCGAGGAGCGTTGTTTCCGGGCACAGCCGGTAGTCGACACTGATAGGCAGGAAACCTCTGTCCAAGAGCATCTGAGTCTGCTCTGGGCGAATATCGTCGCGTGAAAGCATTATATGGCCCCCACCGTGGACCATCAGTGCTATGACTTGTTAATTACTGGCCGTACACGACAGGAGTAGAACTTCTCGCACCTACAGGAAGTCTTCGAAAATCATCAACCGTATCAACGGGATAGTGGATGTCAGCGAGGAGATCTAGGCCATCGACACTCTTGAAGACCATAGTCTGCCGGGTATGACGACTCTCACCATCGACCACACTACTCACGCTACTCATTACCGGCTGGGAGGGAGATGCTGTGACTACTTTCAGGATATTGGATTCTGGAGATGCGGTTTGGGTCCAATCGACCCAGTTGAATCCCGCAGCCTGCAAGGAGGTCTTCCAAAGGTGCTCGTCTGCTAGCGCGTGCTGTCTTTCATCGCTGAACAACCACCAACCCTCTAAGAGTCCGAATACGAGATCAAACCAGAACAGGTTGCGCGTCAGCTCAACCAGACAGAGTACTCCGTTATGGCGCAGCATTTTGCGGATATTAGTGGTTGACTGCACCAAGTCCTTGGTTGCATGAATACAGTTGGTTGAAATGATAATATCGTACGCACTTAGAAATTGCGGTTCTGGGTCCTCTTCTACATCGAGCACTGTATATTTCATGAAAGGGTACTTTCCGAACTTGCGGCGGGCAGCAGCGACGAGTGAGGGCGAGAGATCGGTAAATGTGTATGAGAATTTGGGCTTAGTGTGTAGCCCAGCAAGATGCGTGACAAGAGGTAGAGTCGTTCCTCCAGTACCTGCTCCAAGCTCAAGTATTCTGATCTCCCGATCACCTGTTACATGCTCCAGCGCGGATGACAGATACTGAGTGAGAAGCAAGCTCCCGGTCTTGAACATAGGTGCGTTCGCGTATACGTCTTCAAGCAATGCGCGTGCCGCTGCATCTCCAAACAGTAACGCCAATGGATCGGCCCTACCGGAAATGCAGTCGGCGAGCCTGCTCGCTGTAGCATGTAGAAGCTGCGTCTCTGAAGCATGCTTGGGATACTTAAGCAGCATTTCGCTATGCAAAGTACGGGCAGGAATTGTGAGAACTGGCGTAGCGGTGCGTTGGAACTTACCAGTCTTCTGTTTCTTTACGAGTCCAGCTTCTTCTAAGATTTTGTGCAGTTGACGAACGAGCTTTGCGTGCTGTGGATCGTACTGAAAGTTCGGAATCTCATCGTCACAGTCCAGAGCTTGGAGAGAACAGCCAAGAGAGTCAAAAGCCTCCACAACATATTGCACAACAAGCCTAGACTGCAACAAGAAACCTTCTGTGCAGAAACCAGAAAAGCCTGCAGCTGTTGCATGCTGTTCATAAAAGTTTTTCACATGAGCGAAACGATCTTGACAGATGACGGCGAGATCATCTCCGGCTGGCTCTTCGAACACAGCATCGTTATCGTAGATTTCGCGTGGAGAAACGGCACTAGCCTTTGTGGAGCTGTCTTGAGAGTTCTCAGTAATTGTACTCGGTTGAATACGGCGACCAAGAGAGCGCACATTGTTACACTCCATGAATTGCGCTTGCGTAAAGGCGAAGTGGAATCGTTTCTGAATTTCTGCTATCACTTCTGTGACTAGCAGTGAGTCGATTCCAATGTCAACTAGTAATGTTGTGGGCTCGATCTCTACGACGGGGATTTCCATAATATCGCTGAACATCTGGCAAAGAAGTTGATCCAGGGAGCCCGACTTATCGAGCTCTGTTAGTGGGTGCTCAACTTGAGAGCCGATAGAGGACGCTCCCATGGCAGATTCATTGATCGACAGATCATATGTTGCGAACTCTTTGCTTTGATACCCCACAGGGAGCGTATGGGAAGGTGACTGGTATCCCGAATCGTGATCGCTCTTGCTATCGATTGACTTCCTTGGGGTACTTCTGGAAAGGTTGAGTCTACCAAGGTTCCTCAACAGCGACTTGCGTGAGACGCTTTTGAAAGTCGCGCCCATGATTGCCGCCACCAAGATGCAAGATGATGCGTCGTAGACAAAGATATCATTAACTATGATGGCTTCAGATACCAGTTCGAAGCGGGAGTAAACGGTCCACGTGCGGGAATTCGATTTATCCCTCATAAAAGACGCCGAGAACATCACTTCCTCCACGGCGGTGCACATAAAGATCTCGTCTTCCTTGCGTGAAGATAAGCAGTTTATGTGTATACCAGCCACTTGTAGAAAGTTGTCCACGGAGATAGGATCACTGACCATAGCATCCATGCTGATGGAACGGTCTGCTGGGACGGTCACCAAACCCACTGCCTCATTCTCCAATGCGTACAAGCTCTTAACCCCGCGGTAGTAGTCAGCATATTCTACAACATCAGAGAAAAGATTGTAGACCATTGGTCCGCTAATACCTGTTGCTGAGGCGGACTTCGAAATACGGTCAGCGTGTGAAATTCCGGCAAACTTGTTCAGCAACTGTATATTTCTTTCCACGCCATTAGTCACATGGACAAAGCTAATCCGGCCGCTGGCATGCTCAATCTCACTATCTTCCATCTCTCCTTGTCCCTGATGACTGAAGAGTGCAAAATCCCAAGCGTCTTGGGCAGTGTTGCGAAGACGCAGCAACACCTTGGAGTCACCACCAAGGCCAAGAGGCGAAGACATGGTTAATGCCTCGACATGCGGCACCTTTTCGGTTCCGGAAGTGCTGTTTGGGATTGTGATGGCACTTCGAGCAGCAAGTTCTATATACATAGACGCAGGGCAAATGCTGTAGCTTGCAACAGCGTGTCCACGTCCAGCAAGATCGAAAACGCCATTGGCCGTGTCCACTAGAAACAGATATTCCCCATTGGAACCCCGTTGCTCCACTAAATTCACTAGATCGAGCCTCCTGCTAGGTAGGGCGAGGTCTAGTTTTGAAGCAGCTGGTGATCGTTTTTGATTCGGCTTGTAGTCAATCCAATGCCGTATTTGCTCGAATTGGTAAGGTGGAAGATTCATATTCGTGTAGAGGTCGCGCGAAGCACGATGGAAGAGCCAGTATTGGGCGTCGGATCCAGCTTTCCACAAATGGCATGCGGCGTTGGCAAGATTGCCCCGCGCATCTGTACTTCCCAAATTCATGGGAATGAATTTATCCAACCTGCCCGGTTTGCTCAGAATGCGACGCACCATAGCAATTATAGGCGTTGCCGATCCAGCTTCTAACCACACGGCGGAAGGCAGACGGGCGGCAATGCGTTCAACTGCATCCTCCAAGTGCACAGGTTGCCGGGTGTGCTGTACCAAAATCTCCGCGGTAAACTGTGGCCAGGTCTCTTTGGTAGAGCAAGTCTCGATGCGGATGCGAGGCGGGCGTACGCTGATTGATTCAGCAACCTCCTTGAAATCATCCAGAATGCCATCTGCGAGGTAAGAGTGGTAGGCATGAGTGTTTGGAAGCCGGGTCACTTTAAAAGACTTGCATTCTTCCTCCACTCGCACCATCGAGGCCGTATCGCCAGCGAGCACAAAGCTACGAGAGCTGTTGTAACAGGCGATATCCACGCGAAAGCCCGGCGTCGAGTTTACAACAGTTACCACGGCCTCAATTTCCTTACGATCGCATTCCACCGATATCATAACCCCACGCTCTGGACCCCAGCTGTCTCTGATAAGGCGCGCTCGGCCAGAGACGAGGCGTATTGCATCTTTGAGAGAAATGGAATCAGCAACGCACAGTGCCGAGAGTTGGCCGAAGCTGTGGCCAAGTAAAGTATCGATCTGAAGCCCACATTCTATCCAACACCTGGCGAAAGAGACCTGTAATGACAGAAGCATGCAATGGAGAGTAACAATGTCTTCGATCACGCCGCCATGGAATATGTGCGGGAAGATGCTACCGAGTCCTAGCTCTTCGCAAATGGTGTTACATTCATTCTGTGCAACGATTAGCAAATAGAATATGGCCCAAGCTGCTGAAGCTTGTTGCTCACCAGATGTTTCCGAAGAAGATCACAGCTATCAAATAGTTCTCTGGCGATGGTGACTGTGCTCCCAACTTGGCCGCCAAAGCAGAAAACCACTGGGGACTTTTTCGTCCGAACTGCTGCTCCAATTCCGCTCAGTTTAGAGATCAAATCCTCTTTATCCTTTGCAGTAAACGCAATTCGGTGCTCAAAAGACAAGTTTTGCCTCCGAGCAATATTGTAAGCAATGTCCTTCATCGACATTTGAACGGAAGGGAGATATTTTTTCATCGCGTTGATGTACAATTGAAGATTCCCTTCGGACTTCGAAGATAGAAAGATGGGGTAGGAAGCCGATGAAGGTAGCTCCCGAAGTTGATTAGCCGCCTCCAGTGGACTTCGAGAGGCATTTGAATACCCTCGAAGTACAATCGAAGCAGTACTTCCCGCAGCTCCATAGTTGTTCACCAACGCAACATACTGTTGGGCGCTCCATTGCTGGGTAGTCGTCGGTATCACCAACTTTTCGTCTGGCGAAGCTTTGATGCTTGGGTTAAGAGAGACAAAGTTAGCCTGTCTTGGAATTGTTCTATACTGCATCATGAGAAGCGTTTTGATAACTCCAGCAACACCGGAAGCGGCCTCAGTGTGTCCAATATTGTCTTTGACTGAGCCCAAGAACAATAAATGTTTCCGCAAAGGGCCAGTAAGCGCCATTTGAACACTCTCGTATTCTATTGGGTCTCCAACGGGAGTTCCTATGTGCAGAAGTTAGCCATAATGGACACAGTACACGCCACCGTGGCCATATCGTTGATTTACCAGTGCCGTGTGCTTCGACATAAGTGACTTGAGTGGGCTCTATGTGCGCAATTGAAAGCGCTCGTTTATACAATGCGCTCTGCGACTTGGAGTCTGGTACTGTTATGGCACTGTTGTTAGAACCTTGATTGACCGCTGAGCCCGAAATGACACCCAGGATGTTGTCACAGTCCGATATTGCCTTTGAGAGCGGCTTTAGGACCAGAATACCGACACCTTCACCTCTACAGTAGCCATTGCTACCCGCAGCAAACGCCCTCGAAGATCCATTGGGATCCAGGAAAGAAGCAGCTGAGAGATTTTGGTATAAGTTGGGACCTGTGATAACGTTGACTCCTCCAGCTAAGGCCATGGAACATTCTCCAGCAAGCAATGCCTACGGTTCACAGTTAGCTTTCATGCAAGGAAAGGTTACAGTAGCAACCTACTCTGCATGCTGTGTGTATCGCAACGGAAGATGATGAACACGCTGTGTCAAGAGTAATCGAGGGGCCGCTCCAGCCAAAGAAATGGCTGACACGACCGCTGATAAAAGCTCGTAGTGTACCCGTGGCGGAGAATGCGTTAGCATCCTCGGAAGCGACATTCTCTTCGTATTCAACAGCACCAACGCCAACGTAACAACCCACGTCAGTCTCCCTTTCTACTTCTGGCAGAGCAAAATACCCCGAGGACTCCAATGCCTCATAAGCGACCTGCAATGCGAGTCGCTGTTGCGGATCCATCGATTTGGCCTCCCGGCCCGAGAAACCAAAAAATCGGTGATCAAAGACATCAGGTCTCCTGATGAAGTTTCCCCAGTAGTTGCCGAGTTTGGGTTCTCTGTTGACGTCTGCTGGGTCAAAACGCTCCGTAGGAAGCTTGCCAATACAGGTTTTCCCTGAGACTAGCAATTGCCAAAATTCTTCTATTGAGTCTGCTTCTGGAAACCGGCATGCCATTCCAACCACAGCGACCTCCTCGGGTCTGCTGGCGGGATCTGTTACGTTCATATGATGCGGAGTATTGTTTTTGACGTTGCGCTTGCTCGGCGATAGCGACCTTGGGATGCACGGCTGTGTTCCCACCTGGATTAGTTCGACTTTACTTGGGAATCGCGATACAGTCTGCTGGACTGTTTGGTGCCAGTGAGCTCGCTTACACAAGATTAGATCTATGGCGACTTCGTGGAGCGCTCCGGTAGTGATAATCTCGGTATCTGCCGTAGATCTCAAGGGCATGAGCAATTTTCGAGCGTCAGGAAGCTCAAGTCCTTTGTTTCCGGTGCAGAACCTTTTGAGGGAATCTGCAGCCTGGGCGTTTCTGGGATGATGATACCACCCATCAAGACCAATGTTGATGTTTGGAATTTTCGATTTATCAAGCCTGGCACGAAACGATGTTTGGTCACGTTTAGGCATACCAATCGTCAGAGTATAATCGTCGGGTATGCAGGATATGTAAGCCTATGTGGCGAGGTTAGAGCATGAAACTTTCCGATTCAACAGTTAAGTCGACTTTTGCTAGTAATGGGGAAAACGTACGTCAGGGAAGAGGTCCAGACATGTTTCCAGATAAGCTCTGTTCGAGGGTGTGTTCCAACGAACAGAAACGGCTGTCGCGCGGTCAGAAGGGGCATTTGATACATCCTGCGAGTCAATTATGGCGCCAATACAGACGGCAAGACGGAGACAACTTGATACATTTCGCTCGAGCTCGGTATAATCGCTCGACGAAGACACAGCTGCCGCAGAAAGGAAACCTATACAGAACCCCTGCGCTGCCCGGAAGCCCAAGAAGCGTTCGCCCGAGTCCGCCTCGTCGCTAAGTTGAATAAAGTCTGCGATATGAGACAGGACAGTCAGTGGTGCCAACTGGACATTGCTAAGCTTCTGGGGATCAGGGTTATTCCTTCCTTCCGCAAACTCCCCAAGTTCCTTGAGCTTTTCCTCGCCATCAACACCAGAGATGTTACAATGTTGCACCAGCGCAGGCCATAATGTGTGCAGGTGCATCAGAGTATTAATGATGAAATGGAGACGGGGATCTTGCTGAATTGCATCTTGGAGGCTGATCAGATTTTCTCGAGTCCAATTCAGCGCCTGCGGACCAAATAAAGCAATGCGTAAATCTTGGGTACTGGCGGTTTGTGGCATGGTCGCTAGGATTTTTTCGATAAGCTGGATAATTGCACAGTAATATTAGCAACGTCGCTCGCTGTACCTCTTGGAGGGCTGTGCATCTGGTAAGGTGTCGAGGGGCCTTACAGTGGTGATTGTTAGTTCATAAGACGCTCATGGCTTCTTGGACAACGCTATCCAAAAAGCAACCACATGAAATAAGCCAGTACTGTGTATTGTCACATCACCTCTATGATAAGGCCCTCTCATTCCAAGGGAGAACTGGGGAAGTTGTTCTGCTTAGACGAATTACGCGGTGCCAGCGACGTCGGATCCGAGTAAGTTCAAGTCAACCCAAGCGAATTTCGGACTTTCTCGTGAGGCTATTGTATTTCCTGATATCCAGGCGATTCACATTCGAAAGTAATTACGCCTAGCTTTAATTCTAGATTGCCGTGTTTGGCAGCTGAACATGTTGCCTCAAACTGTGGACATCTTCTCACGGAACAACCGTATCGTCTACCTTCTCCTGTGTAGTGTTCTAGGGCTGGCAATCATTCAACTATGCAGAACCTGGTGGCGATTGAGGCACATACCTGGCCCATTCTTGGCAAGCATCAGCAACTTCCCACGGATGTTATGGGTTCCAACAAAGCGGGCACATCTGATACTACAGGAGATGCATGAGAAATATGGCGAAGTCGTGCGAATTGGTCCGAATATGGTATCTTTCTGCAATCCCGAGGTCATTCCGATCGTCTATCCCACAAGGCAGGGTTTTCCCAAGGTTTGTAAATAAAAATACTCAAGTGCAATGTAATCAAGCATGGGCTGACAAGAGTTTCATCATCACTACAGAGCGATTTTTATGCGACTCTTCGACCCTATACGAGAGGCGGCGGTGCCTTGCAAGCTGTCTTTAATGTCACGGACGAGAAGGTCCATAAACAGCTCAAGAGCCCGATTGCGCCCATCTTCTCCCCGACGAGCGCAACGTTATTCGAGCCTCTGGTTGATGATGTTCTGCAGTGCCTACTCAACCAACTCGATACACGCTTTGCGGCTAATGGCGAAGTTCTTAACCTTGGCGCGTGGGTGCAGTTCTTTGCGTTTGATGTGATGGGTACCATGACTTTCTCGAAAAGATATGGTTTTTTAGACAATGGACGAGATGTTGGGGGGATGCTAAGCACAATTGTTGACTTTATGCGATCTGCTGCACCAGTACGAATCTCTTATATCTCTTCATTCATCTAAACTTGATGATGTCAAATTGACGGTTGCTCCAGATGACACAAGTCCCCTGGCTCGATCGGATAATGAGAAAGAACCTCATTGCAGATACATTTCGGCAAATTTTCAATCAAACGGCTTCGCTTTCCATTCTTGGCTTCGTGGGTGATGCCATCAAAGAAAAGCGGGCCAGCTTAGCCAATGGAACAGACAAGGTTGGAGATAAGACCAGCACGAAGAAGGACTTCTTGTCCCGATATATTGAGCTTCAAGAGAGTAGTGCTGAAATACCCCATTGGTAAGCAATCACATACCAACAAACATTAATGATAAGAGGAAGAATTGTCGACTCACAGATATCATGCTCACAGGGCTCCAACGGCGTGGACATTCTCCAACGTGATTGCAGGATCGGATTCAGTAGGCAGCCTTATGCGCACTATTATGTTTTGCCTTCTTTCCTACCCAAATACTCTCGACAAGTTATATAACGAGCTCTTATCCGCAAATCTATCACGCCCTTTTCCCGCATACAAGGAACTACGGAATCTGCCCTATTTAGACGCATGTATCCAAGAGGGTTCCCGAATACATCCACCTTTCGCGCTGCCTTTTGAACGCGTGGTACCAGAAGGGGGTATAACGATTATCGGGCATTTTCTCCCTGCCGGTACTGTCGTAGGTGGCAGTCCATATGTAGTAAATCGGCATAAGTCATTTTTCGGTCAGGATGCAGAATTCTGGCGACCTGAGAGATGGCTCGAAAAAGATGATGCACATAAAAGGAGACTAGAACAAGGAGTGTTAACAGTATGTCTGCTCTCTACTTGCGATTCATATACTACTGCTAACCTATGAATTTGAGTTCGGTGCTGGCCGGCGCGTCTGTCTTGGCAAGCATATTGGCATTTTGGAAATCAAAAAACTTATTCCATTTCTCATTCTCAACTACGATGTAGGTTATGTTTTATCACGGCATGATGTGAATGCTCTGAGACTGACTGGTATTAGATACGGATTATAGATCGCGAGAAGTTCCAGGTTGAGAACTCGTGGTTCCTCTTTCAGACAGGGCTCTATGCTCAGCTGCAAAAAAGGCCAGAATCCGTGATCAACCCTCAATTGTGATGACCCATAACAGTCTCATAGTTGAGAGACAACGTATTTCAAACTATGATCCTGGAAGTTAATGCTACTTGTCAAATGAAGCGAAGATGCGAGACTATCCAAAACCTCGAACTAGATACCGCCGGAAGTGCTTTCGGTGCTTAATAATGCCATAGTAGCTATAGTAAATTAGCGAGAAACGTTTCTCTTGAAAATTAATTGTCTATGTATATGGCTAGTCTATGCACGTTGAGGTCATTTGAAGGAAATATCTACTGTGAATACGAACTGAAACATTTCTGGAGATTGTTGGCAGCTCTCATGTCGTTTTCATCGGGTAAAGCAGTAAAAACAAAACGAAGTGCTTCGGCCGTGAAGACAGCAGACAATCAAAGAGTGTAATTCAAATGTGGATAAACTTATTCCACATCATGTTGAATTTACCAGCACCATTTATTTTGCAATTTCATTTATTTTGTTATTACTAAACAAGCACCTAGAATATTTCATCGAGACAAGTGTTGTCTCGTGCGAAAGAAATTTCTAAATTACCTTTTGTTTCCTTTCCAAGGAAGCATAAACAAATGGATAAATCAGATCCGCAGCCTCCGCCACTATAAAGATGAACAGAGCCATGGGCTTTGCTGCCATTGAATAATCCTTCGGGTAATGCTTATAGCGCCAGCGAAATAACATTATCGCAGACAAAGTCCCAACCCACCTACAAGCCCTACGATCCATTTATTAGCATTTTGTCGAGATATTGTAAGGATTTTCAATACCAAATACCCCACGAATGACCAGATGTTTCGTTCCTGCACATCAAGTGCATTACCGAGCCACAACTAATGAGGAGTTGGCACACCCAGGCACTCCAAAAAGGGCCCTCTTCAAGATTCTTGCAAGAATTTCTGAAAGCTAAATGCATAGCGATCATCATCGGAATCCCTATGGCTAAGATCGCGCCTAGATTATTTGCAACCAGTGGCGCTTGCTCCCATTTACTGGGACCATGTTTCACCGTCGCATACACAATTGGAACGTCGGCGATGAGCCATGGGACGAAAGAGATGACCTGGCCGAGAGAATTAGGGTGAATGACGCCGTAGATGAGTTCCCATGCTATGTTCGCACATCTATCAAAGTATTCTAATTTAGCATCGATCATACATGTGAAGAGAAAAGTGGAACCTAGAAGGAGGAATTACAAGGGAATCAGTGGCATGCCATAAGATTTGTCTAGGCTTGCCTGCCGCGCATACAAAACATACGCGATGGTCCATGGTATACCAGAGCCGAGAACGAGAGCGTCTTGTACTTGGAGATAACGAAGAGGCGGTTTGTTGACTTTGTCCACAGGGCTGAGGTAGATTCGAACCATGTCTCGGCGCTTTCAACTGCCAAAAAAAAGCAAAATGAATATCTGCTCCCGCTCAAGAATAAAAGATCGTGTTAGATACAATGCACGAAAATTAAAAATGATTTGCCAACATAGGTTCGATAACTGTTTGTTGGCGCAAAGTTTTTGTGCAGAGTTGAGCCTGTGGAATACCAAGTAACCCTGAGTAATCGCTAATCAACAGGGGGGTTAATCACGTGCCTTGACGACACTGCCATGGCAAACTGGCACCTGAGGCAAGCGTTGATGAATCGGTCGAAGTATCGCTCCGGGTACTATTGCTATTGAGATTCTACCATCAAATCACCCGTCCCGTTCTCGTCCCAATTGTCTGAAGTTCCATTACCCTCAGGGTTTATACTTCGAGACATCCGAACTACAACGCACCCTGTTGGCTTGCTTGTACAAGGTGCTCGGCAAAAGGGCCGCTTCTACAAACACTGACTTCACGCGGCCAGACCTGAGTAAACTACGTGAGCCAAACTCTAGGCCAGGATTATTTGCCCTTAGAACGTGGGCCTTCTCAATTCCTCTAGTAGTACCTTGTAAGATTAATCTACCATATTTGAATAGCTTTGACATAAATTTCCACTCAACCGTCCCCTTCTATTGACCGAGAGACTTTTTTGGAGCGATTTAAATAGTCGTTGCTTGGACGTCTAGAACCTGGGCCGGTGCATTTGTTAGAGTTGTAGACCGTGTTCTTGTTTTACACCAACATATGCAACATGTCTACTCTTACTACCGAGGATTTCAAGCGCGGAGGCGGTGCGTACCCAAGCACGTGGCATTTTGATCAGGATTTGCCAGAGGACCGAACGTATATCGAAAAAACGTTCAAGGTCTTGAGAGAATACAGTGGTATACCTGCGGACAAAGTTGAAGAACATGTCATCGGCATTGTAAGGAAAAACCCTACCCACCGTAGAATTTACCTACAGTTGGCGGGATGCCAAAGCTAACTCCGTCACATTATAGAGAGACAAGGCATGGGAAGTCTTTCCATACCCATGCATTGGATCCTGGCGCTTCTTAGCAGATTATTTGGTAGAGTTTCCCGAGTATCCTGAGATACTCGCCCGTGTCAAGTCAGGCGATGTCTTTCTGGACGCCGGCTGCTGCTTTGGCCAGGTGCTGCGTCACCTCATGCTTGATGGTGCACCTGCCAAAAACCTGAAGGGGACGGATTTGTATCCCAAGTTCATTGAACAAGGCTACGACCTATTCCGGGACGAGAACAAGTGCGGGCTTGACTTCGTCACAGGCGACATGCTCGACCACTCAGACCCTGCGCTTGACGTCCTGGATGGAAAGATCGACATTATACACGGAACATTTCTCTTCCACTTATTCAACCGCGAAGATCAAATCAAGCTGGCAACGCGTCTCGTCAGGTTCTTCAAACCGGACGCCAAGAACGCGCTCATCGTCGGCCGTCACACAGGCCAAGCTGAGCCCCTGGATCCATTTGAGACTTGGACTTTAGACAAGCTCCAGCGCTTTCTTCACACACCATCGACGTGGCAGGCTTTGTGGGACGATGTTGGTAGACTGACGGGCACAAAGTGGTTGGCTACTGCCGAGGTGGTGTTCTTGAAATATCTCGACATTGACGACAATTACTGGGCGAAGAGGAAGGAAATAACTGGAGACCCGAATCCGCCGAAGACTTTGCGCTTTTGCCAATATCGGTTTGCGGTGCGTAAGCAGCAAATATAAGGAACTCACGGCTGGAGAAAAGAAGTGTTGTCTAGAATAGACCCTGTTCCTCGTAGCTTCAGGGGCTCGCTTAAGCCGCCACCCCTCCTATAAATAAAGCCTCCGAATCTCTTTTCCAAGGAAGTTTCACAGTCTTTTACTTCGGCCAGTAGGCGTGCTTCAGACGGGCGTGAACTCTTGTATTTAGATTTGACATATCAAGAATCTCGGAGAATGGGTCACGTTCAGTGCTGCGGAAAATATACCAATCCTTGGTCTCGGATTCTGAGGGCGTGGCTTTTTAGAATTTGTATGTCGGGTCTTGTAAAAGAAGCAGTATTTTATGGTACATGAAGTACAGGGTATGTCGACGACAACTTATAATTCTCGAAACAAGTTGTTTCCCTAGGTTCTTCACCTGAATCTGTAGCGGGTGACTGCACGATGAAGCTTATGATATTCGTTTTCTTGGAAAAAATGCCTCTAACTCTAGGGCTAACCAAATATTAAGGTTTAATGAATAATGACCTGTACCTCAGATGATCTGTACCTCATCCGAGTACTGCAATTAATGGCCTTGTAATATAATGATTCACAACGTAGCGCTCATATACACAACTGGGGTGAAGATGGAATGATGTGGAAAGTAAAATACTTGGCCATTTGAAGCCGTATTTCTCTCTGTACTTATCCTATTTTGAAGGATTACACAGATCCCGACAAAAGGCCCAACGAGAACTCTCCTTAATTCCGGATGTCTTCCAACCATTTATTTTTTTCGGGAACAACGGGATTGTGTCTCGTATTGACTGATCATGAGCCATCACAACAAACACACTTTCCAACCCGTCTAACTCCTGTATTTTGCTAACTGTATTGAAGGATGCATCTTTGTCTGGGAAGATGAGACTGGGAGCAGCCACCGTAAAAAAAGGATCCGATTTGCTGGAAATGCACGAATCCAGGAGGAGACCAGGACACAACGCCGAATCTTCGCCCAGGAATTGCTGCAGCTCTATACTAGAGGGGAGGGAATGATACGCACTGGGCCGCAGAGCACCAACATGGTGACATGCATCGGCTCCCATGAACACAAAGGATGATCCTCCATCTTCATGAGCCGCAGTCGTGCGTGCCAAAGCGCAAAGATGCCCCACGGCATGCCCGGGCGCATTGAGGAGGTAGAAAGACCCATCGCCAAAATAGTCAAAAGCGTCGAATCGCCCAATCTTGAGACCCGTGTCAAAGGCTATCTCAAGCACCTCACGCCCTTCGATATCTGCGTCGAGAACTATGGCGTCTTCGCGGGTAGGCCAGCCTGGCCAAGTTGCGGCGCGAACTTTGGGACCGACTACCAGCGCCGTGGTTTTGGGAAACTGAGTCACATCGCCGATGTGGTCGAAGTGATTGTGCGACCATATGATTGCCGAGATGTCGCTTCTGCGTACATTGATTTGGCCGCTGTCAGCAGCCTCGTCCAGCATGGTGGGTACGTCAGTCCCTGGTGTTACAACCGTGGTTACCGATATCAGAGCAACGGTCTTCGGGGCATAGTTGCGCCAGTCAGGCCGCGTACCCAGGTCAAAGAGCACATGCTGGCCGGTTCTGTTGTTGGAGACCAGGAAGCAGTATATGGGCGCGTGTAAGCCGGTGAAGCCCTCGACTTTTGGTCGCCAAAACAGTTCTGGGTTCAGGTGAATGGTCGTGTTTCTATTTGAAGCTATCTCAATCATCAACTTTACAAAGGAACTAAGAACGGAGTGCCATACGTATCAATCACCCGGACATCGACTGTGTTGGAGGACTCCGGGATGCTGGCAATGGGTGGTGGGGGGTGTGAGGCGGACATTGACGAAAAAACAAAACCAAAGCTGAATGGCTGACAGCAAAAAACGAACCGTCAACGCGAGGAAATGCGAGCGTGAGTGATGGCGAATAAATCAAGGAAAAAGTTCCTCAGTACTAAATGTCATGCCATTTTGCAGGTTCACAGCCATGGCTTAACATGACTATGTATACGCAGTATGTATTCTACCAACGTAATCATGACCCGCAACGTCGCCGTCTTACATTTATCAATAACCGAGCTGCTGTTCAAATTATTGTGGCGCTTGACACCGGGTAAAATGGATGCAGATTTAGCGTTGCTTTTTCTTATCCCCAAGTTACGAGAGTGACAGGGTTCGAATATAATGTGATTGGGTAAGCAATCTGGGCTGGTTCTATTTCAATAAGATTCTTTGGTGCAACTCAATTTATGATTAGTACCTTGCATATACTTGCAGATCTGGAAATCCTAGATTGCTTGCCCGCCCTATACAGAAATCTATAACTTATTGTTCGTTATGCATTCGCTGTCCGGTTACTCGGTTTTGCTTTCGGCGCTGTTGTCGCTGCTTCATAGCAGCAGCAGTGTTTTAGGTGCTCAAGCCTCGAGCTCTGAGCGTCCATCGCCATCTTCGGCTGCTTTTGCTTTAAGGAGGTTTGACTATGTCATTGTGGGTGGTGGTACTGCTGGCTTGGTCCTTGCGAGCAGGCTCACTGAGAATAGACATATCACCGTCGCTGTTATCGAGGCCGGTACGAGCCCAGAGGCTGTCGCAGGAAACTTGACTGTGGTGCCAGGCTACGCTGGTGCTTTGTTCGGGGAAGCAACTCAATTAAATCTTGACTGGGGTTTCCAAGTCACTCCCCAGAAGGTGCGTAGAGTAGTATGGGACTCACTAATGTCCAATAATGACTGAAAATCTCACAACTAGTCTCTTCTGAACCGAACGGCCTCGTATTTGCGAGGCAAAGCGGTAAGCCTCTTCCACTGTTGCTACTTGTAATGGGACATTCTGGTCTCTTGAGTTACGCAAATGTTAGTTAAGGAAAACGCTGATAAATGGCTATTTCTGCTATAGCTCGGCGGTAGTTCCAACTTGAACTTTATGAGCTATGGACAAAGCTCCAAGGGCTCTCATAAGAAGTGGGCCGAATTGGTCAGCGATCAATCTTACACGTACGAAAATATGTTGCAATACTATCGCAAAGCAATGAAGTTTACCGAACCACAAGCCGGTGCTCGCTCAGCTAATGCCACCGCCTGGATTGCCGCAGCGGACGCAGCAGCCAGCGGAACGTTACCTGTTACTTTTGGAGCGTATGTACAATCTTGGAGTACCTGGGTGGCTTTAGGTCTTGAGGCCATCGGTATCCATCAAGTCTCAGCCTTTGTGAATGGCAATAATCTCGGGTGGGCTTGGAATCTCTACACCATCAAATCCCCCAAAGCGACGAGAGCAACCTCAGAAACCGCCTACCTCCGTCCTGTCCTTAGACGTCACAATCTCGCGGTTTTCGACTCCACTTTTGCTCGGCGCATCGTTTTTGATGACAGCAAAACGGCCACAGGTGTAGAGGTAACTTCGACAATGACTAATCGCACGTATATTGTCTCCGCAGATAAGGAGGTCATCCTCTCCGCAGGGGTTTTCCAGTCACCCCATTTATTGCTGGTTTCGGGTGTCGGTCCCAAAGCCGTGTTAGAACAATACAACATCAGCCTCATTGCCGATCGGCCCGGAGTTGGCCAGAAGATGTATGACCAAAACTCTATATCCGTTATGTACCAAGTCGACCTCGTCACTAACACGCGGCTGAGTCAAGATCCTGACTACGCTGCGGAGGTTCTCGAGGAGTATAAGCATAATCGTACTGGCCCCTTGTCTTCACCAGGAGGCGACCTGTTTGGACAAGAGAAGATACCCAAGGAATTTAGAGCTGGATTCTCGGATGACACCAAGGCCTGTGAGTAACAATAGATAGTCAGAGCCTAAGCAGATCTCAACTGACATGTGCTCTCTATGTAAAGATCTAGACAAATTACCAGCAGACTGGCCCGAGATTGGCTACGTCGTCTATCCAAATGGCGCTTCAGTACTACAGAAGGGAGCAAACTACGCTATCATGCAGGCGTTGTTGATGGCACCTCGTTCCACTGGCTCAGTTACCATCAAGTCCGCAGACATGGCTGTGGCACCTGTCATTAATCCTGACTGGTTTAGCTCTCAAACGGACGTCGAGGTCATGGTTGCCGGACTCAAGCGCGTACGCCAGGCACTCAGCAGCTCTGCTATGGCTCCTATCATAATTGGTGATGAACTACTCCCTGGCCAAAGCGTCAAAACCGAAGAGGATATGGCCTTGTACGTGGCTCAGCGGGGTTCGACCCTCTATCATGCTATGGCAAGCAACAAGATGGGGAAGACCTCGGATCCTGACGCCGTCGTAGATAACCGGGGACGAGTAATCGGTGTCAAGAAATGTAGGTTCTAACTTAAACTCCTAGTAAATGCCGACTTAAGAGCTGCACTGACTTGAAAAGTGAGAGTAATTGATGGTTCTGCATTCCCTTTTCTACCGCCAGGGCCCTCACCTCAGACACAAGTTTGTAGGTCTTTTATATCTTTTTCTAGACAGCCAGAGATGTTTCATTACTAACTAAAACAGATGTTTTGGCCGAGAAGCTCGCGGATGATATCAAAAACACTGTCTACTAAGGTTGAGATGGGAGTAGTATTCTTAATTGCTAGAAATAGACATAACCGCTCGGTTTGGTATATATTAGATCTTTTAGCTATTGCCTGGCAGCAACAGTACATGTGTTGATTTATTATGCCTAGATTCAATATACAGTGAGCACTCAGTATACACTTTACATTATAGTCACTTATCCAACACAACATCTATGGAGGATATATCATACGAATTTTTCAAGACACGTGTGTATATACTCGGTGTGGCTTTACATTGTGTGTACTTATAATCAAGACATTTATCCTTATCTTCTAAACTAGATTGCCAACTACGTACCTCGAAATAAGCTGGATCAGCCTCTTTTTACTGTGCAGTTAGTTCTTCGCTGTAGAAGAAAATCCTGTACAGCAAATACTTTTACAAGTGGTACAACAACTCCTCTGTGTAGCAGATTCAGATGTGCAACATTCGTAACGTTATGCAGAAAAGTTGCCGGAGTAACAGTTGATCAAAATGGAAAGATCAACGTATAAAGAATAACTATTTCGCTTTTCACAAGACCTCTGGAATTACTCCTTTGATAAACCCATGTGCCATTATTGAAAATTCTCTAGTTTACTTGTGCGAGGTTTGTTCCATCTACTGGAGCGCGCATCTCCCCTGCTTCCTCTCCCAATCTCTTGTAAGCATTATAACCCGAACCGTGCGCCCCAGGTACCGGAAATCCCAGGAGGGCTTTGTGGCGGTCGGATAACCTTGACTTTACCCTCTCACTGAGTAGCAGCGGATAGTTTTCCATTTTCTGCACAAAGTAGCGGACGAAAGTCAAAACAACGAGCGGTCGCGGTTCGTCTGTTTGGTTTTGGCCCGTGGAGTGCCATGCGCGACTGTCTAAAAGCAGGATTGTTCCAGCGGGAGCGCAGGCCGGAATTGAGCCTCCCTAATTGATAATAAGCAATCGCATCAACGAAGGGGACCAAGACAGCTCCGTTGGAGATCAACACATACAACATCACTCATATGCCCTAGAGGTGCCACATTCTTCACATGAGACCCGGGGTACACAAGAGTCGCACCCTTTTCGGGTGTCAAGTCGGTCAAATACCATATGGCGTTCATCATGTACGCGTGGTTAATTTGATCTGGTGGCATTGACGACTGGTCCCTGTGCATATGAATGCCATCTTCTCCTCGGAGAGCAACGTTCGCTGACATATTATAGATCAAGAAACCCTCGCCTAAGAACCATGGCACAAAGGTTTCAAGCAAGGGGTGATTGAGCATGTCGAGAAACTCGTCACCCTTGTTAGGAAGGTTCCTAGGCAGAGACCTGTTAGAATCACGAGCCAATTGTAAGTAGAAAGGAAGTAAACTCACCATATTCGTTGATTTGGACCTTGCATGTGCGCAACTCCATTCTTCCGCTCACCAGCTCCTTGTTCTAGGACTGCAGTTCTGAGAATCTCAACTTGCTCAGGTGTAATGGCGTTTGCCAGTAACCCATATCCCCATGTCTTCATATCGCGCTTGATCTGCTCAGGGTCTTCTGTGGGCTTGGGCAATGCGTTGTGGTCCAACTCACTCGCGGGGGTCATAGGACCTGGGAGACCTAGAGGAGCAAAACATGACGCAAAAGCACCAGGACACGGGGGAACTGAATGCTTGGTAAACATATTCTGCGTCAGCAAGCGACCTGTAATGGCATCCAGCACATATCCTGGCGCAATATTTGATTTTATGTCAGGCTCGGCATCTGTCGGTGCCTCTTCAAGCAGTACCACTTCGCTTTTGCGTGCATCGATAAAGATGGGAGCGGCCTGTTGCTGCCCTCGACAAAGAGTTAACTGCGCAAGGCGTTGTAGGCCACAAAATCTCTGTGATACACTATTAATGAAGAGCGCTTGGGCAAGACCTAGAAATTGGATACTTACCGGCAAGTTACTTCGAATCCAATCAAGAACTTCGGCGCTATCACGATTGAAAACTTCAAATGAGTCCTCGTCAGGCAGATAGACACGGGAACTAAAGTCAAGTCTATCAATTAACGGTTTCGACGGTGCTGGGAGCGTAGTCGGCATCTTGATATTTGTTGCTGAAATGGAAGATGAAATTTAGAGATGTAATAGATATAATGAGAATGTCTAGAAGTAATGCGCTACTTGTGCTCATACATGCAAGAGGATCGACTAAAATCAGTATCCAGTAGCTATCCCTAAATATCCTAATTATCTGTGTGATGAGAGGAAGTTTTCTTTTCCAATAATTCCTAAGGTCTTAAACTTTAACAAGTCGTAGTAGTGTCTAGGAACTGGTGTTATTACAGAATACTGACGGGGGATCGGTACCGAGTGGAGGGCACAGATCCCAACTTGGTGTCCAGCACCAGGTAAGTGATGTCTTCTGAAGAACCTGTTATAATTCATTTACGATCTAGTAAACCCGTGACTAAATAGCAGAATCAAGGACTAATTATGCTACATGAGCCCGAACTCATTGCATGTTAGCTGAGTCCGAGTACGAGCATAAAGCCCCTCGTCATCTGTGAAATCGCAAAAGCTTTTTAAGCCCGGTGATTTGACGTCGATATCAAAAACTACCCGATAGCAAGTGTAATCAACTGGAAAGATTACCTCAAGTTCATTTAAAATTCTTTTTTGTCTACGATACCGAATCCACCTCACCTCGACAGATGTGCTCTTCGTGCATTGCCTAGACGCTTATTACATTCTTGGAGATGGGCTCCAACGGGGTGCAGCCGACTCAATTCGAGCAAGTTGCTGAGAATGAATCCAAGTTGCCATCTTCAGTCGTCGGTATTGATGTAACCAAGTTAGATGACGATGCGCTCTACTGGTGGCGCACCAGTGGATTGGACCTGGCTCGGATGATGGAGGAGGCCCAGTTTCCCGACAGAACAAAGAATCAGTTTCTCACGTTCTATAGTTCTGTTATTTGTCCATTGCTTCAAGGAAAGCCGTTGGCTGGATCAATGCCAACTGCCGTTGGTTGGGATGGAAATCCCTTCGAGTATAGTTGGGAGTTCAAAGGCTCCACTAAGAAGTCGAGTGTCCGATTTGTCTTAGATCTGACACAGGTTCGCCCTCCAAATAAAAACTGCCCTATGAGTGTGGATGCGGTGGAAGAAGTTCTCAATGTTTTGAAGCACAAGAGTCCACTTTATGATGATCATTGGGTGCGTTCATCCCAGTGCCCACTCGAGAGAAATGTTGACTTTTCTTGGACCATAATTCAAAAAGCCACACTTACAAGTTGCTCCAAAACTTTATCAATGACCTCAGCTACTAATTGACTCTGAATCTAGCATCGTGCGCTTGAGCGGTGGGCAGTGTACTCAAATGCATCTGCTGAGAAGCAAGACCTTTTGATATCCAAAGCGGGACATCGGACGCCCACTATTCTCGGCTTCGACATCAACCCCAAAATTACAGAAAAAGCCCCAGATATGCTACCTGTCATGATCAAGAGCTACTTCCCTCCGTGTTTTGTAGCTGCAGACCGAGGCTTCACGCGCTTTCAAGCCCTCGCATTGGGCGTGCGCCAGTTACCTGACATCGGCTCACACCCGAATATCCTGCTCGGACTGAAGATGATCGAAGATTTCATGGCCGACAATCCCCAGTATGAATCTCAGGGCCGAGGGCTATCTACAGATTTCGTTCCTGCAGGCCATGCCCGTCTAAAGGTGTATCTGCGGTACTTGGGTGACGACTTTGATGAGATATGGGACTTTTACACGCTTGGCGGACGAATTCCTATCCCAGACCTCGAGGCGGATAAAAAGAAAATTTGGGACATTATACAGCTATCTCGCGGGATTTGCTACCCTATCCACAAGATCCACGAGGAGACAGCGGCCGATAAGAACCGCCGTGCGATTCTGGCCACGAAACCATCATCATTATACTTCTCGCTGACGCCCGACAAGCCCTACCCCATCCCCAAATTCTACTTCTACCCGGGTTTCCAAGCGCCCAATGATGAAGCTGTTGCGCAAGGACTTGATCTGTGGCTGCAGAAATATGGATGGGCAGATGGTGGGACCACTATTGAGGACAGGACCAAGAACACCTTGTGAGTTTCTATCGAGCAGACGCTGATTCCTCTCATTTCATAACCGGTACTCACCTCGCTGACAACACCGACAGCACATACCGCAACCTCGATGAGAAGCCGGGCATATTTACGTTTATTGGCATTGGCAGGAAGGAAGGTCTTGACGACCGTGCACTGAGTTTGCAAGTATACGTAACACCGGAGTTGTACGAAAACCCGCGTTTTGAGAGAAAAGTGTCACAACTATCTACTTAGCGGATATTTACTCTTGATCCTGCTGATTAGAGGGGTCCACCTGAGTAAAACTATAATCACTTGCATTTACTACTTTTCATGCTACACTTATGAAATTGCTATAAATAGTTTTTAGTCTTGATACCAGGAAAGTGCAAAGGGAGGCATAGCTGTTACAACTGAGACTGGCCAAATTTAGGTCCAGCAAGGAAACTAGGAAGTATATTCGTCACTTTCCAAAAGCCCTCTTCTCGAGTCTCGACAGCAGCACTAACCACCTTTTCAATAAACAACAAATGATTTCGATCTATCACGAAAATGTTATGATCGCTTAATTATTGTCCTATCGAATTATTGTAATCAAAAAGTGAGGGGTTTAGTAGAAGTCTCACAGCTTTCACGACTCGTAAAGTACGGTAAACTTATTACGAGGATTAATGTACCATAGCAAAACCAAAGTCTCTCAGTTGGCATTGTTTGTTGGGGTCATCAAATAATATTTGGAATATACCTCTGACAACGTTGTCTATTTGCAAGTCTAAATAGAGTCGCGATGTGAGTCTTGAACTTCTTGGAGATCTCATTGCTTATGATATGTTTTCATACTGCGCTCTATTATGTACATAATTACATGAAATTTTTATCAAGCTAAACCCCTCAACTGTTCCTCAGTCAGATCAGGATAAGGTATGATGGGGGCCATCTTGTCGACCTTGCTTCCAGCAGGCGCGACATTTTTGATTCGTAATCCCCTCGCAGGGCTATTGACGAATTTATGCAATTCCTCCCAATCTCTACACATCATGGCTTGATCATCCGTCGCGTGCCCGTTTTTGTAGCCGTTGACATATGACAATGGTTGAGCGTCCGCCATGCACATGATGGCGTCGCGAAGAGTATTGATGCAGTGTGCTACATGTCCGGCCGTCCACAGGGAGTCGTTGGTCTGCGCATAATGGTAGGTAAACTCTTCGGAGATGACGAACTACATCAAGAGAAAGTTTCGCAGATTAGCTCCGTTGGAAATACAATGATTGATATTAAATGAAAGCGGGCTGGTTAAGATTGGTACTTACTATGCAGTGCATTTGGTGGAAGCCGCGTACGACGTAGAGTTCCCTGCCGTCCTTAAGAGGATCCCAAGGCCAGAAAGGCGGTAACTCGACGATGGTGCCATCAGGCTTAATTCGCTTCACACGAGGTTCATCAGGTGCGACAAAAATGCTGGAACCTGTGATAACACCCGACAAGTCAGCCATGACATATGAGTACTCGAGATTCTCTAGACTTACTATTGTGCATATACTTCCAGCGATCTATCATAGCCAGTGACTTGTCAAAGTCTTGAAACATATCCTCGGGCATGTAATATGGGTGATCCTGACCCCAGAAGGTCGGTTTCAGTGGGTATCCGATTCCTAAATTCACAATATATCTCAGTAACCGAGGCATAGTTGAGGGTCGTTCTTCCCCTTTGTGAAAATAAACATACCATTAGGGATTAAACCGTTCCAATCCTCGCCTAGCAGTCCACTCCATTTAAGATCTCGATATGTTGCGAGCGGATGTGATGTGTTGCTGCCACGAAACAACCAGAACACGAAGAACAAAGCTTGAAAAGCATGGGTGATATAAAAACCGGTGCGAAAAAACTTCAACTTCTTCTGGACCTTCGCCAACTCGATCATAGAGGTGTTGTCAGCGGTCGGCTGGCCATCATCGTCAGCTCGCAAAGGAACAGACTCGTAGGCGATTTCTTCGCGGTCGGAACTGGGCCCGGACGCCAGTATCTTTTCGAATGGAGACATTTCAGATGATGAATGGAAACTCGTAGTACGTTCAGGGACTTTAATAATTAGAAGTGCCAATGCTAGCGGTAAAAATGCTCTAATAGTGACATGTTCCTAGCAATCACAGTTTTCTAGCAGTGACAGGTTCGTGGCAGTGATAGGCCTCTGCTCGCCTGGGCCATGATTGGCTCGTGCGATTTACTCTGGCCTTCCATGCAGGCTGTTCGATTTTACTCAGGACCGGTCTTCAACAACGCCAGAAAATTCTTTATGTGGTCCTTTCCGTCCAATGACCTTGTTGTGTCCGGTATTATGTGTTAGAAACACTGCGTACTGGACCCCACCCAGATTTGCAGATGGCTACGAGGGTGATGACTAGGTTGACTGTTCGGCCATCATATTCTAATGTAGGCTATACATTGGGGGAACACCCTCCCTGTAATCCGGATTGTGGCGTGATAAGTAATACGCTGTTTAAGCTGTCCGGTATTCAAACTGCGCATTGGAAGCGGCCTGAACAATGCCCGCTAGCATGGGGTAGCGGGTTTATTTAAACTTATTACACCCTACCGTAATCATGAAGAAAAGTGACAAACCCAATCTAGATATGTCGGTAACGTCTTTCGCTTTTGATATTATACACATAACCTTATGAGTATGAATTCGAGTCAGCAACCTCCATTGAACCTTTCCGTCTGCCCTCATCGCGCCTTATTAAACTGCATATTATTGCGAGGCGTTTCATCTTTACTACATCACTTACCCGATGCCAAAAAACGATGGCTTCTTCTCAAGAGAGTGTAAGCTGGCGCGATATGCCCAGAAAAGGACAACTGTCTGTTCTTTTTCTCTTGCGCTTCGCGGAGCCCAGTGTTAGGTCGTCGGCCTCTGTAAGTGAGCTTGCCAGGCTGATAAAAACCACACTGCCCTACGAAGCTCGTCGCTAATACTGGACTCATGATGAAATTGAGTAGACGTACATGTATTTTCAGCTAAAAAATCTGGACTCTTCACTCTCATCTGGGGAAATTGTTACCCAGTCGGCCACAGTATCAACTGCGTATATTATTGGACAATGTCTGTCATCGATCTGGATTAGCGAGCTTGCAGACTCCCCAAAATGCGGTCGCAAGAAGGTTCTCCTGCTGGGCACTGCAGCTTCAAGTAAGCTTGTACTTCAAGGGGAAGATTCCCACTGTCTTACTTCGATATTGACAGTTGACTGTGTTTCCAGTCATAAGTTCTTCACTCCTAGGGCTCACCAGTCATTTCTACCAACTTGTAGTTCTATGGGGTCTGGAAGGTATTTTCAATGGAAATGTAGCAACGGCCAGAACTGTAATAACTGAGATCGTTGGCGAGAAAAGGTAGGAACTGCTCCTCCCTTGTCTTTATTTTGAAAAGGTCGGGCGTAGGCTGACTGGAGTATGCTGGGCTATAGATTCCTATCTAGAGCTTTTGTGATGACCACTATGGCTGCTACCCTCTCCACTCTCTTGAGTCCAATTCTAGGAGGTCAACTGGCCACCCTGGCGAGCAGCAATCCAGAAAGATTTGCGAACAACTCATTTTTGAAGAAGTATCCTTACGAATTACCTGCTTTAGTCAATGCATCAATGTTAACTCTAACATTCTTGGCTATATTCTTCTTCCTCGAAGAGGTATTTCTCCCAATAGCGTCTTGAATATAGATTTATGGCTTGCTGATACTATCGGATGATTTTAGACACATCCACAAAAGCGGGGTGACCCCGATATTGGCCTAGCAATTTCAAAAAAACTACTTTCTTGTTTCCAAAAGAAGAATCAGAGTCTCACTTATCAACCTTTGAACGACGATAATTCAACCGAAATGGAGGCTGTGCCTTTTATGGAAGCAAATGACGCGGACGCGGAGCACTTGGAAAACTTGGAAAACGAAGGCAAACACTGGAAGGAAGGGAGAGGGGGGAGCAGGTCGATCACTCCCGTCCCCGGCAAGACGAAGGCGCCCCCATTCCTGCCGCTCCGACGGATTTGGACCCAGAAATTCGTCCTCATGCTAATGGTATCTGCTATACACGACTGCCACATAGGAGCGTACACCATACTCTGGGTCAACTTCCTCAGTGATCCTCCAGCAAACGGTGCCCACGACTCCCTACCGTTCCGCTTTTCTGGCGGTCCGGGAATGACACCTTCTGAGATTGGCCTTACGTTGTCGATTGTTGGTGCTTGTGGCCTGCCAATTCAGTTCTTCGTGTATCCTAAAGTCATCCACAAGCTAGGAGCTCTGAGATCCTGGCGTCTTTTCATGCGAGGGTTACCCATCATCTACAGTGTCGCTCCGTTCGTTGCTGTCGTCAGTAAGCTCACTAAATCGTCGACGAACCAGCCTGGGCAGCCTCCAGCAGTCTGGATACTCATTGCTCTGATACAAGTCACACTGATCTTCTGCGCTGCCTTCGTGACACCCACGGCGTTCATGCTTGTCAGACTGTAAGTTGCTGTCCTTGATCTTTCCTACCCTCTACATCTATTGAAGAACACTGACCACAAACCCATCGCGCAGTGCATGCCCTCATCCATCGGCCCTGGCGCGGACACACAGCATTTCATATGTGGCCAGCGGGGTTTTCCGTGCTCTCGGGGCATCCCTCGGAGCTCTTGTTTACAGCTACGGGACGTCTCACTCAATGACCGGTTTGGCTTTCTGGGTGGCAGCAGCCGTGAGCGCCTGCGTGTGTTGTCTGGCTATGGCTTGTAAAGAAGGCGATGGGCACGAAATTCGGCTTGACGGAGACGAAGACTGACTACCATCAATTGGAAGAATATGTCAGAATCATCGCCGCAGAATCTTAAAGCTGTAAATCCTCAGGAGATAAGGTATTGCTTCGGCTTATTTGCCACAGCAAGTCATCTGCCATTGACAGGTCCAACCTTGTTGATCACCTTCAGCCTACTTCATCTTACTGGCCTAATGATAGAATACCATAACACTAGCTCCAAACTAAATATGCTCATATTCCCTAAATACGTTTTGAAAATTTTCCTTCAGACTAAAATTACTCGCTTTTTGTGTGAAAACAAAACTTGTGACAATAGATCTATCAAAGACCACGATCAATGTCGCTGCTTGTCGAGCCTCATACAATTATTGGCTATCAACGAATGTCGGCTATCACTTTAATCTTAGCATGAATACTGGAATGCGTATTGCAAGCCAAACGTTTCATCACGACTCCATTTAGTTAAATTTTTAGAATCGAGATTATATCACCACTCGATGTCTACACGGTGACCCTTGATATCACCATTGAACCACTGAATAACCTCAATGTGATCTTCACATGTCCGAGCTCCCTCCAACACCTCACTATCGACGACCGCCACCACAGTTTCAAGCAGCTGTTGCATAGCCAGGTTTTTACCAAGACAAGCACGCAAACCCGCGCCAAAAGCAATCAAGCTTCTTTCCATATGCGGCCGGTACAGACCGCAGTTTCTTTCGTCGTCAATCCACCGCTCCGGCCGAAAGACGAAGGGGTCAGGGAAGATGGCAGGGTCGTGATGAAGAACATAGGCCGCGCAGCCAACAATTGCACCTGCAGGGATCAGGATGCCGTCGATTGTAAGGTTTTTGCCAGGAGGAACAACTCGCGTGAGCCTTGTAGGATTCGCCATCCCTAAGCGCAAACCCTCCTTAACGCAGGCGCGCAGAAAGGGAATATCGGGCTTTCTATTGTCCTCTGCAGTGGGAAGTGCGGTACGGATATCGTGTAGGAGACGGGTGCGAGCTTCTGTGCTCCGAGTCAGGTGGAAGATAATTGTGGCCAGTATAACGGCGGTGGAGTCGCCGCCTGCGAACAGAATAGCTTGGCTTTGCATTGTGGTTTCCAAGAAAGATATGCCTGATGCGAGTAGACGATCCTGATAGAATTCAGCTCTCGTGTCTTCCTTCGTGCATTTCATAACCTCGCCCATGAACTCCTGGATCCTCCGAAATGACTTGTCCACTTCGTCGCTGTGGCCCATCTTCTGAGAAAGAAAATAGACGAGCTTGAAAAGGCGGTTGGGGAGTAACGAGAAACGAGAGAACCCCACAATGGCGTGAATGAAGCCATTGGCGCTGAGTTTTACATCTGAAGTTTGTCGTTCGGCTAAATTCAGATGTGCGTGCTCAGTCAATCCACCATATGGTTGACCTAGCACATAGTCCGAGACTACATCGATAGAGAGCTTTGCACAGAGATCCAGAATATCGGTCTTGATCCCCGCTTGCCGAAACGCGCAGAGTTGGCACAAGAAGTCTGCAACGTGTCGCCCAATCGAGCCTTGAGCGCTGCTTTCTTCTCGCAGCCGTGCAGGAGAGAACAGCGGAGCGACTGCCTTCGCTCTCACGTCACGGTATGCTGTGTCAATGGAAGAGAATATTGACACTACCGGCCCCAGGTTGAAGTTCTTATATCGGGCATCTTTGAGGAATCCACCACCAGCCATGTAGATCTCCCTAACAGCATCGCTGTCGGCGACTGAGATAGCATTGGGGCCTATACGGAGGACCTTCGTCTTGTACTTTTCATGATATCTGCGTAATACGCTGCCCTCGATGCCAAAATAGCAAATAGAATAAAGAAACAATGACGAAATAGCAGCGAGTGGCGGCCCTGGCACGTGAGCGAGGGGGTGGAAGCGTAGTCGGTAGTATATTGGCAGACCCACCGCCAGAAAATAGAGGACGAACAGCGACTCAAACATACCGAAAGATTGGTACAACAGGCTTTATTAAATTGGACTTTCTTGGATAGACTTTAACTCAAGCAAGTCAACAGATTCATCTCTAAGCTGAGGCGGAAATCAACATCGTGGTCAGGATGTCGAGGTTCCCAAGTGTATCCAATGCCTGATGAGACATAGCAGGGCTGACCTTTTTTTCACCCGATCGCGACAACAACTTTACAAGCCGACATGTCACAGCAAATAAGTAGAAGTCTACTCGGTGTCGGATGCAGCTTACTCAGTGGCCTTGCTCTATGCAACAAGGGCTATGAGAACTCTAAGCGATGGTGTGAGAATGAATCAAGAACACTCTGGAAGGATACGCCAAACATGTACCCCTCGGAGTATATGGATAAGGATAATGAATTCTACCAAGAGGTTTGTGAGAGTATATTCTAAGAGACCCACTTAGCTAAGCGACCTCCTTTTGGGTTGAATGATAATCTGTTTCTAGACAGTATCCTTGATAAAAAAAGAGTGTGATTATAGTATCAATTATAACTCGAATTTATCAACTGTCGGTTTTTTTTGGGGAAGAAATAACGACTCACTTAACTGATCTATCCACATCCTATTAATAATTCTCACTGATATAAAGTCAGTGCCTTTAATAGCTTCCGGGAACTCAACTAGGACGTTTATACTATGTTTTAGCAGTTCAGAAAATCACTTCTATCTGAACCCTTGACACAAGTTCTTCATATTGATTTCTTATGATGTACTTCTCAATTAGGGCTTTCAGGATTGGGCAGAATCCTTACCACCTCCCTTCAAATGCACACGCTCACTTGAAGAGCTCCAAATTCGCCTCAACCCAATCCCTCAACGGAGTGGCAGGCTTTCCCGTATACTTCTTTACGTTCTCGATACCCTCCTTGTAATTTGCGAGCCAAGAACCATCTTCCAACTCGGGGTTTGTGTCTCCCAATTCCCTAATCAGATACTCCGCCATTGGCTTAGGTGCACCTTTCGCAATGTACTGCGCCAATGCCTCCTCCGGATCAATACCCGTAACCTTGATTTCCTTGCCCAGCACCTCACCGATAATTTCCAGTCCCTGCTTCTGCGACAGAATTTGCGGACCGTACAGAAAGATTTTGCGCTGCCCATCCTGTGGTAACCCCTCCGCCAAAATCGTGCCAATGACCCCGCCAATGTCCACAGGCGTGATGCAGTCAATCTTGAAACCGGGCGCATACATCGTCACCTCACCAGTGCGAATCCCCTCCTTTTGCCGCAACAAATTGGTCGCAAACGCCCCGGGACGTAAAGCAACATACCCATCTGGCCCGTAAACCTCATCCAACGTGACCTCGACCTGTGCATGCGCGTACGGGATCTTCTCGCTCGGTTGCACATCCGCCGCTGGAGTGTGACCGATGGTATAGCTGCTGAGCAGCACGACGAAATCGATGCCAGCGGATTTGAGCGCTTCGGCGGTGCCTTTCATGTAGTCTTTCGTGCCCTGGGCGACGTAAATGAATGCGCGCGTGGCGCCCGAGGTCTTGACGGCGGCGGCGACGGTTTCTGGCTTGCTTAGGTCGGCTTGGATGCGCGAGTAATTTCCCGCTTTCTCGGCGTCGGGGGTGAGGCCTGGAATAGGTTTGGAAGGATCGCGCATGGCGAGCCAAACTTTGGCGCCTTTCTGGTGAGCAATTTGGGCTGCGATAGAGCCATTATTGCCTGTTGGGCCGAAGACGATCACGGTGGCCATGATGAGTGTAGGCGTTGACGGGATAAAATAGCAGATAGCAGAGAAGATGGAGATGAATATGGAGATGATTTGCTTCTGAGACTCCAACGACAACAACATACCAACACGTGCTGACACGTGCCGGCAGAGTTCTAACCACAAGCAGTGACCCCGAGTAATATAGCACCTATCACCTAGATATAGTAAACAAAATTATCGTTTTACTTCATCTTACTAATAATCATGCCGTAAGGTTTGTTTGGTTGATAATAACCTTATTGAAACTTTTCTACGCTCGATCGTCTTGTCCCCTTGAGCCCTCATATCTACACCAGCGTACAGTGAATTCACAAAATGATCAAAGTTATTAAAATCGGCAAAAAAAAGAGGATTTCCTATGGGTCCCGACTGATTATCGAGCCTAGATCAAATCAAATCAAAATATTTAATTCACTCCCAGCGTGACAGGGCAGATTACTGGCATTGAGCAACCCATCCCCAAACTTCCTCCACGTGTGAACAAGCTTGCTGGTTCGAAATCACTCTCTTTACAACTCTGATGCTTTGATGCCCTTGATATACTATTCTTTCTTTTTTGATTTCGGTTTTGCATCTTGACCTCTCGGAACCAAAATTCTCGTGAAGCCTACAAACAATGAATCACATTTGATTCTTTTCAGATAGATGGAGGTATACCTTAAAATATCTGGTGGTAGATCTATTGAGCAAGGCAATATGGTTGCTTCTTGGTAGAAGATTGAGCTTATAGATTTGTAAGTCTTGGAAGTCAATAGAGCAAGAAGACTATTCACTTTCAATTTCTGGCAGTTTGTGGACTGAGATATAGTAATTTTGTTGGTACTCGAAATCACAATTACAATCTATTTTGATAGTTTCTCAATCAACTTCTGTTCTTTCCCGTGAACAGTAATTAGCCGTGCTTGTGGACGACCGCAATCTTCCCCGTCGCTGTGACTGCCTTGAAACTCCACAGCGCTATAGCAGCAGACCCAAAATTATACCCGCAAATTTCATGTCATGAATGTGAACTTCCAATCTCTGTGAGCCTATTTCTCGTCAAATTAGCACTTGACTGCGTCTAAAGTCTGCTCATTGCCCTCCTATATTTTCCGCATTAACTTGATGCCATCTAACTAAGTGTATATCTCTAATTCCAAGCTCGCCGAAGATAGGTTATGTTCCAAAGATGAGATCCAGAGCAACTAAAGCTCCACCAGAAACAGGAACGAAGCCCATTATCCCCGTAGGCTGAGATGCCTCTCTTTTGACGGTCATTTTCAGATTTGCGATACCCTATTTTGTCGATGATATGAAAATAACCTTGCGTCCAAGGTAAGAGAGGGTAGTTTCAATGAGCCTGATCTGCTCTTTAAATGAAAAGATTGAATTAATTTTGTCTCCTACGCCGGAAACTGTAGTATTGAATATCTACTCTCTAATGAATAAAATTCGATCAACCTCAAGCCCAAAGGGGCATAGATACACGATTTCTTTATTAACAACTCATCCAGCTTCACATGCTGGATTTCAACTAAGACCCATCGCACGGAAAAGATTAAAAATACAAACCAAGAAAGTGGGCTTTAGCTTTCCTGCTCAATCTCATTCTGTGCTGGCCAAATATACTAGCACTAGATAATGATGTTGTTGACTGCTGGTGGTGTTCCAACACAAGGTGGTTCTCGAAGACGTTGAACCTTCCCATGCGTACTTGTACTTTGCATTGTTCTCTTTTCCGTCTTCCGCCATGGTGCCGTGACTTGGTACAAAGCTGTATCGAAGGTTCGACTATTTAGCTTTGTAGAGTATTGTAGATTAAGAACCAAACATACTTGAGCTCAAACCTATAGTTATCTTCTTCAAGAGCCATTGTTAAGATATAATAGCATTGATATTGAGTTCCATTTAAGATAGGGGCAACATCAGATGAGAGTTTCTCCCCTGTGTTTCCGGCCCACGTGCCTCTTCCACTCAACCATTTATTGTCAACCTCCTCGCAGATTGCGATTACAGCAATTTCTTGAACAGCGCGTCGTTGTGAGTAGTTGATTATATAAATTATTCAAGATACGACTCTTGATTCTCTCTCAAAACGTCACTTTGATGCTATGATCCCAAAACCTACACCTAATAATAAAGCTATACAATTAATTCATTATTATAAATGCGTTAAAAGTACCAAAGGCTTTACATAAGTTAACGTAGATAAATTGTTCAGATAAATCTTGCCTGGAACCCCCGAGGCTAGAAGAGTCACTTTTCTATGATGGCGCATGTCATCGTCTATTCCAATTTTGCGGTGCGTCATCATTAATTTCCAATAGCTTATAAATTGCAGTAAATTACAACATAACACAGACACATACGAGACCTAATGTAGTTTGAGAGAGTAGTGAGCTATCCCGGTTAACCTCAATATATGTCGAACGGACCAGGATAATGAATAGTTGATCAGCACAATCCCTGTGGAATTTCTCACGCTGTGCATCTGCAATCAGAGGGTAAGAGGTTCTAGAGGTATTCCTAAATGTTTCGCAGCAAAAGATTGCAATTGTCGCCATCTGTGACGTCTATCTATACGGTGGGGCAAAGTGTCTCTAGCCCACTTACTCGGGGCCGGTCAGAAATACTTGGGCTACAACCTACAGCCAGGAATCGCAGTTCGAAAGTTATTTAGAAAATTTGGGTAACTGCAATAAAAGATGGTGGTCTAATTGAAAAATCGAACTTTGTACGTACGTGTAAAAGATCGCCGCGATGACATTATTAACCAACGGTCATGGCAGTCCGGACCTCCTCAAGACTCTCAGGGGCATCAACGCCGAATCATTTAGCAATGATGCAGATCGCGCCAAAGCTGTTGTTGAAGTTTACTCCTTGCTTGCTCGTCTCGAGACGCCATGGGAGTCTATCGCCAGATTATGTATGGGCCAGGTGAATCCACCTCACTAATTTCCTCCCATACTTTGGAGCTAAAGCCTTAATAGCCAGCTTTGGGCGCCGCTTTGAAAATCGGAAAAGATCTGCAGCTTTATGAGAAGTGGCATGAACGCGGCGATGAGGCGATGACCAGCGAGCAACTTGCAAAGATCGTGCCCTGTGATCATGCTCTCCTTTGTTAGTTGCTCAAATGAGATGGAGGAAGTTTCAAATGCTAAATAATTTGTCTGGTCTAGCCCGCCTTCTTCGTCACTTAGCAGCAAATCATATGCTTCAAGAAATTTCGATTGGTGTTTTCAAGCCGACAAAGTTCACTATTGCCCTTCTTCAGCCAGCCTTTGGGGAATGGATCAATCATCTGTATGTCTTCAAGTATGAAATATACACCGCACAACTAATGGCAGTTTTAGTTACGATGCGACCATTCCCTGCTTTTTCAAATTGCCCGAGTATCTGGCAGAGACAGGCTATAAGAATCCTGTGGATCCTGCCAACGGTGTCTTCCAGTACACAAAAGGCTGGAAAGGAGACATGTTCAATTATTATGAAGCTCACCCCAGAGAAGGAGAATCTTTCAATCATGTCATGGGTGGTGTAATGGCCAACCAAGCGGGATGGCTGGAAATATTTCCGCATGAAACTCTGCTCAATACTGACAATGATCTTCCTCTCTTAGTAGATGTGGGTGGGAATATTGGCCACGACCTAGAAAGATTCCGTCAGGCTCATCCCGAGACAGCCGCACGTTTGTATTTGCAAGATCGACCAGAAGTTGTGAAGCTCGCTAAGTGTCCAGAGCCAGTCAACAAAGTTGGCTATGATTTCTTTACCCCGCAGACTATCAAAGGTATGTCGTATTATAGTTGGCCGTGACTTATGGATATGACAGTTTCTAAATTGTTCATATAGGAGCGCGCGCATATTACATGCACGGTGTCCTCCACGATTGGTCTGACGAGCCGGCTCTTAAGATTCTCCAAATGCAGAAAGACGCAATGACACCCAGGTACAGCAGACTTCTAATTCACGACCACATTGCTCCCGAATCTTTGGCACATTCTCATACTACAGCTTACGATCTTACTATGATGGTGATGGTGGCTGGTGAGGAAAGGAGTGAGACACATTGGCGCGAGCTACTGAAGTCTGCTGGCTACCAGGTGGTAAAGATCTGGGCATCCCCACTTACTGTACAAGGTATCATTGAGGCCGAGATTATCACGTAGACTTTACGGGCATATTTAGATTCTGATCAACTGTTTGGTGCGCGGTTTTATAATAAACTATATTTCGCTCAATTGACTCATCCGTTGTCCAGCGCAGATCTAAACTCGCTCTTCCAATGGTTGATCGAAATCATATTGAAAGCTGTCAAGATATAAGCACTAGACCTGGTTGGTAGAGGTATATGGGAGCAAGTAGATGGAGGGGATTTGGCATTACAAAGCCTGATACGAAGAAAACTAGAAAAGTGGAGAATTTAGAAAGTCACGATGAGCTCTTTCTTTATACGTACATAATCTGGAGTTTACTTTTCTCGAGACTGATAGATGAAAAGGCGAGAAGGCCAAGAGACCAGTTTCGCAAGCAGGTAACCCAAATCGTATGTTTAACCTAGACAATAGGCTCTCGGTCTTGATTTAAATAGAGCTGATATATATAACGAGGTAGAATTGCCTAATGATAACACGATCAAATGTCTATCTCTTCTTGATATAACAATCCATGTCCCACTGCCTCACGAACCAGCTATTCCTTGTCTTCCACTTCTTTTCCACTCCCCCACAAAGCTCAAATTCAAGTTCCAAAAACATCGTCGGCACTAGCTTATACATCTCCAAATAACTAATATGCTTTCCCATACAAGCTCGTGACCCATGCCCAAATGGTAACCATGCCTTTTTCATTGCCGCGACTCGGTCTTGGTAGTCACTCTCTGTTTCACTCTCGTCCCTCAACCAACGTTCTGGCTTAAAGCTCGTAGTATCCGCTCCAAATATCGGGTTTTGATGCAAAACCCATGCGTTCATGCTCACCTGAACTCCCTGTGGGATATTTGCTCCATCATCCAGTAAGAGGCCGCCCTCGGGTACAACACGTTCAAGACCGAATCCCACAGGTGGATGTATTCGTAGCGCTTCATTAATCACGGCTGAAGTATAAGGTAGTTTCTGCGACTCTTCCCAGGTCACAGGAACGCTGAGTTGCGCTCCATCCAGCTCCTCTAAAAGTTTCCTCAGCACGTCTGGGTTGCGGAGAACCATGTACATTATAGTCCGCAGCACTATTGCTATCGTATCAGATCCTGCGACGATATTGCTCGTCGTGTAGATCCCCACTGCCCGATTATCGACTACGTCGGGATGCTTCTGTTGCGCTTCTAGAAAGCGATCGATGAAGAGACGAGCTCCTGAAGATTTGCCCTCTTTCTTTAGTATTTTAAGCTGTTGTGCACGCTCTTGGACCAGCCGGCTAGCGAAGATGAAGAAGGACGAGCTTTTCTGTTTGAACAAGCTCACGATAGGATTTTTCTCGAAGATCCAGTCAATCCAAGGCATTTGTGAGCGCTAAGATATAGTCAGAAATCGTCGTGGATAAAAATTCAAATTCATATGTAGGTAGGAGGTTCACCGGTGCGATAAGATCCAAACGTGCGTCGAGAAGGTGAATCATATTATTTACGTCGAGTCCTTTATCGAGAAATTCAAACGACTGGCCCATCGTCATCTCGGCGATCGCATCGAAAGCAACTATTCCAAACATACTAAGCTTCATACTTATAACACCGACCCGGAGTCAAGAACTTACAGTACTGAAACCATGAACCGAGATCGCATGGTAATCTTTGCTTCGTAGCAAACTCTTCAGTAAGCCTTCGAACAAACTTGACAATGCAAGAATCTACAAATGGTTCATATTCTATCATTGATTTAGCACCGTAAGCATCTGCAACAGGTCGCTTGATGCTGGCATGAAATTGAGGATCTCGTGATGTGAAGAGGTTGTAGCCAATTTGGTTTTGAACCTTGGCTTGGAAAGGATGGTAAAATGCGCTCTGGAATCTTGCATTAACAAGATTACTCTAGTTTTGTCACAATTGTGATTACCTTATCGAACCCATGGCCTGCCCCGTATATCTTTTGGATATATGATGGATCCGCGAGACTGAGCGTCGTTGGTCCAACCCGCATAATTGGACCGTACTTCTGATGGAGTTCGATAATTTTGAGATGTGATTCTCCGGTGGCGGCGGTGCGAAAACGCCATATGTCGGAAAACTTAGCCAAGAAAGGGCCAGGAAATTGATGAAGTGGGTGAATAAATCCATAATAGACAGCATATAGTATTGTAAGAATTGCCAATGATGCTAGTGATGAAAGAAAAGTTGGAAATTCCAACAATATCGCCTGCTGTAGGGTCATTTTTCATATTCTGCCTACTACTTTCATCTACTTGCATAGCACTACAGACGGAAGAGAATTGTAGGTTTCCAGCGAGCGAAAAGAAAACAGTCACCTTGAAAACATCTGTTTACCGACAAACCATGAGAGAAAAGTGAAACTAGTCACCTGATTCTTCAGAATTGAAGGACGCTGTTCATTACTCGGCCTCGCACCAAAACAAGGTTGCACCAAGTAAAATCTCAGCATAGTTATGCTGAGTAAGACAACAGACACTGCTTGAACACTGGGCTTATGCAACCACTTAGGAGGCGTATCCGCTGGTACGCCTCCACTCATTTTGCTCCGTCATCGTGGTAGATGCATCGTTGAATTATACTCCCGTTGATAGAGGAATGACCGATGATTTTCGGCAACGGATTCATTTCAACGGGCTCGAATAATGTATATTTACAAAGTAACGCCAAGTAAATCCCACTTGCAGTCCGTGATAATATTACAACATCAAACGATATTATACAGAACGACTCAATTCTTACCTTCCTTGTTCATTCAAGATGGACAGAAATACGTGCCAAGCGCCACCAGATCTGCCATCAGCTCTTCACATACCAGACTCGCCATTCACAAGCGAATCCAGCTTCCCATCTAGCAATGCGCTTGTATACTTAGATGCGTCGCCAGTCAGCTTTAGCATCGTTGGTGTCCACCCAGCTCACTGTAGCCGTCTAAATGTGGTTCTTCAACAGATCATATGCGAAAGCCTCGACGCATTCTTGCCTCTCTATTGCAGGCCTATCACCCACGACATCACCTCTTCCCCAGAAGTGCGATTAATAGCTCGATCACCGTCATTCTTTGTATTTGGTGGCACTTCGGGTGTCATATAGTAACGCGATTGCACAATATACTAGTTGATTTTATCTAGACTCTAGATTCTTGCATCTGCTAGCGCTGATAATAAAAAATATATGTCTCTTTGCAAGTGTAGGCCAACCCTAGCCAAACAAAACATCCAGCCAAACACCGTCATTATCTGAAGCATTTCAAGGACATTATTCATTACCAAAAACAGTCAGACTTTCAATGGCTTTGGCTTCATCTTTACTGTATAGGGCGTCCCAGTGCTGGCAAGTCCAACCATAAGACCTTCTAGTTCTGTGACTGTGCACTCTGCGTGGACAGTTACCTCGTACATGGGTATTGCATGGTCTTGTGTATGCTGGCGATTCTTTGAAACAGTAGACATCGATTTAGGGGCATTTGAATAACCACCCTCTATTTCAGCAGTGTTGTTGCAGGCAGGTAGGCCAAGCATCGGCTTGGTGACTGTGTTGTATTCAGGCAAGGGGTGACCAAAGTCCATGGCATCTCCACCTACGCTCGGGTTAGTAAGTTTCAGAATGGGCAGATCTAGTTGTGATATGATAGAATCCAGCTCAACATTCTTGGATCAAACTTACTTGTGTTCATGGTACCCCTATACTGCATAGCACCATTCTCGTGATATTCTGAGGGCACGTTGAGTGAGGCGTGATCAAAAGAATATGTACTCTCGCATGGGGTCAAGTAAGACGTGCCATTCATCCATGTTTCTGTACAAAGGTTGCTTATATCGTGATGAAATGAACTGGGACTGATCATGCCGGAGCCGTTGTTGGTACTGATATTAATTGCAGACTCGGGCGATGCTATGGACCGGTCTTTCATTTCAGTATCAGGAGCACCGCTGCTCATTTCTTTGCTACCAGGTGTGGGTGAAACGTAGGAAAGTTCGCGATCATCATCGACACCGCCCTCGTCCTCCTCATCCCACCCTTCGTCATTTTCGTCCTCTTCCTCTGCATCCGCTTCCCGGCGCGAGTCCCACTGGCCCATATCTGGAGTCTTTTGTTCGATCCCCTGATCTGTGTTGCTCGTCACCATGATGCTGTCATCGGTCCCCGAAGAAGCCTCAACTATCTTTCCCCGAGTAGCGTCTTTTGCCTTCTTGCTGTTCTCATTCCTTAGTCGCAGAGCTGAATATCGATTTTTGAGTGCAAGCGTAGTTCTTTTCTGGGGATGTGATAACGATATCGTGGTCCAATTAGTCCCATGGGAAAGAACGGCGTGAAGTAGAAGCTCATCCTGTAAAGTGTCAATTAATTGAACAGAATCCTGCCAAGCTGCGGCAGCGGATTTTTCTTACCTCTTGTGCAGTCCAGTCACGGTGGTTGATACTCGGGTCTAGTACATGATTCCAGTGACTCAAGCATTGATCAGAATTTCTCGACCCAACGGCCAGAGCGACTTGGCTCCAATTTGTGCCATGCTTCTGCACAGCTTCAATCAGCCTTTCGTCCTCGTTCTCGCTCCATGGTCCCTTAGCGGGACCGTCAGCAAGACTATTCCACCAACGACGGCGGCAATCTTTGTTGGATCGGCCCGGAACGGATTTGGCCAGCTCCCGCCAGAGAAGTGGGCGAGATTGTGCCTGAGCTACACGTAAGTTAGCTCCCGCTTCTATATTCCTGCGCTGCCAAGTAGGCGCCACGATCTTGACGCTTGGTTCCTCGAAATGAATAAGCTTTTGCCACAGGCCTTGGATGGGCAACTTGAATTATATACAGTTCAAGTCCAAGCCGGCTAAGCTCGATGCCCAGGAGGCCAAGTTCCTAGAAGGCGGAGTAAAACATACCAGTGTTAACAGCCGTACGTAATAGGGTATCTTCTGCTAGCGTCCAGTTACGTTTAGTGCGTGCCATGGTGCTGAAAGTGCAAAAAGGCATGGGATATAGAACTTTCACATGGCTAATGGCTTTTCCTATATATGCTAACGGTTAACATAATCAGGTCAAAGATCAGCATTACTTCTTCTCTTCAACGGATTCACTTCCATCAAGACAAGATAGAAGCTTTCTTTGAATGCAGCGGTTTTAATTGGGGGGCTCGCGTCCGCACCTCCTCGATGGCTTGGCGTAAGAAATACCCCGCGTAAGGTATGTCAGACACCCTATCCGAGCGGTGGCTTCTGTATGATACCGTTCAAGCCTTACGGGCAGATGCGGGAGTCCTACACGGTATCGAAACGGTTCAGAGGTAAGGACAACGTGCATTTGCGATTACTGTACATGTTTAGCCACCGTGTCAAAATAAGCGAATGATATCTCGTTATAATCATCGGCCTAGTCGCACCGGTCCCGGGACACAGATCCCGTATCTGGGCAGCCGAAAGTAAGTAACTACTGAGAATATACCTGACTATTTGAGGGTTACCGATGTTATTTCACGGTAGTAAGCGAGAATTCAAAGCTATAAAGCTCTCTTCAACGCTTCTTCTACCTTCCTTTCTGAAGCAATCTCTGGCGTCGGCTAAACTGCGTTGTCGGGCGCATTATGCATAGTAAGCGGCAGCTTATATATGTTCACCAAGCCTGTAGAGCGTCCCTTCTTATCACAATGTTGTACACTTCTTCTCGTGTGGCTGACAACGGATACCTTTCCAATTGGTTATGATAAGATCCGAGCAGTTTTCGAGCGGATGTAATCTTCCTTCTTGATGACCTTCCAGTAAAATCCCTTGAAGATTGGGATAACTTGGTGTTCGCTACCGTAGAGCGCTGTCAGGATATGTTGTGGTTACGGCCGGAAACTTTTCGCTAGGTGGAAGGGGGTGTCAGGAACCCGCAGGTTGCCGTGGTCTCATAACTATGTTAGAGTCTGTGGATGGTGGGCCGATGGCTACACCCTCTGAAGAAAGTTAGAAGTAAGCCCAACCTGGAAGCTGTCGAGCGTGAAGATTGGACGGTATCTTCTTCCTATAGATTGTATGTTGTACCCCGTGGGGTCCCGTCAGGGCCCCTGCTGGCGTGAAGCGGACCGACCCGCGAGGAACGTAGTGGAGGCGGTTGGATGGTGGGCTATAGAAACCATCTACTACAGAAGCCAATCACGGAAATACCTCAAGATAACGCAGTCTCTGTGATCTGTCGGGAACTCATTGCTGACATTCTCTTCTACTACAATACTTTCATGTCCGTCTTAATGCGCGAATTCAGGCTAATTTTAAATATCAGCAGAATGCGAGCCGCTACTGGGAGTACGACTGCCATTTTAGTCATATAAGAGCGGTGGGTGAGATCTGAAACCTGTCAGCTTACTTGAAGCTTGTAGAGTTTGGAAACCATATACGAATTTGTGTAACTCCCTTCGTCAATCGTCCGCATAGCAGCCGAGATGCCGACTGATTGTAGCAATGTTTTTGAGATACAATACGTCTTTGCAGTAACCTCCGAGTAGCATTACCATTCCTCGGCTTTGCACGGCCCGGCCAACGATCGAGATACTATTAAAACTCGGCTGACTGTGGTGGATAGCATAATGAGAATAACAACACGCACGCGGGGCACCTCTTGACATGAGGGTGTATTATTGGAGGTCTCCGAAATCGAGGCTGCATGAAATCTCTAAAAGTGAGAGAGGGTTACACTGACGCTGACTTCTGACGGTGAAGTGGTCTGAGGGAGTGATTAAATTGTAATGTTCGCGAATGGCGGGCAATAAATAAAAAAGAGCCGCTAGGGGGGCACGACAAGTCTCTAACTAATGGCATCTTCTCTATATTTCAAATGGCTAGTTCAACAACTGGTCTTAAACACATAATTTCTCACCACCCCTGTTATTTCATGTCTTCGAAAGAGACAATTTCTTACTACTTTTCACTTACGTGTGGTGTGTGTTAAGCGAATACGTATAAACAGGCGATAATGTTACGCTATCCTGCCGAGGCATTATCAAGTGTCTGATTGCATATTATCCATAGTGGGCCTGGCTTGTACTTTCTGGTTACCGGTTACTAACCGGATCTAACCTCTAATACTTGTACCCCGAACTCCGTTCTAGAGAGCGAATGGTTGTGACAAATACAAGAACTGAAAAACTTTTGCACAAAGCCTCTATAAGTACCATTGGACCATGACGCATCTTGTAATCAGTATAGATGAGTCTCACACTCAGACAACATGTCTCATTCTTATGGTGGAACGGGTAAACTTTAAGCTTAATCGATTTATACATTCGTCTGTGACCGTATATGACAACGGGGGTGTCGACGTGGTATGACCTATTGGGGAAAGTTGTGGGACTGGTAGTTGTGGCTTTATGGATCTATTCAAGTGGAACTGTGGAAGGAGAAAATGTCAAGCATTATCACCTAAATCTTAAGCCGGTAACGGATAAAGCAGTTAGTTTGTTAATAATGCGAAGAGAAAGAATATAAAGAAGATAACTCTTATCTTTAGACCAATATCAGCAGTTACTGGTCGTTGCTTGATCCATCGCTAATAAAGTACTCGTCGTGTAAAATGATATGTCAGATATGGCTCTAGAAGCAGCTTCCTATTAGGTCCCCCACGAGATTATGTGAGTACAAGGTATGCCTATAAGCACTAACCATATCACTTTGAGGGTGGTTCAGGTATAGATCGGCAGAGATGAATTGTGTCAGCGGCACGCATAACAACTGGTAAAAATTAGAACCCGTCTTTTTTGATAAATTAGGTCAAAGACGATTAAGCTTATATTTTGGAAACATCCCGAGCTTCCATATGTGCCGCTGTTAAATCCCACTTACTTGCGACTCTTCACGGTGGCCACGGCTTAGGTAATCTTCCGAATAAGAGCGTTCCTCACCGGCACTGTTGTGCGAGCCTGTCATTGAAGCCGGTAAGAATCAAAACTGTTACTATCACATTTAATCTTTAATGTGAATTGTATTTTTTTTGAGATCGAACGTCGTTTGCGTGCGCGTGGATACGTTGACTAGACTCGTTGACTTTATTTGTGGGGTGAGACTTTGCTTATTAAGAATCTAAACCCAGCTGTAGAAAGATGTAATCATCTGATTTGAGGAAACCGTCGAGCTCACACGTGACCTAAGTTATCCTTAGAAGACTTGTGCTATGTCTATTCATATTCTGCAATGGTGGCAAATATTGCGTAATGGTTGACTTTATGTATTTGGAAGCAGGCTTTGACGCGAGGAGGTCTCGAGTTGTATTACAGATACAACCTCTCTTAGTGATAGGTAAAATGTCATTTTGAGGTTTAGTTAGGCTATGAAGGACGGATATTGATTTCCACAGTCCTACAATTACTATATATCACGAATAACGGCGCTCTGCATACGTCTATGTGAAGTACCGCTTTTAAATTAGCTTGTATCCCATATAATATGAGGTTATAAATTATCGTCTGATACACATGCATTCCAGCCTGGCCCTGCTTGCTGGCACGTGTCGACCAGAAAGTCAGGCTCTGTTTATTCCAGAGAGATCTCGAAGTGCAATGACCAAACCTACTCACGCCACCCCTCCCATATGGTCCCTCAACTATTTTCGGCGGTTCTTGGAGACACTCGCAAAGATAAGGTTCGAGGTACAGTCTCAACCCCTACTGGCCTGGATCGCTCATCAAGACCAACGTTAAAATTCCTAAAAACCTACTAATCATTAGTAATCCGGCACCCAACACATAGAAAAAAGCCTACTTCAAATATCACTTTATCCAACGCCATACAAGCAATATTCATGCCTAAGCACTTCGTAATCCCGTAATTAAACACCAATTCCAAATTTCGACTCATCTGGGCCAAAACATCGGCGTCACCCTCTAGCCATCTATCAGGTCGGAACTTCTCAACATCGTCACCAAAAGCCCTACTGAGTTGCGCAGCTTTGGAATTGATACCGACGAAGGTTCCACCGGGAATGAAATGGTTTCCTAGCTGGTCACCGCTGGGCGGTGCCATCCGTTCGCGGAGTTGAAACGAAGGTGGGTAGATACGAAGCCCCCTGATATGCAGGCTTGGAGATATGACATCTTATGGATAGTGGATGCTTTAATAGGGTATGAAGAGTCTGAGGCGAGTACTGCATCTATTTCCTTTTGAAGCTTTGGTAATACACCGGGGGTCTGTAGCATTAGGAAAAGGATCGCTTCGAATGCTGTAGTGGTTGTTTCAATACCCGCACTCCTATTTCATGGTCAGTATGTGTTTTTATAAACGTGACAGATGACCAGCCATACATGATTATGAGCAGTTCTTCCATGGCATCTTTTTCTGTGAGGCCTCGTGCGATGAACATGTCGAGCATTTCTACCTTCGGCCCTCGTTTCGCAAATCTTTCTCTCACCACGTTTTGGATAATCGGCGAGGGATTTAGCTTCTAAGTACCAATATAAATGAGGCTAACATATGAACCTTACCGTAAGTACATTACCGAGAGCAGATCCATCACCAGGACTTGGTGCAAGATATCCGCCCAATAGCGGAATATGAGAAAACATAATCAAAAGGTTCTTCAACTCCGGCAGAATAGATAGAGAGGTTTGTACTCTTGTGCCTGCATTAAAAATTGAGATAAAGTTGTGAACATCTTTATCCGCATCCGCACATCCAAATGGCTTCCCAATTGCCAGCTGTGAAAGAACATCAACAGCAAGAAATCTGAAGTTCTTCATGATATCCACTGCAGCTTTTGGTCTACCGCACCACTGAGTTTGAATTTTCTCAACCAGTTTCTGAACGTGCCCATCCATTATCAATTCCAAGTTCTGCGCATTCTTATTCAAAAGCTGTGTTTTGTTTTAATCGGGAGCGGAAATCACGAATGAACCTTGTTAGAGTAGAAACATACCCCAGGACTAAGGATATTTCGCTTCAATTGATGTGCCTTTGGCTCTCTTTCAGATACAATATTCGAAGCGTCGTGCGCAGAAACACAGACAAAAATTGATAACTCACTAGGCTCTTTCGAGAATTTCTTACACACGACATGTCTCCGAATCGGCGGGTTATACGGAGAGCGAGATGTGAAGACCATTGCAAGCCTCTTGAAGTTGTTGAACACGTTGGGCGCTCGAGTACAAGTCGGTCCAAACAAAGCAATGCACGATTTTGTTTACACCGAAAATGCAGCAAAGGCACATGTTCTTGCTGCGGAAGCCCTTTTCGATTCCAAGGCAACAATTTGCGGAGAAGCATGCTTATTACAGATGATACCCCGCTTCCTTTTTATTTTGTCCAAAACGTCGTCGTCTCAGCTGGTGACAAAAGTCTCACCTCCCCCTAGCCAGTCAAACTTATCATGATTCCATTTGGAGTGATGTTGTTCTTTGTTGGAATAGGAGAATGGAGTTTCAAGATTTTTACATTTGGACGAAAAACGCCGAAAATAGGACGACATCATTTTGATTTTATGAGGAAAGGATGTTGGGTATCAATTGAAAAGGCGCAGAAGATTTTGGGGTATGTGCCAATTTGTGGGACGATTGAGGGCGTTTCGAGAAGTGTTCAGTGGTTTCATGAAGATGGAAATGAAGAACTGATCACTGGGGAGGCTGAGAAAGGGAAACAGAAAATGTAGGATGGATATCAATGAGGAATGTGTTTACTTGCTGTGCTTTGTCGTAAAGAAAATTCGCTATGGGGTACGAGGGCGCCTGCCCATGACAAGCCCCTTTTTAGCTCGCTAATCTGATAGATCACCGCTATGATCCCCCAGAATTAATTTTCGACAAAGTAAAACACAAAAGGCAGTGATATCCGCCGGGCGATGGGCTTGCGTAGATGAATGTAGGACTCAGCCGCTCTGACAAATTAATTACTTATCTATACAAGTATGTGCCCCTCAAAAGCATTCATTGTGAGCATGCATTTTATATCGCGGTCCAGTTCAACTTTGGTAATTATACTCGGTATTCACATATAGTGCAGTTTGCATCATTCATCTACATATGCATGTGCGTGCCTCTTAGATGCATTGGATTGAGGAAAAAAACGTTCGTGTTGGTGTTGTATATGCACAGGACGCTTCGCACCATTCACCATTCATCCAAGCGAAGATATTATTGGATTTGTTTATCGCAGATGGGGCCAAAGGAGCAGCCTGATATTACGGAATATCTATAAACATCTGTAAAAGTGTTGGAGTTCCCATCGCCAAGGCGTACCACCGTGTACCACCAACAAGCGGTCTGGATTGTAATCAATCAGAGATTTGCAACCAACAGGTTTAATTAAGAGGTTTTCTTCGCCTGGAATTGAGCCATGTGCCAAGCAATTCCCCGTCGTATCCCTTCCTTCATTTCCACGCGAGGGCGGTAGCCGAGTCGTTGTTTTGCTTTGGTAACATCGAATGTTCTGATTTCTGCCGTGTACTTGAGCATTTCAGTGGTGATGCTTGGTTTTTCTCTAAAGGTGCCGACCCAAATAGCCCACTCCATGATCTTCACAAAGAAGCAAACGACGCTCAGCGGGATGGTCCAAATTTGGGAGTCGGGGATTGGCTTTCCGATTTCGGCTGCAACAAACCGAGAAAATTCCCAGAATGGCCATGGGTCATCGTTGGTCATGAAGAAAGCCTCACCGTCGACTCTGAGTTCTTGTGGGATGGGTTCCTTTGCTCGCGAAGCCTCCAAGAGCTTCTTTGCAGCGAGGACATGTCCCTCGGCTGCGTTTCCGGCATAGATAAAGTCGTAGAGATTTTTGCCAGTGCCAACGTGATATTTCGCTCTGCCGTCTTGTGCCATTTCAATCATATGCTTCGTGAGAACTCTGTCGCCCTCTCCAAAAAGGGTGCAAAGTCGTATTGCAGTCGTGAGGAGGCAGTTCTTGCCATTTGCTGCGAGAACAAGTTCCTCTCCAATCTTCTTCGTCCTAGAATAGACGGCTCCATCAACTGGATTCTCAGGAAGAGGCCAGGTTTCGTTTGCCATAAGAATATCATCGTAAGAATGTTGAACAACTTCAGAGCTAGAGGTGTACACATGAATTCTAATTCCCAACTCCATAGCACAGTCGAGAACAATTTGAGTACCGGTGATATTCACCTCTTCGAGCAGTCGAGGAACAGGTACTAATGGGTCTGGAGAGGCTGTGTTGATGATGACCTCAGTATTCGTTCTTCTAAGGGCATCCAGGACGTCTTTTTTTGAGGTAATACTGCCGGTGATGTATTCAACCTTAGAATTTTCGTAGCGGTTATTTTTTGTCGAGACGTCAAAGACTGTAATATACGTCGCGTCGCCAGATTCGAGCAGGTATTTGACGATGTGGTGACCGAGCAACCCACAACCGCCAATGATGAATACCGAGCCAAGATTACTATCTGTCATGATGAATGTGATGTTTTGCTTTTGGGTGATGAAAATATACTCTGTAGGTCTTCTGAGGGGTTGTATCAGAAAGCAGAGGTTTGGTGATGGAAGTAATTTATTGTACAGTAGGAAGCAGGTGAACCCTTGAACATTGACGCTGATAGGGCGGCCAGATTCCAGTCACGTGCATTGACCAACCCCCCTATTCATTGTCGTTTCGTCGGATTCCATCTAAGTACTTGACTAAGCAAAATACGTCGAAGCATCCAATTAAATTTAGATCATCATGGATGTGCAATTTTCAAGTCAATACATTAAAATTTGTTACATTATCATTGTCCTCCTAGTATGAATGTCTGAGGACTTTGGCTTAGAACTTATGTATATATCTGTCTATGACCATTTTCATCTTGCCTTCAAACAGTAGACTTGTTCGCAGCCAGTCCGCGGGTACTGCCTTCATCGAGTTCCATACTATCAGGGTTGTAACCTCCGTTCCCAGCATGCACTTCTCCAGACTGGTTCCTACTGGATCCTTCTTTATCAGTATGTCCGGTCCGAGATCTTGTCTGGAGCCAAAGTCTGCTGCTTCCATCGTTTCTTTGTAGCAACGATGTAAGGGACATAGAAGGTGCAGCTTTCCACACAGAGGGTAAAAATATGGCACAATTGCAACAAAGGGCGATGTTGACTTCTAAAATTCTGGCGGGTTGTCAGCCGCTAGCAAGAGGATTCTATGGGAGTATTCACTTACGCAAAAGGTCCCACCCATAGCGCATATGGCAAGGTATCTGGATCGTTGAAGTGGTTGCAAATCCAGATAAGTCTGACGACAGCCATGGCGCAAGCTCTGCACTGAGTGCGAATAATTTCCCCGAAAGCCAAGATATCCATGCTCGTAGAGAGATGCTATTGGAGGTTTATACTTACATGAACCCAGCAGCAAATAGAAGTCCCAATGCCCACTTCATTGCCACATTGATCTACAAGCTACGGAGCCTCAATAAGGGAATGCAGTATATAGAAGTCATTAAAGATACACAACGAGTCGAAGATGGCAGTATTAGTGCTTATCGCCTTTTTTCTGCACACTTTGATCGTCAAAGCCAACAATGGATCAGTGCATTTTACGTTGGGATTAATGATAACGCCGAGGTTTGGAATGGTTAAAATGTACTCATGGCTATTTAAACATAAATCAAGTACCTTGAGGTCTTGGAAACCTTGAACAAACGGTGGTTAAGTAACAAAATCGACAGGCAGACAAGGTACATGACTACTATCACAACTTCATTCATGACTAGCAACATCTGGAGAACCTTAGCTCTTGGGGCATTTCTTTTTTTTATACCTTGTATGGACCTACCACTAATCTTTGGTGAGTACAAGATGATTCCCTAATATCCACATGTGTTTTCCGATGCCATTGTCAAGATCTGGCTGTTGTCAGACGTGGTCGGAAACGAAGAGATGGGAGAGCCATACTATTGATCATCCACGTTGTATGGCAAATTGTTCCCAGCTGTAACAGAAGTTAACTGTGATTACTGTAATGATTTGATATATTCAGAAACCTCACAGCTGCAAGCAAACAGACTCCATCATCCCACCAAATGTTCTGCCGTGAGACCCATTTTCGTGAGAATAACCGCAAAAACAACAGCGACGAAAGTGAAGGCCGTGGAGATGAATCCTAAGACGATGAGAACAATACCATCGGTCTAAGGATTATCAAAATCTGACTGTACCCCGTTTGGAGGTGTCAATGCTGGATAATTGGCTAGTGCAGCCCTCATGTTAACCTGAAATCAGTTGTAATCCTCTTTCGGCTTGGTTTCATGTATTCCTGTATATATTCCTCGTACGAGCTCTGCTCACTTACTCTCCTTTGGACATCTCAATATATTACTTTCTCCCTCTATTGCTCACTCTACTACTTCCCTTCCCACGAAGGTTTATACCTCACGTTTGGATCATCAAGAGACATGTTTAACGAGACGTAGACAAGCAGGTTGGTATAAACAAAGAGACAACAGAGAATGAAATGATTATCAGAAAGAGCTCAAACCTGAACTCGATCTTGATCTAATACACATAATCTTTTGGGAGGATCAGTTTTGCTCCAGTGAGGCCCAGCGAGGCGTGCTTACATTGAGAGTCTAGCCTTTAGGCCCACCTTCCCATCGACTAATGTAACCACACCCAATCTTTTTACTATTGGTCTTACAACAGATATGCGAGGCTATCGTGCGAGTCGCACAAAATATAAAACTCGGTTCACCAGATGTTGGAACAACACTAACCAGGTATCAATATGCGAAGATAATTCTAAGCGAATTGCACAGCGGGTGGTATTTCGGCGGCAGGGCCTGTGAATCAGGTACTCGGGTGGCACCATTTTATTATCTATAGGGCAGGTTGTGCCGCTAGCAACACTGCCTTCCATTAATCCAGAATGCCCTCTTGTCCTCAATATCCACGAAGACAAAAGAAAAAGCACTTCGGCGCTTCATCGCACTGCACATACGGGCCAGTTTGGGTGTTGTTATTGAGTATTGGTCCACGATGGACGATCCTATGGCAATTCCACCAAATTCGGAGGATGGGTTGAACATGCCAACAGACAACAGCTCAACCACAAATCCGCTTCTTACCCTCATTCACGACTTGAAAGAAAACAATGGTTCACCCGAGAGATACCCCCGAATTGGAATCTCGATTTAAGATCTCCATGTCTATGGACGTGTACCAACCAGTGATTATTTGCATACTGTTGCTACCGCGCCGCTTCAAGGATTTGAATTCGTGAGAAGCGTTCTTCGTCCAGACAACGAGAGATGAATCGATATTTTAACACATATCGATGGCTTGGTTAAGAGCGGTGAAATGCTGGCGGTCTTGGGTAAGTCTGTTGGATCTAGTCATTGTCCAGTTCATGGGCATGTGGTAGCTTCGAACACAAAGCTAATCATTGATCAATAGGTCGACCTGGCAGTGTATGTACTATCCTCCTGAAGGTCCTTGCAGGCAATACTGATGGTTTATTTGTCGATGATGGGTCATCAATCAACTACCAAGGTGCTACACCCAAAGAAATACATGGAGAGTTTCGATCAGAATGCACCTACACAGCCGAACTAGATACGCACTTTCCAGAACTCACTGTTGGTGAGACACTTGATTTTGCAATAGCTACCCGATCATCGCAATCCCAGTATGTCAAAAATGTCAAAGATGTCTTGGTGGATATCTTCAACCTCTCGGGTGCAGTGACGACGCAGGTCGGAAACGGATTCATCCGGGGGATCAGTGGTGGAGAGAAGAAACGTCTCAGTATTGCAGAAGCTATGGTGGGGTTCTCTTCAATTCAATGTTGCGATAATAGTACTCGAGGCATGGATAGCTCTACAGCGCTTAGGATTATCCATCATTTTAGGGATCTTGCAACGCACCGCGAAGCCACCATCATCGTCAGTCTCTATCAGGCCTCGCAGAGAGCACTAGATGCATTTGACAAAGTTACGGTACTTTATCGAGGGCAGCAGATATTCTTTGGTACATGGGCAGATGGATTGAAGTATTTCCACTCTCTAGGCTTTCAGATTCCTCCCCAAATGACGACCGGAGACTTCTTTACGGCTTTGACAAACCCGGCAGAGGCACGACTATTGGTGCGGGAAGGAATGGGGTCACAAGTACCTGGCACAGCAGAGGGATTCCACAAAATATGGAGAGAGAGCAAAGAGCGGAAACTTCTACTCAATGGAATTAAGATGTTTAACCAAGAATGCTTACCAAGAGCTGAAATGGTCGATCAATTACGAAAGCTACGTACCGCTGAGCGAGGATGGTCTATGTAAGTGAACACCCGAATTGCGTCAAGTAACTTGCTCATTCCATGATTAAGTCGCCAGCACTCTCCATACAACGTCACAATCTTCCGACAAATCCAATTGTGCATCCGTCGAGGTCTTTCAGCGGAACAAGAACAACATTGCACTTCCAATATCCACGGTGATCGGAAATACAATCATTGGAGTGATTGTGGGAAGTGTATTCTACAATCTCAGCCAAGCAAGCGACAGCTTGAACCGGCGTACCATCTTACTCTTCTTTGTCGTTCTTCTGAACTCGTTCATGACAGGATTCGAGGTACTTGCTGTTTGGGCCCAACGACCTATAGTAGAGAAGCATTCAAAATATGCTTTTTACCACCCTTTCACCGAGGCCATCTCCGCCATGCTGGTTGATTTGCCAGCCAAGATTTTCACATGTTTGTTCTTCAATATTGTCATATATTTTATGACGAATCTTCGACGCACGGCGGCTGCTTTTTTCACATATTTGCTGTTCTCCTCTACCGTACTAATGACGATGTCAATGTTCTATAGATCCATCGACTCTTTATCGCGTACCCTTCAAGGCTCCATGGTCCCTATTAATACTGCAATTGTTTTCTTTATAATCTACACCGGGTTTGTTATTCCGGAAAGATATATGCATCCTTGGTTTTCTTGGATCCGGTTTCTCAACCCTGTGGCATTTGCTTTTGAGAGTGTACTAATCAATGAGGTAAGGGTGCTGTTTAGTTCACGTTTTTCAATGTATCAATTTTCTATCCCATAGATAGGCTCTATTCCTTGTATGAAGTTTTGCTAATGTGCTGATTCTAGTTTGCCAATCGAAGATTCGAGTGTAATCAATTCGTCCCCTCAGGTCCAGCATACGACGCAATTTCTACCTCTGACAGGATATGCTCTAGTGTTGGTGCTTTGCCGGGACAAACCTTTGTCGATGGAACAACTTACTTGAAAACTGTCTTCAATTACTCCCCCGATCATCTTTGGAGGTATGCAGTATCGTTTTGATGCGTCTGAAAATTGCTGATACCTACAGAAACTATTGGATCCTCCTGATCATGATGCTTGGTCTTTGCGCTACTCATATTTTATCATCCGAGTACATTCTTGCCAAGAAGTCAAAAGGCGAAGTTCTGCTCTTCCTGTGCAACAAAGCTCTTATATGCAATCCCAAAATGGACGAGGAAGCGAAAGCTGGTCAAAGTCCTGGTATCAAAAATCTAATAGACGAGAAGAACAAGCAGCCTGAAGCACCCAAGGGCCTAAACGACCATTCCTCGACGTTCTGCTGGGACAATCTTTGCTATGACATCAAAGCGGAAGGAAAGCCCAAGCGACCTCTCAACGAAGTTAATGGCTGGGTTAAGAAAGGTACACTAACTGCGTTAATGGGAGCCACCGGGGCTGGCAAGACAACCATGCTTGATGTGCTTTCCTAAAGAACATCTTCTGGCATGGTATCGGGCAAGATTTGCGTGAATGGCCAACAACGAGGTCCTGATTTCCAACGCAAAACCGGATACGCGCAACAACAAGACGTGTTTCTTTCTACCTCTACAGTCAGGGAGTCTCTATAATTCGCTGCATTGTTGCGTCAACCGAAACACATACCACGAGCTGAGAAATTAGCTTACGTGGACGAAGTAATCGATGTCCTTGAAATGAGAGGATTCGAAAATGCGATTGTCGGTGTTCCTGGAGAGGGATTAAATGTTGAGCAACGAAAACGACTTACGATTGGGATTGAAATGGCAGCGAAGCCCGAATTGCTACTTTTCCTCGATGAGCCTACTTCTGGGTTGGATAGTCAGACCGCATGGACAATATGCACATTGCTGCGAAAGCTTGCCGATCACGGCCAAACAATCTTGTGCACAATCCATCAACCCTCATCTCTTCTGCTGCAGAATTTTGATAAGATCTTACTCATCGAAAGGGGAGGCCAAACTGTATACTTTGGGGATCTCGGTAGCCAATGTCGTACCATGGTATCATATCTCGAAAGCAAAGGCGCCAGGCCGCTAAATGCTGGAGAGAGTGCGGCTGAATGGATGATGGAAGTCATAGGAAACGACTCATCCTCTGTTAACTGGTTTGAAGAGTGGCAGCAGTCATCAGAAAAGAAAGTGCTGAAACAGGAGATTGCCAAAATAAGCTCAGTTCCAAAAGGAGCCCAAATCTCGACGAATGTCTACGAAAATCAGTACGAAGAATTCGCTGTGCCGTTAACCACTCAAATATGGCTTCTGCTTGTCCGCACATTTGTCGAATACTGGCGCATTCCCGCCTTTCTCTGGGCCAAATTCCTCTTCAGCTGCGGTGCTGCGATTGCGATATCATTTTCTTGTTGGAAATCTCCAACCTCCCTTCAAGGAATTCACAGCCAGCTTTTTGCCATCTTCACTTTCTATACAATCCTCAGTAATCTTATGCAACAAATCGTGGCCCAATTTCTCGAACGTCGAGCACTATTCGAGGCACGGGAGGGCCCTTCCAAAACATTCTCTTGGATGGCATTTCTGATATCTGCTGCCATCACCGAGGCTGTATGCCAGTTGATCCTAGCCGTGTTTACATTCGTACTTTTCTACTATCCGATAGGCATGTATTTACAAATCGACAAGTCTGAAAGTTCTGAGCGGGCAGGGCTCATGTTTCTATTCTTCCTCGCCTTTCTACTTTTCACTTCGACCTTTTCGCATCTTCTCACGGTAGGAATGGAACACCGTGAGACCATTGTGAATATTGGATCTCTTCTATTCTACCTTATCCTCATCTTCTGTGGAGTTCTCGTCCCTTACGACAGCCTCCCGAAGTTTTGGATCTTCATGTATTGGATCTCACCTTTTACTTATCTCGTTCGGGGCATGTTCTCTGCTGGTGTCGCAAAAAAGGCTGTTGTTTGTAGTACCGTTGAACTTTTGAAGGTTCCGATCCAAGGGAATAGCACTTGTCAGGAATATTTGAGGGCGTTTGTGGGATCTGCTGGGGGAAAGATTGTTGATGGGGGAGACGTGGGTGGTTGTCAGTATTGTCCATTCGAGGGAACAGATGATCTTCTGGGAATGTTTAATATCAGCTACTCGGAGCGGTGGATTAATCTTGGGGTGTTAATCTTGTTCGTGGGGTTTAATGTGGTGGCCACATTTGGGGTTTATTGGTTGACAAGGGTGCCGAAGAGGCAAAGGATGGTGGAGACTTAATCTTTGGTCTTTGATTCCTAGTATAGCATTACAATTTCTGGTGTATTATTAGTGTTGTCTATTACGCAAGTGTCTAAGAATTTAAGTCAAAAAGACCCCAGTAGCTGTGCAGGGTTGGATATCACATACATTATTCATACGTCGAACAGTGTCTTTATTATCCTATTTTGGATGGCATTCATTGACTGATGAGCTCTCTACCATTACGATACGCAGTTGACTGCCCAATCTGTAGTTTTTTCTAAGTTCTATTTCTTGTCTTAGTGCAACGCTTGCACCACAATACATAACAATCAGGGCACTCTAATATAAATGTTCAAACAGGCGAGGAACAGTTCTCACACAGTGTTCCCTCAGTTTCCTCAATTGGTTGGTAGATCCAACGATTTCCATGTCCACAAGGTTGCGATCGAAGTTCTGCTTTGATAGCGTTGACCTGTTCCTCGCGACTGACGCCCACCTCAGGACCTCGACTATCAGCAATGTCGCTGGCTCTTACAAGGAGAATTTCTTCAGTCCAATGACCGCAGCTGCAAACTTTTCAAGGCCTTGAACAAGAATAGCACCATTCAGAGCCGCATGGACAGCTATAACTGTCAGTGTTTAATCACATGTGACACAACAATGTAACAGTAACAATGCTACATACCTAACATGATTACAACCAAACGCCATTTGAATCATTGTTTTGCATGATGGACATTGTCTCCAGTTGTTAGCGATTGCTAAGTCCATAATCTGCTTCGTTGATCCATCTTCTGGGCATAATCCATCGTGCTTAGGAATTTTGCAAATGATACAAGTCTCCTGGTTACAATTTGGGCATGTAGCAACATCTCTACCGATATCAATATACTCTTGTTTGATAAAGATTGAGCACGAGAACTTAGAGCAGTATGTTTTGTCTTCAGTGTCATACTCAATCTTCTTGTCGTGAAATTCTTGAATGAGTTGAGGCGTCAGTAAACCTGCGACATTCTGTGGAAGTATCTCTTTCTTGCAGCAGTTTGGTGGAAACATCGAAAGATACCGGAGCATGAGTGAATAGTTTCTGTAAACAGCCTCGGCAGTAGTGATGTTCGCAAGCTAGTTGGATGATGTCGTGAGTTGGAATCTCATCATAGCACACGACACATTTTGTTGCAGTTTCTCGAGATTCGTAAATTAACTCGCCGGTAGCGGTCAATTCGTGCGATCCCTCAATGGCATTTTCGTTTTGTATATCTGGGGCACTTAGTTCAGTCGCGTTAGACGGATTGGAGCTAATCGTAGTCTCAGATTGGCAACCGGTAGAACTTCCTGAACTTGAGGATTCCCCTATTGATGTTGCCGCTGCGTAATCTGCCAGCTTCTTAGATGAATTGCTGATCGAAAAGAATCTTCTGCCAAAACCTTCCATTCCACCCCAGGGTGGTAGAGGTGACTTCTCCGCCGGCGCCCGAACGAGACATCGTTGAGCTTGTTCTAGAGCTTCCTCAGTATTCTCGCCCAATGGATCGAGCTCTTGCGCAACTCGACGGTCACTGGCGATCTGCTGACTCGTCATCAATTCTTCTCGGTATGCCAACACTGCAATTTCAGAATCGGGTGCTGCAGTACCCTCGCGCTGTTTGCCTTTTGTTTTCGCCAGAATTGCAGCGACGTCGTCGAGTTGAAGCTTAAGGACGAGCTCAGTACTGTCAACATCCATGTCTGCTTGACTTGGTGTGCTTCGTTGTATCTCCATGATGCGTAAATCCTCTGAATGATATTGTTAGAGTAGAAGCGTTTGAACGATTGATAACGATTGGGATCTGTTCGATGTAAGTAGCAATTCTATCTCAGGCTCATTGTCATTTACCTGTTTTCGAAAGATCGGAAAATATTGAGGTGTGACAAAAATGAAAACAATGAAAGTATGCCAAGAATCGAAACAAGAGAGTTGTGCGCAATGTGCAAGTGGTGAATTGAGAAACCCGGATCCCCCACCACGGGCCAAAATGAACGCTAGCAGACAAATATATTATCTCTGCATTATGAAGGTGGCGTTGTCTAGATGTGTTGATAGATAAAGAAGGGTAAAGCAAATAAACGACGGGAGGTTATGTCGACAAAACCCGGAAGCCTTATTAGGAAATTAGTAATCTCGACCTAGACTTCACCTTTGGTCTTTTTAGTACTCAGAAATGGCTCTGAAATCTATAGCATGAGAGAAGCTACTGATAACTCATTTACCTCCGAATAAGGGTCCCAAGACACAATTACCTACCCAGCACCCTCGAAAACACCTCCCCATTGGCTTTTTTTTAGAGACACTCTTCCACAACCTTCATCTTAGTTCGGCTCCCGCTCTTCAACACCAACCACCTATAGCTAAACCTACTTTCATATACATCTGTTTATACACTCTTACGCTGCTCAGGGCAAGCGATAATTATAGATAACCAGCACAAGAATTTAGCGGATTATGAAACTCGACTAATTGCAAAATTTCGTTAAAAGTACTATAATTTTAGTTCGAAAATACTTTACGAGATAGACTTCGTTGTAATAGCAGTTATTATTCTCGTTTAATATACGCGACCAGAATTTGTTGTCCTGGAGCCTTAAGGTACCTGTTTTCCTACTTCTAAATTCAACATCTTCTTAATTAGCATTGGATTTCACCAAATTGCTTAGGGTTTCATCCAATACGAAGAACTTCTAGCAACCCATTCCTCTACGTAGAGATCGAAAAGGTAAAATTGCAAGTCGCCGATGAGGTCGGGTTCCGTATTGGCAAACCTCTCAAAATGCCACGACTGGCCGCCACTGGGTAAGGTACAACAATATAAGTGCCTACGAATCTTAGCTTTGACCGCTATGACAACTAATGATACTCGGCGAGATTCAATTCAAAGTATTAACAAAAAGAATTGGGGAAAATGTGCCATTTGGATTGTGGTTTGAAAAGACTATATTTTGCGCCAGTACGGAACGGAACTATGTTAATCCGGGATCATTACTCCACTTTAACTCAACTTTACAAGATAATCTGAGTTCGGATGCTCGTAAATATAACCCAAAATCTTCCTCAATGAGGCTCGAATCATAAACGCCAGTTGGAATGAAGTCTATGTTCTCACAATTACCTGTGAGAATTCTACGTCATGAAAGACCAAGCTGGAAAATTCCTGTCACGTTCGTACTCGCAAAACGTTGGAAATCAGTCATTACAACCCGAACCTACGATGTAACACCCCTGCCCTTCAAAAAACATAAAACCCTACTAATTATGACAATAGGGCGCCATCACCCTCCTAAACACCCTCCAAACCCCTCACTCCATCCTCCAAGCCCGTCGCGAAGCAGGTATCCGCATCGACTCCAGCGACAACGACAAACTGCGAGTCTGCCTCCAGAAGATAGGTTATACCGTATCCCTCCCCCTTCCCAACATGTACATCTCACTAACACGCCCCAGCAATCCGACCTCCAAAAACTAAACATAATCCACATATCCGGCACAAAAGGCAAAGGCACAACCTCCTCCTACGTCTCCTCCCTCCTAACCCACCACTCCCCCCCCCTAAAAATCGGCCTCTTCACCTCCCCCCACCTCCTCTCAGTCCGCGAACGCATTCGCCTCAACGGCCTCCCCCTCCCGGCCCCCCTCTTCACAACCTATTTCTTCCACATCTGGGACACTCTCCCCTCTCACCTTCGCCCTGGTTATTTCCGCTTCCTCACTCTACTATCCTACCACGTATTCCTCTCCGAGAACGTAGACGCCGCGGTGTACGAGGTAGGTATGGGCGGGGAGTACGATGGGACGAATATCGTCGAACGGCCTGCTGTAAGCGGTGTTAGTAGTTTGGGTATCGATCACGTGTTTACGCTTGGAAACACCATTGAGGAGATTGCGTGGCATAAGGGCGGGATTTTCAAGGCTGGTGTGCCTGCATTTAGCGTTCCTCAACCCGCAGGAGCGATGCGAGTGCTCGAGGAACGAGCTGCTGAGAGAAAGGTCGCGAGTTTCGAGGTTGTGGACGTGGATAGACGATTAGATTCCGTGAAAGTAACCCCCGACGCTCCATTCCAGCGACAAAACGCATCCTTAGCCCTCGCACTCACCGACACCGTTCTCCTCATCCTCGATCCCTCCTATACGCCTTCAAAAACCATGCTCACCCCCTCTCTGCGCGCCGGAATCGAGAACATGGTGTTCCGCGGGCGGTTCGAGAGGATTGAGCGGGCGGGCGTGACGTGGTATCTGGATGGGGCGCATACGAAGGAGAGTATTTGTGTTGCTGTGGGGTGGTTTGGTGGTGCAGTGAGGAATAGTAAAGCTACACGGATTTTGGTGTTTAACCAACAAGGTGATCGTGAAGCCGTTGAACTTCTCGAAGCCCTCTATACCAACACCCAAAATGAACGCAACCTAGAATTCGACCATGTAATTTTCTGCCCAACGAAAACTAGATCTGTGCAGTCCGCTAAAAAAGGTATGTTCCCCCTCAAACACTCCCTCTCCTCCAAATTCCACCTCTCTCTCCATACTCACATCCTCCAGATTTCATCAACAACGCACACGACGCCACAGCCATCACGGCACTAACACTGCAAAAACAATTCGTCTCAAAATGGCGAGAAATGGCCGGTGAGAAGCCAGTGATCAAGGTTCTGGCGAATGTGGATGAGGCATTTGAGTATATCGATACGCTGGCAGGGACTAGCGAGGGGGAGGTGCAAGTTTTTGTTACGGGGAGTATACATTTAGTGGGCACGGCTTTGAGTGTGCTTGAGGGTGTGGATGCATTATAACCCACAAACAAGCAAATCAAATAAACCATTTAAATATTTTACAGCATCCTCTGGGTATCTAGAATAAAAACATATAACAATCAACCAAAACACACCACCAACGCCCTATTAAGCTTCATTCGTCACTTCCCCGAACGCAACCTATGTTTCTCAGGCACATTCTCAATCCACGCACCCACCAAATGCAAACTCCCCGTAACAAGCACCAACGCCCTCTGCTTCGTGCGATCCGACACGCGGACCGCAGCATGAACCGCCTCACCCACACTACTATAAACCGCCGCGACGGCATTCCGATCCATATTCATATACGTCCTCAACAACTTCTGCTGTTTACTTAGATCCCTCTCCTCCTCGCCCTTCGCCACAGGAAATGCCTCATTCGGACAAAACGCCGCGAACTTGAACATGCGGGAGTAATGCACGGCGCCCTCTTCGAGATCCGTGAGGGCCTCGATGAGGGTGCAGAGGAGGGCATTGCCGTCGCGCTCGTCCTGGTTGAAGATGAGCATGGTTGCCGTGTCGGTTTCGGCGTAGGCGGCGTCCATCTTGCCGCGGAACCATTTGGCGACGGCGCGCATGCCTTCGTCGGTGTGCGCGCCGTCTAGACACCATTCTAGGTTGCCGTTTTTGTAGATTTCGCAGCGGCCGGGCCAGCTTACTGTTTCGAGGCCGCGGACGAAACGGTCGGGGAGGGGGTCACCGTCGGCTATTTCGTCGGGTGTGGGTAGAGATTCTGCGTCGACGCCGATGTCTCGGAGAAATGCAGCAGCTGCTACGACGGCGAGACTTGCGTTGTCTTTCTGAAAGTCACCTAACAGACCCAACGTGATAGTATCTGTTTCCAGCACAGGCAATCGATGCGTAACAGCAAAATCCGCACCCATGACAGCTGCCCTTCTCAACACAACCTCAAGCGCACCCTGAACCTGAGGAGCCGTAAACGCAGGAGGTTCAGCCCTTATAATCCCCGCCTTATGCCACGCAATATCCTCAATCGTATCCCCCAACATGCCCACATGATCCAATTCCAACTTCGTAATCACACTGACCGCAACCGCCTCGGTCGGCAAGATATTCGTACTATCATATTCCCCCCCAATCCCACACTCAACAACCGCCGTCTTAACCCCCTCCTCCATAAAAATCTGAAACGCCAGAATGGTCAGAAACCGAAAATACCCAGGCCGCACCTCCTCTACATCACCCAGCGGTTCCACGCCCTCAAAATCGCGATTCCCAGCCACCCTCCCAAACCGCTCCCACAACGCCGAGAAATGCTTCAAGAACAGCACTTTCGAGATAGGCGCCCCATTAATGCGTATCCGTTCCCTCACATCCACAAGATGCGGGGAGGTATACGTCCCAATCTTCTCCAGCTGTCCTTGGATCCGCTCGCTCGCCACGGCATCCACATCCTCGTAGTCCTGGTGATGGACCAGCAGATTCTCAATCATGGCGCACACGCTGCCCTTACCACTCGAGCCGGCCACGTGCACGCACTTGATGCCGCTGCGCGCGAGATCTGCTGGTTCGTAGCCGGCTTTGCGGAACCATTCGAGCATTTCGGGGATGGCATCTTTGTTCTTGTCGGTCGTGGCGTCTAGGGAGGTGCGGATGGCGCGGTTGGTTTGGAGGGTGGAGAGCAGTTTGAGGGAGTCGTCGTAGCTGAAGGGTGCTCGCATGTATTGGACTTTTCGTGGGTGGTGCGAGGAGGTGGATTTGTGACGGGTTTGAATGGGTGATTTGGATGGGAAGTGGCTGGACGAGGGGAGGAGGAAAAGAGCGACGGCGCAACGAATTGTTGGCGGCAGCGAGAAGATTGAGGTCATAAGTGCATCTGGTGTAAGATTTCAACTTCTCAGTGAGCGACAAGTGTAATTGTCTGTTGTTTAGAGGGGCAATGGGCGGTCAATGTCATTGTCGAAGAGCAGGTGGAGGTACGATTGAAGCACGGTTTATCAACATCCCACCTCGGACATAAATCATTCGGGCCGAAGACGGCTTTCCCTCGTTTACTACTAAGTTGCATATCTATGAAGTTTTATCTCTACCTTTAAGATATCACTAAAAGTTTTTTTGTTTTACATCTTCACATTAACTGACTATCGCCAACTCCTAGAAATCTTAAGGAAAGAAAATTGACAGCTCGGCTGCGATAACTTTCCATCCAATGTATAGATCTACTTCAAACAATCCTGCCTGCTAATAGGACGCAAATAATCCTGCCTGCTCATAGGACGCAAACAATCCTCCCTGCTCATAGGACGCAACAACCCTCAGATCGACCCATAGCAACAAATAATAGACACAAATAGGTAGGTGCCCATGTCTGCCAGCCTACAACATAGCGCTCGCCTTGACGCTCCAACTCTAAGCGGGCAAATCCGGAGTTTCATCCGTCTGCTGTGTCTTGGGTTTTACAATCGCCAGTACACGACTAAAAAAACACGTTTGTTAGCTTCTCCCCCGAGGAAGGGGTAAATAACATACTTCTTGGTTGCAACAACATAGTCGCCCAACTTCCTAACAGGATACGACAGCAGATACGCAGGAATCCACCACTCCGACGGTTTGGAATCATATTTATTCACATTGGCTTCGTATTTCTGAAAGATCTCCCCAGTTTCTTTGAAGTTTTCCCTATCATCCCTACACATTCCGCTTATGATCCTGTTCCTAATTCCAGAGTAGCGATGCTTGGCAGTGCTAACAATGATGTTGAGATTAAACACAGTAAAATAAGTTCCGAAGCTGACAGCAAGAGCGGTGATAATTAGATTGCGATAACCAAAGGTGTCGGATGTGCTCCATATGGACTGAAAGTCTCCATTAATTGAGCACAATGTAGGTGAGTTGTGTTATGACTTACCGTGCAAAACGAAAGTGGCAAATAGAATATGCTCACGTAGGTTAGAAGCTTTACAGTCTCTCCTAGTTTAGTTGACGCCCTCGATTCCATGACTGCGCTCGCAGAGAAGAGCTTTGATTGTCAGCTTCTGACTGAGACACCTTGTGGCATGATCACTTACTCCGTCCCTTAACGCAATGGCCTTTTCTCTCTGTCTAGTGAACTCAACTTCCAGATCTCTCAACTGCTTCATCGACTCATTGCACCTGAGGACACCTTTTTTCCTGCCAGTTTCACGCCGCCCCTTAGATTTCCTACCATGTAGCCCTCGCGCTTTTGAAATCTCCCGCTCGCAAGTTTCCCATGCTTCTATGTTGAGTCTGACCATTTTGATGATTTCTTGGAGGGTGTTGATCGCCCAGAAATATCTCTGGGATCGGGAGAAAAAGCCGTCGTCGAACATTAATCTGTTATGTGCATCAAAATCAAAGATATTGCCGTCGCCCAGTAATTGATCTAGATAGTTGTAAACAAGCGTCCACTGAGTCAGCACTTCTGCTATAGCAAATGCTGCAAAATGGGCCAAGTTTTGAAAACGGGTCATATTGCACCAGGGCGAGTACCGTTGGCGAGGGATGAATTTTCCACAGAAGGTGCGATCTGGGACTAAGAGGACCATCGTACAATAACCTTGGTGGTACTCTGCAAAAATATAGGTACTTAGTCAGTACAATTGAACCACTTGGACAAACAGAATAAATACCAAGGTATACAAACTGTGTAAATTTGTTCCCGAAAGAATGCAAAAATGCCGAATGGTTTTGGCAGCCTTCCCTGGTTCCAAGATGGCGTATAACCTGAATTAAAACTCAAGTCGTATTGACTCCTATCAACGAGTCGATAACACGAGAATTGAAGAACGTCGCATCGGTGATCAAGCAATCTATAGAAAGATGTGGTGTTAAAAACATGGTCAGTCATAGCGAGACTTAAATTTGTGGGATAATTTCCATCAAAAACTGTCCCAAAGAATGGCTGTTCACTTGGTTTCCACCCCGGACTTATCATAGTGTTGAGGCCTTCAAAAATTCTATTTGTTTAGGTTTCATTAGTCTTTGAAACTTGTCTACAAATACGTATGTATATGTATAGGAATGTTCGCGAAAATGCTTACATCAACCTGTGCCATGCAGCTATAGAAGCAAATTGCTGGAAGTGAAGCGGTAAAGTATAAGGACAATGAGTTGAGTAAGCGTTGACATGCGAGACGTCGATAGCAGCGCAGGGAAGAATCAAGGAACCCAGAACGTCATCTATCCATTTGGACTCGCCCCTAACATAAAATGTATTCCCCTGTTGGTTTCTATTCATAGGCGTTGCTTTCGACTTTTGCTGAGTCATGTCGAGGGTTCCAAGTTCGTAAATCACAGGCCGGTATCCATCTTCGAAATCAACGACCGCAAAATTACCCCCATTCTCACGGAGCTTGACAGCGTATGCACGAACGAGAACCTCCTTCTCTTCAACCTTCTCTTGAAATTTTTCCAAGAAGATACGTCGATTATCATCGGGAATGCCTGCAATCCCCAGCTCTTCAAGCCTCGCAGCAAGGCCAGCGTCGCCATTTGAGAGATAATCCAAACTGATTTCGACAATATCTGATTCAAAGCCGTCAACAAAACGGTGACCATACGGTAAAATCCGACATAACTGCTTTTCACAAGCCCAGGAATCCGAGTGTATATCATCGTTTCCCCCAGGTTTGATATCGGGAAGATTTATAACGACCTCATCAGAAATCGTCCCCCGCCCCGCATTCAACCCCTCCTTATCAATCTTCTCCGTATCAGCGCGTCGCCGTTCCAGCACCTCAACCCTCTTAGCCAACTCCTCTATCAAAGTAACAACCAACCTATCAGTCGGAATATGCTTCAGAGCATCGTTTGACGCACAATTGTCAGGCGCCGTATTTTCGGGAGCTGTATTTTTCTCCATAGCGATTTCCGTGCTTGATTAACGTGCGTCTAGAAGAAGGACGCGTCCGGGTCGTCGAGTCCTTATGAGTCTGTAGCCTTGTACATCCTGGATACCAACAGCCAATACCAAGCTGCAGGAGGATTTCCTCATCAGTCCATACACGCAGCGTTCGTGCCACGTCCCGCACATAAACGACTGCTCAGCGCATAATCGCCTTCCACGAATGGATAGAAGAAAGAGAATTTCAAACAACAGGGGAGTGGATAACCAATTCCCCAAGGAAGTCAACCCAGCTGAAGGAATACCACAATCAACAGCCATCACGTGATCGTCACGATCCATCGTCATTGTTCTTCACCACCTTTCTGATTCCTCCGACCTCAGAGCTAGATAGGACATCATAGTCGGTTCTGAAGATGCACTGATTTCAGAACCAAATCTTGGTTCCTACTTTAGAGTGCACTGCATGTCGCGCGCCCGGAAAAATGCGTTGGCGGAGAGGGCAATGGTTGGCAAGAGATACACATCAAGCTACCCAACGTAGGATGCTCGACATACCTGAAACTCATCAGCCCAAGTCAAACAAAAGGAGGCACGAATCTTAACGGCAGAGTATAGATCGTAAGTCGATCTCGCAACGACTCGAGAATCGCATGGGAACCCAATATGTCCAAAGACTCTGTATCCGTCGAGTGCGAAGCACATTGGTACCGGCAAAGAAAACGAACAGACATCGCAATACACACCTCTGACGACAAAGTCCCATCGAAATCATCAATTGAACGACGCATGACTACTGAATCGATGTGTCTAAGACCTGGACGCATTCATGCCTGGCAGTTGAAAGCGCAAGGAACAAATCAAGGAGCGGTAGAAATCTAAACTTCAGCACAAGCCAACCTCCTCGTGACCTACTCCAGTATCATCCCTTCCCTCTTTTGCAGACGAGAAAAACTCTATTGACTACAGAAAATCCTCATTATATATATCACCCTTAATATTCCCGCCTAATAACAACCCAAGCTCCACTCCGGAGCCTTATTCATTATAGAATAAGGACGATAAGCTAACCTATTCTTAAAAAACCCTAGGATTTAAGTATATCCATACCAAAACCCCCCTTAACCTCCCTTAATCCCCAAGCAAACCCCCCCAGTCCCCTCAAACAACCCCCTCAACCTACCGAAATCTTCACCCAATAAACCCTTCCAACCAAAAATACCACAATCGATCTCATCTCCATCCCACGTTCTCACAGCGCGGTTCCACTATCTACCCGCTCTCCACCCCCCTGATTTCATAGTCAAAAAGAAGTTATAGATCTAACTACAGGACAGAAGTAACGGACGCTAATCTCGGGCTTTACTATAGGACCGGACTAATATTAACCCAAACGATTTTAGTCACAAGATATACATTGTGACCAGTAGCCAAGAAGGAAAACCCCGCCCTCAAAGCTTAGTGTAATCTTATCATGAACGCCAGATTGCGACGCAATAAGCAGCTAGATCAATTCAGCTGGCAAGCCAAAACACATGCCCTGTTTCAAATAATCCTTTCATATTCAATACACCCAGCTCAAAAAAAGCCACTTCATGAATACAAACACAATCCTCATTTTCACCCTTAATCCACCCCAGTCCTACCTTTCAACCCAGTCCTGTCTTTCAAGGATATTTCATCCGATCAACCATATATATCAAATCCATTCCAGTACCTACAACCAGAAAACAGAAAATTAAACGCCCGCTAATATGCACACCCATCCAGTTTAATCCCAAACTGTGATTTTTATCCCGAACACCAACCCATAATCAATAACCCCGTGACAAAAGAAAAGAAGGAAACCGACATTATGGCGCTGAGGACTCGGGTTTAGGTGCCGAGCTGGAAGATGATGCTGGTGTCGCCGCAGCCGTATTCCCATCACTGCCCAACAGTGTTGGTGCAATTCGCCGTTTCTTTTTCTCGCCGCCTTCTTCTCTCTCGCTCTCGCTGTGATCTCTCTTCATACCACTTACAGAGCCTGTTGTGCTTCTCGGGGTTTGCGGTGGAGTGGTCATGGGCATACCGCTCATGAAGTTCATGTTGCCGGCCGCAATACCAGGCATCGACCCACCGACAAGTGTGGGATTGCTTATGATTGAGCCAGCTGGTTGGGCAAATGACGATTGTGTGGCCACTGACGAAGTCGAATTCGACCTTGTCGGCGATGAAGGTCTGATGTTGGAACTGACCGATACAGCTGTAGGAGGAGGCGATGGAGCGACTGACAAGTTCGACGATGTCCGATGATGGTGCCCACCAGCTGGAAATGGCGACGGGGGCGCAATCGAGGTTGGAGTCGCCATTGGTGTGTTCTGAGAAGAGGAAACTGCCGTGTTGGTAATCATTGGTTGTTTGGCTGTTGGCACCTCGCCAGCATATACTTGACCCAACTCTCCGGCTGCGAACGTCAAGGTGGAGCAGAAACCATCCGAAGATGTCATGAGTAATGTTTGACCATCGTTTGACCTACATCTAGTTAGTTTACAATTCGTTGTTTAGACTCTCCGTTGGGAACTTACCAAGTCAGATCCGTGAATGTAGCACAGTGTAGATTGCTAACAACACAAAGGGGAGTTTGTTGCTGTGTGTCATACATCAACACCGAGTCTTCAGTGGCCACAGCATAAACCATTCGATAAGGTAGCGAGAACGCCATAGCAGGGCCAGGAGTTGCCGCGTTTGTCTCTACTTCCAATGGCTTTGGTTTGGGTGAAGATGTTGGTCCTGAGAGATCGCTTGTTTGCGATACGAGTGGAGGTGGTTCCATGACGGAACTTGCTAATGATTTCTGGATCATTGCAGGTTCTGGAAGAGCTGTCATTGTGTCTGATGAAGATGTGTCAATCGTGATATGTTTGGTAGGAGGTGTTGACTTTCGAGCGGTGTAGAAGATGGGCGAGCATTTTACCACAACTGACGGCTTCTTGTGACCCGGAAGATGAGCAATCGGAGGCTTGTTGATTCCTCCTCTTGTGTAAATATAGACGGTATTTGTGACCTCGTACAATGTCTTTACCGTTTCATCGAGACTTTTGTGCTGTGTCTGATATTGACCTGCGGGTGTGAAGAGAAGGCTTCCATCTGGTGTGAATGACAACCGGCGGAAGAAGGATTTGAGCGTGTCATTGGCGTAGATATTGGCATTTCGCAATCCCAATCCAGCGTACGGTCTCGGCGAAGCCTCCATTGGCATCACAGCCGGCAATGGAAGTGATGGTGCTGGGGAAGCCGACCTTCTTAGTGACATTGACGGAGAGGCAGCCCCAAATGAGGACCTCCTGCTGTGACTGATTGTACTTGGTGGGTTCATTGGTAGTGCGAGAGATGTTGGTGTGCCAGGGCACGAGGGCACTGGAGATCCTACACCTGCTGCAAAGCTTTCGGCCGACATCTGTGATCGAAATCCCATGTCTGGTGGGGCGGGACTGCTCGATGATATCCTCCTCCCAGGCAGATCCATCTTCATATTATTGCCAATCTTTTTCGGGATTTCGTCTCTGTTATCCAGCACATAGCTTCCATCTTTCGTTCGCAGTGTGTAAATATGGACTGAGCGATCGGATGATTGTGTCGCGATGTATTCGTTGAGAGGATCCCAAGCAACTCCTTGAACATAATGCTGATGCTCTGCTATCTGCCGTATAAGTTGGCCTACATTGATTAGCCATATACTTTGCCGTTCGAGCATCACACATACCACTTTGTGCGTTGTATATTCTCGCAACATTGTCCATACTGCCAGTAATGAAATACATCCCATCCGGAGACCATGCCAAATCGTATATCTCTGCCCCGGTTGATCGACACATATGTCTCACCCTCCACGATTCCTTATCCTCGAGAGCATCTTCGTCGCCGAAGTGTGGTTTTGGAGTCTGAGAGTCGGGAACCCATATCACAACGTTGCCGTCGTCGCCCGCAGAAGCCAAAATATCGCCTGATGAACCCAATTAGCGTTGTTGATAGGTAAACAAAGTCTGAGCAGACATACCTTTTGGTGCCCAGCGTACCACGTTTACCGCTTGATTGTGTTTGGCCATCGTACACAGGTATTCCACCTTTCGATCCTCACCTTCAGCGTCGATTCTCCATAGCTATAGCCGGTCAGCAAGTCTCAGAGCCGTGGTGTTGTGGTCACCTACCCTAACATTGTTGTCTCCTCCTCCGGTTGCTAATCGACCTTTCCCATGAGGTTGGAAGTCTGCAGAGTATATGGGGGCATTCTCCTGGTGCCAATTCACGATAATCGGTGCCGCCTTCATGGTGAGGTTGGTGGTGCACGCAGCTTGAAGCTCTACAATCCGCACCTGCGGGGAGGTTCGATGTTATTTCTTTCGTGGTGGTAGAGGTATACGTTATCGTGGAAACTGATTGCGGTTGAATTGGAGTGTTTGGGGGTATTTGGGAATTCTTCTGTGCAAACAAAGAAATGGCGGAGTGGGTGGTTTTGAAGGTTGCAGGATGAGGAAGAGGATGAGGTCGCCGGCGTCGTAGGTCCAGCCAATGCAGTCGGGTACAGTAATAATAAGGTCAAGGCAGGGATTGCAGGGAGAGCCAAGGGCGGAATTTGGCTGGAACACGGCTTTTTTGAATCGTCGTCAAGATGCAAGCGTCAGTCACAGCAGGATTGTGACCTGGGTTCGAAGAGACGAAGGGGGCAGAGAAGGGAGTTTGGTTGGTGTCAAGTGTATGGTATGGTAATGCAAGCACTTTAGCTTCAGACGGGACCGTGGAATGGTACGAGCACTCCGCCTTATGCTTCGCGAACGACGAATGATAACGTGCCAAAGCGCGTTTGTTACCACGATGGATGGAAAGCCAACCCATAAGCAAATCAGATTGTTCGTACAAACGTGATTTCTTTGCTCAGTATCAATTCCATTAATAGTCTGGCACAGCACAAACGAAACCCGCAACGATCAGGTTTGGTCGTTCTAAGCCTCTGCACGGCGCCTATTTGTCGTATTTTGAGGGGAGGACGCTCCATCTTACCTCACCGGCTATGAAAGAGCCGTGGCTTGACAAAGTCAGAGTAACAGGGAAACTTAGTCGTTTGCGCGTTACAAACTTTCTTTGAAGCGGCTATTGCAGCGATTAAATAGAGATTGTGAAGCAACCTTGGAATGCAAGAGACGAGAGCCAAGTGAGGAGCGAGATAGGTATGTGAAGAGCTATAGAACAAGCTGGACAAAGGACTATAGTAACAGCATGATATTTCTTTAGGTCACCTTACTGCACAACACAACCTTCAACTATGCACTCTGTAGATAAACTCTTTGACTCAACATTCTCAAATACTGTGCCTCCAACACTCCATTGAAGGTTGCACCCACAATTCTCTAAAATAGTCACCTGACCTACTATCACGTGAGCAAGCCCCTTGTCCCAAATCCCCTCCACTTCTTGTTCCATCGCTGTCGCAAAACCCATCCTCCACTACTCAACTCCTTCCTCAAACATCTCCTCGACCTTTTGGACACCTCTTTGCATACCGAGTAACTCATTCGACACCTCTCGACATAACTCAACGCATAACTCTTCCTCCAAAACAAACTTCCAACTCCATTCTGCACCTCCACTGCATATTCGACATGTCGCAACCCCAATGCTGTACGATGCCATTCCCCGGCTTTGGAAAAGTTGTAGCCGCCAGTCCATCGCCCGTAAGCAGCACGGCCACTGGTTGCTCAACGTCGAAGATGCAGAATTACTCATCCCACTGTCCACCTGCAACATGAACCCAACCTCCCTTCCCGCGGTCTTCACCGCTCAACAAAGTGCAAAGGCCGTCAGCGGTCATCAGACGGCGTGGCATGCAAGCATCAATATACTGAATGCAATGGCCTCAGGTCTGAATCTTCCATGTCGTGCAACTGACTGAATAAGAGAATCGACATATATAGCAGATCAAGCTTCCAGACGAGTCATCCATGATGAGTAAGGCTGAGATAGCTGAGCTTTTATGGTTGCCATTGAGGCTCTACAACTGGCAAGCTGAGTCGTCGTTCCACAGGAAACCTTCGATACCAAGATTAGACAGTCAGATCCACCGGAGCAACGATCATGGTGGGTCCTGCGTACTTTTATATCCTCACTTCCTTGCAGCTGCACCAGCAACTCCTGCACGCTCAACCTCGAGTCAATCTCAACCTCTCACTCCACTTACCCATCTACCGGGACTCGGTCGACTATTTAATTATCGTTGCCGTCCTCTACTTTTTGCTCCGCAGATCCCTCCATTTACACATATCTTCCGGTCCCTATCACTCGAAGCAATTGCAAAGTCTCCCTCACCTTCTACTTCTCGCTTAGCCTGTCTGCCCCTCCCCCCACTTCAGAGCTTCTGCACCGACTGCGAGTTTCTCCTACTTATTGCCAACCACTTCCTATTTCTCTCTTTCAATTTGCGGCATCACCACATTTTGGGAAGCGTCCCCGGTCTTCAAGCTTTAGATCATTCCGTACCAACCGTTGGCGGCTGTACTCATTGGGGCGTATGGGCGCATCGCCCAGGAAATCTCAAGTCCCGACACACCGGTTGAGTCACCGTATGATTTGATTGACAGCTGAGTGAGCAGAGACCAGTCTCGATATAATTCCCAGTTCCAGCAACTTATTTTCCTCAGTTTCATCTCCGACGTCAACACGGTGTAGCAAATCATTCACCAACAGAAGCGTCACCTTCACGGTTGGTTCAAACATTTTGAAGCTCTTCGGACGACTATTGTTGGCCACCGTAAGCTGTGAATGACTAGTGTGGATCTCTCCAAATCTGCTCTAATATTTCTCGTGCAGTTTTCTTCTCAACAAGTACAAGAATATCATCATTCAGATTATGCAACGCGTCGAAAATTTCTGTCAACCGATTTAAGACAATCAAGATGCTCGAATCAGACTCGAGATCCCTTGCTGTAGGTGGTGCAGGCGCTGGGTTGATTTTACTGCTCACTTTACCTTCAATTTTCGGCACCCTATCCCACTTTCGATCTTCAAAAGTCAAACCGTCTGTATACGAAGACAAAGATGGAGTTGCTACGGATGTATCGATTGCAAATTACTCTGCCAAAATCCCTAAAGCCCTGCTTGCCATATTTACTCTCTTTGGCTTATTCTCCGCCATCGCCTTGGCGATTCTGAGCACGTTGGACTCGCGCATGGTCATGTTTCTAGACAACTGGTTAAATGTTGCTCAATGGGTAAGTAGCACGTGACATAATATCATAATACCATGTATGAGCTAACACCCCATAGGTCCTTATACTTGTACAAACTGCGGTCATATTAACAGTTCGGGATACAGTTCGATCGTATGCGCTAGGCGTTTACACGGCCCTCTCAGCGACCATTCTGCTGTCAATCCTTCTTTTCCAAGACCAGCTCATTACAACCAATTCCCATGCCCGTCCTAATTCTGTCGAGCTTGGTCTTAGATCTATTCAGCTCTTCGTTGTAGTTCTGTCTGGGTTCGCCAGCGTGTGTATACCCCGCCGTCCAGATGTCTATTATGCTGAGAAGCTAGTCGACAGAATGACGACTGTGTCTGCCCTGTCTAAATATAGTAAGTTATCTCCACACAACTCTTCTCACTTGCATTGCATACTCCTCGTATTTTTGTTCGGCCGAGTCAATTTTCGACGTTTGCCCATTTCTTGCTGTCAGCCACATGAAGGGGTTGTGAATACAAGAACTAACATACGGCCCAGGCTTCTCGTGGATCGGACCACTACTCGCACTTGCACGTGACAGGAAGCGTCTGGAGCTCGTCGACCTTCCAAAAATGAACCATCTTACTCGCTCGAAAGACTTGATGAATTCTTGGTCCGAAACCAAGCACACGAAACCACTCTGGGCAGAGATCATACTCGCTCACAAATTCCCGTTAATGCTTCAGTGGTTTTTGACCTTGGTTCAAGCGTTTGGAAACGTTGCCCCTACATTCGTTACCTACAAGATCTTGCAACTGTTGGAAAAGCGTGTTCCAGGCCAGACCGTAGGTCCCGAGGCTTGGATTTGGGTGCTCACCCTCACTTTGACAACAATCGCTTCAGCATGGGCGGAATCCTGGTTGTACTGGATATCGTGGTCCGAAATCGCACTTCCTGTTCGAGCCCAATTGTCTACCTTGGTATTTCAGAAGGCTATGCGGAGAAAAGATGTCAAAGGAGCCTCCGCGAAGGCCAACAAGAAGGCGCCTGGAGATGACGGTGCTCCCACAGACACACTAGCGAACGCCGCAGTCACGGACAAACCAGAAGTTGTGGAAGATGATAGTGATCCTAAGGGGAAACAATCGACCGTCAATCTTATCGCGATTGATGCGAAACGCGTTTCTGACTTTTGTTCATTCAACAACTACTTTCCTGGATGTGTTTTTAAACTAACCGTCTCGTTTACATTTTTAATCAGCATTATCGGCTGGAAGTCTTTACTAGCAGGATTTGCAGCTATGTCTCTGAGTTTACCAATCAACATTTACTTTAGCAAGAGATACTCTGACGCTACAGAGAGGCTTATGAAGGTGCGAGATGTGAAGATGGCTGTGGTTACAGAGGCGTTGCAAGGTAGGAAGATACCGGATCAAGCAGTTTCAGCTACTAATCGGTCCATTAGGTATTCGTCAAATAAAGTTCTCTGCTTTGGAGACAAATTGGCATGATAAGATTGGGAAAGTACGTGAGACTGAGCTCACTGAGCAGTGGAATGTATTTGTGTAAGTGGCTTGCCTCACGTCCAAATCAAATGCTAACATTGTGACAGGTCTGACGCTTTTCTACTCTTGTGAGTTGACCATGACAAACGATGGCACAATATACTGATGTAATTTAGTTGCTGGATTACGAACCCGATAGCTCTCGCCGCGACCTCCTTGGCCGTATACGCATGGCTGTATGGCGAGCTTACTCCCTCGGTTGCATTTACAGCAATTGGGATATTTGGTGCACTCGAAGTCACACTAGCTGTCATTCCGGAACTTACTACCTATCTGATTGATTCGTGGGTATCCATCCATCGCATTGAAAAATATCTGGCCGCCCCAGAGATATCTGAAAACACGAGCGACGGTCCGAACATCTCCTTTGAGGACGCCTCGATCGCATGGCCTTCTGACGAAGAAAAAGTGGATGGCGATGAGCGATATGTTCTTCGAAATCTCAATTTCTCATTCCCCCCCGAGGAGTTGAGTGTGGTGAGTGGCAAAACAGGGACTGGTAAATCTCTCCTTCTGGCATCAATTCTGGGCGAAGTCGACTTGCTTTCCGGCAAGATCAACGTTCCACGGGCTCCCCATACATTGGATCGTCACGACGATTTGGCGACAAGGGCCAATTGGATAATTCCTTCCGCTGTCGCGTTCGTGGCTCAAATCCCTTGGATTGAAAATGCTAGTATCAAGGATAACATCCTCTTTGGTCTGCCGTATGACGAATATCGATATGAAAAGGTCTTGGAGGTCTGTGCCTTGAAGAAAGATTTACAAATGTTAGGTGATGGAGAAAACACCGAAATTGGAGCGAACGGTATCAATCTCAGTGGTGGTCAACGATGGCGAGTTACCTTTGCAAGAGCGTTATATTCAAGAGCGGGTATATTGGTTCTCGATGACATCTTCAGCGCTGTAGATGCTCACGTTGGGCGTTTCATCTTTGAACGCGGTCTCACTGGCGAACTTGGTGTTGGTCGAACTCGAATTCTTGTGACGCATCATGTCGCGCTCGTCAAATCGAAGACGAAATATATTGTCGAATTGGGTGATGGAACCGTCGAACACTCTGGTCTCGTCAAGGAGCTTGAGAGCGATGGAACTCTTCAGCAAATCATTAGTCACGAAGGAGCTGAGATTAATGATAGCGGTTCGGCTACGGCTATCAATTCTGAGGACTCCAGCGACGGAGAAGGCGAAACACTTCTCAAAGTAGACTCGAAAAAGAAAGACGCCAAGAAGTTCATTGAGGACGAGGCAAGAGAAGAGGGTAGGGTCAAGACTGCGGTTTATATGAATTATCTCAAGGCCAGTGGAGGATTACCTTATTGGTCTTTGGCCGTTGCTTCTTTCGCAGCTGTGCAGGTTCTTATCACAGGCAGATCATGGTGGCTTCGACTCTGGACGCGCGATAATCAGCATACGTCAATGACCCACGCATTCACGTACTCATTCCAGGTCCATTCAATGGCACCCAACTTTACCACTTCGAGCAATCCGATGTTCTATGCGAATTCATCGGAAATTCCTGATCACCCACTTAGCTACTGGCTGGGCATTTATGTTGGTATCTCAATTGTCTCGGCTTTGATTGGTACTTTCCGATACTGGTACATATTCACAGGGTCAATTCGCGCTTCTCGACGTCTTTTTGATGAGCTCTCTTTCACAGTCCTTCGAACGCCTTTGAGATGGATGGATACGGTTCCATTAGGTCGGATCCTTAATCGCTTCACATCCGACTTCTATGTCGTCGACGCTCGTCTCGCCAATGATATTGGTTTTGGCGCGAATAACGTGTTCCGTTTGATTGGAATTATGATAGCAGGAATCTTCGTCTCTCCATGGATAATCTTGTTGTCGTTCGTTCTTCTCACCCTTTGCGTCTATGTCGCTCTGCAATATCTTCCCGGAGCTCGAGAAGTCAAACGGCTGGAATCGAACGCAAAGTCGCCTATTTTTGAACAATTTGGCTCAGCTCTTACCGGCGTGAGCACGATTCGTGGATTTGACAAGTCGTCGATATATATCTCCCGCATGTTCTCAAAAATCGACGATCATAGTACCTCATACTGGTATCTGTGGGCTTTCAACCGCTGGATGGGCTGGCGCATGTCAATCGTTGGCGGTTTCTTTGCAACATTTGTTTCCATCTTCATTCTATGTATGAAGAATATTGATGCCGCTCTAGCTGGATTCGCACTCTCATTTGCTCTGGAATACTCGTCAACTGTCATCTGGACGATTCGGCACTACGCAAACCTAGAATTAGACATGAACGCAGCAGAAAGAATCATCGAATACTCCAACCTCCCCACCGAAAGTCTCGAAGGCATCGACCCCCCCGCCGCCTGGCCCTCCGAAGGCCGCCTCGAAGTCACCGACCTCGTCGTCGGCTACGCCCCCGACCTCCCACCAGTCCTCCAAGGTCTAACCTTCAACGTCGCGCGCAAAGAACGAATCGGCGTCGTCGGCCGCACCGGCGCAGGAAAATCCTCCCTCACACTCGCACTCTTCCGCTTCCTCGAAGCCCGCCAAGGCGCAATCTACATCGACGGCCTCGACATCTCCACCATCAAACTCCAAGCCCTCCGCTCCCGCCTCGCCATCATCCCGCAGGACCCCGTTCTTTTCTCCGGCACCGTCCGCTCGAACCTCGATGCGTTTAACGACCACGATGACTCTGCTCTCTACGACGCACTCGCCCGCGTGCATCTCCTAACTGGAACGAACACGCCCGAGTCGGCGACTTCGAACCCGAATAAAAACACAAATCCCTTTGCAAGTCTGAGTTCGCCTATCACGGAGGGCGGTCTCAATCTCTCACAAGGCCAACGCCAACTCCTCTGTCTCGCCCGTGCCATCGTCTCGCGACCTAAGATCATGGTCCTTGACGAAGCTACCTCGGCCGTGGATATGGCGACAGACGCCCTTATCCAAAGAAGTATTAGAGAGGAGTTTGGGGATAGTACCCTGATTGTGATCGCACATCGGCTGAGCACCATTGTGGATTTTGATAAGATTCTGGTCCTGGGCGAGGGGAGGGTGGAGGAGTTTGGGAGTCCGAGGGAGCTTTGGGGGAGGGAAAATGGAGTGTTTAGGGGGATGGTGGAACAGAGTGGGGAGAGGGGGGAGTTGGAGAGGGTCGTGCTGGGGAAAACTAGTGAGTGAGAAGAGAGTGAGTGAGTGGAAGGTGGGGAATCGTGGTTGAGGTGTGAAAATTGAGGGAACGAGCATTTTCTTTTGGTAGGCGGGCGTTAGGACGAGTTGTTCTTAGTCATGCGAATTTGTTATTCAGAGTAGATATTTAGATCGGTTGCTACTTTTTAAACTATAGCATACCTGAATTTTCTGTGCTTGTTGCTGAGGAGGTGATTGTGAGGGTGAAGACGTTGAATGCTTACCGACGGGCTGCATAGGGTGAAAAAATGCTGAGATCGAAATTCTGGAGCTCAACATCGAATGGGACTATGAGTTCAACATACCTGAGGGTCTTTATCCTAGTTGTGTGTTTTAATTTCTACTATGAATAAGAAACACCGTAGTCTACCTACCTAAACCAGCTGACTAAAATAAATTAACTTAGTCAAAAGTCGCCCAACAATCCCGGCGTCCGCAAAAAGGCATCGAATTACAAAATTAGCCTATAGTATATATTAATCTAAGAACTTTTATATTCTCCTAACATCTCTTTTCAGCTAATCCTTGGCACTACATCTACATCTACCTCGTATGAAACAACCTCTTTTATCTCCTTAAACCATTTGCATCCTCTCATATGCGCTTCCTACTTACCTCCCTTTCTATGAGACGCGACCTTTTCTTTCTTACCATGTCAACAGTAGCTTCCGTGTCTGGCATCGGTTTTCTGGTTTCCCAGCGATCGGTTCTTGTATTTCCTCTCTACCCGCGCTTGCAGCTTTTCTCGACACTGCACTGAAACCTGTGCTTGTGGGAATGGAGGCGCGGTAGGCTGGCTGGAAGAACTGTGGTTGGAGAGGTATGCAGAGTGTTGTGCTAAGAGGAGGGGTTTGGGAGCCATCGAGGTGACTAACAGACACGTTTATATGATAATTCTCTACTTCCCTGATCACGGATGGAAGTAACTCCATAAGACTGTGAAGAGGGGGGTTGTGTGCTAGTTTGAGGTGTACGGGTGAGCTCTTCTGCTGCGGCGGGGATTTGGGAGGGGTTGTTGTGATAGGGGTTTATGGTTGTGTATGGTTGATTAAGGGTTGTGGATTGAGCGTGAGGTGAGCGATATGGGTGTGGGGTGGAGGTTCGGGTTGTTGGGTTGATGATCGGAATTGTGAGCAGATGTTATTGACGGCGGGCTCCCCAGTGTGGCCCTTTAGTTACTACTGTTCTAAAAGAATGCCAATACCACTGAGAGTGGGATTATGGGTATAGGATCGAGTTCACAATAGCCTTTTGCACGCCGGCGTCTGCTCGAATTGGCGTCGAGATTTCGGACAGCAAGGAAGCTCACGGAGAATCTTGCTCAGTTGAAGGTCATGACAACGTAGAAATTCTGTCTCTGCTCGTTCTACGGAGAGTCTTGGTGATTGAGACTGTAGGGTGTTGGGTTTGTAGACACAAGACGCGAGGTCCTTGATACAGCTCTTAACTTAGTGTTCCCGACCTGACCAGCATTGTTGGATTCAAGCCGTAGCAGAAATTGCATCGATCTCACACCATTGTTTCGCATAACTTACGGTACTTAGGCTCTTGTCGAGGTCGGAGGTCTTGGACAGACATGAAGATTCTGTAGATCTTGGATGAATTGAAGTTGCGTGGAGTGTTCGGAGCACGCTGCTATGTCGCTGATGAAAGAAGGTTGGACTTTCGAATTGTACGGTTTTGGGTCTTTCGAAAAGTAGCTTTGATGGAGAGTGCAATGGGCCTGGAACATAAGGATATTCTGAGGTTCCGATCTGAGTATTAATAATCGTGGAATAGAGCCTTCGTATATAGTGGGGCGCGTCAAGTCATGTCACGGCCCTGCGCAACAGGTTTAACCTGCTCTTCAAAAGCTTGGAAGATCCCCAGGTCATCCGGGAGATTAATCAATTGGCGTGTGTAGGAAGTGGAGCGAGCCATGCTGGCAGGCTGAGATTCTTATGGCTGGAGTGTCTGAGGATGGCATAACAGTGTCTTGAGTTTTCCCAGGAGGCTGTTTTGATTCAGCAGTCACAGTTCCGTGCAATGGTCTGTGTGTCCTGGATCTGCCTTCTACTGTGATGGTAACGGTGATTTCGAATGCCCGAATACTCCGTGGAAGTGATTCAAGGGGTTGATGTTTAAGCGAGAATGGCCTTTTTCATCAACAGCCACGTTTTCACCTTTGAGAAGTCTCAAATCAAGTGCCGTATCTCGCATCCGGTATATTTACAAAAGGAACGCCATGATCTTGGGCAGCATAGTCGTTGGGTAGTGGAGTACGTACCATGTGTTCATGTACGCTTTAGCCTGTTGATGCTGCGTTGCGGCGAGGTACCTTCGATTTGGAGGACGTGGCTTGGTTTGTACGTAGTTGGGTTTGGTAGAGGTGGGCTCAAGAATTTGGAGAGGTGGCCTTGTAGGATTGAAAGTGTGGGTAGGTGCCTGGGTTACTGCATGAGGGGAGGGGAGGAAGATGTTTGTGGGGCGGGATTTTGCGGGGGAAGTAAGTCTGATAGTGGCAGAAAGGGCGAAATTCTGTAGGGTAACGAGAAATGAAGGGTAGGGAGGTACAATATGATCAAATGAAGTCTGTACTTCCATTCCTGCAATTTCCAGGAAACGACTTGTGAATCTAATCACTCGTGTTGAAACTAAAACAGTTGTTAGACAGAGTTCTAGGGGTTTAATCAGAACAGAAGGGCAACATGTTTCGAGCTCTGCGAGTTAGAAGGCTTTACAGTAAGTATGATTTGCCCGCCCATAAAGTCATGACACCGACCTATCGCGTGTATGCTAGACCTTGCACGAGAAACAAAAGTGAAGTTTGGAACAATGGAATAAGACAAATGGGTTCAAGAAGTTATAACGTGCTTTTTATACCAGCTTGATTTTTTTGTAGTAATGAATGACCACTTTAGTAGCATAACCTCAAAGGCATAACCTCAATCAGAGAAAGGAAATGGAAATCAACAGTGTATACTGCAACAAAAAGAGAGATTACTGGTTTTTGGGAACACTTTACTAGTCGCAAATCAACCTAACATTGGAGGTATCCGGTATTGAGGATTATAAAGTTATCCCAGTTATATTCATAGATGGTTGATGTGAATTTGGGATAATATTCGGCGTTCAAACCTGGTTCGGCGTTCAAACTCCGCTGGTTAATGTATTCGGTGGAGACTACGAAACTAGAAAGGCTAAATCATGGATGGGAAACACTGGAGTCGTTGCGAGTTGAAAAGGTTTTGATTAGTCAAGGACATCAAAATTTGGGTGGCGCTCCAAATGGTTTCATGGAGGTCAAAATAATTATCCACTGTCCATACATCTTTTATTCATCCGTGTTAAGCAACTGCCTGTAACGTAGGCTCAGTAATTACCAAACTTTTTGCCGTGACTTGAAGACGAATTACTCTCTTGATCTCATCCGTACCGTACGCATTTGTAGAGCCCATGCGACAAGTGTCTTTTGAAAAAATGAAGTAAATCTGAACACAGTTGCAACAGACCATGTGCTGGCTGTTTTTGAGAAGGCTTGGGAATTCATCGCTTGGCACTCTACAGGGTACCGCCACAAGTTTCTAGAAACGCGACGATGTTGCCCTTATAGTAATGTCTAAGGTTTCTATTTTTTTCTAAAAGGATAATTTTACCGTATTTGGGTGACAGCCTTATGTGCATGCGTAGTGATAGAATAGCTTCGAAGCTTTGAATCAGTAATAAGGTAACTGTAGAAAAGTGTTAGAGCGGTCGGATGTATACATGTTGTGTCTTTTTAACACTTGAATACACATTTCGCATACAGTCTCTGAAAAATGGTACGTACGTCGCACTCTTCTATGGTGTTACAAATCACATTTCATCAGACTTCGTCTTGGTAATTACAAGACTGTGTAACGCCACCAAATCGATTAAATACTTATACTCAAAAGACGATCAAATACCTGTCTTTGACTGCTGCGCAAGACAACAGTCGATCTTCGAAACATCTCATTTTATTCAGTTACTCGTCGCGTCTATTCACAATACACTTATGCTCCAAAGTTAGGTACAGAAACTTCAAATAATGTTTACAGCATATTCCAGTGAGTAAGCTGTACTTACCACTACTAGCGTAGCATGATTTTAGTGTTATAAGCTTAATTGTAGTGTGGCAGCCACGAGTCTGACAGATGCGTGCATGAGGTGTCACAGCACTTCTCAAGTGGCTGAATGTACTTAGACTTCATCCACTCACGAACAACATTCTTCTTCTCCCAGAATATGATGTGACAAAAACACGTTCGGTAGTTGATCTCTTGGGATAATCACTTCGTATCCCAGTCCGCTGCTTTAGCGATAAAACATTTTTTCTCCCTCGACGCACGTCTTCCCATGACTTTTCGTCCAATAACTGCAAAATGTTGTGCAAATGATAGTTCAACAAGTCGGGAGATCTTCTCAATTCCTTCCTCGAGGAGTAAAACTCAGGGATCTTGATTCCAAATCTGGCTAAGTTGGGTATTCTGCCAGCAGAAGTATCATTTGAGGGCCACACTCGTCACAACAGGCTATTTTCCCAGTCCTCAAAATGCACAATCAATGTACCCCACCAGAAGGTAATTCCCGCATATTACCAGGTCACGATACGAAATATGTACGTGAAATCAGAAATCGTAGATCTATAAGAAAGTGGGTTGGTGTCGTGATCGAACTGCAACCAAGCAACAAATTATCAAAATGAAGTTTCAAGATATAACTTCGGTGCTAGCCTTCGCTGGTAGTGCTCTGGCACATGGTGGAATTTTGAGCTACACAATTGATGGAAAAGACTACATCTCGTAATTACTCCTCAATCACAAGATGTTCTTAAGCTAACACCACTAGAAACCCCTACCATCTCAGCGACATGACCACCAACGGCGCTGGCGATGCAGACATTCCAGATCTTACCACCCCAAGTATCCAGCGTCCTTACTACTGGTACCCAGTCGAAGACGTCGAGTCCTCAAACATGACCTGCAACTACAACGCCATCTCCAACGCCCCCGACTTCCACGCCACCGTCCCAGCGGGCGGTAACATCACCGCACACTGGACCAGTCCCGAGGGCGGAATATTCCCCTACGTCGGCCTCAGCTGGCGCCACAGCCATGGTCCTATGCTCGCATACCTCGCACGCTGTCCTGGGGACTCTTGCGCAAACTACAAGCCCGAAGGCGCGATCTGGTTCAAGATCGCGGAAGCCGGGATGCGTCCAGGAGAGAAGGACATGACTCTAAACAGTGCTTGGTGGCAATCAGAGATCAACGGGTATGCGGGATACGATGGGGAAGGCTATCACTACCCTGCGTATCCAGAGGGATGGTCTTTTAATTTGCCGAAGAGATTGAAGAAGGGAGCGTATCTTATTAGACATGAGATCATTATGACGGCGGCGAATCCGGCGCAGTTTTATCCGAATTGTGCACAGCTTATGGTTACGGGTGAGGGGGATAAGTTGCCAGCGGCTGAGGTGTTGGTTGCGTTTCCGGGGGCTTATAAGGCGTCTGGTAAGTGAAAGTCGTGTGTCTTAAAGTTCAAGTTTGCTAATGAAGTGATAGATCCTGGAATCGTGATTGCTGACTGGGCGATGGGATGGCAACCTGCTGAACCGAGATACAACACTAGTGTATGTATTCATCCATGATGAGATTGGTCAAAACAACAGCTAACATGAAAAACAGGACTACAAAATGCCAGGCCCAAAGCTTTGGACTGGAGGAAACTAGTGACAGCTACATGCCAAGTCCGGAAGTAAGTGAACAAATTTGGGGTGTAGAGTCAGGAAGAGTATGAAGGACTGAATGTACATTCATTTTGTAATTTGACGAATATATCTGAATCATGGAAGTAGCTTCTGAGATGAAATTTACGTCGTGGTTTTGACTTCGGGCTGTTTTTGATTCGGCCCGGGTACGGTGTAATTTGGTGGCAAAACATGGTGGTTCGAATATAAGCAAGGTCAGTTTTTTCTATGTGTGTTTGGTCAGCAGTGATAGAAACATAGTAGAAAAATTTTGTGGGGTATGAGTATCTAGGTAGGGTGAGAGTTCCTTTGGTTAGATCCTCAAGGAAGTTGCCATTGTTTCGCATTCGAATATCAATTATGGATGGCGAATTGAGACATTGCCAGGTTTGACAACGCTTGAATGGCTTGTATTTCGGATAGAAGTAAGATTATTTTCCTAGGATAAATGAGCTTACCTTTATCGTAGTTGAGGAGCTCGCACGAGCTATTTACTTACAGCGGGTGGACGCAAGTCTACGCACAGCCCATGATTTACACCAAAACTCACATATTTGACCTATAACTTATTGTATATATAACCTCTTTCGTTATACCTAAAACTTATAATGAGAGTTATTTATTACTAATTCATTAATTCTGTCTCTTTAGAACTGTAAATATCCTATGCTTTTCTCTAGTAAAATCTATTCAAAAGGTAGCTACAGAAAAATATCGGATTTACTATAGTAAAATAAGCGAAATAACATAGGTCAGTACCTAGGTATATATCTTTGTACATCGGTCGCTTTTATTAGTAAAATAAGCTTAAATTTAAATATATATAAGTTTAAGTAGTTCTCATTCTATATATTTAAGGAATAGTAATTTGTACCATTTTCGTAGTTGTAATATCTATCTCAAAAGGGGGTGTTTTGTGCTTATTTGGTGGGATTTGAGGGGTGTGCGTAGACTTGCGTCCACCCACTGTAAAACATTTGCGCACTTTTGACATAGTGATAATACTTGGTTTTCAACAACGTATTCTCTGATTCTAATCATGTGTATTAGATGGTGATTTACATTGAGGACATTGATTACAAGCAAGCGATCATATTTATTAGAACAGCCCCCTTTCACCTAATTACTTTCCTTCACAGACTCTCCCCAACATGAGTCCACGGACGGTGAAACTACCGATTCCATTCAAAGCCACATCATTAAAAAGCCCGGCAGGACCATTAAAGCAGTCATGACCCACAAGCCACTATTACTAGCCCCAAAGCTAGCACCACCGGTGAACTGCACCGGCGTAGAGGTGGGCACAGCCGAAGTTGCATTCCTTGCAGGTGTAGTGGTGCCAGTGCTAATAGGCGTTATTACTGGAGCGACACCACTCACAGCTGTTGCGGTTTGCGTGGGTGTAGGGAACGCTAGAGTTGCGCTCAAGGAGCTCAAAAGCAGAGTTGCTTGTGCGGAGTCGGTTGCTTGTACGCTGACTGTCGTGATGGTAGTTACTTGGGAGGATGTGAGGGCGGTGGAGAATTGGATGTATGTGTAGTCTGTGATTGTCAAGTCAGTTATCGCCGATTCAATTGATGAACTGATCTATCATTAAAGACAGAGTAGATAATGTACGTTACGTACAGTAGTAGTAATAATACCAAGTGATCTCATATGTGAAGTAAACATAGTTGGCAGCAAATGTCTGAGTCGACGCCGGTGGAGTTGTAATAGTTGTTGGGATGGTTGTCGGCGCTGGCGCTGCAGACCCGGTTCGTGCTGTGGTGATTGCTTGGGTTCCGTCAGGGCAAGTTTCTGGAGCTTCTACGTAGGTTATGCCATCGTCGCAGCAGATACCTCCTGGGGGAACGCAAGAGAAAAGTCCTAAGAGACTTGTTAATACATTCAATCTTTGATAATGGAATCTTGCTCAGCTTACCGGGGCAGTCAGGCACCCAGCCTGGGGTTCGACAGATTGTTTGTCGCCCTTCTAGCAGAGGTTCCCTTTTCGATAGTACTTCTCCTGCATTAACAGCCGATAGAAAGATGCCAAGAATGGCCAGGCTTTGAAGAGAAAGCATTTTGTTGCAGTTGAAGTTTTCTGGCTAAACGAATGTATAGTTGGACCAACGAGTGACTTGAAAACAGCAGTAACCTTCAATTCTACAACAAAGCAAACAGAACCAAGAGAAACGGTCCTCATTTAATAGCTGAACTTTCACGTATCCTTCCCACTAACACCCCCTGAAGTATGCATCTAATGCGGCTGAAAGTTGCAGCGACGAAAATAAGCAACCTATAAATTCCAGCAATAATAACATTAGCTTATGGTTGCACAAATCTTATTATCCTGCAGGTCCAGGGAAAACGTTTTCCTAGTTCCAAGTATTGAAGAGCGTTTCCCCTCGATCTCCACGTTTTGGCTTTCTTGTTCCTGCATGGCGCACGGGAAGGATGGAAAATGGGTGAAATATGGTCCGCGCTGACACTCGGATCTAAACCAATCGTTTGCGCCCTCCAGCGGTTTTCTCAGAGCCGCAAGCCCTGGCAATTTTGTTTGAAACGCCGCTACGTGTGGAGGAGATGGGAATTTTGTGTGTATGCAAGTTGACTGTTGTGATGCTCAGCCGCCGAATTGCTTTCCCAAACTGGAATAGTGATAATGTGCCATTGCAAAGATCTTGGCCAATTGTGAATACTTGAAATTTTTTAAGAAAAAGGACGAAGGTGAAATGCGATGCACCACCATTACATTGCAAGACTGACGGGAGAACCGTTCATTATGACATTGTTAGAGAAGCGATTTCCAACTCTCCCTCTCCAAGAGCCATATTAAATCTGTTTTGTCGAGACAATGTTGTATTTTTAACTGGATTAAGTATTGTGGCGGTTTGGGCGGAGCATGGCCGTTGTGTCCAATAAGGCGTCCGTTAGACTGGCAATCCGTCAGTGCTGGGTGGTCAATAGCAACGATTGAAAGATTCGTGGAAAAAAGCGTGCAATGGAATCGTATCTTTTCGTTGAGCTTTTTCAAAATGGATCGGAAAAACTGATGCAATGTAAACTAAATAATGGGCACTAGATTTCTACTAAATTACCAGATTTATAGAACGACTATTAGGGCTTGTAGCGGTCAAATTTTTCAATTTCTAGTTCGATGATGTGTAAAATAAAACATTGTTCGGCAAAATTCAACGGGCGTACGACTGAAACATTTCAATGGCTTCCAAGTTCAACTACGAGCGGGAGCGAATTTGGGGACCACCGATCATATTATTGAGTACATTGTTTTGAAGTTCAGGTTCTTGCATCCAGCAAAGCTCTTATACATCATCCAAGCCAAAAAGTTGGATTCACCGAGTACACTCGCTACCATATCATGAAACAATCGCTATTCGACCACACCAACAAAATCTCTCCGCCCGTATCAAAAGCCTCGGATGCGCGTCAACCTTTATACTTCCACCACTCGTGATGACAAACGCCAATCCAAACCTCAGCCACGCTGCAAGACAGCGCCAACGCCCCCCTAAGCGATCTCGCTAAGCCATAGCCCCACTCCCACTGGAAGTCGTTTCAGCGCAATTAAATTACACCTTGGAAATCCAGTGATGGATTGTTGTTGGTTTGACGAGTTGCCGTGTAGCGTTAATCCCTATTATACGATATCTTGGATTGGGTTTGCTGGTTCTAATATTTTAAAGTTAATGGATTTGATGCACTTTGCCAGTTCAAGATCCAGTGATGCTTTGACACATTATGGCATGCGGTTAACTCCCACACAATAGTAGTTAGACGAAGCCTCTGATTGTGTTTGCTGTTATTAATATTTCAGCATTGCTGGATCCGGTCCGAGTGACGACTTTAAGATCCAGTGATGGCGTTTTGTACGTTTGACGATTTATCTGATCAAAGAGACTCCTACATGATGGCAATTAGACGATGTATTTGCGGGGGACCGCCAATATTGACATGTAGGACTTGATGGATGTAAACTGTGAGGCGGACCATGGCTTCCTAATTGCTTGGTGTTCTTCCTAGGTGATCTTATGATGAAGTCGTGATGGCTCCTACTTCTTCGTGGGTAGTATATAGATCAACTGTCGGAATACGAGAGATTCTTTATCCACTTTAACACAACGATCACTTTTTACTCACTTTTCCTACCTTTATTCCATACTTTACCTTCATACTACTAGCTCTGGAAGCTGTCACACGCTTTCTCACAGGTTGAGAAGTCATCCACCTGCTTCTTAGATTTCATTTTCAAAACTCTATCATCATCTAGACCAAGATGCACTCTCACTATCTCCTCCTTCTCCTCACTCCTATCATCTCAGCAATCGCCATCCCTCAAGCCCCGTCGCCAAACCCAATTCCCTCCTCCAACACCGACACCAATGGACAAGCTAAGCCCACCCCATCCATCACCTCTCCATCTCCCTCAACTACCCCTACTGGCTCTCCCGATGGCAAATCTTATTCTGCCAATAACCCTGTTCCCATAGCAGCGCCCGAGGACAGGCCGAAGCATCAGCCAGGGAAAGACTATTGGGGAAATGATGAGGAGAGGCGTCGACCAGGTGCGATCATGCATGAAGATCCAGGGCGCAATAGGGGATGGCCAGGTATTTTCCCATGGTGGAAAAAGCCTACCAATATACGCGAAAAGATAAGAAAGCTCGCTCCGGAGTTACAGCGATTCTTAAACATGGTGTTGGATAAAAAGATGATTCGGGAGCAGCTTTTGCTGAATACGATCAACGCGTATGAAAAGATGCCAAAGCCGCCGACGAGTGCTGGTGGATCGACGACGGTGACTGGAACGGGTGGGACTTCGACGTCGACAGGAACAGGAGGTGTGACACCTAATGCTGTGCCAAGTGCAAGTCCACTACCGCCGATAAAGCCAGCTGTGAAAGAAGCGCCTGCACCTGCATCGGGAGACAAATCGGATTATGGCAATGCGGAGAAAAAGAACATGGCCAGACAGGAAATCGGGAACGATAAGAGAGACCTAAATCATCCCGACGCTTATACCCACGCCAATCATGCCCGCGACGCCAAAATCGAGGAGAATGGGAACGAGAAGAGAGATTTGAACCATCCTGACGCATATACTCACGAAAATCACGCCCGTGACACTAAAGTCGAGAAGAGCGAGCACGAGAAAAGAGACTTGAACCACCCTGACGCTTACACCCACGCAAACCACGCCCGCGACACCAAAATCGAGAAGAGCGAGACTGCGAAAAGAGACCTGAACCATCCAGACGCATACACCCACGCTAACCACGCCCGCGACGCTATGGTCGGCTCTGCCATTAGGCTCCCACCACCTGCAACTCCAGAGGGAAATTCTATGATTGAATCCAAGCTAGAGAAGAGAGATGTGAACTATCTCGACGCCGATTTCCACGCTAACCAGCGCCGTAACGCCGAGAAAGATAGTGGGGCTCCTATCGGGGGTGGAAAAGCACAAAAAGGACCGCAGGTGAAGGGAGGGAAGAGAGATGTGAACTATCTCGACGCTAATGTACATGCTGATCAGGCCCGCGACGTCAACGCTGAAATGGCAGAACGTTCAGAGCTCGGGCGACGGGAAGAAATTTCCTGTTATGCTGGCGGTAGATGCAGCGGGTTTCAGGGGAAGGCACAGATGAAATACAACATCGATAATACTCTTGGTACGAAGGAGTTAAAGCTGGACCTGGAAGACGACTCTCTGGAGGTGAAATTTGGGAAAGAGAAGAGAGATGAGATGACGGAGATGGAGGAGGATGATAGGGCTTGGGGTATGCAGCATTATTAGATTGTGAGGTAGGAAGGTTGCTAAGGAGGATGGTTTTGTATTTGTACGTTGCGTTGAATTCTTTTGTTTTGGAGTTTTGGATTTGTTAGTTGGGTATGGATAGATTGGGAGGCGGGGAATATACAGTTGATGGATTTATTTAACTTACTTGACTCTTTTCGACAATAAATCCATGATGTTGAGATGCTACCGGTCGATCCAAGGAAGAATGATGGACTCGGAAATATAGCGAGCGGTAGAACCGGCATGGTTTTTGAATCTCAGCAACATAGAGACTGTGGAGAACGTACTAGTTGGTGTCAGCAATATCAGAACGATTAGTTTTACAAATAAGTCTATAAATATTGCTTCTTCTTTCATTGCATATATCTGTAGCATAGACCACAGATCACTGAAAACTGAGTATAACCGCCTCCGAATCCAACACAGCGACTTTCACTGTCCCATCTTTGACTTTAACAATCTCACCGGTAGTGACATTATGCAGCCTTACCGGCTTTCCATTGTCAAGCTCCCAATTATAGCTCAACCCATCCCACGAGATGCCAGAGATAGCGTCACTTCCATTCGCATATAGTCTTTGAACACCAATTTTGTCCCTACAATCAGCCGGAACATTGAGCGTATACTCTCGTGAAGGTCTTTTGACCGGGTTCAACACCGAACTTGTGCCGTTGACAGTGTAATTATACTGTCTGAGATTGATGATTGCGACCCTGGAAAGTTTGTCGTTGGAGTACGCGGCATAAGCAGCTTCTGTATCCGTATCAAGTTTGATGTTCGCAATTCTAGTCTTCTCCTTCTTCAGATTACCCATCATCGCAGCGACTGCCACGTGACCATAATATGGTGGCTTAGTCCCAAGAGTGGTAATGTTTGTTTGGACAGGCTGCCAGCTTTGGTAACGGTAGTTCGTTCCCATGTGCATATGGACACGACGGATACCGACAGAAGCGCAGTAGAGATTGAAGTCGATGCCCCAGAGAGCAGCACCAAACGCGTTGGACAGACCCGGCTTGCCTTGGTTGTACAGACTGTTCGTTTCTCCAAGTATGAACGGCAGGCCGAGGTACGACAGATTCTTCTGGAGCTGTGCCTGAGCGTCCACAGACTTGGCGGTGACGGTATGGTTCATAAGAGTACCTTGAAGTGTTACACCTGGCTGTGTAGCACCTCCGATGTAGCTTTTCGTTGTTAACGCGCTGTAGAAAGAAGTGATAATGAAACTTACTTGTGCGATGAAATGATTTTAATATCCTTATCTGCATCGAGTCCGGATTGAAAGGCCTTGACAGGCTTTAGATGGTTATTCAAACCGGCGAAAGACGGGGCAAGGTACCCATATGTCGAATTCGATGTAAGACCCGGGCAGTACTTTTCCAATTGACGTTTAATGGCACGCGTCCCGTTCAGCCATTGACTGACATAAGTGGCCTCATTCCAGGATGGTGGTCGCACAGGTCCTTGAGCCGATGTAGAAAATAGATCTGGTTCATTTCCATATTCCCACCAAAGAAGCTTTTCTTTCCCGAGTGCTTTGCAAGCCAACGGAACAGTTTCAAGCAATGTCTCCCAGCCTGCCGAATTATTACCACCCAGGCCCATGTTGAATCCATGTACGAACTTGGTGTCTGGCCAGGTATTGTAGGACTCGAAATAAGATGGACCAATTGAGATTGTTGTGGGATAATCAGGAGATCTTGATGGAACAACAATCCCAGTCAGGGCAGTTTTGAGACTAGCATTATATAGATAATAGTCCTGGGTGTTTCCACCAACGCGAATATATGGCTTGGTTCCCGTAAGATTGCCCAGGTTATTTAAAAGATTGTTAGAGAAAACATTTGGTGATGAGTTATTTCCTGTGTCTCTTTAGCTACGCGTGTAGTCACCATACTAGAACAAATTACCAGCAAATTCCGGAAAGGAAGAGAACTCAATCGAATAACTGACAAAAGCTTCTGGAATAGGGTCACACGCTGCTGCTGGAGGTGATTGCGCAACCGAAATTGAAGAGGCAATGCTGCTTCCCACGAACGCCGAGATGAGACTGGCGACTGCCATTGATGAATACCGTGAAACCATCATGAGGAGTTGTCACCAAGAAAAGTGATTCGCGGTTTCAAAAGAAGAGATAGAGAAAATAGGTGTTCATTGAGATGACATATAGTGAGCCTCTCTCTGCAGATCTCTGCATGCATTCTTCCATTTCACCCGGCATGATGTACTCACCAGTAATCTTGTGCACTCGATTCGTGGGCTTATTGACACAGTAAAGTGAACAACCGGCACTAAGTACAGGATACTATGGTGCTACAAGCATATCTCGGTGCTTATACGGAGCGTATACGAGGCGGGGAAGTGAGCGTAGTGCGGGGTGCAGGCTATCAGATCACTATCCTCAAGCTCCCCCCTTCGGGGAAGGCGGGGATATTGGCCACGCCGAATGGACGACATAGGCTGTAAGTTCTGTGTCGCAAAGAGCAACTGAGCAACATTGATACTTGAAACAGGTAATTCGAATTAGGAAATAATGAAGCTCGAGATGTGTTGTAGAAGTCGTATGTTTTGCAGAGGAGAAGAAACAACGAGCAGACTTGGCATCGTGAGGACATCTGCGGGGTGTGGGGAAAGGGGTATAGAAGCTAACTCGATGTGGCCTGGAACGTAAAGCTTCTCTTAGTTAAGCTTATCATGTGATTTAAGTGAGACCAAGAAATGTAATGCTTGCCGATTACTTAGTTGTAGTATTTGCCTTCTTATCAATAAATATCGTAAATTGTGATCCAAGCAGTAGAGAAGGGGATAAGGAGTCGGCTAGATACTATGTCACACGTGACTGACCTCCTTTCCATAGCTTCGGGTCAATTCACAATTGACCGCTGTTTATTACGATCTCGTTCGCTCATTTCCACACTGGACATCAAAACCTTATGATAAAGGGAAGATACCGAAATTAAGGATTTCACCTTGCTCATTTCACCTTGACAAATTTAAGCAGCAACTTATCCCCAACCGGACCAGCAATAACCGAATCCATCTGTTCCATCCCACTACCATCTACGATTTCAGTTTCAAACTCACTATAAATCACTTTCACTACAGCTTTTAAACCTAGTCAAACTGTCAATAAATGATCAAGTACATCGGGAAGCTCTATTCACTCAAAAGTGCAAGGTTAGAACCAATACACATCCTCGTCCCGCTTCCAAAAGCCCAAAACCACTTCATCATACCCGCTCGCTGCTCGGTGCTAGCTTCCAACCATCTTTCTGGCTTCCACTCTTCCGGATCAGGGAACACAGAATCGTTTCGGTGGAGCGTGTAGCTTGATGCGCTGATTGTTGTGCGAGCTGGGATGGTGTAACCGCCGTTAATTTGGCAAGAGCTCGTTGGGTGGTGGCGGGGCCAAGGTCCTGGGTTGGGCGAGTAGAGACGAAGGGTCTCTGTTATTATGGCATCAAGAATTGGAAGGCTGTCGAGGTCTCGTGGGGATGGAAACTTCTCGTTCTGTGGCGTGGATAGATTGTTGAGTTCAGAACGGAGTTTTGTTTGCCAGAGGGGGTTGAGTGAGAGTGAGTATGTGACGTATGTTAGGACAATGGCTGTTGCGATTTGGTTTGCTATGACATGATCTAGCATCTCATCTTTGAGGAAAGTCGCCGTCGCTTCTGGATTCTCTGTTTTTCTCAGATGAGTGTGGAGTTCTGAACATACACTTGCCTTATGTGTCGCGCCTCCGTCCTGGCATATATCATTTTTGGCGTCAGCTGTTTTAAGACTCTTCTGACACATCTCATTACTCCATTGCCTTAGATTCTGTTGAGCATCATCTGCTTCTTTTGGGTCAACCCGAATGCCGAGTTTCGACAACAACGATAGAGTCTCGTAAAACTCGCCTCGTCAAAAGAAAGCACCACCGCTTCTTTCAAAATTCCTGTAGAAGGTATTGGCCTCGCTTTTGTTGTGAAGCCAATCTGTTCGAGCTTTGATGCCAAAAAGCCAACCAGTTGTAAAGTCCGTAACACAAGGTTGGAATGCTTGCATCACATCGACTGTCAACGCATCAACTGCCCACTTCGCAAGCTCGTTTCGAAAAGACTTTTGGAAGACGTCGATGACAAGAGATTTAATAACTGGCGAGTTTTGGATATATGTTTTCATATATATCGACGCCATCATGCGCTTTCTTGAGCCATGTTCTTTAGTTCGAAGCATGCACACCATGAAAGGTGCCCTTGATATTCATCAGCCTTCTAAGTTATTTTATTCATACTAGATGCCCACTTACTCTCTACCACGAAAAGCGTTCAGGAACCACTCGGTCCTCTCAAAACTACTGTTGTTGTAAACAGTTTGCACACCTTCAATCGAGTTGATGGATAACTCGTGAGGTCCAAGCCGTATGATTGGTCCTAGCCTCTTGTGGGCAGCGTGTCTAGCGTGATTTTCACATCCTCTATATTTCTGTACAAGAAGCCAGGCGCGCGAGAGCGGAGTGGTAAAATGTGCGTTGGGAACGTTTGATAAAGGGTGGAAGTAGGCTACGCAAAGTTTCTGCAGAGAATACGCAAGGAATGCGAGAATGGGAATATGGAAAATTGAGAACTCCATCCTAGAATGCAAGGGGTGGAGTTTTGGTTTCGATAATGAAAGAAGTGGTTCGGATAAGGGAAAAAAAATGGTTGTTGGATCACCAACTTCCATTTGGCTGAAGTCATCCGAATGTGGTGCAGGGTGAGGTGAGGAACCTCAACAAGGACGGCATTGCCTATTGTTATATTAGGAGACATACCTAGCGATATGTAGCCAGTAGCCCCCAATTAATTGTTATTGCGACAGTAAAATGTGTAAACCCCTTTTGAACCTTATGTTCTATTATATTTACCTCAATACCAAGAAGAAGTATCCCGAAGAATGCGATCCTGCCAACAACACCCAGGTTGGTGCTAAGCGGGGTAGAGGAAAGCATTTGTTGGAAATCCTAGTCGGAAGATATAGGAATAGGTATGGAAATATGAGAAAGCCAAATACAAAATGAAGATACTCAATCATATTACGAACTAAGTTGAGATATTCTTGCCCTCCGCCGAGTTGTTTTCTCAGTCCGGAGTATCACGTGACCATGACGTTCGAGCTTCCAGGTTCCTCGCTTCCCTCGCTTCAAAGCTTCATCGCCCCGAGGCTCCAAACAGCCCATCACCCCACTCCTCTCACTCTCCCTACGCCCACCCAGTATGCCAGTCCAATGACGATACACCAATTCGCTTCGCTCGTTTCGCTCGCCTCTTTGCTTTTGGAGTAGTAAACAAATCAGCCAATTGATTACTACGACATTCCATGGTTTCCCCTCCGGTGTTACTAGCACGGTGACGCTACAGAGCACACCAAGAACCATTTCCCCGCGGTCGAAGCATCTCTATTTATAATGGCCATTCTATTAAGAACAGCAGCTCCAGTCTCGCGAGCAGCTCTTCGAAGACGATTCCAAACATTTACCATTCCTCAAATACAATCTCGACCTGCCTCCACAATGCCTCACAGTGTGCCAAAGCTCAACGATCCGTCTTTGTTTAAGACAGACGTTGCATACGTAAATGGAGAATGGGTGAAGGCAAAGTCAGGAAAGACTTTTGAGGTCTTTGGTATGTTGCTGAGAAACGAGCCGCGCCATTAGCAGATACTAACAGCTGTTAGATCCATCATCCGGAAAACTTATTGGAACGGCTCCCGAAATGGATGCTGAAGATACCAAGAAAGCTATAGACGCGGCCGCTGCCGCATTCCCCTCCTTCCGAACGACTACCGGCCGCGAACGATCAAAGATGTTAAGAAAGTGGTACGACCTGATGGTATGGACATAGAAATCCGAGGATGTCATTACACGGAGCTGACCAGTTTCCCAGGTGGAAAACTCAGAGGATATTGCTAGACTCATAACATGGGAGAATGGAAAGCCATTGGCAGATGCAAAGGGAGAGGCAACATATGCTGCGAATTTCTTCGAGTGGTTCAGCGAAGAAGCCCCAAGAATATATGGCGATACGATTCCGGCTTCAATCCCTGGCAACAGGATTGTCACCATCAAAGAGCCAGTTGGAGTTTGTGGGCTGATTACACCGTATGATCTAAGTCAAGCTACTAGCCAACGAAGCTAACTCGCATAGATGGAACTTCCCGGCTGCTATGATTACTCGCAAAATTGGACCTGCCCTTGCAGCTGGCTGTACAGTGGTAGCCAAATCTCCAGGAGAGACTCCTTTCACATCGCTCGCCCTTGCTGAGCTTGCTCATCGTGCCGGAATCCCAAAGGGTGTTGTTAATATAGTTAGCGCGTTAAAAAATACCCTGGATGTTGGCGAGGTTCTCACCACCTCACCTATTGTCAAAAAAGTGTCGTTCACAGGATCCACTGGTGTCGGAAAGCTTCTGATGAAACAGTCATCGTCTACATTAAAGAAGCTGTCTTTCGAGCTAGGTGGAAATGCCCCATTTATCGTATTCGATGACGCAGATCTGGATACTGCTGTTGCTGGTGCAATTACGAGTAAATTCCGATCCTCTGGACAGACGTGCGTCTGTGCCAATCGACTACTGATTCAATCCGGAATTTACGATTCTTTTGCCGAGAAATTTGCTGCCAAAGTGGCAGAGTTTAAGGTGGGAGGAGGCTACGAAGAAGGTATCACTCACGGCCCCCTCATCCATGATCGAGCGATAAGCAAAGTCGACGCACACGTCCGGGATGCCGAGAAGAAGGGTGGAAAGGTAATCCAGGGTGGTCAGAAGATGCCAGAACTCGGAGAGAACTTCTTCCAGCCTACCGTTATCACTGGTATGACCACGGACATGGCGCTTTCAAGTGAAGAAACGTTCGGCCCAGTCGCTGGACTCTTCAAGTTCGACACCGAAGATGAAGTTGTAAAGATTGCGAATAATACCGAGGTTGGTCTTGCTGGCTACTTCTTCTCCCGAGATATCCAACGCATTTACCGTGTTGCGGAAGCTTTGGAAGTAGGGATGGTGGGTGTGAATACTGGGTTGATCAGTGATGCCGGCGCTCCATTTGGGGGTGTGAAAGAGAGTGGGTTTGGGAGAGAGGGTAGTAAATATGGTGTTGGTGAGTACCAGACCATTAAGATGATTACGTATGGTGGGATGGGACAGCCATTACAGAAATAGGACTTTAAGCACTACTAAGCTGTAGATTTTTTAAGAGTTCACGATTGGCTTCTAAATAATTGGCCAGATTTTGAGGGAGTGTACTTATGACAGAACTTTGGGATAGCTAAAATGGCATATACAATTAATAATTACGTGGTAGTTATACTTCAGCTTTTCGGTAGCTAATTCTAGTAGTAAAGTACTATGAGATTACTATTCCGCGCCGATGCCTTAGAACTTGTAGTATTAAAAACAGCTACAAATTAAGCCAATAACGAAATATTAAGATAATTGTGTATAATAGTCACGCGTAACTGGAGGGCTCCACCTACCCGACTATTAATAGATTAAACTTTAATATTATAATACAGAATAAACAGAACGGCGGGTGACTTAGGCAGAAAGCTCACGTGAACAACACGTGATGTGCCCGTCCCGTCCCCATTAGGGACTTTCGCCATTATTCTCACAAAAACTTTTACTTCCTTACTACTTAGCATAGACGAACAATCAACTCCCGACGAAACATTTAAGGGGAAACACCTTTCCTAGGGCCCGCCTTGTCAAGTAAGTGTCGTCTGGATTTTATACGCCGTTTCTAAACGCGCTCCAACAAAATACAGTACGGTGTCAGCACCGCCACGCCAACAATTGACACGGGATACCTAGGTAGAGCTTCCTTGACAGGCTTAGGATTCTATAACTGAAATGAGCTACTGCGGGATGGCTCGTCAGGCTGTCCATATGCATCGGCTAACAATGGAGTGGATAGCGGGGTAATACATAGGTGTACATGTGTTTCCTAAGCTCTGATTCGACAAACGAACTGCGAAGTTATGGGGAGCATCCATCAACAAGACCCGGTCGTTGGCTATTATGATAGGTAAGTCTAGGGCTGAGCCGACGCAAGTCCCTGCAAAGGTAACTTATATTTATGGCCACAAGCAACGAGCATACGCTTCGCCGCTGGAGGTGCGCATATATCTGCAATCGTAGATGAGTTTATTATGATCAAATACAGCGATTGACCAGTCGAGCAACTGCAACTGAAAGCAAAGATTGCGAGAGCGGAAACGCCTTTGCACCCATCAAATCAAACATTGCTTTGATTTGTGGCCATCGAGCTGAAGGCAAGCTAGGCAGCCCTGCATGTTACCCATCTTCTGGGAAGTGGCTTTCCAGGATAGAGCGTGGTAGATATCAAGGTTGTTTTACATGGAAATTGAGTAGGTGCTAGATGGACCGATTAAGCGCAAGTAAGTCCGTCATGGGCTGCCAGTGTGTTGGCTCCGAGGCTAATCTTGATAACTTTATTTTTACAGTCCAAACGCCCCAGAAATGGTCGCGGGACAGGCGAAAACAGAGTACCTTTGGTCGAGCCTTCTCGAGGTCCATCCCGAGCAACGGGGTTGCCGTCGACAAAAAAGGCCCACTGGGATTGAGTACATTGCATGACCCAAATGATGCTATTGCGGACTTGATATTTGTCCATGGGCTTGGGGGAGGCTCTGAAAGTACCTGGACCGAATCACACAATGGGACGTTAGATCCCACCCTCTACTGGCCGAAAAGATGGCTCCCGTACGAAGATGGCTTCAGTGACGTCCGGATACATTCTTTTGGCTATGATTCGAATTGGAAAAAGGAAAGCACCTTGAATATCCATGACTTTGCTAAGTCACTTCTCGTCGCCATTATGGACAGCCCGGCCATTATCAAAAAGAATCAAAATGTGCGTGGAACCCTCTGGCAAAATTAATATCTCTTGATGTCTGACCCTTTTAGATTCCTCTACTGTTTGCGGCGCACAGTATGGGTGGGCTAGTCATCAAGAAAGCATACATATTATCGCGATCCTCACACGAATACACCTCCATTGCCACTCGCACTAAGGCGATGCTATTTCTTGCGACGCCTCACCGCGGATCGGATTTAGGGACGACTTTTACAAAGATTCTCAGCTTATCATCTGGATCTCGGCCATTTGTGACGGACCTTCAGCGTAATTCTCAAATCACACAATCCATGAATGACGAATTTTCATCATTGTGCGAAGATCTTCAACTGTATTCATTCTATGAGACCATGCCGACAACTGTGGGACCGAGGAAGATAATGGTTGTGGAGCGAGACATGGCGACCCTAGGTTATACCAACGAGCGTACAGCGTACCTAAATGCGGATCATCGCCACGTTGTAAAGTTTCTGACTCCAGAGGATGTCAACTATAAAACAATTCGCAATGCGTTAGCAGCGGTAATTCATGGGCTTGGGCAAGACCCACTGCTGGCTGCTGATAAAAAGGTTATGACCGGCTTGCAAGATCAGTTGAACTTATACCTAAACACTTCGGAGGCTCCCGGCGATATGCTCATGACAGTAGAGTCAATGAGGTTGCCAGGGTCGTGCGAATGGATTTTGAGTAAAGCATCTTTCTTGGACTGGAGAGACTCGGCAAACCCTGCGATCTACTGGGTCAGCGCAAATCCAGGAACGGGCAAGTCCGTACTATGTGGATTTGTGATTGGGTATCTCAGGGATTCTGCCCTCGCATACTGTTATTACTTGTTTTCTCTTGCGGATAAGAATACATCTCGCATTACAGCGTGTCTCCTTTCCCTGGCGTGGCAAATATCTGTTGCTCAACCAGACATCATGGAAACAGTCATCGAAATCTGCAGCACAGACGGCGGTGTTGGCAAGTTGACAGATCATCGGACTGTGTGGAGAAAGCTATTCATCGAAGGAATCTTACGGCTCAAGCTTCAGAGATTTTATTTGGTGTTAGATGCCCTAGATGAATGCGAAGAGAGCACAGAACTGGTCGCTTATCTCTTGAAAATGACCGATGCGTGCGATGTGCGAATTTTCGTCACTCATCGACGTCGTTATGAGGCTCCAAAGAATCTGAGTGCGTTGAATGTTAAGGTCTATGCCGAAACAATAGGGCCGGATGAGACAGAACTCGACATTGCTCTGTACCTGCAAGAGAACATCCATACCCTGCCACAGTTAACCGACGAGGCACGTTTAGATATGGCGCAAAACATTCTAGAGAAGTCCGCAGGCTGCTTTCTTTGGGTTGATCTTGTATTTCAACAGTTGAGAGATTGCTTCACTGTGTCAGATACGCAGCGCGTCTTAGAGGAAACTCCGAGTGATATGGACAATCTCTACTCAACCATACTGAGGGGAATGTCAAATGCGCCTCACGGAAAAGAAGTGGCAAAATCGATTCTGAATTGGGTTGTTTGCTCGGCAAGACCTATGACAGTTGATGAACTTCATAAAGCACTAGAGGTGGACTTGAACGACACTATCCATAATGTCAGACGGGCAATCGAAACAACCTGTGGACAACTCGTACACGTAGATTTCCAGTCACAAGTACATGTCATGCACCAAACAGTGAAGGAACAGCTGCTGCACCACCACGAATCAGAATTCTCCATCATGCGTAAGAACGGCCATAAAAGATTGGCATTGGTCTGCCTCAAATATCTTTCCGACTTAGATGTAGGAGGGGCCAAACGTCGTCCAAATGGTAACAGGTCGATATCAGTCCGATCTCCTTTTCTTGCTTATGCCAGTACGCATTTGTCAAATCACATCACATTTATTGATTCCACCGATGACGAGTTTATCACTGCTCTTGCGAGTTTCTTGTCATCTCCCAAGGTGTTGCTATGGATAGAATATTTGGCGTCATAACGTGCTCTTGATCGTCTTATCCAAACTGGAAACTCTTTTGTGCACCTATTACGACGTCGGTCAAAACACAAGTCTCCTCTAGGTCGTGACGTAGCCGCAATAAACATATGGTCGTCTGATCTCATCCGGCTGGCCACAAAATTCGGCGATTCCTTGACTGCTTCGCCGAACTCAATTTTCAAACTCATCCCACCCTTCTGTCCTCCCGAGAGCGCCATCGGAAAACAATTTGGTAAATCTACTAGAGAAATCTCTGTTTTCGGTCTTTCAGCTACGACTTGGGATGATTGCCTTTCTACAATCTATTTCTCAGACGCGAATGTAACGGCCATAGCTTCTTCAGATAAGTTCTTTGCGATTGGGCTCAGTACTGGCAAAGTGGGTATATACCACGATACGACATGCCAAGCAGTAAAGACTCTAGATAACAGGGAAGCAGTTCGATTTATAGAATTCTCCATGCGATCAAACATCTTGGCAACTTGTGGCAATAAACTACTCCAGATATGGTCACTTGACTCATGGCAACAAACATGGAGTTTTGATTTGCCTCAAATGTGTATGGCGGTCCTATTTGTCAAGAATGACCAAATGTTACTTGCCGCAATGAGGAACAACCAGCTTATCGAATACAATCTCGAAACTGGTGCACTTGGGAATCCGTTGGAATGGACTGTTGACGACGAAGGTAGGCCGGCCAAGACTTTTCGACGCCCAAGTCGCGTGGTCATGAGTGCAAGCCAATATCAGCTTGCTGGGATATATCGTGGGCAGGACATTTTGGTGTGGGATCTTAGTGGTGATTACGGCTACGAAACATACAATAGGGATACTGGATTGTCGACATCGAAAGACAGCAGACAGAACACTACCGTCTATGATATGGTCTTTAATCCAGCGCCAAACTCCACCCTCTTCGCGGTCGCCTACTTTGAAGGAGACATTGTGCTGTTTGACACTGCCGATGGGAGTCAAAAAGAGAGTGTTCAAGCCAATGCACAATCGCTGGCAGTTTCCCCTAATGGTAGAACACTCGCTAGCTTTGATGCTTCTGGGGTGGTTCAAGTCTTTGATTTTGAGACTTTGAACCCCATCTTTCGTATACAATCCAGAGACTGGGGAATCAAAGCCCTTTGCTTCAACGGCGATGGATCTCGGCTTCTGGTTGGTCGAGGTTCTCAATGCAAGATATGGAACCCAGCCGCGTTACGGCGAGAGGATGATGAGATTGAGAACAGCGATACTGTCTCCATTTCAACTGCCGCTCACGAGGTTCAATTTGATACTTTTGGCGATGAGGTACTGATCACCGCTATTTGTGAATATGCGAATGGGGCTGTCTTCTTGTGTGGTAAGGATGACGGATCCGTATCTTTGTATAGCGCAAAAGACGGAAAGAAACTCAAGTTTCTTTACGAAAACCCTGGAAATCCAATTCTGTCGCTCTTCGTCGACGCGAAAAGCCAAACAATCGGGAGCTCAGCTGCATCAGGCCGGATAGTGGCCTACCGATTGGCCCAGGTTGAGGATGACTGGCAATTGAGCGATGTCCAGTTTGACGCGAACCTGAAGTGCGCAATTGAGCAGGTACTGAGCAACGAAGGCCATACTCGCTTGCTGGTTTGTTCACAGAGCGGGGACGTGTTGTACGATATGGACCATGGTCGCAATACAATCGTGGCTACTAGGACGAGAGCTAGCGATGTTCCACATAGATGGGCAGCGTTACCAAACAAGCGGGATTTGATCTTGATAACCGATCATCATGCGCACATATTCACTTGGGACAAGCTACAATGCTTGACTGGAGCAACAGGCATACTCCTCGAAGGCAGTGACTCACTAGAAGCAACAAGCATCGTGTCTATATCACCTTGCTATAACGGCCTCACAATTGCAATAGCGTTCTCCCACTTCTACCAATCGCACACTAGTCGCGCTAGTGTATATCTCTACCCAACCTCCTCTTTCGAAACGTCAACGTCCTTCTCCTCACCCCTCACCGCGAAACTATTACCAAATTCTTACACCCTCTCTTCACAGGTCAAGTACCTCATCGGATCATACGCTAAATGCCTCGTATTCCTACATTCATCCGGATGGATCTGCTCCGCTGACCAGGAGAGCTTTGCTATAACACGCCATTTTATCGTCCCGACCGATTGGCTGAGCTCAAACCTGGAGTTGATGATTAGGGTTACGGAGACCGGCGATATACTGTTCGTGAGGGGTGATGAGGTGGCTGTTATAAAGAGGGGCTTGGATACTAGTGAGGCTGGGGTGCCTTCGAGGGTCGGGAGGCGACTGGTGGAGAAGCCTGGGAGGGGAGGTGGTTCGTGAATATGATATAGAAAGATTTGACTAGAATATCTCGTCTATCTCTCGTATGGCTTTCGTCGCTACGTGAGCGCTATCAAAGATAGCTAGATTATTGTTGTGGATTTTAAATATGAATCGGGCTTCGAGTTATCCAAATGTAGAATTTGAGTAAGTGCCCCAATCTAAGCGAGATCTTTTTCATTGGAATGTTTTCGGAGGCTGTTGGCGCTTCTTTGGGAGTTTGTAGCAGCAATCCAGAGAGATTTTTCTTGCTACCAGTTCGTTTTCTGGTGATGCTTTATTACGCATCAATCAAGGAGTAGTAGAATGTACAAATAGGTCATGGCACTGTATTGAATGTCTTCGTATTTCGAACACAAACAAAACAGTTTCATTACATCATTACTCAACGCCATGCCGTCCTAATCGAAATTCGTACTCGAAGACAAGCTTTCCCACTCCTCAAGCAACTTCAAGGTATCATTACATTTCTTGCGAATCGCGTCTACAGCATCTGGGCCCAGCGCCAACGTAGTAGGGAAATCTTTCCCGGCAGCTTCACCCTCTCCTTTGACCACGTCAATGATTCTCTGAACGCCCTTGGCGGGATCTCCAGGTTGTTGTTGGTGATATTGCTTGAATTGCTTGAAAAGCCCTTCCGTGAGCGGTTTGTAGTCGTCGATGTTGGTTTCGGCATAACGTGCGTTGTTCGAGTTCAGGAGTTCGGTGCGGAAGAAGCCGGGCTCGACGAGTAGGGTCCTGATTCCTAGGGATTGGGTTTCTGCTTGGAAAGTCTCTACACTTGCTATCCAAATGTTAGAACTGACATTTCGATCTGGGAGGGGAGGGTGAACTTCGTAGTGCAGCTTTCGAGCCGCAGTAAGAACTGAGTGCCGGCATTCCACCCCATGCTGCAATGGAGCCGAGGAAAACGAATGTCCCTGCTTTTCGGCTGCGGAAGTGCGGGAGACAGGCTCGAGCCACTCCCATGGTGCCGAAAACATGGGTTTGATATTGTTTCATAGTATTTTCATAACTATCCCAGCCGTCAGCAAGATATCTCACATATCATAGAAATATGCCAACCTTTCATCCTCAAAAATTCCAAAATGTGAATACCCAGCATTATTTACAACGACGTCTATCTGGCCATAAATTTCAATGGCTTTCTCAATAGTCTGGTTCAGTGCCGATTGGTCGGCTGAAAGATCTAATTCCAGTGTTGCGGCGCCTTGGGATGAGAAGTGTTTGATCTTGGAGGTATCGCGGGCTGTTGCGATGACTTTGTCGCCTCGTGCAAGGAGGTTCTTCACGAATTCGGCGCCGAATCCGGAGGTTGTGCCTGTGATTAACCATACACGAGATGCCATTTCGTTGGAGGTTATTTGTTTATGAGAAGAGGTTCGGCGAAATCGAGAATCTTGAAGTGTAGATGTTTAATGGGAGGGAAGTGGGTTGTGACTTTGGAAAGGCTGTAAGGAGAAACTCACTATTATATACATACTTTTCAAAACACAACTGACATTGATATTGAGCTAGAGTACCAATTCTTGCTGAATCATGGTTTCGGGCCAGCTGGGTCCCCGAGACGTGTGCAAGATTTCCTCGTCGTCGTTATCACGGCCTATAATAGCTCTCAGTAAGACTTGAATTAGGCTGCAAGCAGTTTCTTGGAGAGATTTTCTGACAAATTTTCAGACTTATTGGACTAATAGACAGAACATTTTCTGGCTTCCGATCTCTAGTCGAATAGCTAGGTTGTTCTACTTATCTGATGGCTTCGGCCGAACTTAGTATAAAATGGGGCTCTTGCTTAATCACGTCGGCCGATGTTCAGTGTCTAGCGGCGGCATATGAGAAACTCCCGATCTGCATTAGTCTTGTGCTAAGCCCGTTCGGTGTTACTGTAGAGTTCAGTAGTGAGGTGTGAGTTCACGTGATCATTATTTGCAAATCCGAATTTGTCCTTCGGACTCCTCGACTGAGTGACATCATCTTGGTAGGAAGTAACATCTCGAGTCGCAATAGCTAATTGGCAATTGCTTCTTGAATTGCATGCAGGAATAAGCCATACACCATGAACTCGCAGCATAACTCAAGCGGCCGGCGAGTGATTACGGCGTGCTCCGAATGCCATAGACGGAAGCAGAAGGTATGAAACCAAATGTTGTTTTCGCTATCAATTGGGCTCTCTGACACTCACTAGTGCGATCGACGCAGCCCTTGCAATAATTGTGTTGCTCGCAAGGTAGCTGGCAAATGTCTGTATAGAGAGGCAGCTAGGTGGGTTTTCCAACGAACGTTGACTTGTAATTTGATGAGTTTAATATCAAGCAGAATAGGTCGTGCTCCTCAACCGGTATCCAGTACACCAAGTTCAGACGGAGCCGATGAGCCTGCTCTCTCTAGTCGAGACGAGTTTCAAGAGAAAGGGGATACCTTAATTGGTCAACATGATCCCAATCAATTCTTAACATCGCAAAGAAACAATGACTTCCACAATCAATATGTACGTGATACAACAACGCTTCGTTGAAGAGAGGAGGGATCGGACTGACTTGAAGTAGTCATCGAGAGGTACTTCTAGGGCCGATCCGAACACAACAACGCGCAACCACCCTGTCTATGGGCTTCCATCACCACCAAGCCTACCTAACACAAATCACAGACATCTCCCTTCTACTACTGTTCTCCAAGAACTAGTAGACGTGTATTTCACCCGCTACAATCCGCAATTTAACTTTGTTGAAAGATGCTACTTTGATGATCTTTTTAAGTTGTGGCTAAATCACGGCGCAGGTTCGCTCTTGTATTTCAACGCTTTACAGCTTGAACAAGAGCTCGATGCATTCCCTGCTTTATTATTTCAGATACTAGGCCTGGTAATTCAGTTCCTGCCGCCTGATACAGAACTTCTATCAAGAATGACTAGGAGCGAGCGAGATTCTGCCCAACGCTATAGCGACATAAGCTCTGACTTAATGAAGATATATGAAGCCCGAAAGTTTTCCATAACAGCAGTACAGGCGTACTTACTTCGAGCTGTGTGGTTGAAAAATGTAGGCCGAGCAGTTGAAGCATGGCACTCTCTCGGTACTGCTGTTCGGTCAGTCCTACAGACATGCTTCGTCGTACCAAAACTAACCATTCGAGCAGGCACGCACAAGAACTGAGACTTCATGAGGGAAGAGATGTTCATCAAGATCCATCTCGGAAAGTGACTGAAACACTAAGTCTTTTCTGGTTAGAAGAGTACCGACGACGCCTTTGGGCCAATTTGTTCGTTTACGATGGGTATGCAGTTTCCAATAAGCTAAGAATAAGCTAATACGAGTCTAGACTAATGGCATTGATGCTTGGACGCCCGCGGACAATCAATACTGGGGATTGCGACTTCAGAAAACCTATGAACTGCGATATACCCACTGAACGTTCAGAAGGACTTCCACTAATGATACCGCTTGGATCTGATCCAAATGCGCCAAACACTGCGTCGCTGATCCTGCCTCTCTATGAACTTGTATTTCTCTTTCATGAGATGCGTACACAGAAGACCTCTACGCCACATCCAACTGATTACTCAATTATATCGGACCTTCATGATCGAGCTTCCCATATAATTCAAACAGCGCCTGCATTTCTACGACAGCATAGTCAGGATTTGTCGTGGGACCCGCTGTATCCTCATGTAACATATCAACGCGAGAATCTGTTATCCATGATCAATCTCTTCTTAATCACCCTACACCGACCTCACGTCGGAGTACACGCAGTGAGTCAGAAGGCAGCACTGCAAGCCTCGATCACTATCTTAGAATCCCAACAGAGGATATTTGATCTGACACCTAGACATCTGTATAGTTATGTGGGGTCGGCCTTCTGTACAATTGATGCAGCATTGTTGCTCTGTGTCATGAGTACCAATATGCGCTATCGAGATAGTCTGAAGCAACGAATTGAGCACCTGCTGGATCAGTCGACCGAGCGTCTGACGAAGATGCAAGTCGCTAGTGTAGCTGCAAAATCTGGACTTCAAGTACTACAAGACTGTTCCCGAAAACTGAAAAGCATAAACGGAACGGACAAGACTAATTCCGATTTTTTAGCGCCAGTCATTGCAGGATATACACCAGGATCTTCCGTCAACACGACATCTGGTATCGCACCCGACGAACTAGACTCGAGTTTCAATGTCCCCTTGGAACCAGACATTTCCACAATCGGATTACCGGACTTAAACATGGATTTCAACTATTTCGATACTGATTTCTGGCTGGGACATCTTGACCAGATACCCTTGCCTGTTCCAAGCTTACTTGAACACGAGGTTGCGTGGGACGCAATGGATTTCGAATGAATGCAACAGAAAGACATTTATCTGCTTGTAATGGTGACCGAAAGGGGACTTTCGTCAAGAAGAAACCGCGCCCGGTTCTCCGGACTTTGAAGTCGAGGATAGGATACCGGGCTAGATACTATCAGTCCTTACGACCGGTTTACATACGCTTCAAGCCAGCACCGTCCTCTCGATGATTTCAGGCACCTTGACGCTAGCGACAGTCAGCTGGTTCAGCTCACACAGATCCAAATTCTTGATGCAGCTATTGCAGATTTAGCTGGGACAATGGGGTGATTGTAAGAGACTCCAAAGGACTGCAGTCGCTGATTTGAGTCGTTGCTCAATGTCCTGATTCTAACTGTCCTTGCCATCAGATGACTTAGACTTTACAGGTCAAAAATCCTTGCACCACATGCCCTAACCACTTGGGAGTGTATTATCCTACGAACAATATATGATCAAGTAAGCAATCACGTAACTTGTCTGACTTTTACATTTCCATTCCTGACGATCAGAGGTCGTTGTCTGTTATTATGTCATGAAAAGGACGCTTCTCCGTGTGTTTCAATGGTCAAGAACACTCCCATATTAAACGATGTCAATCGATGAAAATACATAATATTAAGCACTTGGCGCGAAACCAGTAGGGGGGGCCTGATTCATGAGATCATTTCTCTACTGATTCGAGGAGTGGGAATATCACGTGATAAGCCGGCGAAGTAGTGTTTGAATTTCAACCCCTCTAAGTAACTCCTACAATATGTCGTTTTGGGGGAACTTTCCATTGGAACTTTTAGAATTTACTCGCTTGAACTAGGTTACTTTAGGTGGGCTATTGTAGTCATGGCAGGTCACGCTTTTTTCGACGTTCAGCACAGACGCGAAGAGGATCAACGACATTAACAGAATGTCAACAAACGCGAGCATTTCAATTTCCATTAATCCTCGACACCGCATTCGTACAGTATGTGGAAATCTGCATCCGTTTGACCAGCGATTCTCTTGTGGCTCCTGATCTCATTTTCGGATGTGTACAACTCCTGTTGATTGCTGACCGTCGCGGCAGAGCCTTTGCCAGTCCTTTCGGGTTAGTGCTATTCAACTACCAGGAGACTTCGCATAAGGGTTACTACCCCACATATTTCTGGATTCTGTGGATTCCAGCAACCTTTCTGATCGGAGACGCAAGCTGAGAACAGTGGAGTGGAATCCGACAGGTGTCTATGCGCGCCAAAGTGTAAGCCCTCAACTTGAAGTCCCAGTCTCAGACATTCAAAGACCTCATCACAGCCCACAAAGCTTGACTCTCGGGGCGAATCAATAGGCGAGCCGTGGAGTCTCGATGTAGAAGTACCTCATTCGTTTAAGTAATACTCCTGGCTGACAGTTTTCAAGCATGGCATCGAACGATACCTCATCATTGATGTTGAGAGGATGGACTTTTGTTGCTGTTTCCGTTGCTGTTGTATCTGTCATAGACCGATTGGCTATAAAAAGTGATGGTACGTCAAGAAGCCAGAACGACAATCGGGAAATACTGGGCCCGTGGATTTCAAAGCAGGCTTGGGGATTCTTTGGAGCACCCTCTGTTCTCTATGGGCCGCCGGTAACAGCAAAACTCTCGGCTGGCTATAAGGGTCAAAATGAGGTCTATCTAGCACGTATACCACATGGCCTTACAGGATCTTCTGGGTGGTCTACTTTAATGAACGTCATCCGCCCTGAACCATTTTTATTTCTGGAAAATGGCAGTGCCACTTCAGATAGCCTAAGCATCAAGGCAAAGGCTGGAATTTCGTGGGATGCAATGGCCGATACTCCACTTGGGCCACTGACCTACCACGAGGGAAAATACTGTGTTAAGATCTCACGAGCAACTCTGATGTCTCTCTTCACCCTAACAAACGCACGACCAATTTTCAGTTACTCATCTGCGGCTGGCTATCGCTCTGCATATCCATCGTATGGTGGTCAGTGGAGTATTTCGTGGCCGATAGGAAGACCATGTATAGTTTCACTCGCCCCACACGATAGCCATACCGCGGAAACCGACGTTTACCCTCCTGTCTTTCCTGTACGATTAGACAAGTGCGTTGAAATGCTAGCTGGAATTATCTCTGCGCCAGATGGATGGAAGCTTGCATTTCCGGGGCGAGTCAAGGAGAAAGGTTCATGGCGGCTTTGTGAAATCAAAAAGGGGTTTCCCGGAGCTCACGGCAGTCGTCATCTTTATAATATGATGGGTGGAAAAGTCTTTGAGGTAGACCTACTTGTTCTACAAAAGTTGCATGCCGACTTCAAAGAACCGTTGCGCAAGATACAGGTTCGAACAGTTTCTTCGCCAACGGAAACTTCAGACATCCATATTTTTGAGCACGAAGACAACCTCCTTGCCCACGCCCTTGATTGCCTTCCGTGGACGTCCTTGTCGTGGTCGATGCATCGTGGTATGCGAGACATACTTGTAGCTTACGGAAAATCTGTCATGGACCAATATCGTACGGCTTTTGCGGCATTTCTACAACAAAACGTAGTCAATGTGGAAACGACTTTGATGCGAAAAGGCTGGAACAAGGAATTCATTCATTCCTCCATGGGTGATATGGCTCAATCATCAGTCTTGTCTGGTGGAGGTAACAGCGGAGACCTTGTTCGCATTGTCGTAGGCATCGTTGATGCGATTCTAGAGATGTCGGGGCCAGGAACGGATACTGTCAACAAGGATGAAACTAAATTCTGGCGCAAAGCAGTTTTGAACAAAAAGCAAAATGAGTTGCTGAAATGGGATCTCTCAAACCAGGAATTTGTTGGGCTAGCGAAATTCTTTGTGCTGGAGTGGTCACAAGAGCTCGATTACCAGCTTTACCACGAGTTGCCTGTTGACCTGTATCTAGCATGATGACAGCATCTACTGCTACTACTAGTAGTTTGATCATCATTTTTTGCAACGGGATCTCTTATATTTCAGCTTCCCTTGATGTCGATCACATTATGAAAAGACAACAACCTTTGGCAGTTATTCTCATTGTACGAACGTGCATTACAAGACGAGGCTGCATTTTCGTGAATAGAGTAATGAATGACAGCACATCAACCAAATCTCGTGAGTGCCAATTATTGTTTCGGCCCCCATTCTTAGGAACAACGGATCCAAAGCGGAGATGGCTTCCGCATTACGCTTAGAGCAGCAAAGAGGCACAGTCACCTCGTTAAATCTCATTGGCAGATTTCTCACTCCCCCCATTCGACTCGTTGCACAACAGGCATCAATCAATTTATCCACCTTTTTGGGCTGAGTGAGTGTTGTTTCTGGACTCTAAAGCTGCTAGGATACTGCATCAACTTGCAGCCCCGGCGCGTGTTCTTGCACAACATACTCCGCATCAACCTCATTACGCTCTGTTCGACTCTATTTTCCTCCTTTGACCACCTCTTACAGAACTTAGGCGCCTAATAATGGCAGAAGCTTTTGCACTTATTGCTATCATTTCTAGCACTTTACAGCTGGTGGACTTTAGCTGCAACGCCTTGGCTCGCGTGAGAGAATGTCGAGAGAACGTCAATAATTTGCCCAAATCCTTCTGGAGCCTCCAAAATGTAGGTCCGTTCCTGGACGAACCTATATAATGTTTTTTAATTTAGAGTAGCAACTTCCCCTGGTAGCTCATGCCTTACAAATAACATGTCGCCAGATCGAGTCGGAAGAATTGGATCAGGCTACATGCCAAGCTTTGCTACCGGTGATGAATGATTGTCAATCATCAATGTCGAGCTTGAATGATATCTTAATCAGAAGAGCACCAGCCGAGAATGATAAGGAATGGAAACGTAGTTTCAAAGCTGTTGCTAGCCTCTTTTATGACAAAGAAATCGCTACCATCTCAGCATCGCTGTCGCAGTCATTGGCAGCCATCAATCAATACCAAGGCGCCTATACAGCAGCAACAACAGGAACAATTCTTAGAAAGCTAACAGCAGCAGTGGCGGCTGTCCCAGAAAAGAATGTCACAGAAAAGAACACGTCGTCGACGCATTTTGTGGTTCCCATTGTTTGGTCAGATGAGTTTACAGGAAGAAAAGAAATTTTAAAGAAAATTGAGTTATTGATGGAAAACGACGAGCAGCATCGTAGAATCGCAATGATCGGTCTCGGTGGGGTTGGGAAAACACGCGTGATGCTTCAATATGCCTATCGGTAAGTTCGGTGTCAGATTTCGCTGGACTTGGTAGCTAAGCGCGATTAGGTTCAAGGATACAACGACTTCAGTACTCTGGATTCATGCCAGTAGTATCTCAAGAGTCAACAAAGCATGCTTGGAGATCGCGAAGGCAGTTAAGTTTTCAAGATGGGATGATCCGAAATCCGACAAACTCGAGTTAGTGAGAGAATGGCTGGAAAGTCCTGAGTCCGGCAAGTGGTTACTATTCCTTGACAATGCAGACGACTTCGATCTTTTATTTGGAGCGGGTCGCTTGGCAAAGTTTCTACCTCGATCGAATCACGGCGCAATCTTGATGACCACTCGAGACGCTAGAGTAGGTATGGAATTCGCCAAACAAAAATGCATTACTCTTGGTGCCTTAACAAATGACGAATCCACAGAGCTGCTGCGCTCCCGACTTGGTGATTCTGAGGAAAGTCTAGAACATCTGCAAAATTTGGGAGAAGAACTTTGTGGAATCCCACTAGCACTAGTTCAAGCATCGTCATTTATCAAGCAAAACTATCTTACAATCCCGGATTACCTCGAGCTCTACCGCGCGAGCGACTTGGACAAAATTGAGCTATTGAGTGAAGATTTTGACGACGAGATCCGGGATTCAGAAAGCCGAAATCCAGTAGCGACGACATGGAGTGTATCGTTCGACTACATCCGCAAACGCGATCCTTTGGCCGCTGAGATGTTGTCAATAATGAGTACACTCGACTCGCAGGCGATACCCGAGTCCTTGTTAAACTTTGGAAGCAACAAGATAAAGTTTCAAAAGGCTTTGGTGACGTTGCAAGCATTTGCGTTGGTGTCCGCAAGATCAGATGGGTTTTCCTGGGAAGGTCGCAAGGAAAGACTCTTTGATTTGCATCGATTGGTGCGGCTTGCAATGAGAAGTTGGTTGAATCACCACGAGGAACTTGAAAGTCACACGGCAAAAGCACTGTCGATAATGGCACAACGCTTCACTGACGGCGACTGGGAAACTCGAGGGAAGTGGTCATCATATTTGCCTCACGCAGCCGTTCTCTTGGCCTCGGAACATTTTGAGGCGCTAGATGATAGCTATAACGACCCAGTGTCTCATGATAATGAATCAGGAACTCTCAACCACAGACCCGAGGGTATAGTGTGCCAAATCTGCGCAGCCAGTTTGCTTACCATACTGGCTACATGCCATTATACAATTGGAAAACCTAGCCTGAGCTTGAACGAGGCCGAAAAAGCGTATCGAATTAGAAGGTGTGTATTCATCTACTTCTTGCTTATTACCGATACTGATCGTCTAGGAATCTACTCGGGGAAAACCACGTCGACACATTAGCAGTGCTCGACCTCATCGCAAAGCCCGCAAAAGATTTATATCTCTTCGACCGAGCCGTCGAGGTTTGTCAACTTGCCATCAAAGGCAAGACGGACACTTTAGGACCTGACCATCCTTCAACGCTGAGAAGTTACGCTTACTTGGGTATAACGTATCGACCAATGGGACGCCTCCATGAAGCAAAGAAGTACGGAACGCACGCTCTGGAACATCGCCGAAAACACTTGGGCAAAGACCATCCGGATACTCTGATATCCATGGGCTACGTCGCAACTGTCACACGTGCGTTAGGAGACTACCCAGCCGCAATCAAAATTGAAACGGAAAAATTCGATGCCTGGACTAAACTTCAGGGCCCCTCGCATCCAGTGCGGTTGGAAGCCATGGCAGAACTGGCATGGGCACATGCATGTCAAGGAAACTACAATCAAGCCGCGCAGTTAATGTCACATTCGGTAAACGCGCAGCTCGAACTACACGGCTCAAAGCATTTCTTCACCATGTGGTCCATGGCGAACATGGCGGTCATCTTGGGAATGCAAGGCAAGTACGCGGAAGCGGAAGAGCTATGCGAGCGCGTTCTGGAGCTCAGAACGAAATACATGGGAGTGTCTCATCCGTTTCGTTATGTGTCGAAGTTGTACCTGGCTTGGCTGTACAACGAAACAGGGCGATACCAAGAGGCTGAGGCCATTGAACGTGAGGTCTTGGTCTTTCAGCAAGGCTTCTATGGAGGGAAAGGGAATCACGATGTCTTACTGACAGAGTCACAACTTGCTTCTACGTTGACGTACTTGGGAAATCACGAAGAGGCGAATAAGATCAAGAGTGATGTTTTGGAGATACGGATGAAGTCTACAGGAGCTAGACACCCGGTTACCCTGAGGTGTAAGTCTACTCTGGGATTGACGTGTATGCATCTGGGAGAATTTGCCACATCAGAGTCGCTTTTGGTCGATGCTTGGGAGAACCAGAAGGAAGTGCTGGGGGAAGGGCACCCGGAGACTATTACTACGGTGCATCGAATCGCTGGACTGCGTGAAAGACAGGGGAGGCATGAGGAAGCACAGAAATTATGTGAAATCGTAGTGGAAGCTAGTGTGCGTGCTTTAGGTGAAATGCATCCTAGAACAAGAGCACGCGTGGCGGATCTGGGAAGATTCGACGAGTTTTTGAAACATGAAAACGTCTTTGATGATAAGTTTCAAGTGGAGGGTCCTGACCCGACGGAAGCTGTAAACAGATTACTGGCAGTAGTAGGCATTAGTGATTCCTGAATACAAACTAATGTACAGCAAGGTTTACATGCGTGACATCTATGATGTTGATTATCATGAACGCCCGCCTTTCGACGCTCTCCTCCTTGCCAAAGCACATCATTTGTAATGAAGAGAACATAAACTTGAGGTGAGCATAGCAACATGCGTTCTGGTAAAGCCTTTGACGTGCTGGTGTAAACGCGCAACTTCCTGCGGTATATAAGATTAGTAGAAGCACCGGCAAATCAAGGTCTCCTCCTATTCCCAGCGGGCCTCCGCTTAGCCCTCTTAACCTTCCTCATAGCCAACTTCCACGCCGTCCTCGTCAAGACCGCAAAATCACTCTCGTCCTCCCCTTCTCCTTCATCTTCCACACCTCCACCAATCCCCGCAATTACAGCAGCAGCAGCAGAAGTCGCGAGGCCCACTCCCGCAGTCAACCCCGAAAACGGATTCACCACTGCATCGTCAGCTGACCCAACCCTCAATCTCACAAGATATGAAAACTCACGAGCTCCCAATCCACCACTCTTAATTTTCCACGCTTCCCACGCTAACTTTGGTAATAATCTGGGCTTGAAAAACACAGCACCACCCGCGACTACATATCCCGCGACTTTCGCCTCCTGAGGATGCGTTTGTACCCATGCGAGCACGTCTTGGGAAACTCGTAACCAGTCCACATTTGCGGCTCGCTGTGTCGATGCGAGGATGAAATCTGAGACGTGAGAGGGGAGGTTTTGTTCATTTAGCTTTTGGAGACCGTATGTGGCTGCCAGAGTTGCGGTTTGCGTTATGAGATGCGAGGTTGAGGTTAAGAGATTTGAGAGGTCTGGTGGAGAGTTGAGATTTGATGATGAGTCTGTGAGGTCTATTATTTCACCATTTCTGAAAGGCCTGTGGAGGGGCGCGGATGCGAAGTCGAAGTCGTGGATATATGAGCCGGGGATTGGAGGGTGGTTGTTTGCGGGTTGTGAGTCTGGAAGTGGGTTGCGTGAGCGCGGAGCGCGACGGGGGCGTTGGCGTGGTGAGGGCATTGTGAGGATGTGCTTTTGTTATCAGTTGTGAAGTATGGATGGGATCATTTGAGGGTATGAAGATTCAAATGAGCTGAGGTTGATAGTTATTACCACTTGGTATTGAGGTTTGATAGAATTCATGAGGGTTGTCGTCTGGGATGCTCCACTTTAATTGCTAGCGTGTCGTTCACGGTTCGATCAACAGCCCGGGCGTCGTGAAGTGGCGAAACAAGATTAACCGTCACAAGAATCCTTATTCCTCATCAACTTTCGTATATATTTGCGGTGCAACGGAACTTTCATATTTGAATGTCATCAAGGTGATAGTTGTCGACCTCGTCGCGACCTAGCTGCGATAAACTTTGCAGATGACGTTGTCACGAGATTCCACTTCTCCGGTCTTGAAGACCAGAATGAATCGTTATTTTTACCTTCTCAACATTATTTTTCGATACTATTCATTTGGAACTCCATACTTGATACGTCCAGTAAAACCTTATTGGCCAAAATCGTTTTTCTCCAAAATCGTTCTTCTCGGAATATCGACTCTGCCACTTGGCTTTCTTTCGAAAAATATCTCATTCCTGATACTAAATCATATGATCCATCTAAGACCCTTTCTCTTAGCTCACTAAATCTACAGAATGATACGTCTAAAACTCGATTACACATGTCGAAAGTCACCATACGAGACCTATTTATTCAACATACAGTGCCCACGGGACGTTGACATTGATTATAAAATGTGGTTGCGGACACACCAGACGAGCATTGAAAAAACTTTAATTTTTCGTTATCTCGCAATGCAGCGTCACACCCCTGTAGCTGTTTTTCAGGAAGGCAAGCTTTTGGCAAAATTCACTGTTGGTTGTTGGATATGCAGGGTGACGGTATGTGTTGGAAATCATCGGGTACGGACGCACTTCAACATTTTCGCTCTGACACCAAGACTATATTCTTCTGAGAATATTGGGGCGGACATATCTATAGTTCCATTGCCCTCCTTGAGAATCACAGGACTACGAAGACCGAAGCTAGAGTTGGGTGGAAGTAACAACCTTGCCAACATGACGAGAATCCAGGAACTAGCTAGTATTATATCTACCAACACGGATAGAATCGATGCGCATCTAACCTCCCGAGGGCTACCTACGCCGTCCTTTGATGCGGATGCCCCAGAATCACTGGACCTTCCCAGCGATCTTCAAGCTGCTCGAGTTCTCGTCATCGAAGCTTCCACGGAGCTAAAGGAACTTCTCCAAGGCCCTAAGGAGCTTCTTATGAGCAACTCGGTACTAAAAGCTCTCCCAATTCATTTGCCATGTAATTTGGCTGACAATGGACTTCTGTAGTCTAGCCAATTCGTCAGTCTTCGCGCAATTTATCATTACAAAATGGCAGAAACCTTTCCCGTTGGAAGCGAAGCCACTTTCGTGCAAATTTCAGAGGCGTGTGGGCTCAATGAACCCGATGTACGAAGAATCCTTCGACATGCAATGGCCCATCGTATATTTCGTGAAGTTCGTAAGGGTGTCGTTGTTCACACAGCAGCCTCAAGACTGCTTGCCGAAAGTCGTCAGTTAAAATCATGGACAGGTGTCAATGTCGAAGAGATGTGGCCTGCTGCTGTGCAGGTAAATATATTCGCATCTGGTATTCAGATCATGGCTAATTGGACATAGACGGTTCCGGCTATGATCAAATGGCCTAATTCGCAAGAGGCTACTCATACCGTGAGTATCATACCCGTTTCGCGCGAAATTTAATTGACAACTTCACGCAGGGTTTCTCTATCGCCAACGATACCCAAGATTCTATATTTGTCACTCTCGGCAAAGATCCGAAGCGAGCAGCTAGATTTGGTGAAGGAATGTCAGCCTTCAATACCAGCGGAGGCTACGAACTAGATCATCTCGTGAACCACAAAATTTGGTCAACCTTGGGTTACGGACTGGTAGTAGACCTCGGAGGATCCCATGGTGACGCCATGATTGCGCTTGCCATGAAATATCCATCATTGAAATTTGTTGTTCAGGATCTTCCGCGCACAATTGAGTCTCGCCCAACAACACCTCCAAATGTGGCTGATCGAGTGGAATTCCTTGCCCATGACTTTTTCGAAGAACAACCGATCAAACATGCTGATTTGTATTTTTTCCGTTGGATCTTTCATGACTGGTCTGACGAATATTGCGTGCGTATACTTCGCAACTTGATCCCGGCATTGAAACACAAATCAAGGATGATCATCAACGACGCATGTTTGCCCGAGCCAAACACCCTCAGTAACGGTGCTGAAAGACAAATCAGGTATGTTGCTTACATACATCTTGAATGGAGTCTACATCTGACTGTTATAGGTCCATGGATCTGGCCATGTTGCAAATCCAAAATTCGCGAGAACGAGAGCTGCAAGATTGGGAAACCCTTTTTGTTAAAGCTGACCCGAGATTTAAGTTCCTAGGGGTTACACAACCCAAGGGTTCGAAACTCGCCATCATTGAAGCGATCTGGGAGCCGGTCGTCTAGATCTGATCACGGTCCGTGGTGGGATAATATATGTTGTCGGTAAACACACTCGCTCACAGAATTTCCACTGCTAAGTACGATCTATATGAATATTGGTTAATTTTAGTTGTCCTTTGACGGAGCAACAAGATTTTTCTTATTCGCAAAGGATGTAATTCCCATAACGCCCGTGAGCCGGTTTTGCTTTAAAATTACACCCTCATGCTGTACTCATGCGGTAGGTATGCATGACTCCAAAACCTGCAGAAGTGGTGAGAGATCACGTGTTTTACCTGTAGAATCTGACCAATTGGATTCGAATCACAGCAGCTATATCACTCAGGAAACCAATTATTGAAGTCTTAAATTCTACCACACAGGGGATAGATTTTGGCTTTCAGCCAGGAACGCCACGTTTAGCGAGTGATCAAGGGGGAAGTTTTGCTCGGACCGGTAGTCCCGACTCCGCAAGGGATAACATACCCCGCTTTTTCCAACACCAACTGTTGTTCTTCTTGAGCTACATTCTGCTCTGTATTCTTGCTCAACTGCAAATTCCTGGATGGATGATTAGGGATAGGGCAATGTCAAATCTCCTGCTGCCTCAACTCGGTTTGTGTCGTGGCACTTGCATAAATCGCCGGTGGCTCGATACACGCAAACTACAACGAGCTCTCGGCGACTATCGACGGCATCAAAACGCACAACATGGAATGACTGCTTCGTGGTGACAGCATCTTCACCAACGTCAACTAAATCAGCAGTCGGATATGCACGACGCAAGTTAAAATGCACTCATTATAGTACTCAAGGTCCGCCGATAAGTATAGTGCAATGGGCAGAGAGACACCAGGCGCTCCTTAGAATGAATGAGTGAGTGGTTCGTCTTTGGCACTTAATCGCCTGTTGAAAGTCGCTAGGAAAATTCCTGGATATGCGAAAGAGCTATCTGGAGCAGAGGTACGGTCTGGGCCTGAGGTCAGGAAGCTCAACCGTGTCCTTACTGCCATCCATCCCATCATGCCCTTCTCCCAACAAAGTCTTTGGCGATTTGTTGTCATTCGCAGTAGTAAGTGGATCGAGCTGTTGACCGAGAATCACCACAAGTGGTTGAATGCTACATGTCTGATATGTTGTTCGCAGATACATACCAGGCTTGTCATAGGGATTACGGCGCGGGTTGCAGTATGGTCTGGCTAACTACTGCATACATTAATCAGTGCAGTAGGGATGATATGTTAGCTTTTATCTTGTGCCATGAAATATCTCATGGCATTTGCGCTCACGGAAAGGAGAAGACCAAACTCAGACTCTCTAAAGCTCCTGCTCAAGAGCAGGAGGAGCTGTCGTGGAAGCTCGAGTACGAGGCAGACGAAGTTGGAATGCGACTATGTGCAAGAGCGGGATATAATCCATATGCTGCGCTATTATTCTTCAAATTGCGTTTACATCACAAGAAGACATCGCTCCCAATCGGGCAAAACCCTCATCCATCTGTAAGATCGATGTATACGCTTCTAGTAAACAGTGGCGGTTCTAACAATTCTCAAGCCTGCTCAACCGGTCGCCAAATTACAAAGTGGGGTTCAAGAAGCAATAAAGGAATATGAAGAATCAAACAAACAAAATACCTCGATAGCAGACTGGCAGAAGACGAAATGGGAAAGCTATTGGAATCCTTTTCATAACTATGACCTGCCGTAGCCATTCGATAAAGATGCTCCGTCGTAAAGTGTGGCTTTGCAGCTTATCTTACTATGTCGGGTTTTGAATGGCGTCATGGCCGGGCGTAGGTTTTGTTATGCAACTGGGTCATTTAATTGTTGGAACTTGGAGTGATCATATCTCTGCAGATGGAGCTACGCAACGGTATGAATATGGAGTTTCTTTCGTCTCCAATCCTTTAACTTCAATCTCTACCGATTGAATAGAAGCTCTGACTAACTTAGAGTTGAAGCGGGATCAGTTTTCTTCTCGAAGAACGCAACCTCAATGCCACAAGTTACCAGTACACGAATTACCTCCCATGTAAGTAAGAGACACGACGGTGACGGAAATGATCCAACGAGAGTTTACATGAATATTCTGCCGACGTTCGGTTGCTTTGTCAGACATAAGAACTAGGTAGCCGGCAATGTGCGGTTGGATTTGAAAGAAAACCCAAATCTGGACTAGCTTAGCCGCAGCTACAACGTTTGATTATTGGACACAACAAAGTGGGCAGACCAGGCTCTTGAGTTGCTGGATTTATCTATCTGTACGTTGTGAACCTATGGTTCAGCTTTAACAATGCAGCTTATTGAACGTTGTCTTTACGTACCCGAAATATCAAAAGACTTCCCTGAATGCTTTGATGAGTAAGTTTTCAACCGCACTGCGGCTAATTTGTCGTCAAATATTTTGAAGATACCAGTATATAGTTTCATCAAGATCCGTGGAGTATAATCACATCCCCATCATCCTTCTATGAAATTATCTGTCCATATATTTACTCCTTCTCATCAAGAATTTTTTTTATCAATAATCATGTCGAACTTCACCAAAGACTCCACAGCAACCGAAGTGGCTGCAACTCTTGCAACCCATATTGCCGGAAAGGTCATTCTCATCACAGGATGTAGTCCTAATGGCCTCGGCGCAACCGCTGCAATGGCCATCGCGCCTCACAACCCCGCTTTAATCATACTGGCAGGACGAAATCGATCGCTCATCGAAGAAACCGAAAAGACACTTTTGGAAAAGGTACCAACCCTCAAAACTCGAACACTGATTTTTGATCTCGGAAGTCTCAAGTCAGTGCGCGACGCAGCGGCAGAAGTCAATAACTACCCAGAGAAGATTGATGTTCTCATCAATAACGCTGCTATCATGGCATCTCCGTTTTCGAAAACGGTTGATGGCTTTGAGAGCCAGTTGGGGGTCAATCACCTCGGGCCGTTTCTTTTTACCATGCTTGTCGTTGATAAGTTGAACCGTGGTGGGAGAGTTATCAACATCAGTAGTGCTGGTTATGCATTTGGCGGAGTTCGCTTTGACGATCCAAATTTTGAAGTGAAGAAAACCCTATGCCATTGCACTTTTGTATTTTCCGGCTGACAAGTGTGACAGGCGGGAGAGTACGACAAGTGGCAATCGTATGCGCAATCGAAAACGGCCAACATTCTGTTTTCATCTGCTTTGGCGAAGCGGTACCGCTCGAAAGAAATTCTGTCGTTCTCACTTCACGTTGGAGGTGGTATGTCTAGAATGATCTGATCTAATTCACTTTGGCTAATTTGTGTCTAGGTATCATGACTAACTTGGGGAAGTATTTGACGCCGGAAGATCTTGCTATGTGTAAGTTCACTTTGATAAGCATATTAAAGTATCATAGCACTGACAAAATAGTGTCTTTCGTAACCATTATTACCCACGAGCAAGGCGCTGCATCATATATCGCGGCTGCGTTTGATCCTGAACTCGAGGGTAGGATAGCTTCGATATAACTTGTGGCATTTGAGACTAACGCTTCAACAGGGAACAATGGAGCATATTTGGAGTATTGCAAGCCAATTCCAACATTGCCGGAGTCTCCATGGACGCGCGGAGAAGAGAATGAAGACAAGTTGTGGAATTTAAGCGAGAAAATGGTCGGTGAGAAGTTTGGTGTGTAGAAAGGCTGCTTATAATAATTGTCTGAGTTCTTTCGATAATTTCAATTCAAATAAACCCGCCATTACTTCTCCACTGTCACGGAGTCTCAAAGGATCTGAAAAAGTACAATCCATGAAGCTTCGTGCATTCTGCGGTTCCCATTGGTCAGTATTCATCTATCTAGGCAGCAATTTGTGGAGCCAAGCTGACATCTCTCATAATCATCATCCCGCCACTCTTCACAGCCAATTCTTCTTTTCTTAAACGCCCAGTCAGGAAGAGGACTACATTATAACTTTTCCAGTCATGTCTGGATCGCGTACCAAAAGCGGCTGCTATACCTGTCGAATTCGAAAGAAGAAATGTGATGAAGAGAAACCATGCTGTTTGAACTGTCGGTCAAGAGAGATTCATTGCGATGGTTACGGCGAGAAGCCACAGTGGATGCATGGAATGGGAAGCTGGAAAGAGATTATGGATTCCAAGAACGCTAAATTAATTCGCGAAAGTGCGGAAGCGACGTATAAATCGAGACGGCGTGGCCGAAATATGAAAATAAAGAAGGCGATGTTGGTCATGGAGTCTTCTAACAGCCAAGAGGTCCAATATGGCACAGCATCCGGCTTTGAATTACCAGAAAATGAGAAGCAAATGAATCCGAATACTGAAGCGAGTTCGACGAGCGATCTACCGCATTACTCATTTGAACCCTCAAATCTCTGTACACAAGATGATCATGGGATAGAAGGTTGTGCACTCGAACTATGGGACCCCGGTTTCATGGATGGATTGTGGTGGGACAGCAGTTTGGTTTCGACCTACCCATCTCTCGGCTCAAGTCTTGGACTGTTGATCACTTTCCTTGACGTTATTTTCCCTCTTCAATACGGGTTCTATGGGGTTTCAGGAACGAGGGACAAGACCTGGTTACTTCGCTTCATGAACGAGACTAAGCCGCTACATCAAGCTACGCTAAGCCTGGCTATCACTTTTGGAACCGGCAAAGGAAATGCTCGCAGGTGTGGAGTCACGAGTATCATCAGCGACGCCACAAGGCTACAGACGAAAGCAATAAATGGCTTACGGAGGAATGTTGAAGAGCTGTCTACCAACGAGTCTGAGAGTGAATTTCTGAGAAGGAAGGGAATTCAAACTCTTGCAACCATGATCCAACTTTTGAGCCTCGAAATATTCTCTCTTGTGGAGGGTCAGTGGGAGATGCACCTCCAGGCAGCTCGCACTGTGTTTGGTATTTTCCATAAACAGTGGATTACTCTTCTAATCAACGACCCAAAAAGCTGTTTGACCACCGAATATACAAACGATCTGGAATTAGAGGTCTTTCCAAGAGATGACCGCCAGATGCTCAATTTCTTCGTCACTTCTTTTGTATGGATAGACATCATCGCCAACGCGACTTTTGGCACCCCGAATCAGAAGCCGCGACAAGTCAATTACATTCCACTTCTGCAGAATAATCAGCTCAAGCTCCATGAAATGATGGGTTGTCAAACCTGGGTTATGCTGGCAATTGCCGAAATCACCGCGCTCAAATCGTGGAAAGAATCCCAAATGACGGCTGGCACGTTGAGTGTTGTGCAGTTGGTTGAGCATGCGGCAAAATTTGACAAGAAAATTAAAATCGGAATCGACGATATCAAAAGAAAGCCCAGTCAAAAGCGGGAGAGCTTGGAAGCAGATAGTGAACTGGTCACTCTGTGCTTCGCTTACAGTGCTCTGGTATACCTCCACACCATAGTATCGGGAACATCGCCACTTGCACCTGAAATCCAAGAAAACACTAAGCGCTGTCTAGAACTGTTGGGAAGCATGCCAACGCGGCTTCTCATTCGTGTTTGTTTGCCATTCACTATTGCGGGCTGCATGGCAACCGAAGATCAGTACGATCGCTTTCGAGTGCCAGTGGATCGTGCTTCATTGGACAGACATGAACTGGGAAATATTTGGAAAGGCTTGGAAGTTATGGAGAAGTGCTGGTTGTTTCGTCAGACTGAGCCTGGGATGTGGTCTTGGAGATCGGCATTGAAAAGAATGGGGGTCAGAATTTTGTTGATATGAATGATCTTAGCGAACACAATCATTATCAGGTCTTTCTACGCCTTGTATGCATGCCTCGTAATCTGCGCCTGCGTTCGGTACATGCACGAGGGAGGCCCTCCGTGTCCCCTGATCCTCGGATTGGTCTTCGCTTAATCTTTTGTCGCCCGGCTCATGTAGAGGCGAGACGATTCGCAGCCTCACTCAACGAGCCGTCTTTTCTGGGCATATTACTGGTGAATAAAGCTGAAAGAGGCCCTCCCAGGTTACAAGGTAGATCGAGAGGCCCACCATCGCGCAAGTGCATAAAAGTGGTACATTGTCGCTTCATCCAGAAGAACATCATCCAACCTACACAACTTCTATCTGAGGTCCTTAAAAAGGAGTAAGCTATTCAATCAATTCTTGAAAAACAAGCAAGTGTATGGACTGACTTTTGTAGCTTCTTTTTTATTAACAGCTGCCTTGAGCGGGGGACTACTCCGCTCGCAGGCCCATTTTTGGAGAATGTCACAATGATCAAGTTCAATCAAATGATCCAGATCCGTGCCTCTTCCCACACGCTTGTTATGATGATTTTTGCTGCCCGGGACCAGCAAGATTTGAAAACGAGCTGCCTGAGAGAGGACCAGATACTGGGTCGGATGAGCGTCTCGACCATTGGGGAGGGGAGTCTCAGGTTCCCTGGATGGAACCTGGAGAGGAGGAAGAAATGTTCAGCTGGGCTGAGCTGCCAAGTATCTCCGGACTGAAAGTGCCAGAAGATGATTTCCTCCAAATTTCATCGGATTCGCCGGAAAGCAATGCGTATACCATGTCGAGCTCACACGCCTGCGTACCAAGTCAAACCCCGTCAGATGAGCCTTCGCAGCAATTGAAAGAGCGCCCTGCTATTACGAATGGACAAAACTCGGTGTCTCTTCAGAACTTCTGGACTTGTGATGCTGCCGGCTGTCTTCGCTCATTTCCACAACGGTATATGCTTAAGTAAGTGCTATGCCCAACTCAAAAGAACACGAGCTGACCTCTCTAGTCGACATAAAAAGTGTCACCGCAAACCGTACTTATGTCTGCATCCCGCATGTGCTTCGAAACCCGCCGCATTCTCGACCAGGAAAGATTTGACTCGACATGAATCACGACATAACCCTGCAAGGTTCTTTTGCGATTACCCGATGTGCAAATTTTCAAAAGACGGTAGGGGGAATGGTTTCACGCGGAAAGATAATTTGAAGAGGCATAAGCAGAGGAATCAACACTTCCTCTGACACCAGAGGAGTCAAACAAGCTGGCGAGCACCCATGAGGACTTGGAAGGATAACTCTTTTACGAGAGATATGGCAAGAAATATGTGAGTAAATTAAAGTGAAATTCGCACCCTTCTCTAACACAGATCGTAGGTTTTATCTCGGCTCTCAATTTGGCATTGCTAGAGAACAGATAGTTCTCTCATGGAACGTTAAAAGTACGGAACTTAGGAACCATGGGACGCTTATAACAAGGTGTCGGATACCAACGATAACTGGTTGACAAAAAAAGTTCACCGGGTTTCTTTTCTCTTAGTTCTTTCGTAGGGCGAGACACAAGCTGTTGCGGGTCTTTTACCCGCTCCGAATCCGAGTGCTTCGGCAGTCATCAGTGATCCGTCCTTGGCAGGTGTCCCGGCCTGACCAAAAATAATACGTTGGTTGTTAGGGCAAAGAGCCCACGACTTTTTTCAATTTTGGCTATATATGTTTGCTTTTTATGATATTCTGGGCCGCTTTAGCGGCTCTCTGTCCCGCAACTCTTTTTCCTTTGCCTATTGTATGTCTGGGCCGCAACTGCGGCTCTCTGTTGCTTCATTTCACTTTCTCGCATCGAGCTTCGTGGTTTTGGGAATAATGGTAATGATTGTGAGAAGGGTGCTAATGACGAGTAAAATACGGGTTTGCCCACGTCTCGGTCGCAGGATAAACCGTCGAAAGTCTCATGAATTAAAATATCTGTAATTGTGTGTATGCATCAGCTTGTTGAGGATTGGACTGAATTTCCGCTGCAGCCTCTTTTCGTTCGGTTATCCCTAAATTTGTGCGACACTAATAAAAATATTTCATAAGACTAACACACTTGGCTTGAACGCTTACATTAGGAAAGCATATACATCACGTAAAGATAAGTAAAATCAGTCAACTGTAAGACTGCGGTGAATTAGCCTCTCAAACTATTGGCATATTAAAAGTCGCTGTCGGTGAAGTGAGTAGAATCCGCAACTCAAAAAGTCAGCATATACCAAGTACTTTTGCTGAAAGAGTGTTTCTAGCGCGTGTCCCTAATTTGCAACAATTTCAATAGATCAAAGAGACGTCGAACTCTCTACTCATAGATATAGCAAAATGGCCCATCTATCGTGCTAACCAACTCTCTCATTGGGTACGATCTTCCATTGAACCCCATATCCATTGTCGTATCCAACGTCCCATTTGCACTTGGAGGACCTAGTTGCGAAACAAATTAGCATCACATCACATGAACACTTTTTTATCATTTTACTTACTATTCGAAATCGTCAAAGTCCTCGTAACCTGCATCAACCTCGTATCACGATCTTGCGTCTGCCACAGATTCCACATATGATCAACCTGACTATGATGGAAATAAAACGCCGGGTCACCATTTCCACCATACAAGTCATCGTTCATGCCGCCAATTCCAGCGTGACCTTTTGGATGCATGCCCTCAATCACCGCCTGAAAAGTGTGTAAGTCTGTTTGGCCAAGGAGGTTTACAACGTTTGGGTAAGTAAGCGAGGTATTGGTTGTTCCAGGACGGAAGTCGCGACGGATACAGCGGGGATTATATTCAAATGCGTTATTTACGGTTGGACTGAGAGACTGGATTAATTGTTCAACCCTAACCATTTATGAAGGATGGTACTTACGGGCCTTGCGGACCTAGATTATTTGTCATATTGGCGAATGGCCCATCAAGAACACAACCTCCACCTGTTCCAGGAGGGATGCGAGCAACACTTTGCGGAACGGTGGGCACATATGTCAAGGAAGCATCATGGGCAATCGTTTCGCCGTTTCCTCCAATTGATCCTGGACCAGAGAATAGGGGATTCGTGCCAGGTGTTGAATCATATGCAGACCATTCCCAGTATGGTTGTCCTCCTGTATAGCCGCACTCATCTCTCAGAGCTTTCTCCCAGACATGGACAAAGTATCGGTGCCATGGCAAGAAGTAAGTCTGTCATTCAAAGTCAGCCTAGATCTATACTTCAGAATTGTTAAGATCAACTTACAGACAAGTGAACCCACAAGGTCTGATTGATGTGAGATGCATGGAGATCATCGAATCTGCTCCGAGCACCTGGAGCAACTTCGGGTGGTGTAATGGGAGGAAGTCTTCTGAGACAGTGAACAGCATCTGTGTACTCTTTACGTTGGTCCATAGTAAGTGTGCTCCTAGGACTTTTGTTAGATGCAATGAAAAAGTCGTAGAACAGTACACTGACCACTCTTTCCTCACAATGACCTTGTCCCAAGTACAACCACTCTCTCGCTTCTGCAAGATCTCTTTCTGAATTGTATATGCCTCTTCTCGATAAAGATCATATTTTGCTTGAGCTTCAGGAAATGGTGATGGCAGAGCTTGACTCAGCCCAATCCAAAGGGCAATGCAGGAAAAAATATACTTCATGTTCAAAGGTCTAAGACATTAAATCAGTATCTGTGATCTAGGTGAAATGACTGCAAGTACCTGAAAGCACAGAAGATCACAGAGCACTTATACTCCCATCTTGAAGTATCTCGAATTCAACATTTTCTCATTTCAAATCCTCAACATGCAGAGTATTTGGCATCCATCAAACCCCTCACATGAAGAGCCTGTGAGCTATTCATACGATTCACCCAATTACATTGACCGAGATATATCTGCAATTCTTCCTCAACAAAAGCTCATCGGCGATGCGCTCCTCTTAGAGCAAGGAGAAACCAACGAGCGATTGGTACATCCAAGGAATGGATGATAGCAGTTACTTTTCAAAAATCATGCATTTTCCTTGTTAAGAGAAGTTGCGGAGAATTGTATCCGGTATTTGTCAAAAGGACCTGGAACCTGGTGTTTTTTGCATCCGGGTAAATTGAAGTAATCCAAATACCTGCATCTTCCACGCGAGTGACCACACGTTACACCCGATTCGTTTTCTGCCTTCCTATTACCACCAAAGATCCCAGTAAAGAAGCACATTTTGTCGCGGAGTTGAGCATGCGTTGATCTTGGTTAGCACTCTGTACTTAAGGTTAATCTATCGCAGGGCTGCAGGTTTGGAGTGCCGATAAGTGAAAATGAAGTAATTCAGTCCCATGCAACGCATCCGGATAAACAACCTATTTGAACGGCGCAGTAAGACTTTCGTAGCGGTAAAGACATGTAAAGGTGGTAAGATTGTCGAAATTAGCCTTGGAAACCTACGACGATAAAGATCTGTTCCTAGCCCCTCAAGTGTTGTTGCACGTCGATAGTCATGCAGAAAATTATAGAAATGGAATATGATAATCAAGCTAAGTCACGCCAGACGGTGCTAGGCAAAGTTAACTCCCTTAATCTTCTTGAACAAACTCAAAATTGATTGAATATTTTGACTCCATCGAATGGTGAATCACTAGTTTATCGCTCAGCACTGATTTCATCGACCTTGCCAAGTTCTGTTGCATGTCGCAAAAAAGAGATTCCAGCGATTGACGTTGCGAATCTAGACTTAACAAATTACACATCAGATAGAAAGATATCCGACGAACCGCCACGTTCCTCCCTATATTTGTTGCATGTCGCAAAGCCAAGTCCTTTCATAGGGAATATCGTCGATTTACAACAATCCAAAACCCCATATCAGACGAAAAATACTCACTCTAGGTGAAAGCATATATTTTATTGCATGTCGCAAAAGCTGAATTCATTCTATTGATCTTATAAATTTTACATTGAGGCGCTGTATATCAGATGAGATGCTCATATCTCCATGAAAACTAATTTCATTTCCCTAACCACCTATTCATCCGATGCACTATTTCCGTAGGCTGACCGGTTTTGCATGTAGAACATGGATTATCCGCTCAAGCTGATGAACGTGAGTAGAGGTATCTCAGATGAGCTCTAACACATCCCCAGGAATATTAACATAGAAGTCATATGTTCTGCTGCTCGTCGCAACATGCTTGCCGATTATATTGATTTTTAAAAATAAACCTGCATATTAGCTGAGTCGTTCCATTTCCTAAATCCCTTCCCTTCTTACAATATCCTACTTTCGATTTAGCTAAATATCTTTTTACGCTTCTACAAATCCACACCCCTCCGTTCAAGCTCCAAGGCTCCAGGGTTCAAATGATGCGTCGGACGAGATATAGATTATGCGGGGAAACACTATTGGAAAGTGACCCTTCTCCCCTTCCTGCATCTGTCGATATGATCTAGTATATTCACCTTGTCTTCCCCTTTGAGATTTTCTCCCGTTTTTGTTTTGTTGCACGTCGCAAAATTCCTCATTCATCGTTCTAATCCTGTGAACTTACAACTGAAAATTAAGATATCAATTGAGATGATCTCCTTGGCACCCTTTTCATACCTTTTCATAGACGAAGGTATGAAGTGGATGTTTTACCAGCTTCACTTGGTTAGTTCCACGTACGATTTGTGGATAATCACAGCTTCGCTAATCTCATCCGCTCACTTCCTCATCCCCAAATTAACTGCCCCTCGAACCTCGAGGTTGATGAAAGAACATCTGACTACGGATCCAGAATGTAAGCGCCCAACCAAGAAGTATGTATGATTAAAATATCGCTCTACTCCTAATCCTAACTATACAAGCACAATGCCTAGGGTCGCTATTTCGCTGTACCTTTCCAACCATACAAAGAATAACACCCATCAATCAAACACTTTAAGCCGCTATTTCCAACAATGTCTCGATTAACTCAAAATTACATCCGCTCGACACCCTTGCCCTTATCCTTCCGATTCCCATTCTTCTTCTTCCGTCTATTCTTCCCTCCCACATTCCCATCTGCCGAAGCCTGTGACGTGTTTCCAGAACTCTCCGCACCACTTTCCCGCGGCGAAAAAGGCCCTCGTTCATTTGCATCAGAGCTATAGCTAGGCCCACGGGAAATCCAAGCAGCAACCTTGGAATTCCTTTCACCCGGCGACAGCTCCTGTCTAAACCTTTCGGGAACGCGGGAAGGTCCGGGCATTGAAGGTATGAACGATGAGGCTGCGGGATTGAGCTGGGATGGTAAAGCTGACGCGAAAGCCGGAACATCGCGGCCCAGTCGTCTGGGATTTATCTCTGTCGGTGGATGCAAGCTGGACGGTGGACGCAAAATGGGTGGAGGTAAAGTGAGTGGGGACATCGTAGGTGGTGGGGGTAGTATAGACCGCGGAGGAGGTTGTACCTGAAGCTGCCTTTCCCAACCCGGGACGGCCTGTGGTGTCCCAAAACCGGGCGCGGATTTCTGCGAAGGCAAACGAGGTCTTTCCAATGCACAAGGATCAATTTCGTCCCATTCATCAAGAATTGACTGACACCGAAATTGTTTGCTTGGCGCATTGGGCAAACTATCGCCATATGATTTTGCCGTTTGCTCAATAAGAAGGTCAGGGCCAGCCGCATAGTTCTGAGTACCTGTGAAGCTAGCTCCAGGGTAATTCTGAGTACTTAACAAGCTCGTCCCAGGGTAATTCTGAATACTGGAGAAACTCGCCCTAGAATGATTTTGGGTAGCTGGAAAGCTCGTCCCAGAGTAATCCTGAGCACTTGAAGAACTCGTCCCAGGGTAATTCTGAGCAACTGGAAGCCCCGCGGTACGTTGTAGAACATGATTTGAGACGGTGTATTGATTAGTGTAATGCGAAGGAAAAGGTTGATGCTGTATTGGAATGTAGCCTCGGCGGATCATTGGGTCGGAACAGTGCTTTGCGGTCGAAGGAGCAGACGCAGAGCCCGGCCTACCTGCAGTACGAGGGGATTGCTCTGTTGGTACAGATCCCCGATTTGCCACTCTTCCTTTTGGGTAATGCTTCAGAGTGTTGAACTTGTGCCACTCCAATAATCTAACCTCCCAGTGTTTCCTCCATTTATCCCTGAACTCTTCAGCTGTTGGATGGCGCATGCGTAGCTGTTTGACATAAGATGTAGATTTAGGAGGAGGTTGAATATGTGTTTCAACGATTTGTTCGCAGAGTTCTGCAAAGAGTTTAGTCGTTATAACCTGAGACATTTTTGCGCCGCTATTAACTTGGTATGCTGATGTTATATTGTCGATTACCATTTCTTTGAAGTCTTCCCGAGAAGCGTTCGTTAATTCGGGTGGCAGGCACTCTCTATGATGGGACCCTTGATACCATGCAAGATACCGTGCCGTCTGCCAGAGTATGTCTGCTCGCAAAGTATACGCGACTTGGGTCATTTCTCCTCGAGTTTCATCGGCTTGAACATTATCAACATGATAGTCGAGGTGCTCTATGACAGTACATAGACGATCCCAGACGTGAAATTGCAACATCGGTTCCGAGAAAAGAGACATTGTGTGGGTGTTCCGGAACACGACTAACCAATGGATGAATTGCATCAAACCCATTTCGTCTTCTCGTGCAATAGAATGGAACTTGCAAAGAGGTTTATGCCATGGCAGCTGAGGCCATTGATTATAACGCGAGGAGCCTATTGGGGGAGTTAGGAAGTATTCAGGATCCAGAGCCGGAGCAGGCAGAGTTCCAGGATTCATGAAAGCCATGTCAAGTGGTAAGTGGCCGCGCGACCACGATCTCCGCAGGCAGTAAATTAGTTGTTCGAGCATAGTTTCGTCATTTTCTTCGAACGCCACCCGATGTTTGACAGAAGTCAACAGTTGGTCCATGTTGTCGACCAGGCGGAAAAGTGTCGGATCATCCTGACAAGTAGAACGATCTTGCATATCTCTGACGGCAAGTTTTCCTTTGCCGAGGTTCGTCTCAGGAACGTCGTCCTCCATTTTATCATTTTCAACCGTTAAAATCTGGATAATACTCCGCAGCACTTCGAAAGTCTCAAGCTCAAGCGAATATCCAAGTCGTTCCAACCGATCATAAACAACTAGATCATCGCTACTACTTTCATTTTCGCGACCTAGATAGGAAAGGAGCCGTGCACCTTTGTGTTTGACAAAAGTTCTAACGCCGTTGTGTTTGAGTACTTGATTACTTGGACCAGGTATTGACAAATTTGGTTCGGATGCATTATGATGGATATCTGACGGCCCTCCATCTGCAATGGCGTCGGCTGCTCGTTCAGGCGCGGTGATGTTTCTGCCAGTGTGAGAGTAATTTCTAGGCATCATTCGATAACGATATGAGGAAAAGATTAGCTTTAGGACATGAGATTACAAACGAACGTATGACATGTGATCGACAAAGACGGACGGCATGGGTAAAAATGAATAAATTGTGAAGCCGGGGAGTTTGCGTGCTCATCGCAGAGCTCGAAATACGAAATGCTTCGGATGGGACGCACCCTCCATATACGCACCTGCATTAGTCAATCTGAATGATGCGTCCAAGGTGGTAGAGTGGAGGAAAGAGCGAGGGCATGCTTCGGATGGGTGAGCGCCTGTCGGATCTAAGCGACTTCTGCGCACATTCGTGTGTGTATGTGTTTGACGTCCGAATGTTACCGGAATTCAACTACAGAAGTTCGAAAGTGTCGTTTTTCTGACCGTAAAACTCATCTAGTATTTCATGTTTTTTCGGCCTGAATGTCGAAAGCCACTCCGCCCAAGGCAGCCAGACGGACAAGCCCCAAATTACCAGGACCAGGAAAGTAATCGGAATCGCAATGGCCCAATAGTATTTGAAACCTTCCCTGATCGCTGGGCTATTGCTGTCCTCCCAGTTGAAGACTGGCATTGCGAAGATTGTCTGAGTGAAATTAGATGATCCCAGATATGATGAGAAGGAGGCAACTTACAGCGAGGAAGGTTCCAGGTAAGAAGAACATCGTGAGAACTGCGATGGCTTTCATGGCTGAGCTGTCCTTTTTACTCTCCTTTGCGATGATAGCGGAGGTCTTGGCTACCTGGCCATTCGTGATAGCTTCTTTGATCGCCATAAATTGGTAGACCTGTGTTCATCAACAAAATATTAATCAATTGAGGGTGAAAAAAGCTACCACAGCTAGTTGACGGGCGGCTCGTACATCCTCCATCTCCGCTCTCAAAGTCAAATTGCGATACACGTTTAAATGTGACCCGATCAATTCTCGTACATAGGTTTCAGAGACTCGCTGGTCTTGAGAAGCGACGATGGTCTTACCTTCATTGAGCATCATCTCAAGTGAAGCTATCATGCTACCAGCTCTCGTCCGCTCAACAACTATGACCCTGCTCGCGAAGTTTAGTCGTCTTGTTGCAGCCATAAAATCCGTCTTGAGTGGATCTCTGAGTGCCACATTGATGTATTCGTGCTGGCCCGTAGCTTCCTCAAGTCGGTTGAGGTTGTCGTGCACTATATGGATCTGAAGCGTTGCTGTTTGATGTACTAGTTCCACGACGAGAGATACTACACAGAGTGGATGAGCGATGTGAATCGTGTTTTGCTTGATCATTTGTAGAAGCGACTGATATTGGTGAGTTTGGGATTTGGTAAGGATAATGGCATAAGTCAGATTTCTGGCTGGATCATAACTAGCAGCAATTTGGTAAAAGTTTGGCCCTTGTACTCCAAATCTGAAAACAAAACCTAGTAGAGCATCAGCACTTCTTTCCTTATTGAGGAGGTAAATACGCACACGTTGATGGGGAAAAGTATGGACCACCGCTGTTTGGAGGACAGCTGAACTTGAAAGCTCTACCGATTGTCCCAATTAGTGCATGCTGAAAATCCGAAGGTATGCCGAGGAATCGTTCGAGCTTTTCATAGCAGTCTTTGCGGAATGGCATGGTGCGACGGTCTTCTGTTTTGCTTGCCTGAGATCCACAATGTCCTAGTCTGATATTTCTCAGCGACCACTTCTTCAGAAGATGGAGGATTGCCATACAATAGCCTTAATCCGCCGACCATTTTGAGCTTAGATTCAACATCATCCGACTCTTCACTCCTATGCAGCGACTGTGGGAAGTCCTGTCCGTGATATAAGTCTCTGCTTCAGGAGGGTACGGAGGAGTATTGTCACAAACCTCATCCAACCACGAGTTTAGACTCGCGTCATCTAGGAATCCTTCATTAATGTTGGTTCTGGTGTCTGAAGAGGCCGTGTATTGGATAACGTCGATAAACTGGCACTTGGTGCTCGGATCGAACTCTATTCCTACCCCGGCTGTTGGGAACTTGTACTTGGCCTCTACACCATAAGAGATACTCATGCTTTTGCTGTTTGCAACAGCCATTAGTCTCGCGAGACTCTTCGACCTATTAACCTCTTGGTGTAATTCTTGTCCAAGGCCGCAGTCCCTCGAATTAATATTTGCATGTAAGATTCAGCCTCATGCGCAGCGCCGCCACGCCACCTCCACTCACCGAAACCTCGTTACCTATGAAATATTGCCACATTTATTCAATACCAGCGAGTCTCTATAATCGCATTAACATTATTATTCGATTTTTGATCCAAACATACTGTGGATACATATAGTTCCGCTTTATTTCAATCCAACAAAACTCCAGCCTAGCCATTGGTATCCATCCCATATTTCCACTTAACTCCAATTCAATTGTTCCACGTTTAATTTGTATTCATCCATCCAAGTCCACCGACCCATTGCTGTTTCTTTGATCCAGCACACATGAGGCATTTCCGATCTGCGCCCAGGTTGCTGATGGCGCACCTATGGCACACCTGTTTTCCGCAAGCCGTGCACGCGTGAGACAATTGCCCATCCATAGTGGTATCCATCGCCATATCCACGTCCATCGCGTTTCCGTCATCTGTTGGATTCAAAGAGGCATCGCAATCCTCGCAATTTGATGCTTCGAAAAACGCCCTGTTGGCGGATGATGTGAGAGGGCTCGTACTCGCGGAATTCGAAAAGATACTTGATGGTGACGCTTGCCGCGGATTGGGAGGAAGTCGCCAAAACGAATGCAGGCTCGATTGTCGTGCTGGGTGTTTATCGCTCGAAGGTATCACTGGCACGGGTAACGCAGACGCGGAAGACCCGGGTATATGCACATTTGAAGCGTGATTATTGCGTTGTGCGGTATAGAGCATAGATAATGTATGTTCTGTCGGAGGATTAGCTGTGATGCTGCCACGGATGCAATCTCGGTTTGGCTTACGGTGGACATCTTCTTCTGACGGACGATTGTCGCGGTGACGTTTTCTGGTTCTGGAAGAGAACAAAGAAGGAGTTGAGATCCTGTTCTGCGGTGATTGGAAGCTATCCATCACCATAGAATTGGATTGCTCTGGTGGTGGTGATAATAAAGAGCTGCTGCAAGATATCTCGCTATCCGAACGTTTGCGTTTGAGAACCATTCTGGACGACGAAGGATTTGGATATTAATGTAGTATACAATTCTTGACAGATTAAATTGAAGAGATTTGTAAGTTGAAACAGAATCTAATGCGTGTTGTCTTTGGTGTTTTGGGTATTTTTGAAATGCAATTCGAGACGGCGGGATGGAAAGCACTTTACGCGTTCGCGTCAAGTGTCTTGGCACTGATGTCGCGACGCACTCAAGGGCTTCAACACTACACCTCCATCCCCCATCCCAGACGCTTCAACACATCCACCATATAAGAGCTCCTCGACGATACCCTGGGACAACTATACAAGAAGATAATGAAGTGAGAGAAACTTGTCTAGGAAGAAGTCGTTCAGTCGCAACCAGCATCACTCGTCTTGATGCGTACCCCGATTTCCAACTTCCCATATTCAACCCTGAATACGGTATCAATAGCTCTCAGAGAGTCTCCTTGGTGGGCTTGGAAGTCAAGGAGATTATGAGGTGATCCCCAGTTATTGTGTATTATGACAAAGGATACCATGAAAGAAGAACTCTCCAAACACCCTTGTGATAGACAAGTTAGGTGACAACCAAAAGACGATATTATTCCCTCTAGTCAACAAAACGCTACATACTGCTTCAACTAAGTTGACGAAATACAACGTCGTATGTCCTATGTAATGAAGCAATCAAGACCTTTTAAACATTGTTTAAAATACATTTATTGAAAATTACTAGATTCATCAGGATGCCTCTGTATTATCGGTCATGAGATAACGCCAGTTCTCCTAGTTTCACCCATTCACCAATCCTAGGTCTTTCACAGTGTTAAATATAAGGTTGTAATCACGAGCTCTTATATGTAAGTATATAGTGAATACAAAGGGGTGACTTGGTAGCAAAAGTGGGTCAGTTTTTCACTTAAATACTCAATTATTATTTTTAGCTAGTTGTTATTGAGCGATTATTAGCACCCATTCACTTATCTACTTAGGGAGGTCTCAAGCTATTGCATACACGAAAGAAACATCATTCGCAATACGAATGTGCATGACCACTTTCTCCTTATTCAGAACTTCATTCCTTCATGAAACACGAAATTTGTATTCAAGGCATCACCATCAACTTCGTCTTGTAAAGTGTCTCAATCTTTTCACTCTTCATTGGGCTTACCACTATAAGCTCTATTAGCTTTCAGGTGCAAGCACACAAACAGGACGTTGTGTTTGCTGAAACTATTAGCCTCACGTAAGTTCTATTTAACGTCAGAATCTACTGTACGTCGGTCAACAGCTCATAATCTAGACAGCTATCCAAGAAAAAGGTTGGAAATGTCTGATCCAAACCGCTTTCTGCGGGCTCTTCGTGTTCAATCCAGCAAGGGCATGCAACCATCGGATCTAAATACTCAGATCGACCTCGGACTGCGATATGATTTCGACATTTATCGCGTCGCGACAGAGAAACTCGCATCTAGTCCTCTCTTTCTTCTGAATACCACTGCGGGGCGTTTGGCCTACAACCACAACTACAAATTCTCAACTGAAGCGGGGTTTGACCTTGACATTCATGAACTCGGAGGTGCTCTTAAATTTATGGCTTATGACTTTGTAGCATCCACATATCCAGACCATGCGCCGAAGTTGAAGGAACAACTCAACAGCTACGCAGAATCTCATGGAAATGAGGAGGTTTGGTACTTGGTCCAGCACCATCCTTCAACCTCCAGCCTTCTACAAGCGAGTCAAAAGAAGAAAGTGGTTCCATGCAGCATCGAAAACCTGGTCAAAGTCTCTACTGGCGAACGAAAGCATTACTATGAGTATCTAGAAGGACTTTCTTATCTCCGAAGTCTGGGCACAAGAGAGGCTCAGGTCAACGAATCCAAAAAGTCACCTCTGGAGATTCCGGACCTTTTTCCGCACCGACTTGACCCTAAAACGTCGCTTTCGGTGGAAAACATGAACAGGCTTTTCTTCACTCACCCGCTTAAATTCCCCCATACTCTTGTGGACGCCCAACAGAAGCTATTCCACGCTTTCAAGCAAATACGCCTGATCCCACCCGAAGAATTAACTTCAAAGATCGGTCTATTCTGTCATCCCACTATCATCACTCGTCGCGGCATCGCTCATTTGGAGTACCTCACAATACACATGCCTTACAATAATCACAGCTATATCTTCGACGTCGCAACGATTGGATGGGATCTTCTCACCTCCCACGCCGAAGGCTTTCACGGCCTACGCTTTCGTCGAATCCTCGGCGCAGCCCACACCACGAAGATATTCTACAACTTTGACGAAGTTGAGGTTGTTCTTCGCCAGTCTCGTAGACTGCAATTGCAAAACCGTATGAGCCTTCAGCATGAGGGTAACATAGTCTCTGGTGATCTTGATTTCGATTCCGCAGTGGAAAGTGCGGCTCAGTCGAGTGTTATTGGTTGGATATATGCCAAAAATCTGCGATACCTGCAGCAGAAAGTTGGGAGTGAGGAAAATGCGTGTTTGGTCCGACCGATGGGGAAGCTTACGCAGAAGTTGCTGGCGACTAAGGCTGTTGCTTTGAGGTGTATTTTCCTGGATCAGCGCAAGAAATTCGCTCAACTAGGAGCTTCGCTTAGCGTCGAGCAACCTTCCAGCGAGTAGGGCATACAATACTTTTATTTAGATGAAAGTGCTGGGACCCAGGAAGAATGACCGTGGCTGGTAGAATTGAAAACGAATGTGTCTATCGGGTCTCGGTACTTATTCGAGTTGTTATTCGCCTACCACCTCTATCTTTACTATGAATAGGATATCTAGGTATCGATGAATTTTCACTTCTATAATATTTACTTATCTGAATCAAAGCTAGACGTAAATATTTCTGAGCCGATTTTCATATTCATATCCCTGAATTAACCTTAACTCCGATCAGCATGCACTGCCTCACAAAGGCTTAGACGGCCGAAGATGCGGCGGAGCTCTTGAAACAGTTTTTCTTGATTTTTCGCGATTTCGAGTGTGAAGATTATTTTACTGGTGTTCAGTTGCCATTTTAGCAACATATTTCAGTCAAACATGCCCAACTATGAGTATACCTCCATACCGACCCCACCGGATCCCACTTATCACTGCATCAGGCTTCTCAAACTCAAACCAGGAGCTAAAGAAGAACAAATTAGCATCTCCGTATTTTTCGATGTCCTAGAAGATTGCGAGCCATATGAAGCGCTTTCATATTGCTGGGGCGATCCCGCGTCCCTGATTCAGATAAAACTCGACGACAAGGACTTCATGGTCACCGCAAATCTGTACACCGCACTTTTGCATTTACGTAGAGAAGACACTGAACGAACTTTATGGATCGATGCTATCTGTATAGATCAAAAAGACTGGGCTGAAAAAGGTCAGCAAATCGCTCTGATGCGACGTATATATGCGACGGCGGAGCGAGGAGTTGTATGGCTTGGTGAACTTGGTATTCTCGGTGAGCTGGGCCTCGGCCTCGTGGCAAGAATACTTAAGCTTGCGAGGAGTCAGTCGTTGCCAAAGATGCAATACAATGGAAATGAATGGGTCGGAGAAGGTCTTCCTTCCTCTCTCGAGGCTCCCTGGAAAGGCTTGAAATTGATTCTCGCCAGTCCTTGGTTTTCTAGAAAATGGATCATACAGGAGTTAGCAACACCGAAAGAAATCACTATTCTCATCGGCTCGCAGACACTTCCGTGGGATGATTTAGCAATTGCCATGTATCTCATTGGAGATGGTGACTTTGCAAGCACTCGTACATTGGCCGATCGTTCTCGGTGTGTACTACTAGCTGGCCTCAGAATGCATTGCCAGGGTAAAAGAAAGATCTCACTATTATCACTTCTTCGAGCATTTTCCGGAAACGGGGCTACGGAGCCAAAAGATCATATTTTTGGTCTCAAGACTCTGATTGAAGATGAAGATAACAATGATCTGTTTAACTACGAGAGCTCTTTTGCAGAGCTCTCAATCCAAACAGCCAGAACGATATGTTCGGAACACAAGCAATTGGATTCTTTGAAATTCGTTTTTGGAAAGTCTCTGGACCCAAGTGATGATGAGTTCCCATCTTGGGTCGCGGACTGGAGACCATCACAAGGGGAGCGGCCACAATTACTTAAAGGAAGCTACTCTGGATGGGAACACGGGCTTTCACATGGGGTATTTGCTGCCACGAAAGGCTCGGAATTCACGCCACAAGACCTTGAGCTGCCTAGATATATGACTGTTCGAGGCATGATTATCGACGAGATTTTTCGTATACGCGATTCATTTGACGAGGATGATCTCTTCAACCTGCTCCGCTGGACAGAGATGACAGATCTTACCACCCTTGATTCAGACACTGTTCCGAAGGAAACGTTCTGCAGAGTCATCTGCGGAGGTAGGAGTGTTGACGATGTGGATGAACCCTTCTCGGAGAAGGATTTACAACGAACACAGAGTTTTCTTGAAATGCTGCGAGAGAGAAAAGAGAAACGCATGCCTGGAGATGCTAACTCTGTGTATCGCAATACAGAGTATTATCCTGTTGGTCGGCATATAACATCTACCTGCTTCGAAAGACGATTGATACAGACCTTAAGTGGACACTTCGGCCTCGTTCCGCAAAGAGCAAATTTTTTTGATCAGGTTTGTCTGCTTATGGGGTCGGATGTGCCGTATATTTTACGGCAGGCGGGTGACGACTGGTGTGTGGTTGGACATTGTTATGTGGATGGGCTAATGAAGGGAGAGGGTTTTGTAGAGGAAGAGTGCAAGAATATGGTTTTGGTGTGAGGATGATGTAGTGTTTGGATGCACCGATGGATGCGATAGATGTCAAATTTCAGTTCAAAAAGGAAGTGATGCGAAGATACAATGTGAAAGTGTCAGAATTAAGTAACAAATCGATGATTTTAAAATGTAGTGACATTGAATTTCAAATGTGTTGTACAAATAAAACCAGATTTCAGATATTTTTCACCTCAGTGTAGTCACAAAAGCAGAAACACAGCAATGTTAATGTTTCCGGCGCTATGTGATCGATCTCAAGCAACACGCAATTTTGTCTCGCCCACGAAGATCAAAAGCTATACAACTTAGAATCTTTCGTCCACTTTCTAAATGTCTTTCCGTGATACCAAAATACTACAGCCGTTGAGCAAAAGAATATTGTCAGAGCCATATTCGTCAGTATAGGGGTTAAGTAACCATCTTTTATGATCCATGGCGTGAGGAACTTGACAAGCCATAACCCCAAACGTTCTTATTGATGGTGATCATAACAGAGATTGCTCCAGTCACCGGTTTGTAAGAGTCAATGGCGTATGTCGAGGATATTGCTGGCAGAGCAGCGACTTGAATGCCAATGCATGTGTAGCCAATTATGACGATTATCTGGGCGAGTGTTAGCATATATTCAAAATGGTTGAGAACGTATGCACTGACTCTCCAATCCCACGAACGCTCGTAACCAACAGCAACGACAACATTTCCAATAATCATCAAAATAACGTAAGGAATCATCGCCAATAATCTCATTTCTGGTTCTCGAATGCCACCGTTCCTCTTTGTCAGTCGAGCAGCGATGGCGTCGCTCAATGGGCCGGCCGAAAGTAGACCTATCCAAGTCCCTACCAAAGTTGCCAAATTGAACAAGCCAATCTTAGATGAGTCGAAGTTGTATGGAGGGGCAGCAAAAGCCTGGGTTTGAGTCAAGTTGACTGTTAAATATGCCGATCCGGTCCATGAAACGACGAAGGCAGCGAATTCAACAATTGGGAACAAAAACAATTTCCCCGGTAACATCAATTCCGCAACAAAATTGCCTTCGTACGGTTGAATGAAATTCCACTGCTGTTTGGAGGGTTTGTCTCGACCTAGCCGAGGGTGTTTTTGGAAATTTATGGTGGCGTCCTTCAAACTCCCTACGGGAGAAACTGCTCCAACTTGGTTTTCCGAACTATCTGACTCGCTATCCATAACTTGATGCTTGTTAAAGTTGGTAGGTTTGTCATTCCGGGGGAGATCCGTAGGTTGAGAAGCGCTCGACGAGGAGTCGCCGAAACCAAGAGTATTCGATCTTGTATATCTCGTCTCTGGAAACAGAAGAATGCCCACAAAAGAAGTGAAGCCTAGGATACCAACGTTAAGCCACCAAAAGCTTTGCCAACCCAGACTCTTGGCCATTGATCCAGCAATAACAGGTTCAATCTGCTGGATAAGCATGATGCCAAACTCTTGAAACGATAAACTCACCGTAAGAGCACCAAAATAGGCAGCAAAGTATAGAGTTTGATATTTGCCTCTGTCGTGGAGAAAAATCACGTCAGCAATTACTGTTGGCTGTAATGCTACTGATGGGCCAGCACCAAACCCACTCAGTCTGATCTTGTCAGTAACTCATTCTTGATTCGTGACCCGTGACTTACGCGCTTGCTCCCATAAAGCTTTGGTACGAAGTCGACTTAGCTCTCCATATACAACTAGCCATACAGATTAAAGTTGACAAAATTAAGACTAGTCGTCTCCCGAAACAAGACTGTATTGGGACCCTGCGAGAAATTGTTAATTATGTTAAGAAGGGAGAATGGCGAGCTTACCAGAACAGATTCGAGAAGCCGAGGACGAGAACCGATATACCAACAAATTCCACGACCCCTTTGAGGCCCGAGTCAAAAGTCTCGATGTAGTCACCGAACATTGGAGTCTATGAATGCCTCGTTACTCTTGTCTAGAACCATTTGCAAATCTACATACTAGAGATAATGGTCCTAGTCCTTGTGCTAACGTTACCAAAGTCGCACAGAACATAGTCCAAAATTTCCAGAAAGGGCTCCAATTCTAGGTTAATTAGCCCAAGCTCCATTTTAAAGGCGAATAAGTGTACCAATAGATCATGTTGATCGTTACTGGGTTGAGGAACGACCACTGAGTGAGACCTAGCAGTATCTTTGACGAAGTGATGTGACCCAACGTCTTTCATAAGCTCTGTCCCAGGGTATATTTCCATTTCAATAACTTCTTCCAACGCCTTGATATCCTGTAGCAGTCTTCTCGTCAGAGTCTAAAATTCATAGTACATCTTGAGCATGTTCGACTTACCGTGTGGTTTGAGAAACTAGCCATTTTTCTTGTTTTTTACACTTGATGAGTAGACTTGCCGAGTCTTAAAAACAGTAATATGCAAATCGGCTTCTTTATTTACGAAGAGAAAGATTCGTCTTACATGGTATACCATATATATATATATATATTCAGATTGAGACGAAGGAGGTAGGCCCGCAACTATCTGTAACGTACCTGTTGCACCACATATTGTACCCCACACGTGTCTGATCCGCATATTTTCTAGGCCAACAGGCTGTGCATAGACATTCTTAACGCCCATGTGCAATTACCCACGATCTATGTTACTCTTGTGTGCTCCTGAGTTACAATTACGGTGCAACTGTTGGCCAGAAAAAACTTTTCCATGAGCCCACCATCGTATTATTGTCTTGACACGGAAACCAACCTTAGAAAATCTGCTCATAATTGGACTCGTGCTTGCAGCCGACATTGAACATGCGCACCACGTTATGAACCCTATACAGCTGGCATCTGGCATGGCTTTTGTATGCTAAATTTGCTCCTAGTATTGGTTTTGCTCCCGAGCACACCACAGCACACAGATATCCAAGTCATACAAAGTCGAGTTTCTATCGTACTCGTATCTAAATACAGGCTCACAAAGAGTGTACGGAATGTAGCAGAAAGCAGTGAAAGCTATGAGTGTTCGACCTTCGCAGGCCGTATTCGCGATTACACACGGCAATTGGAATAAAGATATTTCCGAGCATGACAAAAGCAATGACCCGGGCGATCAATGCAAGTTCAGTGGAGTTTGAATTTGCTTTTGCGTGAAGAGAATACGCGAGAAGATACCTCCTACTTGGTATTAGTCTCTTCAATCAAACGGTTCATTCTTTGGGTACGAACCCTACTAACCAAGTATTCAATAGACTCATGGTGCTGGCAGCCGATGATATTCCCCCCTATGAGGCCTGACTTCGAATACAACTATTGGGCCATCACTGCGGGAGCCGGTTGTCAAATAAATCCAAAATCCAAACCCCATTAAAATTAACTGCGCGAGGAAGAACTGCCAATAATCTTTGCACATGCTTGTCATCAACAATCCAGCGACGCGCAAAACGATCTCCAAGCACAAATCAATGCCTTTAAAAGTCCAGCCTCAAAAGGTTGTCCAGATTTAAAGGTGTTATGAACCCGAGGAAGCATTGCCTGGGACCAGTCGAGGCGATGTTGTTCTCGCAACTGAGAAAATAGAGCCCTGGAACCTTTTGTGGTTGGCGTGCAAAGAAATTGGTGCCAACATGCTGTTGACCGAGCGCCAAGAACAACAATGCAAAGCGTTAGCAGTATACCTAGGTAGGTTGTGATATATTACCGGATGATGATCAGGGAGGTTATCATAACTTGCGTAGGACTACTGGTACAATTGCCGCTCACGCTCCGCTGGCTGTTCAAGTACTTGAATCGAGACTGGCGTATTGATAACTATTAAACCTTCCAAGGTCTTTGCGCTTCAACTCTCACTCCCGGATAAGAGGAGTGTGTTGGTTTATCTTGGCGTAGCTAAAACCCAGGATCCTTTACCGACCAACACAACAGAGGCACGTCTTTGCTGAAATGGTTCGATTCTCATGCAAAATTATGGCGCAGGAGCCTTTTGCATTATGCCTGACAGTAGAGTTGACCACAATCCTGAGTTACCAACCTGAAAAGTTTCTATAGAGTTCTATGGCGTGGACCCACGCTTCGGCTGAACTAATTGCGCGCATGTTGGGTGGCAATTTCCTCAGTTGATCGAGTAGGGGTAGAATAAATCAGGAAAGTGCTTTGAGTTTGGCATGCTGCCTTGCGTACAAGTTCTGGAAGACTCAATCTATAGCTGTTGGTATATGCGGACACAAACACAGTAACCCAGATTCCCCAGTAGTACCTGATGCCAGGAGCTTCTGCTTGAACCTTTGCAAAAGTCTTTGAGCAACACCGGGGAGACTTTCAGCCCGACTTTGAGCGGTGCGGAATTGCTCGAAGTACTGGCCATGATCTACCGCTAAACTATAACCCATAGAAGGCTTTCGCGGTATCAATCAAATGGATATGGCCGCTGAATACTACAAGACGATCGGCTTTCTTAGTGGCAGAGAACCATTACTAAGTGTGGTCTTTCTATTGCTTTAAAGGGTGTACGAAGGAGTGCGGTAAAATCTCCTGAACATTTGCGCATATTTTGGACGTAATTTTAACAATGCATGTTGGATTCGAACAAAACTTCAATCGGTATTCCACACTTCCCCTGGCCTTATGCTCATGTTCAAGCTATCCTTTGCTACCCACTCCACAATATTTCCGATTACTCCTGTTATTGCAAAAACGGACTTGTTCACCACCTCTCCCCAGCCAGTCTTTGAAGCCAGCATACTGTGGTGTGTAATCGATCCTGCAAGAACCTGCCGCAGAATTAGCAATAGTAGCTCGAGGCGTTATAGACCTCATTGACCAACCGACTGCTAAGTTATTCTTCGAGAATAGCCTCAACAATCCCGTCCGCGTCATCTTCAAGCGGAGCCCAAATTTTCACCACTTTCAAACCCGCCTTCTCCAGCAACTCATGCCACTGTTTCGAAGTTCGTTCCATCCCACCATTTATAGTCATCATTGTAAGGTCCAACATGGCATGAAATGGCGAAGCGCCCACGTCTGGGATGATCATTTCGTGGAGTAATAGCTTTGAGTATCCTGGTTTCATTGCCCCGCGGACGCTTTTCAGCATTTCGATACACTTTTCATCGGACCAGTCGTGTAGAATGTGGTGGTAGAAGTACACGCGCGCACCTGTAACACAGTAAGAATTTTCCGTAACTTAGAGGATGGCTTTTCTGAACCTACCAACATCTGGCTGCGGAGTAAAGAAATCATAGACTTGTCTCTCAATCGCAACGTCCAAGTCCTCAATCCCCTCAATGACCGGCCTAAGATCTTGCACAACCAGTCTCCCACTGCCAGGAAACTTAACGCGGAAAGCGTCAACATCATGCCCTCTGCCACCTCCCACATCCACGATTAGTGCCCCTTCGCTTGTAGCCCCATCAAGTATCTGCTCGCGACAGGGGTACCAATCCACCCAGTAATTCCGCGCACCCATCGTGTTGCCCATAAAGGTGTTGAAGTCTTTCAAGACTGACGGCATCGAGCTCAGATATTGGAACATAGGGAGTTTGGTTTGAAACGCGTATTGGACTATGCCATCGGAAATGCTGGTTGGGCTGCGGTAGCCTGCTTCTTTGAAGTATTTTGGGGCTTTGACTGCGGCGCCAATTACCACTTCCCATCTGCGAGGCGATTTAGCTTTACAATGGGTTTCGTTTGGAAAGAAGTGAGCTTACAGCATTCTGTGACCAGCCGCAATGCCTTCTGAGGCCATGGCATGGGTTATTGGTGTTGCTTCCCAGCTGTTCGCGCTAACTTCGCGGACGAAGTTCGTGGCAGATAGAGGGCGGAGGATACGTGCTGCGGGACGAGCTTATGTTAGAGAAGATTCAGCAATCTTCGAAAGTGAACTGACTTATCAAGACCGCCTCGGCGTTAGACAAATCGGAAAGTTCAGTGACTGATACAGGTTTCTCTGCTCTGGATATATATTCGAACAGTTTCATGTCGACAGCTACTCTGGCGCTCATTGGCAGGAGCGACTACATGGCGTCAGATGTTGTGTTGACGGAGGTATAATATGGTCACACTTACGGAAAATGCAAGTTCGACGGCGATGTTTGCTGGCTCTTCGAGCTGGGACACTAGTGCTTTACTTAATCTCAAGGCATTTTTGCGAGCAGTCTTGTCAGTGTCATCCGCGAGGGTCGATGACAATGCGTTGAGGCTGGCAATATTTTCTGCAATGCTAGAGAATTGACGAGACATGAGGGCTCGTTGGCGATGAGTACTGAGGTTTAAGATCAAAACAAATCAAACCTTGCTTCGACAGCTTGGAATTGTCAATTAATCACGCAAAGTTTACACTGTGATATAGAAGACGAAAATCAGATTATCATCGCCAAAGTTACTTGAGCTCCAACTATATACTTTTCCTCTATCACAATTTTGTGCCCTCATGCTGCATTGATATGAAGTTAGTTGGTGATGGGATTCTACTGGACCACGCACATTATCCGTGTTGGTCTGACTCAGCCACCATCAACGCGTACTTGAACTCAATCCCTCGGCCGAGTTGAATGGATATAGAACCAGGTGCTTTAGATAATTTTAAGTGTAGGTTTGTGTTCGGGCCTTCACGGGTTCGAGTGCCAATGCTGGACAGTCTCCCCTTCCGAAGATCTATCCATGTTGGCTTATTTGGGCCTGTTGTAGCCCGAAACAATTAACGAAATTGTTGACATAGCTCTTTAATGCTATCCAGTAGATGTTTAACGTCACTGCAAAGCACTTCTTCTATAATTTTTACTGATAGTGCTGTGTGCTACGTCGGTCGTTGACATGTCATCTTCTAGCTGTAATTGAGAGGTATCCATAGCATATTTTTGTTTAGAATATCCAACCTAATTCGACATCCATGATAGATTGCTATCACAATTTTGTGATACTATTTTAGATACGACAACTGCTTGCTTCACGAAATTTCATGAATCCTTGTGTGTGAAAATTATTCAGGTGATGGACCCAAACAAAGGGCGAATTAAGCGAGGGCCAAACAACAACACCAAAATCACCAATGTTTAGGCCCACTTTATCTACTGTATTCACGGCATAGCTGTGATTCATTAGGTTTATTTGTTCTAGAAAATTCTGTTATATTTTCAAAGGTGACTGATTGAGTGTATCGATTCACAAAACACTATATGGCAAGGAAGATATGACCGCGGGACTCCTCCCAAAGCTGATGTAAATAATCTGGCTTTCAGAGGCAGTGTGTTGTCGGTAATTTTCTCAATTCTACTATCCGTTACATTTTATCATGAAGAAAATTTAGGCTCTTACTGTAAATAAGCAACTGCTTTGCAGCTGCCTATCCTCCTGAATCCCCTATTACATAATGTAAGCGCCGCGTAGAAGGTCATCCCCAGCGATTCGTCTTGATGTCATGAACGATGAATTAAGCTGAAGAATTGATTGATGGGGCTATCGTCCCGTGGCTGTTTTTTCGACGGTCAGGACATCGTGCTGTCATCTTTTCGAATCAAATCAAATTATCAACAATACTCAGCAATACTCCTGCCAGCTGCCGTGAACCTGTAGCATTCTATTTATTCATCCTTGACCCTATGTGGTAATTTTCCACTGCCGAAAAACCCAAAACCAATGAAAACAAAACTTCATATCTTGGGTGACCTGGATCACAGGCAAATGCAGGGGAACGATGCTTCCCTTTGACTATAGCTAGCTGAGACTCGCGACATGCAGCCATGACCTCTCCGCCGCGATTATAGGCTGCAATATTTAAGAGACTGCTCTATCCCAAGGTGACTAGATATAGTTTGATTGTGCGGGCTCAGAGTTCCCTTACTGTAATCTGGTCTCGATATGGCACACACAAGTCAGACATCGGTCCCAGATAAGCCAGGTCTTGATTCAACTTAGAGTTAAGGGTAGTTTAGATTCATTGCCTGAGCGGCGTTTTAAAATTAACAAAGTTATAAACGGAAGTTATCGAACAGCAGAATGCCGTCGTCAAGGGTGTCAGAAAGACGTGAATTGGAACTTTAAACCTGCCAATTTGCGCACTTAAATGCCTACTATTTTGAAAACACCCTCCCCAGCTTGATCCTCCAACAGCTCCAAAGTTGCAACACACGATCAGCTATAACTCTGCCCAACTCTTTATCATTGCACAGCTCTGTACCACCTTACTATACAACATAATCTCGAAACGTCTAGCCCGAACCCACCATCCAACGTAGGCATAATGCGAGAACAGGGCGATCAAGCACGACGGAGACAGTCCGATGAGTTTGGGATTTACAACGACGGCTCAAATAGTGTCACTCCAACATCTGTTACGCAAAATGAGGGAGAGCGAGTCGATCGGAGTATGTTAAGCGAGTCAGAGCCCGAGGAAATCAACGATGATGTTCAACCCGGCTATGGAGACTTCGATAGCCTCTTGGAACCGGATCTTCCAGAAGAAGAACTGCGCCAGATAGAAGAAGAGCGTTCTCAAAGAATAGCGGCTATAGAGGCTGGGAGCCCGACCACTGGAGCAGGTACTGTTGTCTTTGTTATCATTCCATTTGACCTTTGACCAACGATTACTCAGTCTTGGATCCGGAATACAGCTGGAACGATGGTTTACTTTACAATTTAACAACACAAAACGTGGAAGGAAATGAAGAACAGCAATATCATCCCCAAGACTGGATTGTTAACGAATATGAGAATCACTACGACGATTACAACCATTACGACGACGACTGCGATTTGAGCGATCATGACGCAAACAATGAAGAAACAGGTCCTGTTATTAACCTTACAAATGAGGAAATAGCTGAACTGAACGATAAAGCGGCAAAGGATTGGGATAATCCACAAGTAAGTGACCAAGAAATCCTCAAAAGATACTCTGAATAGAACCAACTTGGCTGGTTCGTAGAACCTCTGGACTGCTTATCCTACATGTGAGGCTTACAAGCTCTAGAATACGGCTTAGCTAACGAGAGAAATTTGGCTTCGATTGCTAACATTAACAGCGCCGTCGTCTCGTACCCATCCCCTTCCCGTCAATCTTCCGAAGACATAGATCACGCGGTATTCGAAGCGCGAACTGCCGAATCCCGCGTCGAATCCGACGAATGAAATCTATAGGTTGTTCGGTAAAGGCTATTCACATCAGATCTAGATCCGCGAGATCCATCAGCCGTCTATGTGTGAGAGTTCCAAAACACCATAATGTTGTACATGTACTTTACAAACGTGGCAGAAACGTTCGAGGACCGGGGGCTGGAACAACCCGAAGGCGACGTACAGTATGCCATTCAGAAGAATTGAGCAAACCATTGCCTGAACTGAACAGGAAGGTACTAGTCTTAGTGGCTGGAAGACCTCTTGTTTGGTTGATATTCTCGAGAAACCCGCTGATTGTACCAAGCGCACCAATAGACTTTTATAATGGGTATCATCCAATTAGTAGGTTGTTTCTGTGGTTCATGGGCTATATCCGCTAACATAGGTATAGCTGGCGCCCCCAGACCTGGGAAAGTGACATGGTATGCGAACCTCCTGCTCCAAGATGACGCACCTCTAGTTACGAATATTAACAATTAAGAAGGATCGAAGATATGGAAGACTTTAGGAAATTTCTTCCTTACCTTTCAGAAATCCGTGCATCAGATAACCCCGAGCTTGCTCTCGACTGCGAATCGAGCGGATGTCTTAACCGTAATGGGAATATCACACACTTGACCATGACCGTCAAATCTATGGATCATACTTGGGTTCTCTGCAAGAACGGCATTCCTGATAATTATTTCGATATAGCTAACGATGAAGGGGTCACACTACGGTCCATACTCGAAAACCAGGACATCATACAACTCTGGTTTGACGTGCGTGGTGACAGCGACGCCATACATGGTCTCTACAATATCAGGTTAGGGAACGTCATTGATATTCAACTGATGGAGCTCGCTACCCGTTACGCGGATAACCACCAAAAGATAGTTGGTCTAGGAAAGGCTGTAGGGCAAAGCGGCCACAACTTCATGTCACAACTTGCTTTGAATAAATGGCTCTGGGCCAAAAGAGAAGGAGGTAGTCATCTTGGCTCCAGCAACTATCAGACATTAAACCAACATCCACTACCACTTTTAGAGAAGATGTATGTTGCCGGGGATACACATGTGCTATTTGGATTGCATGATGTTTATATAGCTAGATATCCCATCATCCAGTCTGCCTATGGAACAGTCGGGAAAGAAGTGGATTTAGCTGAGATCGTCAAGACACAAAGTATGCTTCGAGTTCACCAAAGCGAGAGTCCTGGTCATGAGCGTGGCGAAGGGTTCGAGATGCAAGGAGCACCTCGCGTGTTCCGTGACTTGGAATGGGTCTGGTCAGACGGGACGGTGAAGCGTAGGCAAATGCCAGGGCCATCTCTAGAACAGCATTCAGTTGAGCCAACCGCAGATGAATTCGCCCACCTGAATGAAGAGAACATTCTCCAGGCAACTCAGGGGGATGGGGGAGGGGATTTTCTTCTGGACGCAGCCGATCAAGGGTCGTTATATTCCCAAGAGACAGAACTGGGAATCGAATCAGAAGAGGATGGCGAAAGAGCCGGGCAGCTTCAAGAAGAAGTTCATCCTGGGGATGTCAGATCCCAGAGAGACGACGTTCATCATGGTGATAATCAATCTTCGCATTATTGGCAAAGGGTTCGAGACGACATCCTACCAGAAGAAGATGATGAACCGATTGGAAACGCGGTCCGTCGAGGGAATGAGTGGCTGGAGGGAAACGAAGGTCTTTATTACGAGCCGAGTTTGGACCCGTGTTCTGACCGTCACCAACAGGAGTTTAAACCAGAATTTGGTGACGAGCAACTCGATGAAGCATTTCCTAGAAGTCATCGGTTGCTAAACAGAAACCAAGATCGGCATCGCGAGCAAGCATTCTTAGAACCACTTCCCGAACAGCACCAACACGAGAGTATACAAGAAGAAACTGGTGAACAGATGTCAGATGAAGATCCTCGGAACAGCTTGTGGCTGGAAAGTCTAGGGATGGTACCACAGAGCAACGCATGGCTACAAAGACTAGAAGAGTTTAATAACGAACTACGAACCTCAAAGCGACCTTCGGAACAATGGGCGCTCGAAACTCCACCAGTCGAACTTATCGAGCCAACCGAAGTAGAAACCGCTGAGATGAATCATTCACATGAGATTCCACAACAGGGCTACGAAACCCCGCAAGCTTCCGCCGCTATAGTCGATCACAATGAACCAGCCGAAGAAGACCAAACCTACACATGCCGACCGCGCGGAATCAGACGTCTTGTCAACCGCTTCTCAACTCTAGACCTCCGAAAAAACAACCCAGAACCAACCAACCAGCCCACTAGAAGAAGAAGCTTCATGCGACTAAAAGCCCTCGTCGACCCCAACCAAAACAGACTCGCCAGACGCGCGAGCAGTTTCTTCAGACCCAAACAACCCCCTCAAGAGGTCCCACGAGAAGTCCCAGCAAATATCTTCGGGCCTCGAACAGATGGACATCTTCCAAGATCAAGTAGTTACGCGAATAACCCTGCGTGGCTGAGTGTTTTTGAAGCTGAGCAGGCGAGGTTGGGAAGTAAAACTGGAGGTCTGGGGGATGAGAAGAGGACTGGATCGGTTAGGCAGAGGGTGAAGAGTTTTTATATGAGTGGGAGGAGGAGTGTTTCTGAGTTCTTTACGCAGACTTGAGGGAATTCTGGGGTTTTTTAATAAGATGTCGAGATTGGCAGGAATTGATTGGGATAAATCATCAAGAGTTGCAGGGCAATAGAGTATTGAGATTGTTTTGGTTTATAGTATATCATGAAGGAGAATCTGGCGGGAGAATACTGGATACGCAGGATTAGGTGCGGTTAATAATGTACTGGAACGAGATAATATAGTTCACAGGCTTTGAATACTTCCGAATAATAATGAAATATCAGCTACAAGCAAACCAAATTTGATATCTCCAGTGATTAAAACTCCAAGCGTTAAGAATTGTCCTCCATCTCTCGAATATATTCACAAATCCTTTCCGGCTTCAATATTAATGCCAACACCTCTCACTCCCACATCTTTCCTTTTTAAAATCCCTTATCCCCGTCTCGAACCCAAAAACTTAACTCACCAGCAACAACCTTCCAAAATGTCCAATCCACCAGCAAAACCCCCACAAATACCGAAACACGTCTCGCAACCAACCCAGTGGCTCTGCTGCAACTGTCCCCGCACAGCACGCACAGTAACAAACCGCCGCCAAAAATCCACTCAAATCACAATTCCACCTCAACCCACCATCTCATCCCCATCCAAGTCGTCCTCCCAACCCTCCAAATCCACCCAATATCTCTCCTCGCAACAATGTCCAAAGTGCGCCCACACACTCTGTCCAACCTGCACAACCGACCCCGCAATCTGCGGCCGGCATCTAGTCGAAGAACTTGAATCGAAACTCTTCGTTAACAGAATGGTCAGACTGGCCGATGCGTTGGAGGAGGGATGGGGGTTAGATAGTGATGAGGAGGGGGAGATACGGGAGGAAAGCGGTGAGGGAAGGAGGAGAGACGAATTACCATGTCTATTCCAGCAACAACCTGGGATGCGAAGGCGGTTTGGGAAGATAGGTGATGAATGGCTGAATCCGGGTGGTGATAAGAAGGGTTAAAGATTTAGATATATCGCTTCTTGGGATAGATGTGTTTGTCCTAATTCGCTGAGTTGCTGGAACTGGCGATAGGGAGGGATAAATGGATGTGATGATGAATGATTTAGAGCAGGTAGAGGTAGAAGAAGGATAACTGCGAAAGGAGTACAGAATAAACCGATTGACGTGTTTCTTTTTCTTTTATTTAAAGTCATAGCGCTGTCTAGTGCCGAGACAACACCATTAATTTCATAACCATGCAAGCTCCAATGATCTTCTTCCTCAAAAAATACCCATTACCCCTAAACTCCCAGTTACAGCCGTTATAAAACCCTAGTAATCGACTATTTCGCTATTATTAGAGGCTTTGCGTAGCTAAGTATTAAAAGGATACTAAAACATAAACTACCTTAACGAATTTACAAAAGGTTATAGATATATCCAAAAAACGGTATAAAAATTAAGTTAAGACTATAATCTATCTAATGTAGGGGTATCTTAAGTAATTACTCCTCGTTCGCATACATGCCGCCTACCTTTAGCGTCCTGAACATCTGTCATCTCGACATCTCTTTCTCATTAGACTCATATGCTTCATCGAAACCCCATCTCCTTCTCGAACCCCATCTGATTCATCATGACCCATTCTTCTTCACACCCTTTTTTTCCACTTCCTCGGATGCATGTTATAACGACGTCCATTGAACTTCATTCCCTCCATCCACCAAACCTCTCGTACCCTATATGCTGAGTTCTTCCAAAGATCCAGGATCATAAATTTACGGTATCAGGATTGGAACAATCCTGTATCCGTCTTCCTCTCGGATCTGGAGTCGCTGGAAGCGAGCGACTATGTTCCTCGAGTGGTTTGGATAGTCTGGAAGTGGTTTGGCAGATCTTGCAATGCCCTCAAGACTATTGCTTTGGCGAGTTCCCTGGGGATGGCTCGTTGAGGTCGCTAGTACAGTGCTTTCGAAGCTTTGCCATTGGTGCTCGGATAGTCGTCGGCAGGATCGAATATAAGCTCTTTTCGACGCTGTCGTGTAAAAACCCTTGATGCAAGAGACGTGCCGACATCGATTTCCAAGCCCCAGGACATCAGCCAGAGTCCTCGCCTCTCTCAACGCATCGAAGATATTGAACCATACAAACGTACCGACCCTCTCAAGCAGGCGCACTAACACTCCTCTCCCCCACAACCGGTCTATCCTCCCCCCTCGCCCTCCTCAACACCCTATCCATTTCCGGCAACAACTCAGGAATACGGAAGGGTTTCGTGACCACACTATCCATGCCATGTTCCTTCGCATTCGCAATTTGCTCGCTCCTCGCATTCGCCGTGACCGCAATAACCGGGACATGACTGGTCATCTTCCCCTCTTTTTGAAGTTCTCGAATCTTCTGGACGCACGTGAGACCGTCCATGACAGGCATTTCGAGGTCCATGAGTACAATAGAAAGCTTAACGCCTTCGTCCTCGAGACCGGTCCAAAAATGCGTGGTTTGCAGAAATTCGAGGGCTTCGCGGCCGTGGTTGGCGACCGCGACGATGCAGCCTGCTGCGCGGAGTTGTTTGGAGAGAACCTTTTGGTTAACCAGGTTGTCTTCGACGACTAGGACGTGTTTGGGAGCGGCTGGGATTTCTAAGATCCGACCTTCGTGAACTTTGGGCAGGGGGCTTTTCCTTATGTTGGCTATGACGGCGGGGGAGATGAGCTTCGTGTGAGCGTCGATATCAACAGGGCTTAGCCTTGGACTGGTCCGTTCTGGCGCATCACAGCGTGGTGTTTGGATATAGAAAGCAAATGTGCTGCCAACTCCGGCTGCGGATGCTACACCTATTTGTCCTCCTTGAATCTCGGTCAGACGACGAGAAATGAATAGACCGAGACCATTACCACCATACTGAACATGGGTTCTGACAGATGCCTGGGAGAATCTCTTGAAAAGTTGATTCTTTTCATTTTCATCAAGACCTCGCCCGGAGTCCTGCACCGAGATGGATAAATAAATTGTTTGGTCCGGGGTTCCGCACGACAAGATCTCGTTTGAGGTATTATGGGATTTCGGAAGGAATTCTAGATCGTTTTTTGGTTTTGGTGGTTCGGTTGAAGCCCCAACTTTGACGACGATCTGCCTCTTTTCTTCCGTTGAGGTAAATTTGATCGCGTTTGAGATCAAGTTAATGAAGACCTGGTTGACTCGACTAGGGTCCAGCTTGACCCAATCAACAGAAAGTCTCGTATATGACTCTTCAACAATAAATCGAAGAGTCAAATCCGCTTTGTGTAGCTCTCCCTCAAACATCTTCAGCGCATCGCGCACAACAGCCACAGGCTGGGCCTCTATAGGGGCGATGAAAAGTAGATCCGCATCAAGCTTAGATAAAGTCAAAATATCATCAATGATACGTTTCTGATGTTGCGCGCATAGCAAAATTGTGCTACTAGCATCTGCGATGGAATCGATAGTTTCTCGTGGAACGACAACGTCTTTACCGCCACCGTCGAATTCGGAGAGATTACCAATCCAGTCAGCCGACATTATTATTGCAGAAAGTGGGTTTCTCATTTCACTATTAACAACACGTTAGATGTGATTCGTCAGCCAGAGATGAAGCGCTTACTGTGAAGTCATATCGATAAAATTCTCTTGTTGTCTCTTCATCTCGACAGCTTCCAGCATTTTCGTCTTTTGAAACCCCTCGGCCCATTTAACTCTGCTGATATCCGTTATGGTACCTAATACTCCCGTGACCTCACCAGCTGGATTCTTTTCGGCATAAGCGGCGGCGATGATCCAGGTAGGGCCCGTAATCTTTTCCCCAGCAAAAACTTCTTCGGTCACAAAGGGTCGTTTTAGTCGCAGTTCGAAGTTTACTTCTTCTCCACTTAACAGCTTTGCCCAATAAACGTCCATCGTGGGGTGATCTGCTTCTAAGATGATAGAGTACCAGCTCATCGGATATGATACGTTTTTCGGGTGCTCCGTGAGTGCATAGTATTCGTTATTTGCATAAACAAGCACTCCTTGGGTGTCGATATGAAACATCCCAGTAGGAGCAAGATCGGCCATATTACGAAATCGATTTTCAATCTCAATCGCTACGTGCTTCTGGTTGTCGAGTTCTTTTGATATTTCATTTCGGTCTATGGTAGCTTTTTCAGCTGCTAATTTACTTCGACTGGTCTCCTCTTCGAAGAGAACGGCGGCCTAAACGTAATCAGCAGAAGTCCAAGAATGTCCGCTATCGTGGGTGTAGAAATAGCTTACAGCGATACTGGTGGCAAGTTGCCTACTCAGTAGATCGATAAATAATTGATAATCATCATCGAACCTCTTCATGGGATTAATTCCCAAGATTAAGAACCCGAGAGTGGTGTCAGATGTCGATTTGATTGGCAAAAACACGGCAGCTTCAAACGGCACGATACCATCTTCTGTCCTCAAATTATCAGCTATACATTTTGGCAAAGACCCGTCTGCCAATGACAAAAGGGTCGGTGAGTTTGCCTTGATGAGCTCTGGAAAGTTGGGTAGGAATTCCTCGATTTTTTCACAAGCACCAAACCTGCGAGGAACAGGCGAGTTGCGTTCCGGTATTTCTACGAGGCCTTCTAGTGACCAATTCTTGAGGGCGTGACTTTGGTCTGATGATTCAAATAAGGTTTCATGGATAGTGCATCCAGCGGAGTAGAGCGCAGCAAAAGGCAGGTCTAGATGTTTGACTCCCAAGCATTGTAAAAGTATCCACCAGAAATCTTTTGGTTCTGTAGCAGCCGAAAGTTCTCGGCCAAGGAGGAGTAGAAATGCCATTCTGCGATCTGAAAGTACTTGTCGTGTAGTGTCATTAACAGGATTGTAACTTTTGTCATGTTAGAGAGTGAGAAACCCGAGATGTAATTCTTTCTGCGAATATGGTGACTTACTATGCTGTCTGCCCCTGCCCGAGCTGAATTGGAACCATAGAAATGTGGTAGTATATCTCCTCAAGATATTCATGTCTGACCAAGTTGAAGCGAGCATTATCGATACTGAACCCACAACCAGTCACGGCAGATTTTTCGAATGGGGCTGTAAAGTCTCCCGCGACCACCCCCCAGGCATCCAAAAACTCCTTCCCCATCATCCCCGGATGCATGTCGCCGGTGACATGGACGTAAGCCTCGTTGTACATCATGATCTTCTGTTCGCCCCAAAACATTGACGCAGGTCGAGGATCAGCCATCAAGTAATTACACATCCGTCGGAGCTCCAGTGACCATGAACTGATTGGACCAAGTTCGGTTGAGGCCCAATCGAAATCGAGGAAGAATTGTACATGTGGAGATATATCGCCCGCACTGTTTGGCCTGGTGATGTCGAACGGTCCAATACCGTCCATTGTCCCGGTGGTTTCCATCAAATGGGAGGTTTCGGTGGGTTGCCGCTCCTCATGCTGGGCTGTTCGGCGTACAATATTGTCAATTCCTTGATCGATGCTGAAAGCCGCCAGATGTTTCTCTAACGACGCCTTTGAAATGGAGCTCGCATTTGACCCTCGTCCACCTGTGCTCTCCGTCCTGGAAGGAGATCTGCTTCGGCGCGATAAGGAGGAATCGGTTTGGGAATGCCTCTGAGAACTGTCGGGGGAGAGCGTAGTTACATTTCCTGTAATAATTCTCCACTTGTTCCTCAGAGTCCTGCCTGTCCAGCGGATGCCCCAATGGCTTGAAGGGGGAATGTTGGTCGCGTCGGGAAACGACACTGCCCAATCCAGCAGAAATCCTGATTGTGCATCAACAACTGCGTGGTCTGTGTTTTGATGTCCATCCCCTCCCCCGATGACTTGAAGTTTTCTGAGAGCCGCATTTTGATACACCGGGATCTTGTTCGTTGGTGACTTCAAATCGAGGGCGAATATGGGTCGGTCGTCGGTATCCAGGTATTCAAATAGCCCAACCGCCTGGAATCCAGAAGCATCATCTCCCTCTGTCCGTACAACGTCGAGCGCTGTATTTGTAACTGTCGACTCGGTCTTCAATAGTTCTCCATAGGGCAGACTTCCTCGTCTGTGTAGTGTGTTCATGGTCGAACAATGTATTTTTATGTCTGCCCTCGATGGATGTGTATCGCCACCCTCTGCCCAACTACTCGAACAAACTGACGAGTATTCCCCTGGCACCTTCTTTGTGTTCCGATTGTGCAGTTATCGTGCTGCCGTCAAGTTCTACCTCCAACGTCGAAAGAGGACTCCTTGTCCGCCTCCGTGAATCTGCATGCTCTCGCTCCTGCAAACCCCGCCAAAACGCGTATGAAAGTAAGGTTGTACGAATAATCAACAAGAGTGAATAATAATGCAACTGCGTTCGAGTGGCGCCTCGTTCACGTGTGTCCAGAGCCCGACATCATGACAAAAAGGACAGAACTTGGAACGAATTCCGAGTGGATAGGAGGAGGATGGGAATGTTTGGACAAAGCAGAATCCCAATCCAACCTGGAAGCGATTAAGGTTAGTGCGTTCCACTAGCATGACGCCAGTGGCTCAAGGGGCTCGCCCGACGCCATTGTAGCGGGACAAGGTCGGATCTAAGGTCCGGCCGAATTTGAATTACTATGGCATTTTAAGATATCTAGCCTCTATCAATCAATAAAGAGTCAGAAGTGTATGTGGAAGGTATATATACTATTCATGGTATTTCAATATGGTGTTGTGCTGGTATGATCACCACGTTGATCGGAGCCCCTTTGACGATCTCCGGGTATCTGGGAAGGCAATCGAGATTCCAGATTCGCGGACGTCGCCTGCATCATTGACGTGCAGGGTGACTTGGTGGGTGCGGGAAGACCCATGAACCAATTTAAAGCACCAATACGCTTACATCCATATTTTAAAAATGCATTATGGCTTCGTGATACAAGTAGATAAAGTTAAACGCTCTAAACCAGCACAAAACAATCATGGACATTTGAAAACGACTAGCACGCGAGCAACATTCCATACCACAGTCTAGAAGCCAGGCGGGCGCTCCGTAGCTGGGAACTAAGTGACCCTGGATTTGAACCACATTTTGCACCTCCGGACATCTAGACCGTTCTAATTATTTGTTGGCTTCAGCTCTTCAAAAATTCACGTACACATCTAACTAAGTCGTCAACCACCCAAACCAGCCTTGCCACTTCAGTACACTTCTGGTTGTTCCGTGAGCTTCTCGCCATCGATACCAAGCGAGACCAGCTCCGAGGACCACAGGACTTGATATCAGGCTAACCAGACTGACGAATATGATCCGGCCCTGTCTCTCGCTCTTCTTAATAATCTCGCTATATCTCTCGTTTCCGAAGCTGACTCTGGAGTATTTGGTCTGCCAGCCCAGACTCGGTACATAGACACTTAATGACTCCTCTAACCACTTCCGCGCCGAGTAGAATGGAGATACGACGGATGCACGCATCTCGACGTAATTCTGAAGAGCAAGGTCGTTGATAACATGTGCATCTTCCTTCCTATATTCAGAGTATTTGGCTAATGCTTCAGCTCGAGACGGGTACTTGTCAAGAATCTCGAACAGAATCCGAATGTCTTCGAGACCGGCATTCATACCCTGGCCATAAAATGGTACCATTGCGTGGGCTGCGTCGCCAACAATGACAATTGAGTCTGTGTAATGATGAGGTTGACACTTGATGTTGATAAGTGGTAGGTGAGGGTTTTCGTTGAAGGACGCTATTAAGTCGGCTGGTGGTATAAGAGAAGATACCCCTGGAAAATGGGCGTCGAAGAACTTTGGGACCTCGGTCGGGTCTTCTTCCAGAGCAGCAAAGTTGGAAGAGGGCATAAATAGAGTACAGGTAAAAGATCCATCCTATATTTCAATTAGGAGACTGTTATATGCACGGCTGAGGGGACTTACAAAACTGGGTATTGCAATGAACATAAAGTCTTTGCCAGGCCAAATGTGCAAGTGATTTGGAGAAATAGCGAATCTTTCATCCTCACTCCCGCCAGATTTTACTGGCTTTGCTGCGATATGGAATTCACTCCATAGGGTGTCGATATATTCCTGCTGGTAATCCATTCTGGCAAACTTCATCATGTGATACCTCGCAGCCGAATGTGCTCCATCAGCACCAACCATTATATCGAAATCCACCTCGATCTCTTTATTACGACCAGTATTCGTCATGGTAGTGCTCCCGATGACTTCAAACCAGGCCTTGTGTTTCTTGAAATCTGCGCCAGTCAATTTATGGTTAAAAATGACTTTGACATTCGGCAATTTATCGAGCTCATCCAGCAGTGCATTGTTCAGTCCTCCTCGGTCAACTGCATAGATAGACTAATGAACGTCAGTAGGGACTCCAGTTTTAGGATCTCCGATTGTACCCTTCCGTGGACATCATACACCTGTGACTGCTCATAGAGCTCTCCTTGAAGATCTTTGCCGTGAATCATCCGACCTTTCATTGGAATGGTCTCGCTGAATATCTTTTCCAATACGTCAGGTCGACCTGACTGCTTCATAGCGTTGATCCCTCGTTCTGAAAGAGCAAGATTGATCGATTTGGTAAAATTCAACGGAACGGTACTTGGGTCTCGCAAGTCTATCGGTGGTTAGCAAAATCCCTACCAGTAGGCTATGTGATGTGGTGGCAAACGAAAATGCAACGCCATAGAAATTCATCGAAATAACGCGCTGTAAGAACTAGCAATACTCTGAAGTGCGACTTCTCATATTTGGCACTGTCAATGAGGGTGTGACCATCTTTGAAGCTGATCCTGTCTGGCGATAAGCTGATAGCTCAATTTCGTCTTGGCAATGTCTCTCGTTTGACGATCTCTGAGTCTCTGAGCTAAAGGTGCGCATTTCTATCCATATCGACGTTGCAATGCGTGAATACCGAATAATAGGATTGCTTGAAGGTGCAAGATCGAAAGGAAAATATGTGCGGTACGTACCACTTCGTAACTCGTAGACCTCGACATCGTGACCACGTTGTGCAGCATATATTGCCGCAAGCGTCCCCACTGGTCCAGCACCTATAACCACAGTCTTCTGTTTTTGACTTGTCATAATCGAAGCGTATATACAGGTTGAAAACCAAAATTCAGCGGAACATGTCAAAATATATGTACCACGAGCCAGATGTCCATGACACTGATACATTGCTATTTTTCCCGGCCCGAAGCTCTGATTGCTAAACATCTCGGGCGATAAATCCACCCTATATTTTACTTCACGCCGACCGAGCCGAGAACCTTCAACGGCAGGTGCAGGACTATCAGAAAATTGATCCGCGCCCTTCAGATCAAATTAAAAAAAGCCTACAAGGCTGCGACAATCACCACCAGCACCTCATCTGTACAGAGTTTCGGAATTGAATCCTTAAGTGCTTTTGTATTAGATTTGTTTATACTGTAGGATTATTCCAAATGGCGTCCGAAGACCCCGCGCCTCGAAAATGCATGGGGGGCGACTGCGACAATGATGCTGGATCTTTACAATGTCCCACCTGTCTCAAGCATGGGATGAAGGAGAGCTTCTTCTGCTCGCAAGATTGCTTTGTGAGAAATTGGGTATGTTATTACGCGTTCGCCCCCAAATTTTGTGACTTTTATGAACTCGCTAACAAGTTTACAGAGCACACATAAGGCTGTTCATAAATCAAAGAGTAACTTTCTCACAAATCTCTTCCCTCCAAAAGTTGTCTCTGAACCCGATCCAGCTACAGGAAAATTCAATCCGTTTCCAGCCTTTCATTTTACCGGAGATTTACGCCCAGTATATCCCCTCTCCCCGCGACGTGAGGTCCCTAAGTCAATAAAACACCCCGACTACTGGGAAGACGGATATCCAGCGAGTGAGAACACATATAAAGGAAGGACCCAAATCGAAATACTGGATCAGAAACAACAAGAAGGCATGAGGACAGTTTGTCTACTTGCGAGACAAGTTTTGGATATCGCAGCGGCTGCGGCCGTACCGGGAGTTACTACAGACTACATAGACGAGATAGTGCACAAGGCTTGTTTGGAACGAAATGCAAGTCCATGAATTCCTTCAACAAAGCAGCATGTGCTAACCGCCACAGGCATATCCATCCCCCTTAAACTACGTAAACTTCCCAAAATCTGTCTGCACATCGGTAAACGAAGTCATCTGCCACGGCATTCCAGACCAGAGAGTATTAGTAGATGGAGACATTCTCAATATTGATGTTACACTATATCACGGCGGGTTCCATGGAGACATCAACGAAACATACTACATTGGCGACAAAGCCAAAGCGGACGCAGATTCAGTACGGGTGGTTGAGGCAGCCAGAGAATGTTTAGACGAAGCGATCAAGCTGGTCAAGCCTGGAGGGTTATTCCGAGAATATGGCAATGTCATCGAGAAACATGCCAAGTCGAAGAAGTGCAGTGTCATCAGGGCATATTGCGGTCATGGAATCAACAGTTTATTCCATTGCTCGCCGAGCATCCCCCATTATGCCAAGAATAAGGCAGTTGGAGCCGCGAAACCTGGAATGTGCTTTACTATTGAGCCGATGATCGCACTAGGAACGCACCTGGATGATACATGGCCAGATAAATGGACAAGTGTGACGCGGGATGGAAAGAAGACAGCGCAATTTGGTTCGTGATTCTTTCCCTGCAGTTTGATTACCGCTAACAATACGCAGAGCATACTCTTCTCGTGACAGAAACCGGTGTTGAGGTCCTTACTGCAAGATTGGAAAATTCCCCTGGAGGGCCGATTACCATGCCTGTGCCTGAAGTAGCAATAGGTGAAAAGACGGAGCAGACAAATGGCGATGCATCTAAATAATACCCATAAAATATAAATAAGTAATTAATGGCTCTCTCGCCAAAGTATCTGGCTAACGGCCCGAGCCGAAATATCTCAAAGATTTCTCCCACGGTGATTTCTGATCCTTTGCAAACCGTTTTACTAAGTGAGCATGTGGTGCACTGGTGAAATGTCCTCATATTTGTATTCGACCGTTCTGTTTAGGGGTGGCTTAAATACGTATCCATGATGAAGGATATGTATATCCTTAAATAATCATATATATGATGAATATGAAGTTAGATTATGCCAAGTGATGACTAAGCTGCCAAGCGCCAATCGGATGACTAGTGTCTTCTCGGCTAAGATAAAAGCTTTTACAACTTTCCTTCTTCTTTTCTAAATATTCGACACTTCTAGTATAACTACTCTAAAATAACTAGTTTAGTCTAGATAACGTCTTACTAAATACCTTAATAATTATAGAATAAAAATTAATTAGCAAAGTTGTAACTTAGGTCATAAAATTCCCTTATTATAATTTTTTTTTAAAACTTTTATAGATTTTCACGATATAGTAGAACTATAGCTGTGCCTGAAAATGCCTAAAAATACGTAAAAATAATCTTAAATCATCGATATTATTAATTATAAATATCATCGATATCGGTCATTTATAATTATGGTTTTGGCCAACCCTAGTTCTGTTGCCTTGTATGAATTCATCGAGTCGTCTTCGTCCCCTGACATGTGCTGCTCAGCAAGCGATGCTGGGCTGCCAATGAGAGAGATCGAATAGTGGGGCATGGCCTTTTGCCCTCTTCGCCAACGAGCTCGAGTTCCTGGAGCTCCACCACAGCACGCGAGAAAGCCATTCCGTTTTGCGCTGCGACCTTGATTCGACATCTCCAGCCTCCCCTCATCCAGAACATCTTCGCAGGCTCTCCATATCCTCCTCGAGAATCCAAATCTCCTGCTAACCGTTGTCGTCGCTGCCTCACCCCACAAACGGAGATACTCGCGCCGCTCAGAAGCTCCTTCTGCAGAACTTGATCTCAAGCTCCAGCTACGTCAGCACAAAGACAGCTACAAGAAGCCACAGACCGGCACACAAATCGCAGTCCAAGCTTAGGAGCTTCGAGACAGAAATCGTCCCACGCACACGCTCCCACGGTTCGGAAACCCATACACGCTCGTCAAGATGATGTCCGGCGAGGCATGGTTATATCTGTTGGCGGTGTTAATAAACGCCGTCAACCTGTTTCTGCAGGTCTTCTTCACCATCATGTATAGTGATCTGGAATGGTACGTCTCCTTCAACTTCTACGGCCTCAAGAAGGATCTTGAGAATCCCACTTTTGTCCCTGTTCGACGGAGATTCCTGTAATTCTACTTGTTGAAGTCAGGGAATTTGTGCTAATGATTGTGGTGGATAGTGATTACATCAACCCTATTGATCTCTGTAACCGGCTCAACACGTATATCATCCCCGAGGCGGCGGTACATGGTGTCCTGACGTTTTTGTTCCTTATCAATGGGTATTGGATTGCGCTGTTGCTTAATCTGCCGCTTCTCGCTTTCAATGTTAAGAAGTACGTTCCTATACCTTTCCAACAAGCTGGGCACTGGCTGCCAGCTGGAGTGCTGCGATGTTTTGGAGAGCCTTGCTGACGATTTTAGAATTGTCGATAACGCGCATTTACTTGATGCTACTGAGATCTTCAGAAAACTCAATGTTCACAAGAAGGTAAGGAAAGGGCTTAGGAGTTTCCCCTGGCTTACGGCTGCTAATCTGATTTCTAGGAGTCATTCATTAAGCTTGGGTTCCACCTTGTTATGTTCTTCTTCTACCTCTACAGCATGATTGGTACGTTTTCCCTTTATATTCCATAAGCTTTAGGATATTTCCCATTCAGAGTTTCACCGCCCAGTGTGCTGGCATTATCAGAACTACACGCTAACTTATCCAGTCGCCCTTATCCGTGACGAGTCTCATTGACTTGCTACCTCGATCACCGCCAATACAATATCGAATAGGCATAAACAAAAAGCCAGACAAGGGGGAGTTGCATCCCTCATTCATACGGGGTGCTCCGGTGTGGAAAGGGATGGAAATGACAAGATGTGTATAGCAATAGCATACATGGCAGGATAATTATGTTGGGAAATCTGCAACGATTAGACGACTATGAGGGTTTTCGGAGTAGTGATTCTTTTGGTGTGCTATTAGGGTTGGCGACATTCCATATAAGGGATTTCTACATGAAGTTCGAGGTGGATAGATACCATGGTGTACCTTTACAGCTGCATAGATGTAATCTGGGTTTGGTGAAGTTTTTACTAGACTCTCGAGTGAAGCTTGACACGGGAGTGCTGTACTCTGACGCTTAGTGTCTGGTCTTCTATATAACCCTATTAACTAATTGAATGCTTGCTTGTTCCGTATACATCAATCCTTTAGACTTCAGGGCTGGCAGAAGGCTACCACACGTGACTCTTTCTATCAGGTTACAAGGGTTCAAGGCCGAGGCTGAGACCTAAAACATTTCTACATCCAACTTCATTGAGGCTAGGTGCTTCTCACTTTCAGTATTAGCGCCCAACTCATTGACCCTCCTAGTTGTACGACGCTGTGCAGTTTGTTTTGATATTCGATCAAGTTGCGCACCAAAAGCGACATCATCATGGCAGATTTTGGGGATTACCCGCCCAACATGGCGCCCCAAAACGCGCTCGCAGTTCGAAATGCAGCAGGACCAGACCATGCGATACAAAAATACACAGCGGACAATCTATCGCGACCTCTACAGGGGCCGCTAAATCCGTTCAAAGATGAACAGAACGCGCTCAAACGAAAGAATGTTCTCACAGGATATGCTGAAGAGACGTATGTCAGCGAGCATACCTTTCGGAGTCAGCATCGAGCCGTAGAACGAGGTCCGGATAGAAATTATCGAGGTGGCGTGGCGGAGAAAGAGGAGGCGGCGAGGATACGTGCAAAAAGGCAGAAGAAAGGTGATGCTACGGTTGCGGAGGGCGATAATGCTTATGTTGGTCCTTGGGCGAAGTACAAAACTACGGATTATGAAGAGGTGGGAGAGGATGAGGAGTTGGCTAGTGATGAGGAGTATGAGGAGGTTGAGGAAGAGGAAGATGTGATTGAAAGTGGAACTTTAGTGCCAGCATTACCTCAGGCGATCGCAAAGAGGAAAGAGGAAGAGGAGACTGGCGGGGAGACGAGTGTCTTCGAGGGTTCAGAGCAGTACGATTATCAGGGCAGGACATATATGCACGTGCCACAGGATTTGGATATCGATTTAAAGAAGGAGGTTGGAAGTGTGAAGAATTTCGTGCCGAAGAAGTTGATACATACTTGGAAAGGTCATACGAAGCCTATTGCCGGACTTCGATTCTTCCCAGGATCTGGACATCTATTGCTTTCTGGGAGTGCCGATTCGACTGTTAAAATTTGGGATGTGTATCACTCGCGCGAGCTATTACGGACTTACTCGGGGCACACAAAGGCCTTATCCGATGTTACTTTCAATACCTCCGGTTCGCAATTCCTTACGGCTTCATATGATCGGATGATGAAGCTTTGGGATACGGAGACTGGACAATGTCTTAACAGGTTCACAACCGGCAAAACGCCTCATGTTGTACGGTTCAACCCCTCTCTTGAGCATGCCAACGAATTCTTGGCTGGCATGTCGGATAAGAAGATTGTGCAATTTGATATCCGTACAAAAGAAATCGTCCAGGAATACGATCACCATTTGGCAGCTATCAACACTATCACCTTCGTCGACGACAATCGGCGATTCATGACCACATCCGATGATAAATCCCTACGGGCTTGGGATTACAACATTCCAGTCCCGATCAAGTACATTGCAGAGCCATACATGTATCCTATGACACGCGCCTCTGCTCATCCATCTGGCAAATATGTCGCATATCAAAGCTCAGACAACAACATCTTCGTCTACGGCGCCACAGACAAATTCAGACAAAACCGAAAAAAGGTCTTCAAAGGACACAACAGCGCCGGATACTCGGTGGACGTGGCATGCAGTCCCGACGGCCAATTCGTCGCTTCTGGAGATACGGGTGGATATGTCTGCTTCTGGGATTGGAAAACATGCAAGATGTGGCATAAGATGCAGGCGGCGGATGGAGCTGTTACTTGTGTGGAGTGGCATCCTCAGGAGAGCTCTAAGGTTGTTACGGCTGGGTTGGATGGAGCGATTAAGTATTGGGATTAGATGATACCCCCCATTTTTCAATATACAATTGCAAGCATGAGGATGAATTCTCCAATCCCGAACTCCGTTTGCTGAATTCCGACAGTTGACAACTCGGTAGTGCCCTGATGTTGAATGCAGCTTCAATCTATCTCCTACCCACGCCTTTTATTCTACAGACCCACAACACCGGCCTCGTTCAAGCCACCAAGACTCAAGTCACTGCTGGATTTGGATGCCGTTGTTATGACCAGGGAGGGGTTCAGAAGCTAATGCATCATTTCAGTTCCTTCATTGGCCAATTCGTTCTCACACCGCGATCATCAATAGCTATTGATTGTGACTCAATTCCGGCATGACGCTGGATTTTTTTTATTATGTTATTACAAGGCCATGTTAAGTATTTCACCATATTCATTTCCCTTTCCATCATGGAATAGCAAAAATCTCATCTCAAAATGCCCAACTCAATCGAGCTCATCCAGCCCTATCCCACTCTTCACCCACACCACCACCACCACCACCACGACATCGAAACCCCCAAACCCCAACCCTACCCAACCCTCGACCAAACCCCCTCCATCTCCCGCGCCTCCTACTCCTTCCCCGAAGGCGGCACCGCCGCCTGGCTCGTCATCCTCGGCTCCTTCTCCATCATCGCCGGCACCTTCGGCCTCATCTCCTCCGTCGGCCTCTTCCAATCCTACTGGCAATCCCACCAGCTCTCCTCCTACACCTCCCGCGATCTCGGCTGGATTGGCGCCGTCAACGTCTTCCTCAACTTGCTTCTCGGCGTGCAAATCGGGCCCTTATTCGACCGTTACGGCCCGAGATGGCTGATTGCCGTGGGCAGTGTGGCGTTTGTGGGGAGTTTGGTACTGCTGGCGGAGTGTAAAGTGTATTGGCATTTTATGCTTGTTTATGGTGTGCTGGGGGGGAGCGCGAGTGCGTTTTTGACGACGACGGCTTTGAGTGTTGTTGCGCATTGTAAGTGCTCGTAACACAACTAATCTCATGACTACCCTACACCCCGTTCCCTGCTCATCCTCATAGGGTTCGAACGCAAACGCGGCATGGCCTCCGGAATAACCTTCGTCGGCTCCTCCGTAGGCGGTATCGTCTTCCCTTTAGTGCTAAAACACACGCTCGCCTCGCTCTCCTGGGCCTGGGCTATTCGCATTCTCGCGCTCATCGTAGCGGTGCTGATGGCGATTGGGAATCTATGCATCAAAGGCCGTTTGCCGCCGCGGAAAAACGGGGGCGCTATTAATCTCAGATGTTTTCTGGATGCGAGGTTTAGCTGGGCGACGGTGGGGATTGCTTGTATGTGCTCTCCCTATTACTTCAAATGATAAATGAGAAATGAGACAGGAGATGAGGGGTCCTCACTCCTCACTCCTCACTCCTCACTCCTCACTCCTCACTCCTCACTCCTCACCCCTCATCTCATATAAGTGTATGGATGTTGATTTATACAGGCTACGAATTCGTCCTCTTCGCCGCCCTCGCCCTAATCCCCACCTTCGCCCTCTCCCGCGGCTTCTCACGCTCCACAGCCTTCAACACCATCGCGATCCTCAACGCCGGCTCCGCATTCGGGCGTATCTTCGCGGGCATCTTCTCAGACCACTATGGACGGTTTAACACCATGATTCTCACCCTCCTCTTATCTCTATTCTCGATATTCGCGCTCTGGTTGCCATTGGGTAAGTATCTCATAGGATTTTATGTGTTTGCGCCGGTCTTTGGGTTTAGTAGTGGTGGCATTATCAGTATGGCGCCGGTGTGTGTCGGGCAGCTTTGTAGGGCGGATGAGTATGGGGCGTGGTATGGGACTAGTTATAGTGTTGTTGCTTTTGCGTGAGTTTGGATTCCTCCTCGTACTACGTTCGATCCCATCGTCTTCGTTTGCACTACGTTCCATCCTGCTGTTTTTGATAGAATGCGGCTAAATTGAAATAGGGTGCTCATTTGTATACCGATAGGTGGCGAGTTACTGCCTTCGATCGGTGGGACGGGCTTTATTTGTTTCTTTGGCGGGATATTGGTGTTGAGTTTGGTGAGCTTTTTGTTGGCTAGGTGGGCTTGTTTGGAGTATCGGTGGAAATGGAATGTTAAGATTTGATGTTTTGGGGAAATAGCGATAGAGGGGAAGGTTGATGATTGGGAGAGATTTTGTTCTGGGTTCGGTGGGCGTCCGGCGAGTGTCAAAATGTTTATGTTGGGGCGTGTTTGGTAATTACGCACTTATATTTTATATATTACGGATATCTTTTGTCGACTTTGCCCTAACTGTCTGGACATAAGATAAAAGCATAAAAAGGGGTAGTCTGGAAACCCCCCAGATTTCTCGCTTAATTCATAACAAAACATACGTCACTCAAGACTCATATATTTATTTGTATGCCTCGTTGCCACTAATATTATGTTTTGAAAACAAACAAACACGCAAAAATGAAATACATGTTCACCACTCATCCAGTTTCCAAAGGTCCAAGGACTTCAACTTCGATTTCTCCCCTTCCAAATCCCACCTCCACTGGTTTCAACAACATGTCCTCCCCACCATCCTCACCTTCATCATTTCGTTCCACAACATCCTCCATCCAGGTCAACCCACCTTCGCCAAAACACTCACCGGTATCGAAATTCAAGAATTTTACAAGACCACAAACCGCGACGCCTGTCACGAAACCAAACCCACCATCACCACTGGCCAAAACAACCTCACCACCTCGGACTAAACAAGCACCACCATCGCTTCTGGAACCAATCTCCCCACAATCACCGATATCCAAATCCAAAAGACCTCTACCGCCGCCACCGAGTGCGAAACCGAACTCACTATCTCCAACCAAACCAAAATGGATATACACAGGCAGATTCGTAGATCGATACGTCCCACCCCCATCCTTCCCACCACCGGTCCTTCCACCCGAAATAGCTCGATATCGCGCGACACAACAACACAAACCCTCTCCTCCCCGTCAACCGTCATTTGGGAGGCGGAATCAGATATTACCACCGCAGCCGGTGTTGTTGAGACGTAGACCGTCTTCTCGGGCTCAAGTTGCTCCACCGAAGTTTCCGCCTGCGGTAGTTCAAAAAATAGAGGCAGGGGAGAAGGTGAAACGAAACACGGGATTGAGGCCTTCGGGTCCGTCGTTGGGTACGGAGGGATTGGTGGTTGGGTTGAGAAGATCGGCGCCGGGGCCGCCGCAGCCGAATTTTGGGTTTTTGCCGTTGGGTGGGGATGAAAAGGAGAATAAAGGGGATGAAGATGGCGAGAAGGGGGATGATTAGGAGCAAGATGGTAATAACGACAGTGAGATGATGAAAGTTTGAGAAATGGGGCAAGTTGGTAATTGAGAGGTATAAGGTGGACGAGGGTTGGGAAGGTGTTTTGGATATACAGGATTGATTTCATGATCTGGGAGTTAGTTTAGGGATATTTGGTGGAGAACAGGGTGTTAGGTTATGTTTAGGATCGATTAGGGTGTTAGTAGATTTTGATTTTTAGTAATATATTCAACTTTGACCGATGAAGGTGGAGTTGTTAATGCTAGTGACATAATTATTTTACGGAATTAGCTCAGCGAACTGATGGACATCTATCATTGCTTACCTCATCTGTATTGATAAATTTAGGCTTTGAGGTTCTACAACAGCTCAGCAATAGACTTACAAGATCATAGATCTTGATAAGATGTCACAAATCTTTTATAATAAGGTAAAGTTGGTTGGTTTTTTTTGTTAATCGCAAAAATAGTTTATAGTTTTATAACTTGCGTTGGCATTTGTAGGGAATTGGCGGATTTTGCTATTGATGTTTACACATATTTAATGCCTTTCTTGCGGGACTGTGTTGACTTTTCCGGTTTTCATTTCTTTTCAACAAAAGGCCACAAAACCATTTCCTCATCTTCGGTACATTCCAGCGTTCACGAGAGCCTATCCCACTCATTGTACATCTCTAAGACCTTGTCAAACTTGATCTTCGCCTTCTGCACGTCCGAAGCTTCCTGCATAGACAAACACTTCTCAGCGCATACGAGTTTGCCCACTTTCTTCGCCAGTCTATCCTCGGCGGCAGTAATGTCTGCAAGGGCTGAAGCAAGTTCAGATCGCAGGGACTCAACCCGTTCCAGTTTTCCAGAACCGGAGAGAGAGGACCATTCGCAGTCGTAAAGCGTCCATCCAGCTCTGAAAGCATCTGCTGTGTCTGATTCTCGTAAACCAATGACCGACTCATCCTCTCCCATTACATATTTTATTCCCTCAGATGTTGTACGGAAATACTGGTACTCCTCCTCCATTAATTCTTCATAAGTAAGGACCCAGACTTCCTGCGGCACAGGAGGGGTGCCAGGCTGCACTTCCGAATTTGGCTCGCCCTTTTCCGTCATCTCTATGTCTTGGGATTCAGCTTTTGCATCCCGAGTGAAAATTTTCTGGATAAAATCCCAGAATCGAGGCTTCTCAGATCTAACTCTCTCGTGAAATAATCTTAGTTCCTCCTCCACATCTTCTCTATACCTGCGACCATGTATAGCCACGGAGACCCACTTCCAATGCTGCCAGTATACACCCTTGTTTGACTGGCCGGCTGAGAAAAAGCGAAGGTTTGATCTTCTTTGCTCTGAAACAGAGCATGGGTAAGATTTAGTGCCAGATTCTTCCGATAATTCAGTAACTGCATGGCTATCAGCAAATGGATTCACTATTTCAGAGTCAAAAACCCTAATTCTGGGAAGGTTTTGTAGCTTATAGGGCTCGGAGAAATTATTGGCGTCTTGACTAAAGAGCTGCTTATGCCAGATGGTAAGCACCTGCCATCTCGCGATAGTACTTCTGTTCTTCATGTACCTAACCATCGCTTTCGAAGACGCTTTTCTTGGATGCCTATTACGTGCTTTACCTGTTCTCAAACCACTCGGTTTGGTAGGAGAACCATCGTCGGCAATCATGATGTCGATTCCAGCTGCGATTTGTCTTCAAATTTAATGTTACAAAGTTTTAGTTGTGAAGTATACTTTCTTACAAGGGATTATGGGGAGAAGTACAATGACTCTCGCTCTCCTAACATATGCTTAGTAGTCTGACGGGAGGAATTATCAGACTAATATATAGTTCCCAACTTTCTATTCAATGTTTAAGAGAGTGAAACTAGGTCAAGTGTCGAGTCTGTATTTTTTGTTCGGGAGCACAGACAGTGAGCATTTAGATCGTAGTTAGTCTGAGAACAAAGGCATTGTCACTTGCCGTTCTTTGTTTTAATTTTGTGAAATTATGGTCTTTGTTATTATGAACTTGAGATCCTCCCACTCCACACGCACATGAAAATTAATCCAATAAACATGATAACGTAGGTGAATATCTGATTTAAATACTAAACTGTATGAGATACAAGGCGCTCCTCTCATTATTCCTATTTATTAATGCTATTTCTGAAATATCAATTACATTAATAAATCTATTGATATCTTGAATCCTGCAAGATCAAGTAAATATGTGATAGAAAGAGAATGTATTTTTTAAAGAAAATAGTGATCATCGCAATACAGTATTCAGACATAACAGTGTCGGATTTCGTATCAGCCGAAAGAATTTTGTCATTCTTTGCCTCTACTACCTAAATACAAGAGATATACGCACAACAGCACAGACCAGACTTATAGCAAAAACAACAACTCATGACTGTCAACAGTGATATACTATAAAGTTGCGAGTACCTAGGTTTATATGAGTACAGAAAAGCACAAAAAATATTAATCAAATGCGCCATCAAGTATGGAAGAAATTTACCCTTTTTAGGAATGGGAGAAATACCAATGTCTATAATCTTCACCCCTAGAGATGAGCTTTGAACATCTACCCTCCATCTACTCATCGAGTCTTGCTCTCTTGGGCGCTTTGACTTATTGAGATTCGCGAAAGACATTGTGGGTGAGGACCAAAATAATACTGTGTTACTCAAATTGGGCGTTTTATGCCCGTATTAGATATACATCATTAATGATGTTGAATGTGATTATACTTCTATCGCATGGGTTTTCTTTGGGCTCGATTAGTAGGTAGAGGGGAGGGATAACAAGACTCTACTTGCTCCTTGCTGAACCTATGCAATTATGCCTCTACAGTTCTGCACGACTCCCCGTTGCATTATTCGCACTTTTGTGTTGGAGTATTGGAGGGTGAGTATTTGGATTATGAAAACTAAACAATTTATTAGTCCTGCCAGTCTCCGGAGTGTGGCCATCTGCTCAGATGCTGAAATGTTTTGTTGACAATCTTTTTACATGAAGATGTCTTTAAGACTTTCATTTGTTACTATCAACCACAAAACCCTTGTCCTCGTTGTATTCTGCAGCCAAGAACGGCAGCATAGGTGTAGAGTCCGCTGTGCTATCAATTACCCGAACGTCTACCTAAAGAACCAGTAATTTAACTCTTCATGCTTTGGATCCTCAAGCATGGACAGAGTTTTATTCCACTCGTAATACGTTGCTATTGCTCTTTCATAGCTCAATCTCTTTTTCTGGAGATCAGAAGCTTCTGACACGCTCAAACTATAAGCCACCTTTGTATCTGCGCCAAACTTCGCCTCTATTGTGTTCTCGATCTTACACATATTTTCGTAAATCACGGATATTCGATTTCGTAGCAATGCAGAACGTCTTAGTACTCCGGTCACACCAGTAAAATTGCCAGAGTGCGTGTAAGCGCACCAGCCAACCGCAAATGCTTTTCTTGTGTCCAATTCACCTAGACCAATGATAGATTCGGATTCCATCGCTACGAATCTTTTTCCAATTTCTGTATTACGGAAAGCCAGATAATAATGATTGAGTCGTTCCGATTCTGGCACATTCTGACCGAATGCCATACCTTGGTATCCCGCAGTGGTTGACAAAGAAGGACGAAGAGGAAAGGTTGCAACCTCAGCCTCACGGTTTCTGTTCCTCTCCCAACCTAAAATTGAATTAACTGAAGCGTTAAAAATTTTGCTTGAAGGAGCCTTCGATGTATCTCTGCATTTTGGCTCCTTCAACGATGCCCTCAAACCTGACACGATGTTTTGCAACTTGTCCGCGCGCTTGGCTTCCCAACCATGGCTAACAACATCGTACCATTTCGCTTGCTGCCAGTCAAGACCACGATTTGATAGACCTGGGTAGAAGAATGTAAGATTCGTCGTTCTTTCCTCCGAGATACTGCAAGCGTATATCTTGGTACCGACCTCGTCTAACGAGATCGAATGAGCAGGGAATGGGTTTGATGATTGCGTTCCCAAGACTCTGATGTCGGAGTAGTCAATTAGCTGGTACAGATCGGAGAACGGATCTTCTGTCTGGCTAAAGAGGTGCTTCTGGCGAATAGCAAAAACCTGGCATCTGGTCATTTTTCGTGTCGACTTCCAATCGAATTTGACTAACGCATTCCGAGTTGGTAGATTTGAGCGAGCTTGTGGGCTCGCAACTTTTGAAAAGAAGATTTTCTTTTGTCGAGGTGTCCTTTTTTCTGAGAACCTTTGATTTTGTGGAGGTGGAGGCTTTTCCGAGAGGGTTTGAGGTGGTGGACTTGTTCCGCGACGTCTCCTCAATCCGGAAGACATAAATGGATGTGGGAAAGGCATGAACTTTATACTAGGATTTGAATGAAAAGGAAAGTATTGGGTTTGGAGGTAAATCGTTTGTAGATGATAGAGTAGGATAGCTAGAGAATGCCAATTTTAATACTTTAGTCAAGGTGGACGGTGTATTTGATGGCTGTGTTGACGGAAACAAGGATGAGTGTGAATTGTAGGATTGTTCAGATGCATCTATAGTGGATCAGTGAAGAGTGACTGAACCCTTGACAATTCATGGCCACTGGTCGTTCTCTGCTTTGAACTTTAAACAGGTCACTACTCTTCCCCGCATTATAGGTCAAAACTGGACTCATGTATACCGACATCAGTATTGATTTACTATTATGCGAAGAATTGACTTTTATCTAAAAGTGATTTCACCCGAAGCCGAATGAATTTTTCAACTTTTACATTCATATAAGCCTGAAAAAACTGTAGTTGCAAAATTCATTATTTCAAGTGTGATTCATCTCACGAAAGAATATATCCTCTAAGAGTGAAATATATGTTATGGAGGAAATATCTGAAAAATGATAGCAACTATATTTATGACTCGATTCTCTCTGTGGGTTCTGTGGTGTTAAATCTGAGACTAGTAAGATTCAACATATTATTACTGTTACTAATCTTGTTACATGTTACCTATCCATATATTGGACTTCGGCAATGTTACCGAAAATCCAAGTCTAGGAAAATGAAAACGTTGAAGTTTTGCTCTTCCCAACAAACAGTGACATCTTCCTCAATTTTGACGTTTCAGCGCCTAGTTAAGATATTGACCTACGCACCAAATAGAGTTAATACTGAGCGTTCGCCGCCCTGAATTTATATCACCTCGCTTAATTCAGTAGGCTGGTAACGCCCGATCATGATTATTGAGAAACTGAAGATGAGCCAGTGAGCCCACCGTTTCGGTTCAAAAATGACACCAAGATGAGCTGCGTATATAGACGAGCAAAACGGGCGCTGTAACTCAGTCTACCCAAAAGGGATTGAATAAGAAAATACATGTTTCGGAGCCGGGCCGGTCTTTCCGTCTAAGATCGGACCAGGGAGTCCGACCTGAACCGAGATCGGGAGTGTCTCGGGATGCAACAAATAGAAACCGAAAAGGGGTTACCGCCTAGAATTATGCCTTTTTCCCACCTCATCTGTCTCGTCGACACCTCTAAAAGAATTCTTGTTTTTGATAAAACAGCGAAAAATGACCATCAACGGCGCAGAATCAGTAACAGACGCCCATTTGGCCGCTCAAAACATATGCAACATCTCGGCTTCTTCCAGCTGTCAACCCCTAAATTCCAATACGACTCGAAATTTGAACCGGAAAGCATGTTTCGCCTCTCCTCCTTTCATCCCCATTTTCGCTGGTCTACCGTATACAGGACTACTACACCTCAGTATGTTCGACCAGTAATCATGGTGACAGAGAGAAGCATACACATGTAGAGTACAAGCCACTCCCTGGCAATGCCTCTGCTCAGCGCCGTGAGAAATGAGGGCATTGGTATGTACGGTACAGACACCCTGAGAATTCTGCTCTAGTCTTAAAACTCTATAGTGGAGAATGTTTCAAGGAGAACCTCTTTAAGTATACAAGGCATCGCTGGGTGTTCGTTCATTTTTCATTCCCGACATAGAGAAACCCTAACAGAACCCAGATACAACGAATCACGCCGCCTATCGGAGAGGTATCTTGAATTCGACCTTGGACAACTTCTAAAAGCCGCAGTAGCAGCAGGGTCCTCCTCGGGGGCCCGTTCTTGTATGTTCTTTAACCATCTGCTTCTCGTTAACCTTATGACTAATTCGAATTAAAGGCACTAGTCTACTGAAGGGTAAAGAGGGGTTAAACAACAAAGCCTATCTACTCACAATGGACAACGGTGCAGAAGTCTTCGCAAAACTCCCAAATCCGTGTGCGGGGCCATCTTTTTATACAACCGCATCAGAAGTTGCTACTCGCGAATTTGTGAGTGCATGGTTTGAGTTTGAAAAACACGAATTGACGTTGACGATGTTAGCTGCGCGAAGTATTGAATATTCCTACTCCTCGCATAATTGCCTGGTCAGGCGATCGGAGCAATCCAGTTAGAGCAGAATACATTCTCGAGGAGAAGGCTCCAGGCAAGCCGCTCGGGAGACTAGTATGCGTCTTTTTCCTGTGTTCTCCTTTCTAAGCTCCTACTCCAATTGGCTGCGAAAAAGTTTCATCCTTAGGCGCTCCTCTTTGCTCTTGAAACATACAAATATTCATATGCTAACTTGTTGGAGTGGCAAGACTGGGATGAATGGCCAATGGAAAAAAGATTCACCATCATAGAGCAAATTGTGGAAATTGAGCGGAAGCTTTCATCTCTGAGGTTCGTGAGGTCCGGATGTATTTATTTCAGGGAAGATATTCCAAATAGTGGCGCCCTTGTGACGAACCCGCCACTTTCCTCGCCAATACTCGAACGTTTCACTTTGGGACCACTCGTCAAGACGGGATTATGGAGCGGCGAAAAGATCAGTATCTTCGACTGACTCCGGTTATGGTGCCTCCACAATCTTCTCATGATACGCACTCGCCAACACTTTGGCATACTCCATCTCGATAATGTATTCGTCGATCCCCAATCAAAGCAAATTACCCGCGTAATCAACTGGCAATCAGCTGCAAGCCTCCCGTTCTTTTACCAATGTCGTGTCCCAACAATGTTTAAGCATAAAGGAGTGGTTTCTGATGACATGACCCTCCTACCCAAACGTCCAGATAATTACCACAGCCTAGAACAAAATGAGAAGGAAATGATTGACAATACCATCAAGAGCGAGATAATCCATAGATATTATCTTGCAGTAACTCATAACAGAAACCCAAGACATTGGGTCGCCCTACAGCTGTATGATGAGGCACGAACACAGCCAACACGTATTGTCCAGGGCGTATGGGAAGATGGCGATATATTTTTCCTTCGGCGTTCGCTGATCACAATTGTGAATAGGTGGGAAGATCTTTGCTCGGGCTCTGGACCATGTCCTGTAAGCTTCAGCGAGCAAGAAATGGCTCAATATGCTCACGAGGAAGAGAATAGGGGCTACATTAGCGAGATACTAACGCTTTTTCGAAACAACTGGGGATTGCCTCCGGATGGATCTGTAGAGGCAGCTAGATTTGACGAAATACAGACTGAACTAACTAAGATGAGAGATGCTTTCGTCGGGAGTACTGAAAACGAGGAGGACGAGCTACTCGCTGAGAAGTTATGGCCGTACCAGGATACTACGGAAAATTAGAGTCGTAATGTGGGAAAACAAGCGAAAGATGAATTATTAGATGCTAAATGCTCCAAGGCCCGCGCTTTGAAGAACTTCTTGCAATGCTTTATAAGATTTGTTTGTGAAGCAAGTTCTGCTTCAGCGACTGCAGTCTAGGGCCCGAAAGATGCCCTCCTATCATTGCCCAGGTCTTGTCGTCGTGAACTATTTTAGCTAAGTGACTCTCTTGTCCCCGCCACTTCGAAGATTGTGGGCTCTCGGTTGTGTTTCGTTAACTACAGAAAGTACTGAGGAGAACTCCCATAAACAGGAGGGGTGACCCCCTGGTACGTGATGACTAATCTGGGGGGGTGAGGGGGGGTGTCGATCGTTTCAGCTGTCGCCAACACTCGACTACAGCCGCCACTTCTACTCGCGTTATCCAAAGTTCTCTTCGTTCTGCTCTGAGATGCCAATACCAGGCGACAGTCTTGAATTTTGTCGAGGCCTTCCTCGTTAAGCCTCGCACGACTCAGAACATACGCATTTCTTTTAAGGGCACTGTACCTGATAACTACTATATGTGGTCCCGGATAAGGTATTTCGAGGTTGCAGCTTCCTCGTTTCAATCGGACCCATATACGAACAAATTTGGTCAATGTGAGGGAAGGTTACGATTGGCTTGAGGCAAAGCCAACTTTCCTATTATGGTCCCGCATTGCGACGCTGTGGTCACACAACAGCAGCTGATTGCGATCACGCCTTGTGAGTTCTACGAGAAGTTCAGACATACGCCCATCTCAAATTCAAGAGCGCCACGTCTGCAGTAGGTTGTATGGAATATGCAACAGGTAAGGCTCATGCCGCTCTCCATCAGGTGCTGAGGCTATATTTAAAACCTGGACTTCTTTTGAAGATGGTTCTTGTTTAGTTTGTCTTACACAGTTGCTGAATCGGATTGTGATTAGAACCCTGTTCAGGGCCTTGAGCCTTCTACCTTGACAAGTTAGAGTCATCGAATTACGCTTTCATTGAAACAAAGTATTGATCCACTATCTCGGTCGTTATGTATTCGTTACTCTCCAAGTGTCTGCTCCTCCTTCTCCTTTGCGGCTTCGATCTCGTCGCATGCCAGCAGAACGAGAACAACACAGGCACGTCTTTTACGGCGAATGAGGCAAGAGTGTCATGGGTGGCCGGTCCGACCCGACGCGGCACTCTAACTCTTCTGTGGGGTTGCCTAAGTACCATCTTCGCAAGCACTTGGACCGTCCTACATCTCAACGTCCCTGGTCCGAGGGAGAAATGGTGGGAGGGGCCAGTGCGTAAGGTCAAATGGATGGCTATCACCGTTTTGTTCCCTGAGCATCTTTTCGAAAGCCTTTTGCGAACTTCGACAGGCGGTGGCAAATTTGCGGGACATGCATGTCGCAATGAAGATGCGAAAGACTCGGCTTCAGTGGACGGCCACCGTGCCCATATACATAGAACCCCAGGGCGGCCAGGCTCATATGACCATGTCCTGGGAAGTCGATTTCAATCGTCGAACGAGAATTCTGTACAGGCTCTTAGCACTGCCTGCTTTACCTCCTGCCGATGAAAAAGAAGACGAGGAAAAACAGAATTCTACACATTTACCACCTGCGGTTGGCGGCGACAACAATACAAATTATGCTAGGCTAAGCAATGCGCGTGTCGATGATGACGGAACTCTGAACGTTAGCTCTGGGGTCCATAGTTCATCCATCTCTAGATGTAATAAAGAGAGCTTATCGTCAAATAAAGTTCCTGCCAAAGAGCTGGCAGAAGATTTCACTCACGCGAACCTTGAAGACGCTGGGCACATTAGTGACGAGAGAGGCAAGAACGCCGACAATATAGCAGACGCTGTGGCCGCAGAACACGAGCCTGCAAGCTTCACTTGGGCTTCTCATTGGGAACAAACACTGTGCCCACAGAAACAGTATTGGACACTCAGACATTCTATTTATGCTAACATGGGAGGCCTCGTATATCGTCTTACCGCCAGCAATCTGGATGAACTCAGGTCACTCACCTCGCGTACTCTAGCTGACATCATAAGAAATAATTACTCAGCGATCGATTTGCTTCAGTACTTGGTACTAGCTGAGGAAGATATTAAAGACAAAAGCAAAGCAGATTGGCTCCTAAAGACAATTGCGGTATTACAAATTTGTTGGCTCATCTTAAACGCCTGTGCGAGAGCTGCTGCCGGCCTTCCTGTTACTCAGCTTGAGGTCGCTACGGGAGCATTTGCCGTCATGGCAGTTGCGACATTTTTAATCAACTGGTGGAAGCCGAAAGATGTGTCGAGGCCCACAATCGTTTGGCTGGTACCAGCCACAATTTTTACTGATAGCAACTACCGCTGCCATAGTTTTACACGCCGTATCTTATCCCCTTCACATGTTGCATTTGTCACACCGCTGGCCCCAACACTGATTTCGAACGACACCATCTTGATGGATGGGAAGCCACCGTTGATCTTGGTCCTGATTGCGATATCCTCCCTGGTTTTTGGCGGCCTCCACGGTCTGGCCTGGAACAGCGAATTCCCCTCGAGGACTGAAGTTGTACTATGGAGGACCTCCTTCGTAGTGGTAGCCGCTCTTCCGGGCATTATTCTCGCCATCACGTTTATCATTGAGCACCTAGCGACGAACTTGCCCGCTAAAAGATTCTCAGCCGGTCTTGTGAAGCTCTTTGTTCATCTTGACCAAGTCCCGCCCGAATATTGGTCTCAGCTCAAGGAACCATTTCCCTTTTTATCTTGGCCGCTCGAGTCACAAATCGTCTTTTTCGAAAGGCTAGGGCACGCGGACTCCGATACAGTTCTCAACTGGGAAAAAATGCCGACTCCGCCAAACAACATTTCACCCGAGGCGACCCTTAGGAACACATGCATATCAAGTATATCGGAGCTTACAAAACAATATAACCCGCTTTGTCGACCACTGGGTTGCAAGCAGGTTTGATTACGAAAAGGTTTTAGCATATGAAAATGTCTCATTAACTTTTAACAAAATCAACAAGGATTGTGAGATGCTTAATCGATACTGGCGCCATTATGAAATTCATATTAAATCTAAGCCCCCGGGTGTGAAGTCTCAGATCGGCGAGTTTGGTGTACGCGAGTTTTTAATTAGTAAAAGGGCAGACTTCGAGTCTATCCAAAGAGAGAAGAAGGATTTGAACAAAACTTTTAATCTGCTCTCCCTATATATCGCCGTCGGTGGTAGCGTAATTTACGCTACTGCGCGTGTGGCTACACTGATTCTCATCTTCTCGTCACTTCGCTCCGTTGATCATAGGGTCTATGACGATGGAGTGTGGACTCGGTTCTTACCAAGCTTCTCTTGACCTAGCCAAAGGTGCTAACAGTGGAAGAGTTTTATGGGTGGCAGATGTAAGAACGGATTACTGTAGCAGGAGTTGATGACGATTTTGTATGGAGAAGATACCGGTTACATAGGTCTATAAATCTCAATTACATTCGTCAAAAAACACTACCCTCCACAATGAATGCTCCCCTAGATCACCTCGCTTAATTCGGAAGGCTGGTGAAGTTCAACTTCACGTGCTTGATCGCAGCCAGGGAGCTGCAAAGAGCTTTAATGTGTTTTAAGACATGTGCTTTCGCACCGAATTCACTTATTTTGACGTCAAAAGCACGATATGTTGCAGTTCAATCTTGTGATGAATGTTGGATTTAGCCTGAGTGGACTCATGTGACTAGACAAATTCCCGACCACCCCAGTCCAAGGTGACTTTTACCCAGGAACCTATTTCCAACGCCTTTTTCCCAATTCTCCCTAATTATTCGCACTCAACGTCCCGTTGGTGGCGCGATGCAAACGCACGTGCTGGTACCACTGGAGGTGTTTATGATCTCTTGATATTCCACCTTTTTGGGCATCCAGATGAGGTTTGGGGGGGATTCGGGGAGTAGGGAGTGATGCTTGTTGGTCTTAATTTAATCATTTCATTTGGAGTTGAAGTTTACGGATAACCAACGCGATGTATATGAGTTTTTTTCTTTTTCTGTCGCGTACTTCGGTCTGTTGACCAAATGATCAATACCGCCAAGAAATCTCCTGCTCAACGTTCTTCCGCAATACCACTTTTACCCGCACTCACTTCTCAATAAAAGCACTTCCCATCCCTCCATTTTCCCAAACACAGAACTCACTATCCCTACTAGTGTCATTAATCCACCAAAATGCTATACTCACTATATATCGCCACGTGCGTCTTCCTCATCGGCTTCAGTACCGCAAAACAACTTCCACTTTCAAAACCAGGCCAAGCAGTCAAACCCGTCAAAAACACACCATGGATCCACGTGTTTTACACACCAGTTTTACAACCTAAAGGCTCATCCTCCTGTCTCGACGCCTCTGGCAAAATTATCCTGACAAAGACATTCGCTTCACCATGTTCGTCGTTCTCCTCAGCGGATTCGCCGGATGGCAAAGCAAGTCATATTTGGAATGAGAAATTAGAACCATGTGGCTTTGAGGATAAAGTGTTCAAGTGTGGTAAAGGAGTGGAGAATGCGAATTTCACTGTAAGTCCTTCTGAACATCTCATAGGGCTGGAGTACTGACGCAATGTGTAGTACGAAGGAGATTACTATGTCCCAATTCTGCTTGTCGATCGTAGTAAAGGACCTTATGATCAAAATCTTAGGTCGAAGCAGAATTTCACTACCATTGCAAATTGGAGGCCTGATCCGATTGTTCTTGGGGATGAAGGAGATTATGTCGCTTTGTGGTGGGGAAATTATTAGAAGGATGATGTTGCGTCAACACTGTCTGTTGATTTGTCACTATTGAGGAATTTTGTAAGGGTGCTGGATTGATTTTGTAATTGTTGTCTTATCTTGATGGATCGATTCTCCGGTACAGCACTGGAAACGGGAGTAATCGCTTTGAACCATATACGTTGTTTCTCATATTCACAAATTCACGTGTATTTCGATAATTCTCGTTTATGAGATTTGCTCAGCTGTGATCTAAGAACTGGGATTTTCCCGTCTACCCATAATTTGGAATTTCACAACGCGAGACGGGAACTAGGAATAGCAGCTACCATCGGCTAAGTCAGCCTGAATAGGTTAGCAAAGTTCAGAGCTTATTGAGTGGAGCTGTCTTGGGCGATCTGGCTTGAAATTATCTGTGGAGTATTTCCTATTGATATAAATGCATGGTTGCCAAAAGCAGAGTTGGCCGATCACACAATGGAACATTTGTCCAATTTGCTAACTAAATAAATTCTATCAGAAATATTTCATTCTCGTAGAGACAATTTTTAAAGCGGATGATTATTCGTCAACATATAATCAAGCCATAATCTGAGGAAAAATTCATCATTGTGCTGACAAATATCTCGTCTGCCGGCTATTCTCAAATCAAGGTTGAGTGGGGCAGGTCACGATTAAGAATTTACTCTGGCACATCTTGCAATTATCCGTCAATTGAGCAATTGGATTCAATGAAATGACGGAGTGAGCCCCTTCCCCTCGGTAAAATCAATAGGTTGTGTGCGGGGTGCATATCTCTCATGTACCCCGGATTCCACTTACAAGGATGCAGAATGATCGGAAGGGTAGTACGTAACTTCCTGTTTGATAGATGGTGTAACATAATGTATGAGTCGCTGGATAAGTTTGAATTACGGCTACTATGCATGCTTGAACGGTAAATAAGAGATCAATGGTATGGCGAAGGACAATCACGTACTCTGATTGCATATATACTCTCCACTCAACTTGATAAATATTCCATAATGTAACCTTTACAAGATTGTTACTGTTTTCAACAGCCATGTATCACTCTCTGTTCCTACTTGAACTAATAATTCAACAAGTCAGTGGTCAATCATTTGCAACCTTACAGCCTGAAGTTCATCCATTGATGAGATGGGAATCATGCTCCTCCGCAGGCTGCTCTAAACAAAATGGGTCACTGGTTCTTGACGCAGAATGGCGATGGATACACGAGAAAAACTCATATACGACATGCTTCGAAGACGGTCATTGGCTTGAAAAGGGGTATCCCAACAAGACACTTTGCCCCGACGATGCAACATGCACCGAGAACTGTGTGCTTGAAGGCACGGAGTATCAAAGCATGGGAATATGGCCTAAGAATGATGCTGTCACGTATGATTTTCAGGAAAGAAGATTGTTACCTGAACGATACTGACGGCTGACAGGTTGAAATACTACAATTACTTAGATTATTCGATGTCCAAGGGCGCCCGGCTATTTATGTTAAGACCGGATGGAAAGCAGTACAACCTGTTCAAGCTTCTGAACAAGGAGATCAGTTTTGAGGTTGATGTTTCGAAACTACCATGTGGGATCAGTGCAGATGTGAAATTTGTGGCTATGGATTCGAATGGTGGGTTCAACAAATTTCAGGGGAACACAGCGGGTGCTGCTTATGGAACTGGATATTGCGACGCTAGCTGTCCCAGAGATTTGCGGTTTATCAATGGGCAGGTAAATAACTTTGGTTGTTCCTTCAAGTTTCGCTAAGCGACGTTTGACATGATTCTTCTGAATCTTTGACTAACTTGCGAGTCTAGGCAAATGTCAAAAACTGGACAGAAACGCCCGATTCTCCCGAGTCAACAGTCGCACAATATGGTTTCGGTCTCCGCGGATCCTGCTGCGCACAACTCGACGTCTTCAACGGCAATTCGATCTCAAGCTCATTCGGTCTTCATCCATGCAACTTCATGACCCCAAATCAACATCAGTGCATTGGGGACGGATGCAATCCAGATGTAAGTTGCGATGCTGAAGGCTGCGCTTTCAACACTTATCGCATGGGGAATACCGATTTCTACGGCCCTGGCGGGAAAGGCGTCGACACTACTAAACCTTTCACTGTGGTCACTCAATTCCCAAGTACCTCAGACACAGACTCCGGAGTCGCGTTTCTCAAAGAGATGAAGCGGTTTTACATACAAAACGGCACTCGATTCCCGAATGGACGTTCTAAAATCGATGAGGTTCCTGGAAATTCCATCACCGGCCCCCTTTGCACCAAACAGAAAGAAGTTTTCAGTGATGTGAATGATTTCGATAAGTTTGAGGGGATGTCAATGATAGGGGAATATCTTGCGCAAGGAATGGTTATGGCGATTGGGATTTGGGATGATAGAAAGACGGGGATGGCGTGGCTTGATGGGAAGTTAGGCGAGGGAAAGGGGGCTCTGAGGGGGACGTGTCCGGATCCAGCGGCGAATATTCACGACTTGTTGAATAGTTTGGAGGGAAGGAGAGCAAGTGTATCTTTTGGAAAGATTAGAGTTGGGGAGATTGGAACTACTGTTTGAAATGTTGATGGATAACTGCTTGGTGAAGAGTTTACCCGAATTTGTCCTCAATGACTAAGGCTAAAAGTTAGTTAATTTCAGGTTTATCTGAAAGATCTAATCTTGATTCACTCAAACAAAGTTTGAAGCTCATATGTATGATTTGACTTGTTTTAAGTTCTACACCATGGGAAAATTTGACAAGTTTGTGTCACCGGGGATTTATTGTTTTTAAGCATATTAATTTTCTCTATTACAAGATAATCACTCATCTTAATAAAATCATAACTTGTGTTTTTGAGCTGCTAGCAAGTTTGATAATTCTAAAGCTTGTTGTCAGTTTCTAAGCGCCAGTAAGCGCCGATTATTCAAAGGATAAGCGGAATTGTTTGTAATGTGAATAAATATTGTTTACTCAACTTCAAACTTTATCCAACTCTATAGAATTTTGTGTCATAACAGATACTCGTCTTACTGAAACCTGACTGTGTGATTGTCAGTCATATTTGACTCAAACTATGGATATAATGTTCAGGCAATTTAAGAAAGCAATACACAAACCTTGACTTCCGAGAGTCAAACTCTTTCTATTCATATCTATATAACTTGCTTCATCTTACACAACGATCATGAAACCCAATCCAAAGTCCAAATCCAAAGGCAAAGGCTTCATTTCATTGCAACGCCATCCAGCTTCATCTGTAAATACCATCTAAATTTCGATTAGCTCACATAAGCTGAAAATGCCACTAACAAAAAAAGAGAGACACAAGAGAAACTTTAGACCTCAGGCCGTTGCACCAAGTCTTCCACGGCGCCCACTCACCTATAGACATTCATTTGACTGTGAGTGTAGTTCTTGCGAGAGGACAAATAACCTGTGTCATGAAAGGAAGCAAAACATGTTAAGTAGGCAGGAGGACGATGAACAAAAGAGACAGCAACAAGAGCTTGAAGAGGGCGGTAAGGAATTATTGCAGCAGCTCGCTGAATTTGACAGATGGCGGCAAGCCTGTAAAGAAGAAGAAGAAAATGAACGTAACAGAGAAAGTCAGAAGGTAGTGAAAGAATCAAAGCGATCTATGAGGTTGGGTGAAAAGGTGAAAGGTGTTGGTGTTGGGCCAGATATTGGAGGTCGAAAGTCTTCTACAAAGAAATCAAGTGGGAAACGCGTTGGATTTGAGCCATACTTGGAAGGGGAGAGCCCAAATATGAAGACAAAAACAGACAGAAAAGCTGATGTTGGGTCAAGCAAGTCATCTGAAAAGTCAGCATTGAAGAGGAAGAGAGAATAGATGGGAGTTTTCGACCGGGTCGAGAAGCCAAAAGTCAACATGATTACAAAGAAAAAGAATAAGTGAGACTGTTGGAAGAAGCGTGGAGGTAAGACAATCAAAGGGTTTGGTGTTCTTCTAGACTTAATCAGTATTGAAGTAGAAATACGAAGTTTGCAGACAACGAGTCACAATCACTTGATTTTGTTTGTTAAGATACTTTTTAGAGTGAGTGCTTTTGATTGTTTACTATGTGGAATTCTTGATTGTATAAAACTTTTCAAAGTTAAAACAAACTCACTCACAGAAAGGTGTTATCAAGAGCCTACCACGATTGATAAAAGAAAAGAGTCGTATACCTCTTTTTCTTTCGTGTTAAGCCGCGGATGCAATTCCAATTTCTTCTCCAAGTCGTCTTAGTGACTTATTCTTCATTTTCCTCCATACAAACACTATTTGACTCATTGGTAATCTTCGTAACTCTTTGTTAAACTTGGGTAGGCCCTGGTGACTGAATGACTCTTTGTCGCATTTGACTTAGAACTTCCAAACTAACGATTAGGGTCAGATCATCAAGTCAGCAAACAACACTCAAGCTTCCCTTCATAAGGTCACGCTCTTTTTCTCGATATGTTCATATAATCTCCAACAGATATCACAACAATATGGCTCCATCACAGACCAAATATTTGCATCCTCTCAAACTTTACGCAAGCCCTTGCCAACTTCGCCTGAATTTCCAATTTCAAGATGCCTCCAGCAGAAAGGTCCAAACACAAGAAACACCATAATGATCCGTATCCTCTAGACAAGAGTACCATTCGCCTCTGTAAACGCGCACCGGGCTGTCGGTGTTACAATTGCCAAAAGAGAGCTGAAAACCACACCGCTGAAAATAAAGAAGAAGATGACTTAAGCATGCCGGACAAAAGTCAGAAAGGCGAAAGCTCGCAGGTTAAGCCCAGAGATACTGAAGAGCTGCAAGAAGCGACAAAAGAGGTAGGCGAGGTGGAGATTGGAGAGGGCGAGAAGGGCTCAGAAGGATCGAAGGGATCAATGCGATTTGCTGAGGGGAAAAGAGGGATTCTTAAACGCAGCGGGGAATCTGAGGGGTCACATACGATAGAAAAAGAAGAAAAGCGTGTTGGTTTTGAGTATGGCGTGGGTCGTGGGAGATCAGATGGTAGGAAAGGGCAAGGGAGATATGTTGGCGCGCCACGCCGAAATTGAATTTGATAAGATGTCTTCGAGTAGGCATTATGTTAAATTACAAATTGAAATTTTGTCGTGAAAAGAACAATTGTGAAATGTTGGTTTAGTGGACAAAGCTATGCTGAATGAATTTATTTTGCTTCTGAAGGAGATATGTTAGTGGATTGTTCAAAACTTACAAGTCTGAAAGTTGTTTCTGACACAATCAGCAATCTCAAGAGCTTACTTGCACAAGAAAACACAAGTAAAAATATTATTCTCATTTAACACTAACTTGCCCATACGATGGGAGACCTCCCTCTATTTCTCCAGCAATTGATTGTCCACCGTTCTATCACAAACCACAAATACGACATTACACGCCTTTTACCAAAATTCAGTATAACAATTATTTTGAGTGTTTATTTCACCAAACCAAGTGAACTTGAAAATAAATCCTAACAAATAGCAATATTTTGTATACTCAACATTTCTGAAAGTAGTTAAATATCTCCACTTGCTCTTTGCATATTCACAAGTCATCCTACAACTCTCTACTCCATAAACATCCTGTATCAACACTCTCCACAAGTCATGACACCCATACCCACGCCAGCACCATCACCCAAAACCGCACCAAATCCCCTGCTCATACGAACATCCAAGCCTGTACGCAATGCAGTTCCTACACTAGCATCCAGCCCTACCATGGATAGCTCCAACCCTCCTCCAGCCTGTCCAAACGGATACAGATGCTCTTGTACTAGAGTATGTGGGAGTTGTGGGGAAGGAGGTGGTTGAAGGATGAAAAAGAAAGTGGTTGGAGATGGAGATGGTGGAACAAAAGATAACGGGAGGGAAGGGAGTGAGAAGGTAGCGGATGAGAAGAAAGAAGTAGAGAGTGGGGATGATACTATTGTAGTTGATGTGAGTAAAAGAGAGGAAGTACTGCCAGATGGAGAGTTTTCGGAAGAGGGAGTAGACGGATGGGGAAAACGAGGGGGGCGTGCAGATAGGATATACAGGGAGGAGGTGCAAGGAAGAGCAGGAAGTGAGGATAAAGTGTAGTGAGGAGAAAATATCGACAAACGAAGGAAGATAGTAGGGTAGTAAAATGAATGGAGAGAGTTAAGATGAGCGTTAGAAAGGTTACAGGTGTGAAGCAGAGGAGGGTTAAATTTGTTCTTCATTGCTTTATCGACTGATTTGTGGAATTCGAGACAGTGCTAACCTCTTTTTTTTGACACAAACTACTAGTGACTAAATAAACTCAATGAAGAGGCATTTACTAACACAGGATCCGCCCCGAAGACTACTGCTAAGGTATGGTTCACTGAATCTGAGCTATTATATGTATAGTTACAAAACCAACTAAAATCATCTTTACGTCAGGTCTACTCATTGTAATTTTCTCATTTCTTTTCCAAAATTCATCTATACGATCCTTCCTAAAAAATAATGTATTCTGTGAAAACCTCAGACCTGTCGAAAGTGATGTAAAACGTTCCGTCGATATACATTGTTTATTGTCTATTGGATTAAAAATAATTTCGTATTATGACTCTTTCTGTTTTGCGTGGATTACTACTCAGTTTCATAAATAACGAGTACAGAATTTATTTTTTCTTATCTACGTGAAGTACTTGCACAAAATTTCAAAAATCCTAACCCACGCAGTGTCGTCGGAATGCAGCTGCACTTTCAACACCAAAACTAACATACTGAACACAACCACCCTTACCAAAAAAACCAACCCAAAACAAACACTCTATGCTCATATCAATATCATGAGCACTTAATTCTCCCCATCCTCCCCATCTCTGGTTTCCATCTCTCCAAATTATCTACCTCTGCCCTTATCTTCCTCCGTCACTCTCTTCACTTTCTGCCAAACGGATTACTCCACCGTTTACTTCCTAGATTATCACTTCCTTGTTGACATCTTCCCTGCTGACTGTCTCTCTGCTGTCTGAAAGACATCTGGTCAGTGCTCTCTGGATCCTGATCACTTCCCCGCGGATTGTTTCTCTGCTGGTCACTTCCCCACGAATTAATTCCATGCTGGACAGTTCCAAGTTGGTTGTTTCTGTGCACATTGACATAAGGCTGGTTAGTGCCGCGGTTTTGCTGGTTATTTCCCCCCGGGTTACCTGTCCGCAATTGACCTTCGGGCTGACTGCTCCACTGGTGGCTGCTTCTTCGCTGGGCCTGCTTCGTAGAGTTTCTCTGCGGATGAGTTCCTCCCTCACTCTCGGTCACATAGTTTCCCCGCGAGTTGCTTCCTCCCGAATTTCCTTGCTGGCTGTTTCTATACTGACTGTGTCTCTGTTGATCACTTTCCGGCCGGCTGATTCCCCGCTGGCCATCCGAGAAATAGTTTCGACGAAGGTGACTATCTTGCTCGCTATTTCCTTGGAATGATGAGTTCTGTCCTTGGTCTTCATCAGAGACAGAGAAGATCTCTGCAGATTGGGGTGCAAGCCTTGGAAAGCTAGAGCTTTGTGGAGTGATATGGGGTTGAGTGCGCGGGACAGTTCTTCTTTCGAGTTGTTCGGAGAGTACATTTGCATCTAGTCTAGAAGTGAAACATTCTCGAAGAACTCTGGATGATGATGAAGATGATCGTACGGAGGAGGGCTCTGCTTACTGACCTGAACACAATGGCTCTCGAGAGCTTCCGGGTGTTGATGGTGATTGTCCAGAGAAAGGCAATACCATCCGTCCTGTGGATAATGATCCTCCAGTGTCGCTAGCCGGTCGTGGGAGTTCTTCATACGAAAGATTTGCGGGCTGTCCTTGGGGGAAGGGCCCTTGGGGTGTTCTCGGCGTTGGTGGGGGTTGCTGGGAAGTGTTCCTCGGGGTCTCTGGGGACGACGCGCAGCGTTTTGTCTTGAAAGCTCGACTGGTGGAAGGGGTCCGGGAGTCGATGGGCGTTGCTGAAAAGAACGTCTTTCATTCTCTCCTGAAGGAATTGATCCTCGGTTGGGTGCTGGTGAGAGTTGCTGGGAGACTGATCTTGCTTGTTGAATTGGAGATAATGTTAGTGGGAAGTGGGTTTTGATTGGAGGAATATAGAAGTCTGACGATCTACGTGAGTCAAGTGAATCCCTGTCCATTTTGGCAGAACAGTTTCAAGCTATTTCCTATATTGATTGGGTCAATAGAGGTTTGAAATCTAACGAATCAGAGAAATAAACATGAATTGTATTTAGCCATTGGACGCTTAAAGCGCATGTTTTATAAACAACAATATTCAAGTTTGTACAGAATGTCAGTTTGCGATGTTCATTATTTAGAGTAATACTCGTGAGGCGAAAGCACGTAGATATGAGGGTTTAGATTGATTGCCTCAAAGTCACACAGTCGTCTACTTGAGTACATTTTATTCAAGCAATGTAGGATGCAGTGCTGTCAAGATGAACTTCGAAACATCCAAAGAACTGGAGGGTATTCCATACCTAAGACGTGTCACTACATGGCGATTACAATACGAAATGTAAACGAGTTGAGATGAGTCTCAATATTATTTCCAGTAATCACCTAGCACTTATTGTATCTGCGAATACCAAATAATGCGTCATAATTGATGCGTCTTTCAGCATTATGAGGGGGCTACAGGAGCTCAAAGTTTTGGAGCTAGCACATAATCCATTCTGATATTTTTAATCTCTAACTCGAGTAATATATCCAAGTCTCCGTTGGATCAATCCGCCCAGCCGGCTACTGGGGCGTTAAATATAAGCCACCTATCGAGGCTTTTTACTATATTAAAATCAAAACTTACTCGCCAAAAACGCTCTACAAATTGATATTATACCGAAACGTCACTTCTAACGACATACTAGCAGAAGTCTATATATTTTAGGGTATTAAAGCTCGCCCTACTTAGAGGATTTTTTTTAGCGACCTTCGTGTAATAACACGAGTTTTACGGGCACTAAGGTAGAGGTATGTGGTAGTACGTGTTCGGCGTCTTATCGGGTCCTACTAGGTCTAATACGAAGGATATAAAAAGATAAGGAGCGTATGTGTAGAAAGGACCGCCAGCTATATACCCAAGGTCCTGACCCGAACAGACCTGAATCACGCCCGACTCTAGAACGCCTGAGTTTCACCCCAAACCAGGCCCCGAACCTCTTTGCCATGTGAGCATGTGACGGTGCGCCGTTACAGAATACCCCTTTGAACCACGCTGTAGTACAGTGGAATGTCTTAATTCCATGTACTCTAGAACTAACTATTTCCCGTACGCTCCTCTATATCCTACGCTATAAATAAAAACCTCTATACTTCTATTAGATTCTCCTACTTAAACATTACTTCTCTCCTCAAACAGTTAATACTACCTAAGAAAACGTGAACATTACATACAGGTTTCTATACCTAGTAGAGATACAAATTACTTTTCGTAACTTGGAGCTTACTATTTCGACACTCTTTCAGGAGACAGGGTGTTTAAAGTAATAATGTTATTAGATCGGGAGAATAACTCCCTACTAAATCAAAAATCACGTCACCTAAGTCACACATCTAATCAAGTAAAATAAAACTAAAATTAAAAATTACGTTCTAATATCCATCCATCCGGGTATCTAAAATATCCTACGCACGCTCCGTTTCATCCAGCCTAGAATCCAAGCTGTCTGCCCTATATAATATACCAAGTTTATCCTATCCTACACCCTCTCAACGTATCCTACACAAACCCATCCCCACCCCTTCATCTCCACCCCTCCACCTACCCACCCCGTCACACACTACAACCAAAACAACCACCTCACCACCCTAACCCCCCCATCCAAACCGCCCTAACAACCCTAACAAGCACGACCAAAAACCAGACATACCACATAACCCCCACCAGTGCCCACTCAACCACGACCCAAACCCCCTGTCTCAACCACCTGAACCTGCGTCGTCGTCGGCGCATCATCGTGTCCATCTTATCCGTGATCGCCTTGACCGCTAACGTCTGACTGGTGACTAGATCCTTGCTGACCTCGTCCGCTTCGTCCGCTGCTGTGCGGGCCATATTCGTAATGCCCTCGTTTACTTTAGAGCGGAGGGCGTTGATATCGTCGAAGAGTTTCTGAATGGATGTGCCGATGAAGTGATCTGTAGACGCTTGCCACATCTCCGAGGAGTTGTGGATATCAGTCTCGAGAATGTGGGCCGCGAGGTTGTGTTGTTGGCTTTTCGGGACGGGGCTGATAGGGGCATGAGCGAATTTGGAAATGCCGGCGTAATGAGGGTCGGTTGTGGTGTTAAGGTCCTGGGGTTCGGCGGCGCGACGAGTGATTTCCTTGGCTTTGATGCCGGAGCTGAGGAGGAGGGCGCGGACGCGGGCGATTTCTCGTTTGCTCATGGGACCGCGGTGGACGGAGGGGGCGCGGTCGGAGATGCTCCATTGGCGTTGGCTGTCGATGGAGGTTCGATCGTTGGTTACTTCGAGATTGGCTAGGCCGGTCATGGGGAGAGCGTTGCGTCGATGACCAGGGCTACCGAGGATTTCATTGAGTCGAGAGCCAGAGGCAAGACTCTGTCGACGAGAGATATCGGTGTCTGAAACGGAAGAATCTCGTTTCCGTCGGTTCGAGCCATTTGGGTCTGGTGATGAAGTTGGAGACGCACTTTGAATGTCGATTCTTGGAGGCGGCTCAAGTCCAGTGGAGCGAGCTATGGCTTTCTTAGACTCTCGACCTAGCGGATCCGAACTCGAAGTTGATTCAGTATTCTTATTTCTGATGGTTCGTCCACGACCTTCGAATGGTGAAGTAAAAGTTGGTAAATCCCGTGTATATGTCGCTCTCTCCTTGGGTAAATCAGTCGCAGCATTATCATCCGCCGCGCCAACTGAGCTCGCATTGGAGTCTTTCTTTGGTCTTACTGATGGTGGGCTAGGCTCGTCAAGTTCAGAATCATCACTTGAGTAACCCGATGACAAGCCGGGTATTTGTTCTTTGGCAGTCTTCCAGACGAAATCGCCAACCCTAGAGACGGGATTACGGCCTTTGAACAATCCTTTGATCCCTGATTCCTCCAGCTTGCTCCTCCGTACGCTCCCTGTGTTCTTTAGAGCAGGTCGTGCACTCTCGTCAGTCTTTTTAGACGATGAACTCTTGAAAGGACTTATTGAACGTTTTCGTCTTTCACCTGGACTAGGTGTTTCGGGTACATTTCCACTAGAATCCAATCTCGGCGGTTCATCCAATGACACGCGTTTATGGTGAGAGTCATGGAACTGATTTATCTTATTCTTAACCTTCGATAGAGGCGTTCTAGACGGAGATGCGTGTCGACTCTGGGCATGTGACAACTCCACTGTCGGGACGAAGGCATTTGAAGTTCGAAAAGGTCTGGCTTCGGGCGAACTTGGTGCCGTGCTGTCGAATTCGTCTAAAGAGCGCCGTGGTCGACCTCCTTGCATTGGTACTTCCAGACTGGCTCGACCAGACGACGAATGTACAAGAGAGTCTCTTTTCTGGTGCTTATTCACTATAGAACCAGATGTATCTTGACTCGCCGACCTATCTCGATATGTTTGAGCGGGTTCTCTGACTCCGTCCGTGTGAGATGGTGTCGATTTCTTCTCTCTTGTGTCAGCAGTCCCACTCTCGCTTAAGTTCCAGTTTCCATCCTCATTCTCTCTAGCCAGCATTTCCATCATTTGCTTCTCTAGAATATCAGTACCCAGATCATTGCTATCGGCAGTACCACTGCGTTTTCTTCTCGAGCGACGCAGTTGACTGCTGTCAGCAGAGTCTGAATCAGACCGGCTAATATATTGTTGCGTTTGGCGTCCAGGTTGTGCAGAACCATTATTACCATGCGGTAGACCAGCAGCATGCCGAACTTGCCGCAGCTTATCTTTTGCTTTTGAAACAGCACCATCAGAATGCTTGTCAGACTCAGCTTTGATTTGCATGAATTCTGGCATTTTGGTATCGACGTAGAGATCCAAGCCCGAAGCCTGATCTTTGATCCGACTATTGAAGTTGAACTGGGAACTATTTCCATTACCTTGCTTCGATATTGGACGCTTGAGATCAACCTGTTGAGGAAATATCTTTCTGCCATGACTGTCCTCAATGAATTTCTTGTTGTCTTCCTGTTCCAGCCAATACAGGTCCGCCAGCAAATCTTTCGGATCAATAATCCAGTCATTCCTAGGCCGTTTCACTTTAGGTGCAGAAGAGTGCCCTTTGCCATGGTTAGACGACGGAGAAGTATGTGGTGATGCGGCTTCTTTGGCAGCCTTTGAGAACGGAGGCATGGGCAAACAATCCGCAGCTTGGTACTCTGCAGACGATGCTTCCGTCAATACCTGGTCGACCCAAGATGAGACTTTGGCTAGATCTCCAAAACCCTGCTCCTCTCCATTGATAGCTCTACCAGTCCTCAGACGCATCTTTCGATTTCGAACATACTGAAGTGGATTATATGGTCGTCCTAATGGCAGGGGAGCGGCATATGTAGAAGAAGCCACACGAGAGGTTGGAGCTGACGTAGTGGCTTCTGAAGAGTTTCCACGATCACTTCCCCCCATTCGGTCTCCTTGTGGCTTGAGTGGAGGCACATAGAGAAGCACTCGACGATATTGAGCCATGAGCTCGATTGCGGTTTTCGCTTTCTCCGCCCTGGCCAATGTTGACGCTGAAAACTGATACCTGTAACCTCCATCTCCCTGCGGATCAAAAGCTGGTTGTAACGGGCTCGCAAGTCTTTGGGCAGAAGTAATTCGTGGAGAGGCTGTTACAGCTCGTTCGCCACGGGCTGGCTTGGGTGATATATTTCTCGACACCCTCCTCTGCTGTTGTAGATGATGGCGCAGACTGCCACCAGCGAAACCTTCTGTAAAGCCTGGTGTGAGGGGTGGTAGCGGAGTTGAAACATTTCGTCTAGCAGCATTTCGTCGACTTTCATTGAGGTTCAATGCCAAGCTAACAATCTGAGCAGAATCTACATCGAGTGGATTGGCATTCACTTTGTCTTCTGTCATCTCATTCCCACCATTGTCCTTGTGTGTCGGCGCAGTCTCTAGCCCGCCGGTAGCTGGCGCCGACGTGACATTTGTTGAGAGGGGGCTGCTCTGAACTCTAAGTCCCAGACCCGATTTCGTCTTCGTGTGTCTTTTTTCGGGACTTCGGACTGGCGTTTTTCCTTTGCGATCCCTGGTAGAAGGACGCTGGCGCATTCGATTGTCTTCGTCTATAGTTTTGCTCGATAGCTCTTGGGACGGCGGTTCAAATGTATTGTGTGACAATAAAAAGCCACCGCTCCCTTTACTGCGATGGCTTCTGTGACTTCCCTTTCCATCACGAGCAGCAATGCTCAAATCTAGTCCACCTTTGCCTTGGACCACGTCCTCATCTACCACATCTGTAGGCTCAGTCGTGAGGCTTCCACGGTTGCTTGCGGCCCTGCTCGATTCTCCCGTTTCGCTACTAGCAAAGCTATGTCGCTGGTTCGAGTCGTAGGTGCTCGCGGTGGTGCGGCGGTCCAGAGAAGTGGTGTTCGATACATCTCGGCTTCTTGTAGCTTCTTGAGATGCGTGTTCTCGAGAATTCATCGTGCCAGCTCATGCGGCAGTCGACTTCAAGACCTTGTAGTTGTAGGAATTGAATCCATCATCAAATGATACTAATCGCCGTCAGTAGCGACCGAGAGCAAGAAGTAATGGTGTTGATATCTTCGCTTTGCGCCTTGTTCACATGGAAGAAAGTCTTCTGGAACGACGTTGACCCAACACGTTCGGAAGACTTGGCGATTACCAGGGGGTCGGTTAAGGTTTTGGTCAGTGCGTAGCCTCGGGAGCTTTGCGCGTCCACCCGAGACCCACCTGCGGCTTTTCATGTCACACCTGTGTCCCTCTATTGCTTTTTTCCTATATAAGTCATTAACATAATCATCTCTTTATTATATCGATTCGTGAAACACATATTCATCTATGGAAGTAGTAACATTTCCTGAAAGTAGTGGTATTTACCTTAAAATCTCGCCTGGAAACAGAATCAAAGGAGTATCCTTAGGCTGTGAATGGTAGTGTAATAGAAATTTTTATGTCTAATGTAAATTAGATCACCCATCATTTGAATATCTCATATTCTCATCTATCAAAAGAAGGCTCATACATGATACCAACAGAAAACGCCCTCTCACCCCAACGCCGCTACACTTTTCCACGTTACCAATCTACAAAAACACTCACATCTCAAGCCCTCGCCGCGCCCTTTCCACCCTTCTCAATCTTCCGCCTCTTCGATCTCAGCCCCTCAGCCTCCGCATCCTTCTTCTTGTTACTATAAACCATCTTCTCCAAAATCTTCCTCTTCTTCCTGCTCATCATCATCTTCGCGCGCTCTAACTCTTCATCTTCCTCTTTGGCCTTCTTCGCTGCCTTCTTCTTTGCATTGGCTTTTGCGTCAATGACCTTTTCTTCAACTTGGGCACCCGTTAGTTCGGCTTCGAGTTCGCGTTGACGTTGAAGAGCGGCGGAGGTGGCTTCATCTTCTTCCTCATCTTCAGCGTCAGAGAATCCACCGAATGAACCTTCGCCCTCTGAAGCATCTTCCTCGTCTTCATCGTCGTCCGAACCGGCGATATCCATGCCTTCAGCTGTCTCATCGATTTCGGCGTTGGTGAGGAGTTTAGGCTTTTGAACCGCCATATCGTCTTCCTCAACATCCTCCTCCTCCTCTTCTTCGCTGTCAACTTCGAGCTCTTCATCTTCGCGCTCTTGTTCGTTGAGTGGTGCGCTTGGATCATATTGGCCGCGAACCTTCTTCACGAAAGGACTGAGATGAGGTGGTAATTGTGCTCCTGGGGCGTATAGGTCTGGTCGCTTTAGCTCTTCGTCGTTTACACAATCCCATATCCATTGAGGTTGGACATAAATACGTCCTGGAACTCTTGAACCTGGCTGAAGTTTCTGTGCTGTTTGGTTATCCTCGGTCGTTGCCTCATTATCTGGGTCAACCTGAATTGGTGGACGATCCACGATCTGGTGAGTGATTGACGGATCAAGTTCGTTATGTGTATATGCTCCCTCGCCCAAAACAGCATCCCATGCAATTCTTTTGCATCCGAATGCTCGTAGGATGAATTCTAATGGTTGTCGTGGAGTTTCTCGAGAAAGGAAGAAAGTGAAATTGGCGAAAAGGGTTGATGGATCGGTTGCAGAGTAGGATGGCTGTAGAAGGATATCTCCACCAGGCGCAGCGGGCTCGAACTTATCAATCGTATCAGTGGGCATCTCCTCATCCTCTCCTTCGTCGTCGCCATCGGTGATCTGTTTCGTAGCAGACTCCTCCTCCGGCTCTTTCTCGACATTATTCAATTGCGACATCAATTTGTCAATTTCTGCTTGTAACTTAGGATCTGGCGCCTTGTTTTCTCCATTTGTAATCTGCTTAGGCTGCTCAATTGCGCCGACTCCATTTCCTTCCAGTGAGAACGCACCAAGCTCAGCACCCAAATCATCCCTGGCTTTGTCGAATTTGGGAGGGTATACTAATCCAACGGAAGTGTATAGGCGGAAGTTGACGAAACCAAGAAGGGTTTGGTAAAATTCCACAAAGGTTCCCATGATCCTGAAATCAACATCGCCTGTAACTCTCTGGTTGAATCGATATGGTACTAACCACAAGATATCCTGGCCTTGAATTGTCGCCTGGTAATATATCCCCTTGATGGAAAGGAAGGATTTTCGTAGGCTGTGCGACACGATTAGGTAGTGTTCGAATTCCAAACACAATCGCTCGCATCTGGCAATCATCTTTGCTGGAACTGTCGGTGTGGAGGGAAGGTTTGCGAAAAGGAACAGCATTGAGAGACAGTCGTCCAAATCCCTAAGCGCATCAATGAATGTTGGGTATCGTTCGCGAATGACATGGTCGAGTGTGTATTTCGTCTTTCCGGTCTTTTCAGGTCTCGATGCATTGCGCTCCAGTCTCTGCGCATCGTGTCCATCGCCTCGGCCCAATGCCTTTGCAATCTTCTTTTCTAAAGCCTTCTGCTCACGGAATTTCTGCAGCAAAGGCTCATGCAAGAGATACTGGATATCTTTGGTGTAGTAAAAAGTGGTCGAAGCGCTGGAAGATTTCGAAGCCTTCTTCTTGTTGCGCGGTTCGCGAGGATAAATTCCTTTCCAGATGCAGAGTTTTCGGAAATCCGGAAGACTGATCTGAAGTTTTCGTACTGCTTGAGTTCTGGTAATGAAGTTCTTGGCCTGGCCAGTGACTCCCTTCTTCTTGATTCGTGCCATTACTGCGAATTTTACGTTGCAGTAGAATTATCTTTTCTGTCGATAAGGTGTGGGGTCTTGAATTTCTCGAGAACTTTTTTTTGGCGGAGAGCTACAATCGAGAGCAAAAGCTTGTGATTGGTTGGGTAGTCTCACCGCTTTTATCTTGGTGGGCACTTTGAGCCAAGCCGAGTTGCAGTTCCAGGGGTCCGTCCTGCTGATATTCGGCCCCGTCGAGTATGAACACGACATCGTATTGACTTGAGCTTCACTCCTTTGCTCATCCGCCATGTCGACTTTTACCATTGACAGACGGAAAGCTGCCGTATTTGGTGCTGCAGCTGCTGTCCGTCTGTTACTTTTTACGGCATTTCCAGGCCTCCCAGAATTGCTAACGGCGCGGGTTGAAATATCCACACCAGTTACAAGCTTCAAGAGATGTGAGTCTAGAAACAATTGTAGCAAGACACTGCTAACAGCGTTTGTAGTACAAGAAGGCCTCTTTCTTTACAACCACAACGTTTCCCCTTACGATGGCGGAGTCTACCACCAAGCTCCAATACTGCTGTCGCTCTTCTCCCTCCTCCCGAATTCGACAACATACCCCTCCTTCACCTACCTGTTATATATTGTTATAGATGTTTTAAGCGCAAATGCGCTTATGAAGATTTCGGAGTCTGGGGAAGCTGGTTCTTCCAAGCTTTATACATCACCAAGGAAGGATAAGAAATGGACGTCTTATGCCATTGCTGCTGCGTAAATAAACTCCCATAACTGAGCGAGCCAAAGCTAATTGATGTGATAGTTTCCTCTTCAATCCATTTACGATCGCAACATGTATAGGACGTCCGACGAGTGTCTTTACCACATGCGCCATTCTCCATGCTGTTTCGGCGGCTATTGCTGGACAATCCTTCACATCGATGTTCACGTTGGCCATTGCATCTTACCTGTCCATGTACCCTTTATTACTGTTTCCACCATTAGTGCTTTTATGCTACGATCGAAGAAGCTCCAAGCAGCAAGATAGTTCTGTATACAATTTTGTGGCCAAAAATGCCGCTAGTATGGTTGGACTTTTGTATCTGCTCGCTCAAATGTCCTCAACAATTACCGGATCATGGGAGTTTATGCGATCGACATACGGAGTCCAACTCCTCCTACCGGATCTTACTCCTAATGTTGGCTTGTGGTGGTACTTCTTCATCGAGATGTTCGACTCGTTTCGGAATTTCTTCCTCGGAGTTTTCTGGATTCATCTGTCTTCGTACGTTGGCGGGTTGACAATTCGGCTTCGAAGACAACCTCTCTTCGTGATCACAACCTTACTTGGCATATTTGCCATCTTCAAACCATATCCATCTATCTCCGACACATCATTCTTCCTAGCAATGTTGCCATTATATCGACACGTCTTTCCTCTGATGAGGTACACATTCCTAGCATTGTCGACAATCTTGTATGCGACATTACTAGGTCCGGCGTTTTATTATTTATGGATATACGCAGGAAGTGGGAATGCAAATTTCTTTTACGCTATTACATTGGTCTGGAGTTTGGGGCTGAGCATATTGGTTGCAGATGCGTTGTTTGCCGTCTTGCGAGACGAGTGGGAAGTAGAACGGCCAGAAATGAGAGGGAAGGAAATCCGACAGGTATAGAGCATTCGAATTCAAAAACGTTAAATCTCCACCCCATGTCTGAAAATTCGCATGGTGATTATAGTATTACCTATTGTCAAAGGGACTGCCTTATCTTGCGGGTTTACTCTCCTAAAGCAATACGTCAACCTTCGATAATAAAAGTGACCCTACCGATCGATAACTCTATTCCGAAGAGAGCCCATCTCCATCACATTGATTCCAATTTCAAAGTAAAGATCCATAGATTTCATGTCGTCTTAGGGCGCCCATTCATATGTCGAAGTGAAAATAAATACTTTAAAATGTAGACACCTAGCCCACGTCTTGTAGGCGGTGAACCGGCAGAATTCCAAAATATATCCTCCAACCCCACCAGGACCATCAAAGTCACACTTTCCACTTCCCACCCACGATGTCGCTGTTATGTCCGATGCAAGTCAAGATGCAGAATACACCAACTCGGAATCCTCAGACTCCCCACGTCCAAATCGCTGGAACGGCCCGCCTACTACATGGCTCAGCATCACCGAGTCAGAACGCGCTTTTGCGGCTTCGCTTGACCAGCTGAGAAATCGTGATTTGAGTGTCCATTTGTATAATGCTCATGCGTTGAAGAAACGGGCGAGGAGCTTGGAGAGGAGGGGGAGGGAGGGGATTTTGGTGAGTGAAATAAGGGGCTGAAGATTAGATCTTGAGGGTTAAGATGAATGTTGCTGAGTGTTGTTAGGTTGATGATCCACTTGCCCCAGATGCTGAGGATCCTTTTGTGCCGCCGAAGGTGTGGACGGCGTGGCCGATGTCGCCTGATGAGGTGCCTAGGACTGGGGAGAGGGTTGGGGAGGAGGATGTTGATGAGGTGTTTACTTTTAAGAGGAGGGAGAGGGAGGTGCCGAGTCGGGAGCTGGAGGATGTACTTACGGGGTTTGCGTTGAGGGATGCTAGGGCGAGGTTTGAGGGGAGGGGGAGTGAGGGTGATGTTGAGATGTGTGGGGAAGCGATGGTGGATGATGGGGATGAGTCGGATTCTGAATCTGAAGATCGTGGGTGTGAGGAAGAGGAGGGTGAAGATGAGGAGAATCCTGATATGGAAGAGGAGTTCAAATCAGAGGCCGAAGAAGAGTTCGTACCTGTTGTATCCCTAGACGACGACCAATCCGCCGAAATCCTCAGACCAAACATCCGCCACACCCTCTCCAAACTCGACGAAATCCTCACAGCTCTCCACCACGCCCGCGTCAGCTGTCGTCGTTACTCGTCACCCACAGAAGCAGACGGCCTTGACGATCTCCAAGAAGCCAGTGACCAACAACCGCCCGAAAAGAAACCCGTCGGTCGTCCACGGAAATTTCAAAACCTAACCCACCGCTCAAGAAATCCCGCTCAGGGACTCAACGTCGAAGACAACGCAGTAGACGATCTCCGCCGTAGCAAATCAACCAACCGAGGCCGTCCACCAAAACAATACCCCCGTCTCGAAGGCGAATCAGCCCAAGAATACCACGTACGCATTGCAAGATTGCAGAAGAAGCCATTACCGCCTTTTGCGCCGCCTTTGCCCGTCAAAGAACCAGAACTGGAAGATGAGAAGCCAGTCAAGAAAGAGGCTGCGCCGCGGAGCAAGAAAGACGTGGAGGACCTGGCCCATCGACGGGCATCCAAATTAGAATTAAGGGATTGGAGTGAAGTCCTAGGAACAGCTGCGCTAGTGGGGTTTTCACCGGCCGTCATCGCACGAGCTACGCAACGATGTGCTAATATATTTGGAGAGGGCATGGTGTTGAAATCTATTCCCGAAGTTCCATTTGGCGACGATCCATCATCATTTGACACTATCTATCAAGCTGAGGAAATCCCAGATCACACATCCCAAATCCCTGAAGAAGAATCTCAACCTCCGAGTGTTTATGGTGGGATGTATACCTGCCCACTTGAGGATTGTACGGCCAGTTTCGAGACGAAGAGGCAGGTGAATAGGCATATGAAAAGGAGGCATGGGATGGGGGATGAGGAGATTGAGAAGTACGATGTGCCTAGTGATTTGGAAATGGAGGGCGCGGTACACGTTGATAGGTTCTTGAGACCTTCGAGACGATATGTGCGTGGCCCGGATAAAAGGAAGAGGAAGAGGAGGGGGACCGGTGAGGGTGAGGGGGGTAGGGGAGAGGCAGAGGATGAGGATGAGGAGGTAGGAAGCGGTCTTGACGGCGAGGGGACTGTGAAGTCATGAAACTGTGGTATTCGCACGGTACTTGATGAAGCTATAGCACGTTATAAAGTAAATTATGCCAGCCTGCACAAAAGAGGGGGTATACTATTCGAATCGCCGTTAATACATCCACCGCATGTTTTTCAACAAACGCATTCCTCCCCTTATACAAGACCTCACATCCCTAACCCCAAAAAACAACTATCCAAGTCTTGGTACCTGATTATCTTAAATACTATAGTGTATGAAGTTGATTGTATAAAAAAGACGCTTGGTTCCGTTACTAGACCTAGCTTTGTACTAAGAAACACAAATCCAACACCTTTAGTAAATCCTACATATCCATATTTTTCTGTATCCTTCTCTTTCTGTATCCCTTCTAGGTCAACCTAAGCTCGTCTCCCCGTGAGGTTAGTATCATATATCTCTGCGTCTTCATTCTCCTCTTCATGTGTATCTGCTTTAAGTTTCCCAAACATCGGTTTAGGCCGAGGAAAACCATTTGCCTGGGCAGATCCAGCAGTCCAGGAATAAGCGGATTAAAGATATACCTAGGTAGAGGTACTTGGTCTAGATTTCGATTCGCCAGTGATAGTATAAGTCGTGCTCTCAGTGTGGACGGGAAGTCGCCGATCTCGTCGCAAAAGCCTATAAATCCGTATAACGTGACAATGTCAATATAAAACAACACATAAATTATATTTATCTATAATTAGCCCCTAAGAAGAAACTTGGAGCGTTAGAAAGAAAGCATGTGAGGAAATACCTCTTATAATCTATATTTTGTAGTAGAAACTAGGACGTTATGGTGTAGCCTGTGCGACGGAATCGGCGACTTCCTGTCTGCGTTGAGAGGTCGTGGTATATGAGATAGGCGTATGGTATTCTATGCAGTAAGACTTTAATAAACCCCTCGTGTGCTACATGTTGGACTTTGGTGCCATTTTCCCAGATCAACCTACTCAGCAACCAACAACTAAGGTCACTAATACTCATGCACTGATCAAAAATCCACCTATAATATTCTGTATTCCGTACTTCAGACTTACATACCACCCCCCCAGGGCCTTCCCAGAAATTTCCTCATACCCGAAACATATCTATCTATCATACAAACAAATCCCCTTTTCACCCACGCTAGCACGATGGCTTGCTCCCAGACGCCGAATCAAAACCCACTCATACAACAAACTACCAACTTAAACGCCCTAATTATTACCCCGAGTCCACCGCAGTGAAGCCCCTCTTTACCCTCTACGATTCCCAAGACTCAAGTCGTACTAGAACTCACACTGTTGATGAAAGATTGATAGTTGTCTTGTTCAAAGACGGGCTTTTTGGGTGGTTTGACCACTTTGTTCGCGATTGGTGGAGTGTTGTTTGTTGTTGCCCATAAGAGTTCTGGTGTATGATGGGGTTCGGCTGGGGCTAGCTTCTCAACCTGTGGTGGTGCATCTGATTCTTTCGGCAGACGCATTGCTAGAAGTACGTATTCTGCTCTGGTGGCCTTGTCCATGATGGTATTCATGTATTCCCGGACTTCATCCTGTGGCGCAACTACTTTCTGTAATGCCTCCAGTTGTCGGCCTTGATGGGCGTACAGGCGTATCGTCACAGGCTGGTAGTAATCTAGTTGCGGGTCGTATCTAGGATACTCACTCGTGCTTCCTCGTCGAACAATCAAAAATGATGCAATAACCTGGTTTTGCTGATATTCTAGTATACTAAATCTTGGGAAAGCAAAACGATCTCCAGATGATCCCTGGCCAGTAAATTCAAGTAGTACCTTTGTAATATCTGATTTCGCCGAAGGTACTGGGCCTTTAGATCGCAGCGCCTGAGGTTGACTTTGGAATTGCGTATTTTGTTGAGAAAATGGATTGTTCGTAGGAGGTGGGGTTGGTGCAGCTCGAACCGCTGGCACTGGAGTTGAAACAGGTCTCGGGTTTGGCGGAGGAGCTTGATTTACTTGATGGGCGACCTGTGCGGGAGCTGCTTGCTGTGAATTCGGAGGCTTTGGCGACGGTTGTGTCGAAGCTTCTCTAGACTTCTGGAGCAGCGTAAGATCATCAATGTGACTTTGAAATCGCTGTAATTGATCTTTTGTAGCTTGGCCATTGGCTACAATCCTCATAAGTGCTTTCAAATCGGCATCTGTTGAAGCCCGTTCGGCCAGCATTTGTATTACCGGATCTTTGCTTTTGTCCGTCGGTGCCGAATCGACTGACGTGGCGGGAGTGGTTTGTGGTTGATTCGGAGGGTTGGCTGGGTTTGGCAGTGCTGGATTGGGAGTTTGTGGACTCGCACTGGTTCCAGCAAAAGGAGCACTCGTCTGGACAGGCTTAGGAGCCGGAGCAGGGCTTGTATTCTTCATCACAGTATCCTGCATCCGCGGTGATGCCTGTGGTGTCGGTTGTGGAGTGAATTGTTTGTGCTGAGGGGGTGGAGGGGTGGGCATAGGAGGAGGTAGCATGCCATTTGGAGGGCCGTACTGTAGTATAGGTCGATACATGGCTTGGTGCGAGGTTGGTGTTTGTACTGGCGTCGGGTTATCCTCCTTCACCTGCCACATAATCGCATCGAAAGAGTGCGGTTCGACCGTTATTACACAGGTACCCAGCTTCTGCATCGTCTTGATGTCGGGATTGTTTGGAGGCGGATCCGTGCTGCCCTTCTTCTTCACGGGTTTCGTCCAGTATTTCTCGAATATGCCTTCGCTGATCCATTTCTGCCGCGATCTGTGGATCGATTCTGCAAGAACTCCGCTGAATGACCTTGTGGTTAGCCAGGATCTTCGCGATGAAGGTTCACAACTCACCTTTCCGAGATGGATTGAAATTCTGTTGAGGATAGATTGTCGCTTTGCGGCTCGTCGACGGTAGGCAGTGGTTTGTTTGGCTCGAGTTTTGTTGGTAATGTTGCCGCGATAGGTGGTGGAGGAGGAGGAGGTGCTGTCGCAGCTGGGGTCGACGACTGTCTCCGGTCTGGCGATTTCGAGGCTCTTCTTTTTCCGGCTGGTTCAGCTCTTGTGCTGCGCGCCGGAAGCTTCCTCTTCTTTTCCATAGCTGTCGCTTGCCGTCCAGCAGCTATGTATTGTGGTGTTGTTGCGACGACGCGTCACGATATAAAAAGCGTGTAGACTAAAAGATGTGGGTTGGGGAGGATTTGGGTGTTGGCGAGGAACACCAAAATTGAGGCGAGCCTGACTTTTATGCCTCTTCAACCTCGTTGGCCGCAGTGGGTTGCAGACGCCGCAATCATCAAATCCTATTCACCAATACGTCAAAGAGGCGTTATATGTTCGTGGTTATAGAATAAATGTTCACCTGGTCAAAATATCTCATTTGAAGCTGGTACGTCGTCCCGCTTACCTCACAAGTTCATGATGACCCGGACCTCGCACCTCAACATATATAGCCCCTGGCACGTGAAAACAATTGCTGCGATGTCTTAGTGTTCCAAGTTTATAACTAGATCTAATCTTTACTCTAGCATGAATTGTTAGACCTTAATGTAACATTGGGCCATCCACTCGAGCTTCGACTGGCCAGTTCTTACCATGGCATCGGTAGCACCAATATTCAAGAAGGCATACTGGTCACTCTTTTGGGGCACATCATTTTATGTGCTAGCTCTGATTGCTTTTACCAATCCATGGCTCCAGAGACAGTAAGTATCTCGTCAAGATTAAAGAAGTCACTAAAGAGTTTAGGATACTTTATGCTCATAATGTTCAAACTACGTGGTGGCAGGATATCAACAAACCGGAGCAATTCGGGTTTGTGAGTACGTTTGATAGAAACCTTGATCAATGTTCTTCTCTAACATGCTGCAGAGAACCAAATTACACCCTTTAACTTTACTACGCCCGATCAGGAGGTCATATATGCATGGCATATCATGCCCCTTGCCTTATATGCCAAGCACGAGTCTGAGATAATTGCTCAGCCTTCCGGTTGTGCGGAAGACATAACAAAAACCAAGGCCTTCAGACTACTTCGAGATGACCCTGATGCAAGGCTGATCATCAACTGTACGTGATCAATTTCAATTTAAAAGATTCTCTAAATAACTGCTCACATCTTACAGTTCATGGAGTACGTTCAAAGGACGAGCTTCAAGCAGCACAATGAGACCTTGCTGACATCGGTCTAGAACGCGGGTACAGTCGCGCAGGGCTGGCGAACTGACAGCTATCGAGCTCTGGCTGACGGAAGTACCTCTAATATTCACATCCTTGCCATTGATTATCGTGGCTTCGGTCTATCCACCGGGTCGCCTACAGAGGAAGGTATCATAATCGATGGCATTGCAGCTGTTGACTGGGCGATTAATGTTGCCAAAGTACCCTCAAGCAGAATCGTCATACTTGGACAAAGTCTTGGTACTGCAGTCACTGCAGCTGTGGTTGAGCATTATGCTCAAGAGGGCGTCGACTTCGCGGGCGTTGTGTTAGTCGCAGGTTTCACAACTTTGACCGAGCTCCTTCCCAGTTACTCTATTGCCGGTTGGCTTCCTATTCTGGCTCCCCTAAAATCGTCACCAGCACTGTTCCGGCTGTGGTCAAATTACGTTGTCGATAAATGGCCTTCAGCTACTCGAATCGCAAATTTTGTCCGACTCAGTAAGAGAGTTCGCCTCTTTATCGTCCATGCAAAAGACGATGCTGAAATTCCTTGGACAAACGCAGAAGGCCTATTCCTCGCTGCTGCAAACGCCACGACAGAAAAGGGAATGGATGTCTCGCTTATCCAGAAGATGAAATCCCGAAATACAGTACATATGGGAGATGGGGCTTTTATCAGCACATGGAAGAGTGGAAATGACAAAATCATACGAGAAGAGATTGTCGCTTATGGGCGTAAGTTTCCAAATCTTTAAAATACATACACCGAGCTAATTCGTTATCATGAAGACCATAGTCGAGTTTTGACATATGCTACTGTATCTCTTGCAGCCCTCAAAGCTTTTGGTATGGACGAGGGGGGAGCTCTGCCTGTATGAGTGATCCGAAATAGAAGCATAGGTTGTACGTAATGTATTCGATTGTACTTAGCACCCTGTACTTTATCACTGGGCATTTGATGTCAGACGGAGAGATAGAATAGAATTCTTAATAATTATACACGACAACATATGTTCCACAGAGCTACGGATAAACAAAAACTCTGGTAGTTGAGGCTCTAAGTGGTTGGAAAAGCACGTGACCAGCTCTCGTGATACTCGAGGTGGGGTAAACACCTCCGAAGCCACCAATCACAGAATATGGACCCCTCCATCCCACTTCGAGCTTCCACGTTGGCACAAAACCAGCAACATCAATCCACCACCAGAATGAATAACGAGTCCAAGATTGCAGATCCTGCTGCGACGCAGGATGCTGTGGAGGAGGTTGTCAAGGATGCGAAAGCGTCCGGCTCTGTAAAAACCCAGATTGAATCCGACAACGAGGACGAAGAACACGAAACGACGACCACAAATACCCCAGCGTCTACTGCCGCGGCGAAAAAGAAGAAATCGAAGAAGAAGCGCATAAAGGATGCCTTGACTCGTAGTTCCAAAGATGAAGCTTCAGGATCTACATCGGCGCAAAATGATATGGCCAAGGCGATGGGAGGTCTCAATAAGGAGCAAATCCAGGAAATCCTAAAGATGAATCCAGGGCTGGCACAAGATCTAGGGGTCGGGAGCTCTGATCCAAATAAAGTCGCGGCGGATTTTAAGAAACTGAATCTGGAAGATATCCTGGCCGGGTTGGCTTCGAGTGGGAAGAATGTGAAGGATATGGCGGGATACAAGTTTTGGCAGACGCAGCCTGTTCCTAAGCTTGGTGAAAAGGGGAAGATTGAGAAGGAAGGGCCGATCCGGGAGACGGACTTGAATCTTGTGCGGAAGGAACCATATCCTATGGCGGAAAATTTTGAATGGGTCACTATGGATATGTTGAATGATGAGGAATTAAAGGAGGTCTTTGATTTGCTTTATGGGCATTATGTGGAAGATGATGAGGCTATGTTCAGATTCAACTACTCGAAATCATTCTTAAAATGGTAAGTAGAGCAGGAACTATTGTCAAAATATGCTAATAGTTCCAGGGCTCTCCTATCTCCAGGCTGGCGAAAAGAATGGCATGTTGGGCTTCGCGCTTCGGTGTCACGCCGTTTGGTGGCATTCATATCAGCGATACCTGTTCAATTGCGAGTTCGTGAAAACGTTCTCAATGCATCTGAAGTCAACTTTCTGGTAGTACACAAGAAATTGCGGGCGAAAAGACTAACGCCCACGCTCATCAAAGAAATCACTCGTCGGTGTAACCTTGAGGGTGTTTTCCAAGCCATCTACACTGCGGGTGTCGTTTTACCAACACCAGTCAGTACTTGCCGATACTATCACAGATCGATCGATTGGCAGAAACTCCATGATGTCGGCTTCAGTCCTCTACCTAAAAACAGCAAGCCATCATACCAGATCCAGAAATACAAGTTACCCGATCACACATCCACAAAAGGCCTCCGACCTATGGAGGAAAAGGACATCGACGCAGTCTTAGACTTGCTAACTCGATATCTGGCAAGATTCGATATGGCACCACAATTCTCAAGAGAAGAAGTGATCCACTGGCTCGTCCACAAAAAGGGGGAGTACGAAGAACAAGTCATCTGGTCATACGTCGTAGAAGATCCCTCCACCAAGAAAATCACAGACTATTTCTCCTTCTACTGCCTCGAATCATCCGTCATCAACAACCCACGACACAGCAACGTCCGCGCAGCCTACCTCTTCTACTACGCCACCGAAACCGTCTTCGCGCCTAAATCCACCAAGGGCGACCTCAAAATTCGCCTCAATCAACTCATCAACGACGCGCTTATTCTGGCTAAGAAATTCAAATTCGACGTCTTCAACGCGTTGACACTGCAAGATAACTGTCTGTTCTTGGAGGAACAGAAGTTTGGGGGCGGCGATGGACAGTTGCATTTTTACCTGTATAATTACAATGCTAATCCGATTGCGGGGGGTGTGGATCAAAGTAACAATATTGATGAGGGGTGTAGTGGGGTGGGTGTTGTTATGCTTTAACATGGTGGATGTCGAGGGGTTGAGTAAAAGTTGGCGCTTGCGGAATACCTATTATCTGCGTCCTAAATGAAGTCATGGATTTGAATTCTTCGAATTTCTAGATCTATATGCTGTCTCACAAATCAATATATACCGCCTTATGAACCTCTACCTACCTCTTGACTATATCTACCCTTTCACCATCCACCATCTTTCACGCCCCCTCCCCCCTCGTAACCCTCTCCCCCCCCTCAACCCCCTCCCTCACAAGATTATTATGCCACCTCCACTCCTCAAGCATCGCCACATGACCCATCCCCTCCACAATCTCCGCCCGTCCAGGCTCCAACCACCCAATCAGCTTTCTACCATGCGGCACACTGATCATCCTATCACTCGTCCCGTGCACAACCGCTATCCTCTCCCTCCCCACTAAATCCCCTAACTCTTTCAGTTGCGCCGGGGACTTGTAATGCCATCCCGCGGCTATCGCTTGCAGTATAAACCCCTTTTTGCCGAAGAGATTAGGGTCGCTGCGTTTTGTCAGTTCCTGCGCAGCGAAACGCTCGAAATTCGTCGCGAAGCTCCTATAGAAGCCGTGAGGTGGGAGAACCACGCCCGGCGTCGCCGCCGTCGGCACGACCGTCTCATCCTCGGCGTCCAGCCAGCCGGGGGAAAATAACATCAACGCGGCGTCGGTGAGAGAGCGGTCCACGGATTTCGGAATGAACATGTTGATCCTGTTCCACAGGTTTTCGAGGAAGGAGGTTGTGTTTTCGATGCAGGCGGCGGTGGAGATGAGGTTTAAACTGTTGATGCGGGTGGGGATTAGTAGGGCGAGTTCTTGGGCGATCATGCCGCCCATGGATACGCCGGTGATGTTGAGTTGGTGGGGAGAGGTCCAGTTGAGGTGGTTGAGGAGCTCGAGGAGGTCGTGGGCCATTTCTGTGGTGCTGTAGCGGAGGAGGGGTTTGTCTGATTTGCCCATTCCTGATTCTTGTTAGATTTTTATGTGGATGGGATGAAGGGAATTTAGGGAATGGGTTGGTTACCCCGATTGTCGTAGATTAAACTCGAGTATTTGTCCCCTTCATCATGGCCGAATTCTAGCGTTTGTCTTTGCCATGCCGTCTATTCTTAATCAGCACACTTCTTTTCACAACCAGGCCCCCCCAAGCATCAAGCCACACCCACTCGCACCTCCCCCCCTTCTATTGAAACTCACATACCTTGATAGTACCCAACCCCATAATCCACTACTTCCCAAATCATATCAGTCACGTGTTTCTCAAATCTCATACCCCTAGTAATGGCCACACATACAACTAACTTAACATCCCCCGTCCCATGAACCTCCCAATCAATCATAAACGGGCCTCCTCGCCCCTTCGCCACCGGCAATCGCCCGCTTTGCGAGGGCGTGAGGTTCCATACTGTGTCTGGGTAGGCTTCGAGCTCTTGGACTTGAGCGGCGGTTGGTCGTGGGACCCTAGTACTCTTTAGTGATGGGTTTATTAGGGGGGGGTGGGAGAGGTATTTACATGGTTTAGATGAGTGAAATTGAAAAGGAGAATGATGGAAGGGATTTGGAGAGGTTGAGAATATCTTGAATGAAACTCGGAAACGGATTTTGTTGCTGCCGAGGCAAGCACGTGAGATTTGGGGTGGATATTGGTCGCTTAATTTGGTGGGATGGGGACGCGTCAGTTCTTCTACTGTTGAGAATAATTTATTTATCATATGTTGCAAATCAGATGGTGAATAGAAAGTCTCGCTTCCTCGATTTATCCTGTTTTCATGTTGTGCCTTCGTCCAGAATGCAGAGGCCCGGTCCAATTTGAGGTCGAATGTACGAGGACGTTAAATAGGTTCAAACAGTGTGAATAAAATTTCATTATCAGTAGGTCCACGCAAATCAACTTATCCAGGTAGCACATGAGGGTACGCGCCATATCCGCCAGTACTCTCATGGGTTGCATCTGAAGCCTCTGACTTCGCTTTTCTCTTACGCTCCCTCTCCTTTCGTTCCCGCCACTCAAACGCAATCTCAGGCGTCTCCTCTTCGCCATCCTCGTTATCACGAGCCGCATTCGGTCCTCCAGGCTTAAACCCAAGTCTATCATCAGTAGGCTCCTGCATAACGATCTTAGCAACATAGCAAGTCGTCATTCCACGATCAGTAGTCGCAACCGGGATCGTCATGCTGTACTTGAAATCTTTCGATTTGGGTTCCATACACCAGGCTTGGTCGGTTGTCTGAGCTGTGATGATGATGTTGCGCCAGGTCACCGGTCCCCAGTTCCAGACGCCTTTGCCTTGAAGTTCTATGGAGAGGCTTGCTTGGTGATAGGGCTCCGGACGCTCGCTGTCTTTGTCTGAGGTGGCTAGTCTTTGGTTATATACCGTTCCGCCGGTGAAGCCTTTCTTGCCAGCTTTGACACCCTCGGCATTGACGACGAGACTCCAACTATCGACGTACTTATCGTTCAGTCTGTCCCAGATATACTGCGTCGACATAGCATCGCCCGGATGGACCTCGAACTCTTGTGAAAAGTTACCGCCGGGATGGCAGCAGAAGAAGGGTAGGTAATTCCATTCTCCGGGTCTGGCACCGCCGATTCTTTGGTTTGTGAGGACGTTTTGAAGAAGATCCTTGCTCTGTAGGCCGGGCCAGATGGCTGCCAGATGTCCACCTGGGGGTGATGGGGACGGTGGTGGGATGATCAGTGTTGATTCAAAACGGTATATTGGAGCGTTTTCGGGGGTGCGGAAGTCGAGGCCGTAGATGGCTAAGTTTAGGGGGTCCTGTGCGGTTGTTTCGTGGAAGGAGACTGCTGCTGCGAGTGCAGCGAGGGTACTATGATAACGCATACTCCGTTTGTCGCGTTACTATATAGTTTGTAAGTTCAAAATTTTCTGTACTTCTCCTATTTGATACCTTTACAAAGTTGAGAAACAAGTTTCAAGCAAGAATTTGACCTCTTAAACTTTGATTATTATAGGAGCATTCTGGGAACAATGACATTCATCCTTGACTGTTTTTTGTGAATGGGGCAAAGCACAAATCAGAGTCTCAGCAAGTCAATCAACTCTCTGTTAATAGATTTGTATATTTCAAGCGAGCCACTCCGTTAAAACAGACCGATGATTGTCCTTCGGTCAATCACCACGAAAATAAGAGCACTCAAATCAAGCTCTATTGAATATTCATGGGCGCTTAATATCTGCTGCAGCTCCACAAGATTAATTCTGCACTTTTATATTTGCCTTTACTACTTTACAGGCTTGGTAATTATAATTCAAGGCATTTAATAATTCTTTTCAGGTACCTCGAGAGCCCTATATTTAAAAATCTTAGTAAAAAGACTACTGCTCATTTGGGGTATAAATCTTCCTTTATATCAAATTTTGGTGAAGTTGTTGTTTTTCTTCATCTTAATTGTTGGTATATAACGTTACACAAGGTCAATGTCGCGCCGCAGCCGGACCGGAAGCTCCCTTGGCAGAAGACCGCAGTGTTGGAAGGAAACATTCACCATCAATGATAAGGAATCAAACGCACGAACGCTGATAAGCACATTAAACACAAAGCCCCAGTCCCCACATGAAATTTTGAACACCACCAACACACTTCTGATGAGTGGTATCGAGTCTCAGTCACACCATCCTAACCCTAAAACTGCTTAGGAACAGGCAAAATGACCAACGACACCGACACAGCAAGCACTTGGACAGACTCGCCAGTCGAAAAGATTCCAAATACAACGCCATCTCTTGAGGGACTTCAAACTCAAGAGCAGCGGCTTGTTTTGGACACTGTCGCGAAAATTCGAAAATGTGGTCTTGAGGGTACTGTTTCTCTACCTCAGATTGTGGTTTGTGGGGATCAGTCCTCGGGGAAGAGTTCTCTTCTTGAAGCGTTGACTGGAATTCCGTTTCCAAGAGCTGATGACCTTTGTACAAGATATGCCACAGAAATCAGTCTCAGGCTCGAGCCGACGGAGTCTATTAGCATCAAAATCATACCTGATGAGCGCCGTTCTGCACAGAGCATTTCTGATATTCAAGCGTTCCAGGAGACCATTACCGACTTTAATGAATTGCCTCGGATCATGGAAAAAGCAAACACAGTCATGGGAATCCGGAAGAAAGGAGACATCGCTTCTACCACGAACGCAATTGCACGGGACGTACTGAGCATCGAAATCGCCGGCCCTGGACGTCCGCAACTCACCTTAGTAGATATTCCAGGCCTCGTAAGAGCGGAGAGTAAGAATTCAACTCAGCAAGATATCGATATCATATCCGCCATCACTGAACACTACATCGCCCAAACTCGCACAATTTGCCTTCCAGTTATCGCGGCATCTTACGATCACGTACTTCAAGAGATATTGAAAAGAGTTAGGATTCATGACAAGGAAGGCGATCGCACACTCGGTGTCATCACCAAACCAGACAGACTTTCACACGACTCTGGCGCTGAGAACACCTACATTGACCTTGCAAAAAATCAACATGTACTATTCAAGCTTGGATGGCATGTGATCAGAAACAGAAATCACGAAGAAAGAAATGTATCGTTGACTGAGAGGAGTATTAACGAGGACACATTCTTCAGTACATCAAACTGGAAGCATCTCCCAAGTGATACTGTTGGAATCGACAATTTGAGAAGACGGCTAAGTGTTTTGCTTTTTGACCATGTCAAGAAAGAGCTTCCCAGTCTTCGAGAAGAGCTAGAAGAAAAACTGTCTTTGACTCTGAACCAACTCAACCAGCTCGGGATATCTCGCTCTACGGGGGCAGAATGTAAGGAGTACCTAGCCAAACTGTCTCTGCAGTTCTATGAATTGTCTAAAGCAGCTGTGGATGGTCATTATGAGCACAGTTACTTCCGGCAAAACCCTGATCCAGATTTCAATCTCTCTTCATCCTCTACAATCTGCAGAGCTCGTGCTGTTGTCCAGTCGCTGAACACAAAGTTTTCGGAGGCAATCGATAAGTATGGGAAGAAGTATGACATATCTCTCAAAGACCCCGAGGAATTTGTGGATGAGGAAAATTCTGATGACGAAGAAGATGATGAAGACTATGAAAATGAGGACAAAGATGAAAAGAAGCAAGAATCTGATGGAGAGAAAGAAGAGGAAGAAGAGGCTGTCTTTTCCACCTCTTCGCAGCATGCTTCAACGCCTTCGACACCTGTCGAAGCTCTTGAAGCTACCGAAGTTATTCACAAACTAACCAAAAAAGAAGGCATTGAATGGGTGCGAAAAGCCCTTATCCGAAACAGAGGCAAAGAACTAATTGGAAACTTCAATCCTCTTCTGATTGGGCAACTCTTCTGGGATACTTCTGAAAATTGGTACTCTCTCGCTCTAAAACACATCAACCAAACATCCGAAATAACCACCAGCTTTCTCCGAAACCTCCTCAAAGAAAAGTGTCCAGAAGATATCGAGCAGCGAATCTGGAACTCGCGAATCCACGATGTTTTACGGCAAAGATACAACGCGGCTGTTGATGAACTCGATAAATTGTGGGACGATCACAAGAACTATCCCATCAACTACAATCATTACTATACAGACACGATCGCCAAACGCCGCCAGGTTAGGGAACAAGCGGCCCTTGAGAAGGCAATCACGGATGCTTCGCAACCAATAACATGGTCTAAGAAAATCCAGGGATTGCCCTCGGCTCCTCAATCGTCGAATAACGTCAACATTCAACAAGCAGTGGCGAATTATTCCAAAATCATCGATCCAAATATGGACACATTCAGCTGTGAAGAAGTCCTAGATTGCGTCGATGCTATCTACAAGGTTTGTCACTTCCCAATCCCATTTATGTTCCCTCATATGGAACGACAACTAAATCTTAATCGCCTTAGGTCTCCAAGAAAACATTCGTCGCCAACGTAACCACGCAAGTAATTGAACGCCATCTTCTTCGCGGCCTCGAAATGATTTTCTCGCCGATCTATGTGAATAGTCTTGATGCCGCGCAAGCTGAAGCACTGGCTTCGGAGCCGCTGGCTAGTCGACGCAAGAGGGAGTTCTTGGTAAGTAAGATCAAGAAGCTGAAGGAGGGACAGGAGATCTTCAGGGGTGTGATGTGAGATGAGATGTCAGAGAGTCGGCGTGCACTTTTTGTGCGAAGAAGTGTGAGAATTTAGGATACCTTGAGATCTTGTTGGATTGCATGTCTTTGGACGGACGTATTCAAGCAAGAAGATTTGATTCAATAGAAGATGTCAGTTCTATGCTTCGAATAACAGACCAAGTCCCATTCGTTCGCGACCAGGGTCCCTGAAAGGTGGATGATTTGTGAGTAATTGCGAGTCCAATCAAAATAACACACTCGGCCACTCCATGAATATTCTTTATGAATTGAATACATCTCCACGAAAGTATTAGTGATCTACTAGCTAGTAGTTCCAAATGACTAACTAGTACTCGATATAAATATTCATACTGTTAAATTAAATTACTTAAGACTACTGTTACAACTCAATCCTAAAAACTAAATCGTTTTTTTATAATTGCATACTCAACTCTATATAACGCATATAATACTATAAGCCAAAATTGTTCGTATAACAAAAAGCGTCTTTAAAAACATTCCAACGACCAAATCCTAGATGACTTGACCAATCACGGGTTGAACATATAATTGTTGCAAGGTGATTAATTACTTGTTCATTTTTGATTAAGCCACTTTATCGCGAGCTGGTTAATGAGCGAGGGTTTTCGGTCATAGGGCTCCCCGAGGAGCCATATCCACCTCAGTTTTTCCTCCCCCCTTTCAGACATTCTGTTGCACATCGCACCAATGCTACTGTGCCACTGACCCCAGGTATGTTTTCTTCTTTGGACCTTCTTTTTCCCTTCTTCATGCTTCTTTTTACTTCGTCATATTACTTTTTCCCTCTTACCGCTAGTTTTTTAGACAGTGTGTTTTCCTTTTTGCGGCTGAGCTGCTATGGTGGGGGGTTGATCGTTTGCGGCTGAAAGTAAAGCTTGGAAGATTTATGCGCTGGTGAAAAGGGGAATCGAGGGTTGGGCCACTGAGGACGCCAGTTGAGGTAACAAGATAACATGTAGTTTGTGTATTATTTTGGGTTGGTGAGATTGATAACGTTAAAGTGATTCATAGTCTGAAGTACTTATTACTCAGGTATGAATCGAAATTAATGGTGATAGAATAGTTAAAAGGCTCTGCTCCTTATTTAGCCTTCTGCGAGCAGGATACGGACATGATTTGGTGGATTTGACAGTATCCGTTGGTTGGATATTTCTTAGATAGTGTTTGGATAATGGGAGAAAGTACTGCATCACATCAAACAACATTTCTATAAACAACATCTTATTCATTAAACTACATCCCTTCCTCCCCTGTTTACAAACAAAATCCCTCCTCACAAAACCCCTTTCACTTCGCTAAAAAAAAATCCCTACAACATCACCGCAGCCATCAACCCCAACAAAACCATCCCACTAACTTTCAACCCTCCCGCTCCACTCACAGGCACAAACGGCGAACCCGGTGCACTCGAGCCCGGCGCACCAGGTGCAGTGCCCGAAGGCTTCCCCACCACGCCCGTAGACGCGACAATCCCACCGGTCGTAGGCGCCGCAACACCAGTTCCATTGCCTGCTTTAGTCGGGTACACGACTGCCGTGCTGAGCTTGATGACTGGAGAAGAGGCAGCGGAGGGTGCGGGGCCGGGGTATGTGTAGATTGTTGTTTTGGTTTGGATGATTGTTACGGGGGGGCAGGCTGGGCCGTTGCATGGGAGGGACGCAACTGGGGGAGGAATGGAGGTGCCTGGGTTGAGGGTGGTAGTTGGTGCGGTCTTCACAGAGACAGTCCCTGGGATCGACGCAACTGGAGTTGGCTTTCCGGCGACGGGACAGATTGTGGTGTACAGCGGAATTGTGACGGTGGTGAGGGAGCCGTATGGGCAGTTTGTTACTGTTGCTGGGCATTTGGTTACGGTGCCTGTGGATGTGGTGTAGACTGTTGACGTGGTAAGAGCGCCGCCGTTTCCGCCTGCAGGGGTTGTAGTTGGTGTTGAGATAGCGGAGACAGGGCAGATGGTTGTGTAGAGCGGGACGATGACTGTGGTTACGGAGCCGAGAGGGCAGTTCGTCACGGTCTCTGGGCACTTGGTGATGGTGCTGAGGAAGGTTGTGAAGACTGTTGAGGTTGTCATTGGGGTGGTTGTTGGCTCTAGTGTTAGGGTCTCGATGGTTGAGGATGGGGTGGTGGTCGCGATGGTAGAGCTGTTTCCGTAGTATCTTGATGAGGAAGATGTGCTGGTGCTTATGTTAGCTAGTTTAATCGTCGGTGCTTTTGTTTTGACTTACGTGGAAAAGGTCAATCCGCTGTTGGTTGTTGTGGAAGTCAGAGTTGGGTCTGGAGTTGCGACTGTGGAACTACTGAAATGATGTTAGTAAATCGCATAATACTTCTTTGGGATTCGGTACATACGTGGAAGAGCTGGTCTCGCTAGTGGAGGTTGTGGAATCGCTTGTGGCAGAGCTTGAGACTGAAGTGGATGTGCTTGTCTCGCTAGTCGAGGAGTCGCTTGTGGTCGAGCTGGCAGATGAGCTGGTTGAGCTAGTAGATCCTGTGGTGCTCGAGGAGTCAGTCGAGCTAGACACGGAGCTGCTAACGCTGGTAGAACTCGTAGGATCAGCCGAAGTAGAGCTAGAGACTGAGCTGCTAGTGCTGGTCGAGCTGGTAGGATCAGCGGACGTAGAGCTAGAGACTGAGCTTGTGGCGCTGGTTGCGCTGACAGATGAGCTTGTGCTTGAAGATGCGGTGGAAGAAGCGGAGCTTGACGTGCTAGTAGAGGAGGTTGAGGCAGCAGTTGTTGCTGAGCTGGACAATGAGCTTGAGCTGCTCGTTAAGCTGGCAGATGAGCTCGCACTTGAAGAACTGGTGGTAGAGACGGTAGAGCTAGTCGTTGGCTTGCTGCTGGTAGACGAACTCGTGGAAGATGAAGACGTGGTAACAGGAGCCTCATTCAATTGGAACACTTTCAGACTGTTAATCAACCAGTAGGTATCGGCGTATTTTGAAGGGTTCTTCCCGACGTATTCGGAACAAGTTGGGTACAGAATTGGATCGTAGCAAGAAGTTTGCTTCCAGAAAAAGTCCTGACCGGCCCAGTTTCCACAGAAGGTGGTATCGAGAACCACCTTGTGGTCCTTGAAGTGACTATCAATATCACCCTTTCCTTGAGCTGTGGTGAAAGTGGGCAGTCCCCATTTCGATGGGTCAGGCTTGCCGGCTATGATATCAAGTGGAATGACTACTTTTGGGAAACTCCAGACTCTGATGACATCGCTTGTCCATTCCATTGCGTAAACTCCACCACCGACAGCATTAAGTGCGCTTCCGTATGAGCCAGGGTTAATGTTTGTTGATGCGCAACCTTGACCTGTGAATTGAGATCCGTAGTCAGAGCTTTGGGCGTTATCGTCACAGTTGTACGTAGTCTGATCGCCGCTCTGTTGAAGACCCTTTTTGTTACCTGCGACTGAGAATCCGGCGCTGGTGTGGAGGACGTTCAAGCTCTGAGTGTTCTCGTGGATGTTCTCCAGGATATCAATCTCACCCTGTGCAGGATAGTTGACGTCCGAGTAGCTATATGTGTTATCAGTATTGTCGAACCTACCTTATAAGTTAAGGGCTATACTCACGTCCAGAATGCTGGCCAGTTACCGCAAGTACTTGATGGCATATGGGCCAAATCCAAAATGAACAGACCATGGTTGTAAGTCTTCTTCGTCTCAATTCGAACACTTGGTCGTCCAGCTCCGAATGGGTCGTATGTGTTCGTGTGATCGACACCCATAAAATTCTGGCCGTTTATGGTATTAACCAGTTTACTTCCGAACTTCGTCGAGGCTGCGTCCGCTTGGGATTGATACTGAACATATCCTCGGGTAGGATCAAGGCCCTAACAATGTTAGTGTAAGAACGTTACCAATATCCAAACACATACAGTGAAGAAGTTAAACTTGTTGAAAAAGCCTTCTCCCTCATAAGTCTCGTCAATAGTATAGATCTTTGCGGCGGATGCAGCGGAAGCACAGGCAAGCGCGAATGCGCCAACCTTCATTAATTGTAAAGACATGATATTAGTATTAGATAACGAACGTGGTATTCAAAAGAGTGACTAGACGTATAGACGTCAAAAAGATGAGAGGCAAACTGAATCTCAGAAAGAGTGATGAGAGAAAGTTTGGCCTTGGCCACTCATAATGTGGGTGACACCAGCTCTTTTGTTGCGGGCTTTCATTCAGGTACGGGAAACCAAATTACATTGAACCCATGTCAAGCGACGGATGTGGGAGGTCGTCTGTATACGCACCATACAGAAGCGACATCGTGCCATGTTCACCAACACTTTGATAGTTGTGGCTTGAGTTATTCAAGGACGGGGCTCAAAGTGGTTAGAGCGAGATGTGCTACATGGGTCTGATGGTCGTGTCAGCAAATGCAAAATCACGCCGACTGGAAGGTTGTGAACATATATTTCACTGATGGATGTGAAAATGTCAAGAGTCTTGTCCATGTTGGAGTTGGAAAGCGATGTACTCACTAGCAGATCTTTAGGTTCTGCGGTGTAGCACCAAACTTGAACACAGAAGCATGTTTTGGCGTCTTTCCTCATGGTTCAGCCGTCATTGTCTTGGGCAATGCATCTGGTGTGCTGCAGCTGCCTTCCAGTCGATTGGAAGCGCTTAGCGTATCACAAATCCAGATCAATAATCCAGAAGTGGAAGAGGTTCAGGGGTAAAAACATGTTCGTGCTCAAATAAGCGAAAAGCTACGCTTATGCAGGTACGAAAGTACGGAAAAGCCCACTCAAAACAGCCATTTACGGCAAGCAAGCCGACAGCCCTAAGGACCAGACCCCTTTTTTCAGGGGAGAGGATATAGCCTAGGGCTCAACTTAACTTTGGATCTCCTGGGTTCTCGGTATCCTTAGTCTTGAGTAACCTTTACTAGCCTCTTCCACCTGTCAAACACTTCACATTCCTCAAACAATAGCATTTATCTTTAATAAAGATTCTTTTTTTCACCGGAATCATATCCCACCATCTCCGAAAAAGATATATTCCATCTCGGATAGGCGAGCGCCTCGGCCCAATGGCTTACTTGGGCGTGGCGATGGCGCCTTCTGTGCGGCAAAGCGAATCGCAAGGATAAATTTGCATATTCTGGCCAGTAAAAATGATCTGAGCCAGGAACACGGGAACGATATTCCAGGCTTGGACATCTCATGTGCTTTATTCTTGGCAAGGCAACATCCCACTCTTCGCACAACGACAACAAACGGTATCGTCAGCGTCCTGTAGAGAATCTTGTGTACTTCTTCAAACTTAGCGCGAAGAAAATGTACGTTTTAGATATTTCACTGCTGATGAAGCAACGATTTCATCATTTTGATGATATGTCTCCTTGAAGTTGGGGGTGAAAACCCCAAGCATAGGGTAACGTCTAGGAAGACCATAAGGAATTGTTTACACCCCTACGAAGTATGCACGAGTGACTCATTGGTAATTGCATCTTCCAGATTCGAAATACCAACAGGCAAATCTTGGTTAATTCCAATCTGACATGCGCGATTCGCACGATGGGTATGCCACCAACACGCTTATCGCTGAGGTTAAATCAGACTTCATACGGAAAACAATTGCATGTTCGTCGTATCTGCTTTGAGGATTCTTCTTTTGATGTTGTCTTTTCTCGCCGCAATTTATATTTTTCATTCCTTTAGCCTGGTGTCCTGGTGTTGGTTGGTGATAGTTATTGCTGAGCGAGTTACTGACTTGAGTACTGCATCTGGAGTTTTGCAGTTTCACCGGGAATTCTTATTGCCCGATCATCCGTTCACGAGTCGAGAGTCCAAAACTGTCGAAGGAGGAAATATGATAATTATACATCATTTCCCGAAGGCGCTTCAAGAACTTTCAATCGTATAGACTCGTGACCGTCGCGACTCTAGAACCACAACAGCTATCGTAGCATTTTGAAGCCTCCATTCTCATGGTAAGTTTGAACAAGAGGCTCATGCCTCCTTTTTCGACACTCCCTTCGCTGCTTTGACGAACACCACAGGCCCGCGAGAAGCTTATTCCAAAAACCTTCGAGCATGTACATACTACAGCTGAACTGATTCGGTATGCAAACAGTCTTCAGAAAACAGTAGTTACAAAAACATAATGAATTCATCCACCCTCGTGAGGTAGCAGGGTTATTCTTTCAATCAACATTCCCAAGGACTCAGAGTTTTCTCCCCAGATTTTCTCGAAATGTCAAGGCAGGAGACCAAGGGTTGACGAGACCTCCTTAGAAGAAAGCACTCTCACTTAGGCAAAAGATATGGAGGAATATCCTTAGCTATTAGTTGCCCGAAGCCGACAACTTTTTGTCTATTGTAACTTATTAACCCCTAGGCACTTGGCTGCCTTACATTACATTCTCATAGCACAGGCTTTGATCACGGGATCAAGCGTCCCGATAGATTGGTACGCAGCGGCATCCACAATCTCGTATCATTAGGGAATGGCTTTTTTGGTGAACACATTCTTATCCTTTGGGAGCTTCCAGGTCCATTAAACTGAAAACCCGGCGTCGGAAAATTCAGCTTTGCGCTAGCCAAGAGCGCTAAGAGCTCAAGACTATCCTACTCATGGGAAATAGGTAGGGGAGAAAATCATTGATCATTTTGCCCGAAGGCGACTACTTCTTCTCTAGTTAACATCTTATGCCTTTATACGTCTGGCTTCCTTACAATCCTTGATGTAATTGCATACGATTACTCGATCCGTAAAGCTGCCAAAAATCGAGTTTCTGTTAGCTCTCATAGCTACAGAAAGTAGTGTCTGAACATCCGATTAAATCAACAATTACAAAATTTTATGCGAAAGTGGGCCACCAAGGCGGGCACCAAGATTCCATATGCTGGAGTTTTATCTGCGCCTGCGCACTAATACTGATTGAACACAACTCGTCAGATTTGACGATACTTTAGTCCTATTCAAATTCAATAACACCATCTAATACTTCCTATGCCATTTGGTATCGCTCACTCTCAACGCATATGACCATCGAAAATCGGTGGGCAGGTTGAGCCTGAGCTTCCCTGGAAACCGGCTTGCCTTAACTAAGCCACGAGCGGGATCGTGAGGCCCCACGACCACGTTTGTCAGGGACGAGACTAATGCTTGATGACGATAAAGTCTAGAAGCAATTCTTGTCGCAAGCTACTAGAGGGTTGTGCCTAGATGGAGACGAGTCCAAATGTTCAACGGTGTTCTCCCAAGCCAATCTGATCCGTGGGGTCCGTCTTGGCAAGCCAAATCAAGCCACCTCCTCGTACCTATCCCGTCCTACCCGTGAACTAGCACAGGACAAGATGGTAATGTTTTTCTTGCATGCAAATCTCCATTTGTCATTAATGGTAGTCTGAGGATTCATGCGCTCGACCAAAGTATCGTTCTCTCACTTCATCACCAATGACAATGATTGAATGACATTGGGTCACTGATGAAAGGCTAGTATCACCAAAGTCTCTACATGGACTTTTGCATGGAATTGTGAAATGGAGAAGATGAACACCAGACTTCCTTTCTGTTGTATGAAACGAGATTATTGAAGACCGTAATTCGCTTCAGCGACAGAGACATGACTCTCGTCACTTTGGGGAGATCGGCTGTGAACTCTTCCCACATTTGAGGATTTGTGGCTACACCAAGACCATCTACTAGGTTGAAGTTTTGGTAAGCCACTGCTGGAGCTAAAGAAGGGCTTCGGCATCATCCGTTGTCTGTGAACGAGGAAATCATGGCGCTGGTTCTCTGATCTATTTTATAATCTTATTATTTATAATGTATGAATCTGTAAAGCTTAGAGAAGGAGACCAAGAACAATGTTAAACTTGTGATGCATTCTTTGTCTTAAAGTGATAAAATTACCTATATCATCATAAATATACGACATAATTGCTTGAATAGAAGCCATCCTTATTCGAGAGCGGCGACGTAGATAGTATATTAACACGACTACTAAGGGCTTCGGCAACTTTGGACAGATACCCAAAAGATTTAGCGTATATCTAAAGGTGAAAAACGTCATTGGTTAAAGCTAGGGAGGCTAAAGGTCGTCTTATACGAAGTAGAGTTGGGGTAGTGGGCGTATTAGGTCCTATACTCCTATTAGTGCAGCGTATTGAATTGGGGTAGATGAAATTATCTACGCCTTTAAAGCCAAAAGAACGTGTGGCGAGATATGTTGATAGTTTTAGCCTCTTTGACCAGGCCAAAATAATCTGAAGCCGACTCGTTCACTCGCTGACCTGCGGTATTCTAGCATACATTAGCGACTGAACTACCGTCATTCATACAAGGCGATTCAGTGGGCAAGATATTTAGCTCTCTTCCGGGATTGTTGGACTGAGTCCAGTATAAAGTTACATTGTGTTGTTTACTAACTTTCCACAGCCGACCACGTCTGGCATCGACTTGGCTTTTTTATTTGTCACTGCGAATTTTTACCTTTCCCAAAGCTATAAAGACGACCCTCTACTCTCTCTACAATCATCATCCAGTCAACATCGTAAATCACCAGCAGTCTATCATCTCAATTATCCGCACGACACTCGTCCTACAAGCCTCATTCGCCCTTCCAAGATGCATCCTTCTCGATATCTCGCACTTTTCGCTGCTTTCAGCGGAGCTGTCATTGCTCAAAACGACGACGACAATGACAACGACAGTAACACTACGTAAGCATAACTTCCCAGAATTCTTATTATGCACAGCTAATGGTGACCAGTTCAACCACTCTCGGACCACGTGAATCCGCTGTTACGATTGTCGAAACCTCTTACGAAGTCATCACTTCCACAAATGTCGATTCTTCCGTCTACATCACTTCTCTCCCAAAGAGTCTCTTCACCCGCACGACCCAAGTCGCTGTTGACACTACCCTTGTTCCGGTGCTGACGCCCTCTGTTATCTCAGCTGCCTCCACCTACGTGGTGACAACTAGAACTGGTGCTAATGGAGAGGCGGTTGTGTCCACCGTGATTCCAACCGGCGCTACCGTGGTCTCGAGCGGTGATAGGGTAACCGTGGTCCCCACTGGAGCAACAGCAACCTCAACTGGCGGTGCATATGCTACATACATTCCTGGTGGAGTCGGGCTCATTGCCCTTGGTTTTGCCGCACTTCTGTAGGAAATGGCGTGAAGAATGTGGGCAATAAGAAGATGTAATGGATTGAAAGTTGTAGTAGCCGGGGTGTAGTTTATTTATCCGGAGTGTCGATCAAGGTGTTTGGAAATTTATTTTACTTACAATCAACGAAGACTATGTAATGTCAAACCGTACTAAAACTCTCCGACATAAGACTTCTGAGCCACAATCAATATAATGAAGTATTTCGAGGACTGTCTGTAAGCAGCTATGTTTGCTCCCGATTTCTAGAATCACAGTAGCCAATTTCTATTTCTACAAATTTCAGCCAGTATTTTTTGTTCCCTTCTCCCCGAAAACGGCGAGCACACTGGTTTTAGCAGAGCTCTCTGTGACAATATACAATGACGTCAGCGTAGACGGGTTATCGCAGCTTGTACTAATGTTAGATTAATTAAAGCTGCCATCGATTGTTCTATAAGAACATGTAGAGGTTAAGAGAAAAGAAAACGAAGCTCAAACCATTCCTTTAACACCTAGCCAGAAAAAAACCCAAATCAATACAAGTAGTCGTGACGCTGGTACGCAGAACCAACTCAAGCCTAAGAGACGATTTCCAGAAGGTAAACGGCAGGAGAAAAGCAAACTAGAAATGAGAGGAATCTATAGCGAAATAGAGATACCGCACAGAAAATGTCGCCCGTGTCGCCCGGAACAACTTTCTAAGCGGCGAACATCGCAGTGTAATTATTACACTGTAATATGGACTCGACACTCGATGTCGTCTCTCGGTCATGCATATCATTGGCCGAGCAATGGAGAAGCGTATCTGTGTAAGGCGACGCTAAACCCTAACCTAGCCGTTGCCGTCCCTTTGCGGTTAAAGTCCTAAATTTTGCGACGGAGCCGGAGGAGCGCTCGCGTAGTGTTGCTGCGTTCCGAGGCTCTTCTATAGCCTGGTCAAATGTAAAGTAGTGCTAGCTAGAAGTAGTACACCCACAAATTTAACGCCTAACCCTAAGCCGCAGTTAGAGAAACCATGTAAAATTGCACTCCAAGCAACGACAACTTCAAACACACAACTTCAAACACACAACTTCAAACACCCAGCAATTTGTGAAAAAATTTCAAAATCACACGCCAGGGTTCTTCAGTTTTACAGGAATATGGATGTACACTGGCATCGGACGTGGCCAGAGATGGGGAAGCTACACGTTTTTGACCCAGATAGTGACGTATTTTTGATACTCGAACCCGACGTCATCAAGAGGATGAGATGACTTGGAGGAACAAGGTCCGTCAGAACCATACGAGGCGGTACCTCCACAATCGGCGGCTAGAACTACCCCAGACTGGCCTGAGCTTGACTTGGGTCTGTTGAGTGACCAGAGTTACAGGGTATATAATCTAGAGTAGACCAGAAAGTGTCGCCTCCAGGCAAACAATGGCCAATCCCTCCTTTCAGCTAGTAGTCTCACTATCTGGGTGAGGCGGCTTCTCCTCTTGGCAGATGAACCAGAAGGGCTTGAAGCTAAACCGGAGTCTGGACGAGACGAGTCTAAAGCAGAAACTAGGCCTAGGTACCGGAGCTGTGGATGGTGTGGATGGTGGCAACTTCCGCATCGGCTTGCTTAGGTAGGCGGGAGTCGAAACCATGGGTTGAAAAGGTTCAAATGATCTCATTAAAGCATCTTATCCTCGAGTTCTAGATTTAGAGTAAAATAAGGTAGTTTAGGTCTAACACTAATCTACTCTTTATTTGCCTCTTGTTTTATCTGCAATGAGCGAGATGCATGGAAGCGCTATCTATATCACATCACCTCTAACGACTTAGATTGTAGATTACCGTCTCAGAGAGCGACATGATGAAGTAAAATTCGAGAGAACGACCATTTGCTATGCCGAGAATACCTTCATCATGTTCCTGAAAAGTAATTTGGCTCAATCACTTCACATTAGCCGACACACGACCCCACATGAACGATGAACGACTCTCACCGTCCTGAAATCGGGAGACTACTATTTCACGTTCTTGATCATCAAGTAAATACGGTATATAATCTATGAGCATAAGGAATTTTTAACAGCAATTGAACGCGATGAATCTCCTCATCATAGCAAGCCTCCTTTGCGTAGACACCTCCACGCGCGACAAGGTAAACCCATCCATCCACCACCACCACACTCCCCCAAACTAACAACCCCCCGGCTTCTAGATCTAATGACCAACGTCTCCAAAAACGCATACACAAACGAACCCGGCGTCCATAAATTCGCGCTCTTCACACCCCTCAACGACACGAATAACAACACGTTGTGGACGATTGAACAGTAAATCCCGTCACCAGGTAAAGTAAAAGAGGTATCAAGGCTGACGAACGCAGGTACACAAACCAATCATCCTTCGACGCCCATTTCACAACCAAACCCGTGCAAGATATGTTTGCGTGGATAAACTCCGCTGACATTTACGTTTCGCCGCCGGAAGTGCATTCGCTTAATATAAGTGCGGCATCTGATTTCGCTCGAAAACAAGTATTAGTAGAGGACAATCCGTGGTTTGTCATATCGCAGAAGACCTATCAAGAAGGGAAAAGAGCGCTAGGAATTGAAGCTTGGACGGGGGTCGTCTCGGAAGCCAAGAGGGAAGAGGGGATGTTGGTTTCGATGTTTGGGTATGGTGAGGGGGAAGGGGAGGGAGATGGTTTGATTGTGCTGGAGGGGGCGGCTGGGAGGGATTATTTTGAGGGTGTGCATTGGAAGAGTGAGGCGTGGAGGCGGATGGAGGAGGTGGAGAGGGAGGTCGGGAAGGGGAGTGTGAGTACGGAGGTGAAGTTTGCGGGGGGTTATTTGCATAAGTAATCTTGGAGATTGCGTTCTGAGATTAGGGAGCTTCAATGAAATGAATTTTCGATGTTTTAGAGTGTATGTGAAGTGGTCTACATTAGAGAAACTTCGAAAAGAATGTCGCTATTGTATCACGAATGGTTAGGGGAGACGTGTGATTTTTCAGTGGTCTGGATTACTTCGATTGCCCGCTATGTGGTAACATTCCTCCATTCCAATGCCAACGGTAGACTCATGCTCGGGTTGTAGATTACATTTACTTGGCTTTCTCACACCCCATACAAGGAAGCAGGTCGCAAGTCAGTGAATTTGCGATTATATTGATAGCAAATCAGTCAGTTACCTCGATCTCGACAACGACAAAACAACTCAACATCTCCGAAAATCGTATCCCATCTACCCCAACCTAACCCCCCGCCCCAAAACCCTCAAAGGCCTCAAGCCCTTGCTCTCCCTCCTCACCGACCTCATCAAATACCGCATCCTCCCCTCCCACCCCAGAACACCCACTAACTCCGCCATCTCCCACGACCTTACAGCATCCTCCCACCTCCCCAGCCTCTGAAAACAAAGTCCGATATAAACCCTACATTTACAAACCATATATCCCACCTCCGCACTCTCCGCAACACACAACGCGATCATCGCATCGCCGAGCCCGACACTCTCAGGGCTGTATTCAGATCCCTTCTTCAAGCCCTTGAGTTTACAACAACACCGCAACAACAGCAGATTCACTCTTTGAACCACGCGCGAGATACGTACATTCCTTTTCTCCCACGCCACATTAAATCTAGGCGTGCGTAATTTCTCGCCTTTCCAAAACCCATCCCCGGGGTCATCGAGCAGGTAATCCAGCACTTTCATACACGCCTCCGGATTTTCCTGGAATGCATCCTGGACATTAAAATCCGGGCCCTCGAGTCCCTCGTCCTCGACACGAAACCACAAGTTCCCGCCGAGCCAGACCTCCTCGTCCATTTCCTCTTCGCGGAACATATGGCCTTCGATGCGGCGTAATTTGTTGCGTGCGTTGGCCATGCGGATGGATTTTGATTTCGCGATGTCGGGGGTTAGCGTGATGTCTTTTTGGTAGATGGTGTTCCGTCGCGGCGTTGGTGGAGTGTTTAGGATCAGTTGTACTGGACTTTCGGCGAGGCGTGGGGATTTTCTTGTGCCATGTCCAGTAATTGAGGGGGAGGGTGAGATTGATGGTTGAGGGAGTTGTTTGAGGTGTAGGGGGAGAGATGCGCGGGTTGATTCTAGGGGTGGAAGAGATCTATTGGTGACTCGGAGGGTGGTGGTTTTGGGGAGTGCGCGAGGACGGATTGCGGTTTTAAAAAGGCGGTTTCGGTTTCGGAGGGCGACTTTAATGTAGTCTTTCGCCTGACGCGTTGTTCGACGGCGGCGACGGAGGGGTTGGAATCTTTCCATTTCATGTTGAATAGGGTATAGCCTCCGGGCATGTCATATACTTTGACTCCAATTATAGAGAGTGACGATCTGAGAGCAAACGAATAAGATGCGGACCAGAAGATGAAAGATTTTCGAATTGGGCGTTGTGGATGAACAAAGAAAATGCTTCCAGAAGTTGTAAGCTCTCAACTTCAGAATATGGTTTTCGAAGAGCGAGCTTCGAGCAAAGCGAAAACAAAGGCTTTCTGATATTTCTAGAATATATTATCATGCCTGGAAAAGTAAAGGTGTGCGATCGTCTGACTCAAAAAGAGCACAATATCCAACTAGTTGTGCGTCGAAGTCTCTTTGTCTCCTCGACGTTCCCGTCCACCTCTTTGTTCCTACCCCCAAGACGGACACCAAAAGCTTTATCAAAGCCAAACCAAAGATAGCCACTTCATAATAATGTTTCCATCTCAAGTGATACACCTGCAATTAAAATTTTCCATTCACATATCGACGCTCTACATCAAAATCCCACAAACTCCAAACCCAAAATGGCACCAAGAAATAAAGGAAAAAAGGCCGCAGCAGCCAAGGCAGCCAAAGAAGCTGAAGAAAGCGCTCAGAAAGCAGCTGCAGCATCCTCATCTGCTTCTAAATCTCAAAAAGGTATTGACAAAGGTGTGACTCTGCAAGTTCCAACAAGCTCGGAGTCCATCACAGGAACACCAGCACCTACACCCACCGCGTCCGTTCCGAAAACCAGTACAAGCGGATTCGGTAGAGATTCCGCGACTGGATCCACCATTGAGCTTCAAGAACCACAAGATGAAGTGCCTGAAGAAGGTTACGGCTCCGAAGATTCAGCAGACTCAGCAGAGATCGCAGCAATGTTCGGAAGCGGCGGCGCTCCACGAGCCGACTCTTTCAGCGAAGGCGATGATGGTGCTACTCTGGCAAGCCCAAAAGACGAGACTCCAGAGCCATTCGAAGATACAACGCCATCCTATAACTCCATTCAAGAGATCGAATTCGAACCCCCCATCTCACGCAAACCCAAATTAAAGTCTCTCTTCGTCCCACTCCCATCACCACCCATACCCGGGCAGGAAGATACATCGGACGTACAAATTTACGACCCTGAGACTGATGGGACAGTTGATGGCTCGGTCGTTCGCCCGCGTACTCCGCCGCTAAAACGTCTTGCTACTATTGCAGCGGCGCAAAAGGCGAATGCGAAGGCGCGAAAGGAGGCTGGGTCGAATAAACCGTCTCTGTTTGTCCCGGCCGGAAAGACAGATGATGATGGGAATTTGGGGTATCTCCAGGCGCCGTTAATGGTTGATGGGAGTGATCAAATGCTTGCGGTAGATAGTGCCGAGGAGATTGCAAAGTTGAATGCGCAGGCGGCGGTGACGCAGTATGTTGAGGTTAGGAATGAGAGTCTGGTTGCGGATTTGGGTGAGAGTGTAAGTTTGATGCTATTCTCGTTTTGTGATGTTGAAGGTTTACTGACGTGAAAACCTCAGATATCAAAGGAACTGGAACAATGGCGGAGCTATGCCAAGAAGGCTCCTAAGTCAGAAGAAGCCGTCAAAATCGCGAATGCGGCCATCGAAGCATTACAAAAGTCTCAGCTTCGACTCATTGGAGAAAACTTGAATCTCAAACTCGTAACTGACGTGCTTCAAGAGGAAACCAAGAAGCTGACCCAGACTGTCAACGGTGCTCTTTTCCAGCAAGCGGGCGTGGAAACAGAGTTCGCCCGTGAACACAAAATGATCCAAGCTAGGAATCTAAAGGTAATTGCCCGTCTGGAAGAAAAGATCGCACGACTGCAAAACACTGAGGCTCATGTACTGCTTAAAGAGTCCGAGAGTAAAAATCAATCGCTGCTTGAAATAAACACAGGATATGCTGCTCATCTTAAAGAAATTGCCGAAGACTACAAGAGGTTGCAGGAACAGTTTTTGGAGTTAAAGACGCAACAAGATTACGTCAAAGCTTCAGTGCAACCACAGTTGAAAGACAACGAGGAACTGTGGGTACCTGAGATGGAAGAGGAGTTTGCAAAGCTTCGGTCGGAGAAGGAGAAAGATGAGCTTATCATACGCCAAGGGACCGAGATTTCTGTTCTTCAGAAACAACAGAAAGAGGCCGAGAAGAAAATCAGCGCTTATGCTAAGAGCGGTAACAAGCCCGTAGGAGTTAGGCACAGGAATGAAGGGTCCGCACTAGGTTCACCACAGAGCGCTGTTCAAACACGGAGCGCTGCTGAAGGAGGTGTGTACAGCATGACATTCTTGGTAATGAGTCGCTAATTGAGGTTGCAGATTCTCTCAAGTATGCCACGCGTCATGGTAGACCATCCGAGCTAGCCGTCTCCGTTGCTATACTTCGTGCAGAGCAAGGACTGAAGTATATGCAAGGAAGTCGTGCAAGCAGAGGTATCAAACAGGGCGACATTCGCAACGCTAGAGCTGCAGCTTGCGAAGCTTACACCATGAGTCTTGATCTCGCTGACGAACGACTTCAAAGCCGCTGTTTGTTTTGGCTAGGAGTGATCGAGTTTTATGATTCCAACCCATGGGCTGCTCGGAACGCAATCCTTGAAGCTCAATCGTGCAATGAGTGGGTGCTCAACGAGGAAGAGGAAGCCTGGTTGGAGAAATGGCTGGACGCTACAGAGAAAGGGAATAAACCCAGCCAGAGCTCTTCCGACTATGAAATCCCTTCCGAAGCTGCAATCCCACCTAGCTCCGAAGGTGAAGATGAATGGGAGAAGGTAACCAAATCAGACGTTCCAGGCCAACTTAAGGCACAGAGAGGAATTAGGGTGGATGACATTTCAGCCAAGTCTGCAGAGGAGAGGCGGTCGAGATGGGATGTGATGAGTTATTATATTTGAATACACCGCCGTCAGCTTTGATTGTTTGATGGATGGATTTGTTGAGTATGTTATTGTAATTTGGAATATGCTTCCATTTGACCGATTATTGTAGTATGCTGCTCATTGGAATGTTCCATACCCATCCTGCAATTGCCATCGCTCCTATGCTCATTGTCAGCGCCATGAGAAAATTAACCTCGTTGTTGTCCAGTATCCCCAGTGAGCCACTTTCTACTACTCTGCTTGGTTTGTTGTCTCCGAAACTCGGTTGTCGATCTTTCTTTTGAGCATTATATCTTTTAGCCTCCACAGCAGTCGGCTCCATGTCGTCCTCATCCCCAACAGCCTGTATTGGTATCGAGTCTTTGCCCTGTCCATTCAGTAACTGAGACTTGACTTCAGCTTTCTTGTCATAGTGCATGCTGCTTGGCCCTCGTTTGGACACCAGAACAGTTTTGCCTCCTTCTCCTTCCACAATTCTCCCTGTCCTCGTGTCGACCACACTTTGTTGAAGCCAGCCTCCGAGGAAGCTATCAAGTGTACTTCCAAGGGCACCCCATAAGGTCATAGCGAATGTAAATCTCTGTCTCTCCTTGAATGACCAGCCATTGCTCGCCTTCACGTCGCAGAAAGGTGTGAGTGCCATAGATGCTGTCACAATGACGAGCGACCCGAGTAAACCTGCGGCAGATCCCCAAGCCGTGACACCACCATTTGTTCCAGGAGGCACTTGTCGGAAGGTTGGGGAGGTGATAAGTCGAGGTTTCGATTTCGAAAGTATTCCCAGCTCCGAGCTAAAGGTATCTGCTGCTACTGCAGCATAGTTTGCGATGATGCCAACGACTAAGAGGTCTCCAGGAAGCGAAAAGCATTTGTCTGTGGAGTACTGTTCGCGACGGCGGAGTTGGTAGGTATGAAGAAGACAGAGAACAGATGCGACTGCTGAGTTTGCGAAAACTAATGTTGTCAGTATATGATGGCTGATGGACTGCGATTGTTTTCTACCTTGAACATGCGTTCTTGCGCCTTCACCCCCCGCGTTACCTGTAGATTGCATCGTTAATGTCGCCTTGACATCGTGCTTAACCTGTTTGATCGTCAGTGGCTTAATGTTAACTAGAGATTCCTCGTTTACCTTTGTCACTCTTGTCCCAGCTAAAAAGAACACTATTAGAAGCGCAAAAGGCAAATTCCACGGATGGTAGGCATGTGCTATAGCTGTGAGAGTAGCAGCAATAATTCCTGCTGGCGTCAGAGACTGATGCGACCAAGCGCGATATATCATAGCCGCAGTAATCGGCACCGCGAATATGGCCTTCATTTTGAATGTCTTATCTCGAGAGTTGGTGTTGATGGTGTTGAAATTGGCAGAGTAGGAACTTCAACGAGGCAGAAGCAGTATCAACAATGCCCAGCCGGTGACGTCGCGAGTCATCATCCGGCAATTGCCCGGATTCGTCTGACATTGTCTGTACAACACCAAACCTCTCGTCTTCCAATTCTGTTCAATTTGGTAACAAAAAGATTGTGCTACTATTTGTGCTCGACTCAAGAAATTGCCATTGCTGCAATTTATGACAATGGCAATTACACGAGACGAAGGCTTGGGGCAGATACAGCTCTGGAAGCTGCTTATCTAGCCGTGTCCCAAGCTATTCTTCAATCAATCCCACTCTTGTAGCTCTACCAAAGCTGCAATGCAATGAGTTACTAAATGCAGGTCCTGATTAAGGTTTACGTGCTTAGCGCATGTTGAACATGATAAGATCAGTGTTACTTCATTAGGTCCCAGCCTTCTTCTTTCCGCCCTCTCTATGTACTCTTATTTCTTTTCTTTTATTGTTCAAAAGCTCACATCTTCGAGTCCCTCAATATGCTTATGCCACGTCAAATCTCATTTCTGGCTCTATTAGGCTTGAATTCAGCTTCAATTGCGTACGAGAATCAAACTCAGTCCCCTGGAATCGGTGGGCAGGTTCTAGTCACGCCCTCTCAATACGATTTTCCAGTTCTTCAGAATGGATCCTACCAAAACCAAGGACAATTTCCAATGCCGTTATGCCATGGAATTACCCTGGAAGAGGCGACAATTGACCAACTCCAAGGTTACATGGCTGCTGGTAATCTGACATCGGTTCAACTGGCCATGTGCTACGTACAAAGGATACTGCAGACGGACGAGTATACCAGGTAATAACGATATCGGATTCATTAGGCACGTTACTGATTAGAGTTGGATATAGTGCCATTATGGAAATGAATCCAGACATGTTCGAGATTTCTGCCAATCTGGACTTAGAGCGATCTCAAGGTCATGTTCGGGGACCCCTTCATGGAATTCCATTCATTGTCAAAGACAATATAGCGACAAAAGACAAGATGGAAACGACAGCAGGAGCCTGGATGTTGTTAGGATCTGTTGTTCCGAGGGATGCTTATGTCGTGGCTCGGCTAAGAGAAGCCGGAGCTTTACTGATGGGCCATGCCACTCTGAGTGAGTGGGCAGATATGAGATCAAACTCATATTCAGAGGGCTATTCTGCGAGGGGCGGACAGGCTAGATCGCCATATAATCTGACAACCAACCCTGGTGGAAGTAGTTCTGGAAGTGCAGGTGCGGTTGCTGCTAATTTGGTTATGTTTTCGTTGGGTACGGAGACGGACGGAAGTGTGATAAATCCTGCAGAGCGTAACGGGCTGGTAGGTATCAAGCCCACTGTTGGGTTGACATCTCGAGATGGGCAAGTCGATCACTCACTCTTAAACCACGTGACTAATTATTGTAGTGTCATCCCAGAATCCCACAATCAAGACACAGTTGGCTGCCTAACAAGAACTGTCGTTGATGGAGTTTATTGCTTGGACGGTATTTATGGTCGTGACCCTCGCGATAATTACACACTTGTTCAAGAATCTCCCGACAATGGCTACACCCAGTATCTCCGCAATTCCTCAGCATTATCAGGCATGAGCTTCGGGCTTCCATGGCTGTCATTCTGGCAATACGCCTCGTTAGATATGCAAAGCCAGCTTCTCGAACTGATCGACATAATTACCGATGCCGGTGCAACAGTGATCAACAGTACCGAACTACCAAGCTGGCAACAATCTATCAGCCCTGATGGATGGGACTGGGATTACGGCACTACTCGTGGCTCCCCAAACGAATCCGAGTACACCTATGTGAAAACAGATTTCTACAACGATATAACAGCGTATCTTGCAAATCTCAACAACACTTCAATTCGAACACTCGAAAATATCATGGAATATAACGTTCAAAACGTTGGTTCTGAGGGAGGACTACCCAACGTCCATCCCGCGTTCAAATCCGGCCAGGACGGATTCAACGCCTCCCTTCAAACCCGCGGCATCATGGACGAAACCTACTGGCAAGCCCTTAACTTCTGTCATCGCATGACCCGGGAAGATGGAATAGACGGTGCTTTATTCAACAACGGAAGTTCTCTGACAGCTCTATTAGTCCCAAGTGATGTCGGGCAGACATATCAAATCGCTGCGCAGGCAGGATATCCAATGATCACGCTCCCGGCAGGTATAACACCGGAGACGGGTATGCCATTCGGATTGGGTATCATGGGAACGGCATGGAGTGAAGGGACTTTGATCTCGGTTGCTAGCGCTATTGAGGATTTGCAGTTTAAAAGTGGGACGGGGTTGAAGAGAAGTTTGCCTAGGTGGTTGGATTATCGGGCGAGGAATGTGCCGGTTAATAATGTATGATTATTTTAGCTTTAGGTAGACTTACCGACTATATTTGCTTTATTGAAATAGATGTAGCGGAACAGAGGTTACCTTGCTTGCTCACCAACCTCTGATTCCGTTCTATTTTCGCTCACGTTATCCCCACCTAGACTGTACAACCTATACCCCGCCCCGCCGGATTTAACTTCAATAATGCATAACATCCACAAACCCCCCGCCATCAAGATGAACTTAAACGAATGAATACGAAAACGATGTATGATGGACTATTTGAGCTCGGAGTAAGAAGTAAATTTAAATCTGTCACGCTCAACCTGAACGTTTCCTGACCAGTAGTAACAGGGCCACTTAATCAGCCAAGCCATCAGAGGCTTAAGATTTAGAATAATAGTTCCTTAAAGGTCCGCACAATTTATGCCGAAAGATCTTACCTATTCCCACGTCCCCAGAACCAACCTCCCCACCAAGTCAACACACACAGTACCCTTCCACAATCCCCAAGCGCACCCTACCGATCCACTCCACACTATGGCGTACAAAATCCGATTACTAAGACCCTCACATATCCAGCCCTCCTACATCCAATATAAAATGTTATTCCGATTGGCATCTCATACCTAAGTATTGCACGACATAGCTCGGCACTGTATGGCTTCGGCTCGGATGCAATTCGCTTAACGTCCGACCTAACCCCCTTTCCTCTCCCACGCTGCCTAGGTGGAAAGAGAACACAACGTCACTTACTACTCCTTGTCCAGAAAACAGTAAGATGTTTGTGGGCTTCAAATTTGGGGAGTTGTTACACAACCTAAGGTAACACTGATTACAGTACATAGGGTAAATTATCTCGTGGACTCGGCGCGAGTGAGTGCCGGTAGGTATTATGTTTTGCATGCAGAGGAGGGGAGTGGAGTTAAGGGGATGGGTGCATGTGTGTATAAAGGGAGGAGAGTTCTGTCACGGAGAGGTAGAACTCAAAAAAGACTGCAATCTCTGCAACTCCATCTCTTCAAATATCGTTACTCTCATCCTGACTATTTCCTACTTCCTCGTTGTGAGAAGGTATTATCAAAATGTCCTCCCAATGCCCCTTCGACGACGGCTCAGGCATCGCTCCTCACCCAATGCCTCCCCAGCTAGAAACCCCCATCCAACAACTCCCCATCCCCCAACCACCAACCCACCTCTTCGGCCTCCTAGGCAACATCCCGGAAATGGATCCCTCCTTCCCGGCCCGCTCCTTCTGGCGGCTCAACCAACTCTACGGTCCCATCGTAAAACTCTCCCTCAAGACCCCCACCATCCTACTCTCATCCCAAGAATTCGTCAACGAAGTATGCGACGAATCGCGGTTCGAGAAATACCCCGGGTCGCTTTTGGTCGAGGTGCGGCCGTTGCTGGGTGATGGATTGTTTACCGCGTTTCCGGATGAGAAGGCGTGGGGGATTGCGCATCGGACGCTGATGCCGGTTTTTGGGCCGATGGGGGTGAGGAAGATGTTTGATGGGATGTTGGATATTGCGTGTCAGATGGTGTTGAGGTGGGATCGGTTGGGGCCGGATCATGAGATTGAGTGTAGTGATGATTTGACGAGGTTAGGTAAGTGGCCTGAAACAAATTTATCGAGAGATCTGTTGACACGAGTTAGCCTTTGATACAATTGGGTTGTGTGCATACAGTTATCGCTTTAACGAGTTTTATACCGATCATCCTCATCCGTTTGCTCAACAAAGTATGATTTTGCCCTTTCCCATGATGTTGTTGTGGTTAGGACGAAGAGATGCTGACATTCGATACAGTGGCCGACGTGCTTATCGAATCTGGAAAACGAGGTTCGCGGCCAAGCTTGTTGAACAAATTCTACCTAAAAGATGAACGCATCAGGCAAGAGAATGTCAGGAAGATGCATGATCTTGCTGATCAGATACTTGCTGAACGAAAAGCACATCCAAAGCCGGATGCTAATGATTTACTCAACACGATGATATACGCAGTTGATAGCGTGACTGGGGAGAAACTTACTGATGAGATGATCCGATATAACATGTGCACTTTCCTGGTGAGTACATCTCGGGTTATATGTGAGAATCGTAAAAACCTAATTTTGGACAGGTCGCAGGCCATGAAACGACAAGCTCTACACTATCTTTCACTTACTATAATCTGTTGAATAACCCAGAAAAACTGCACAAAGCTCAGCAAGAAGTGGACGAAGTTTTGGGAGACAGCATAATGACAGTAGACCACATACCAAAGTTCAAGTACATCGATGCGTGTCTCAAGGAGACCCTTCGTCTAAGCAGTCCCATCAACGGAATATCTGTCAAACCCAAACAAGATACCACTCTCGGAGGTGGTAGATACACCGTCAGTAGGGAAGATTTCATCTCAGTTAACATGAAAGGTCTCCATCACGACGTGAAAGTTTGGGGAGAAGATCACGATGAGTTCAAACCTGAAAGGATGTTTGACGATAAATTCAACGCTCTGCCTCCAAATTCTTGGAAGCCTTTCGGAAACGGAGCCAGAGGATGTATTGGTCGTGGCTTTGCATGGCAAGAAATGCTGATGAACGTTGCTTTGGTGCTTCAGCGCTTTCAAATTGAGAAGGCAGACCCGAATTACAAACTTGAGCTCAAATCGACTTTGACAATCAAGCCATGGAACTGGCGGATGAAGGTAAGATACCCTTAATCGTGTATCGTGTATTGTACACATCGCGACATGACTATTCGGAGCTCATGTTAATGATGTCTTTTTTTTCAGGTTCGTCGCAGGCCCGGAAAGGCATTGATGACTGGTATTCCCGGTGGTATCCCTTCTGAGGTTGCCCAGAAATCAAAGGCGACCTCCGAAAACGCCCAAGACTCAACTGGGTCGGAAGCGAAGGCAGCAAAATTCACTATATTCTTCGGTGGAAATGCCGGCACCTGCGAGGGAATGGCCCAAGACCTTCAAAGTAGAGCACAGGCTCATGGACTCGAAGGAGAGATTCAAGCTCTGGATTCCGCGACTGAAAACTTGCCAACTGATCGTCCTATTGTGATCATCACCTCTTCTTACGAAGGCAAACCGCCGGACAATGCCAAAAAGTTCGTCAGCTGGTTAGAAACCAAGTCCGATGTTTCACTGCTCAAGGATGTCAAGTACGCTGTTTTCGGTGTCGGCAACTCGGACTGGGTGGACACCTATCATCGTATTCCAAGGGTTGTCGACGAAGGTTTGAAGAGACTGGGAGCCCAAAGACTTTGCGACACTGGGTTTTCCAACGTTAAAGAAGACCTGATTGGGCCGTGGGAAGAGTTTTTGGATCCGCTGATAGAATCGTTGCGGAAAGCTGTAGGTGCAAGCGGCGACGTTCTTACCAAAGAATTAGCAGTCGATATACAAACCAGCAAGGATCCAAAAATACCTCCACGAGACGAAAGTGCTTTCGGAACGGTTCTTGTGAACCGGGAGCTTGCTAGCAATGAGATTGGCCCGGCAAAGAAACATATGGAGATTCGTCTTCCAGCCTTAGAGGGTGCAGAACACTACACTGCTGGCGACTATCTCGTTGTCACTCCGAGAAACCCCAAGATAGTCGTTGAGAGGGTCATAAGCCATTTCGATCTCAAAGAAGACCAGAACATCAGCTTTAAGAACTCCAAGAAATTCTTTCTGCCGACTACGCCAATCTCAGTAAAAGAGTTCTTGTTCACTGCAGTTGAACTGAGTACACCAATCACAAAAAAACAAGTCGAAACTGTGGTTGCATCTGCAAAACAGGAACAAAAGTCGAAGATCGAAATCCTGAGAGATGCAGAAGTATATCAAGGGCTTCTCAAGAGGCGTTACAGCATCCTAGACATCCTCGATGAATATGATGTGGATATACCTCTGAGTACTTACGTCGATATGCTGCAACCCTTAGCCGCTCGACAGTACTCAATATCATCTTCTGCATTATACCCTGACAACAATCCAGGAAACGAAGAACACGCGGACATCTTGTCTATCACCTACGATGTGCTTGAACAGCCGGCCCTTTCGGGTAACGGGACATTCTACGGTGTAGCTTCCACATATCTCGCTTCTAGGCGCCCTGGCGACAGAATAGCTTGTGCAACACGTTCTACCAACGTCAACTTCCGACTTCCGAAGGACCCGGAGACACCTGTGATTATGATCGCAGCAGGGACAGGTATTGCTCCAATGCGGGCATTCATCCAGGAACGTGCAGCGATTGCAGAAGCAGGTGCTCGCAAGCTTGGACCTGCAATCCTATTCTTCGGGTGTCGCCACGCGGACAAGGATTTCATCTACAAAGACGAACTCAGTAAATGGGAGAGTGAAGGTATCGTCGAAGTGAAGCCTGCATTCAGTAAAATGTCGGATAAGCCTGTCTATGTCCAGGATGTTATTTGGGAAAATCGGGAGAAGGCGAGAACAATGTTCCAAGCCGGTGGAAAGATCTTCTTGTGCGGAAGTGCTTCGAAACTTGGGAAAAGCGCAGCAGATATCTGTAAGAAGATATACCGTGAAGGCAAAAATTGTAGTGAGGAGGAGGCCGCAGAATGGTTGGACAGGCAGAAAGAGGATCGTTATGTCAGTGATGTTTTTGGTTAGTTTTCTTTGCGCGGAAGCTCGACAAGAAGCCTTGGATGATATAGCGAGTGGTGAATGGGATCCGCAGTTTTGCTTCATGTCCTCGACGAATTAATAAAAACCTTACGTTTCTTTTCATACCCAATGTTTATATGCTTTCTTCTCAGTGAGCGATTTTGGTCATCAGTGTTCGTAAACAGCTCGATTGCTATGAATGAAGGATGAAGCCTTCGGAGGAGCGCTCGCAATGCACAGGTCATCAAAGCAGTATAGTCGCATGTAGAACCGTGTGTTGAGTCGTCGTTGAGCATCATATCATTATCTCCTGGATTTGTGATGATGGATTGAGAAACTTTGGGATTGATGAAGTCGTTAATTGTGGGCGTGGCTGTATCCGGCTAGCTGCATGGAGGTGTGCACTTATCCAAACAAGCAAACGCACCCCTCTCCGAATTTCCATCCCTGTTGATGCCTCTCAACATCAACTCTCCTCATTCAACATTTCATCATGCATCAACAGCTTCATTGTGATTGACGGTGAAGCCTTCAACTTGCATCTTACATCTCATATATCTTGCTACCTTCCTGTTTGACCTTCCTTTATCTCGTATCTTCAAGCAATCCCGCATCAAGCTCAACCCACGGCCAACGACAAGCTGATGCTGTGCCTCCAGGGCGTAAATGTCGTGACCATGGCTCGCCTGTCCGAATTTGTCTCTCATGCTGGTTTCGATGTCGCATTTCTGACCTTCGTAAGCCCCAAACGTTCTGCCAAGCAAAACGTTCTGGTAAGGTCTGGTATCCGTCATCTTCAGTGCATGAGGAAAGCCTTCCGGACGGCTTGGCAACCTTCCATGTCTGTTCTATAATGGGTATCATTGGCTTGTTTCATCTGATGTACTTCGATAGATTGAGGTATGTATATGCTTTTGTCAAAGTCGTATGTATTGTCAATCATATTTAGCAATTGTTCAGATTTTGCAAGATAACAGGTCTGAGCCTGTGTTATTTACCATAATATGGGTGCAGCTTGTTCTTTTATAGACAGAAATATCGAGATATATATTGATGAGGTAAGACATATGGCCCAAATGTACGCCGAAAAAATGTCACAGTCAATCGGATGCCTGACATCTTGTATTACTTGAAAGCCTTTGTACAGCTCGCTAATTCCGGCCACCTCGAAGCGACACTGTTCATTGCTGTCAGCACCATTTCCAGAATGCAGGTTCGAGGTAGGAATAAATGGGGCCCACGTTGTTCCCCTGCTAACACCATTCCTCTGCCGTTGTTCGATGGAAATATGATGATCGACTGTCGAGTGTTACCTGGTCCTCGGAATAATCTTCGGTTTTGTTGGCCGTTGGGCGGCTTGGACCAATCATATTTCTACTTCTTGTCATGCTTTGTGGTTCACAACATGTTGAGCGTTCGCCGCCATCGTATACTACATTGGGATATTGGAGGTCAGATTTGTGGGTGCTTTGGAGCATATATAAAGACCATGGCAAGACCAGTAGTAGTTCTCTTCACCAACCGCACCTTCGTTATCATCGGTCATTCCATCACTACAGCTCACAATGCTTCTCACTACCTTTGTCTCAGGCTGGAGTGTGCTTTTGGCCGCTACTGTCATTGACGTTGCTTCAGCTAAGTTCGCTCTTACTGGTAAGTCAATGGTATCTTCAAATCCAAAGATTGGAACTGACGATTCAGGTGTCTTCACTGGGGTAGATGCCAAAACAGGATATCGTCCACCTCGAAGAGAAATTGAAGATTTGGCTGGGGATGTGAAACAATTGTAAGCCAATCTCGAATTCTTCAGACGGATTCTACTGACGACTTTGGAAGCTCCCTCTATGTTCAGGCTGTGAACGCAATGATGAAGACAGACGAGCGCGAATTGACTTCCTACTTTCAAATTGGGGGTGAGCATATATATCCAAAGAGTTGTAGTTTCCGAACGCTAACTGGCAAAGGTATCCATGGCCTTCCATACATATCTTGGGATGGTGTAAACCCAAGCAGGTCCAACCAAGGGTCAAAGAATACCGGATATTGTACTCATGGCAACACTCTTTTTGGAACATGGCATCGTCCTTACATGGCTATCTTCGAGGTTCGATTTCTCTCTCCGAATCTGCTCAACTACCTGCTAATCTTTATTAGCAAATCATGGCGCAAAAGGCACAAGCTATCGCGAAGACCTATACTTCCGATAAAGCCGCTTGGCAAACAGCAGCGGACAAACTTCGAAGTCCCTTTTGGGACTGGGCGGCTCCTCCTGTGCACTTTCCTGCTGTTCTAAAAGCCCAAACGGTTCAGATCACAACACCAACTGGTGTCAAGAGTGTATCAAATCCCTTGTATAGCTACAAGTTCCTCAACAACCCAGAAATCAACAATTGGTTCCCAAGTGATTATCTAGGAACTCAAAAGCGAACTCTTCGTTATCCAAACCAGGCCACCAATACGAGTAACGATGACTTCGATGACCGAGCTGTTGCGGAAGATCCTACGACAAGTGGTGTTGTAAGTCCTTGATTCTATGTAGGAAAAAGCACCTGCTGATAACTTGTGAAGTGGAACGTGTTCTCCAAAACCAGCAATTTTAACGAAATGTCCACTAGTAGCACTGGCGGATACACCTTCGAAGGCCCACATTCAACTATTCACATCATCATCGGCGGTGGTGGCCATTTCAGCCCCCCTGATTATGCAGCCTTTGATCCATTGTTGTAAGTGAAGCATACCTTGCAAACAACCCCGCTTGTCATTTTAATGCAGTACTAATAGCTTTACAGCTACCTCCATCATGGCAACGTCGACCGTCAGATTGCGATGTGGCAAGCGATTTATCCAAACTCATACCTAACCCCAGCAAACACCACCAGTGGTACCTGGACCATCACTGTCGGCGACGTCTTGGATGAAAACACGGCACTCACGCCTTTCACTCAAGGTGATGGCCGAACACCATGGACATCAAAAGCTGCACGCCAGATCAAAACATTCGGATATTCGTACCCCGATGTTCCAGACTGGTTGTTTACAAATCCGAGAGCACTCGCCGCTAACGTCACTGCTCGTGTCAATAAGCTTTATAACGCCGATGGCAGCCTCGGACCCTTCGGTACCAAGATTAAGGGGAGAGCTGCACCAGCGAGCGATACCCTTTCATGGAGCATCGCCGCGAAGGTCGCCAACAGCATCCTCGACGAGCCTTTCTCAGTAAAATTAACGGTCGGGGATGTTCGTGTTGGAAGACTATCGGTTCTGATCGCCTCCACCACTGAAAACCTCGAGGCTTCTACCTTTGGAGAATTTGAGCTCAGTGCTGCGCTCAAGGATGTCGATGTGACGGATGTTGATGCTGTGGTCACTAAGTTGAAGGGAAGTGTAAAGTATACCGTTGTCAAGGCGGATGGAACCACTGTGGATGGTGCGAAGGCGGAACTTTCGGTGTCTAGTCAAGTGGTCACGCCTGCGAAAGACGTCACCGAGTTTCCTGTGTTTGGTGAGAGGAAGGAACATCCAGGCATTTTTACTAATTAATTCGAGAGCTTTTAGACATAATAGATGAGAGTTTTTTTCGACTTTCGATTGTTTCATGCATCTTTGGTTCAAGTGTCCAAAGTGCTTTGGTCAGGTGATCTGCCCCCCTCTTCGAATTATCGCGCTCATCCTTTCGACACCAAGAATTTGACGGCGAAGAGCAGTCACAACGACGAACCCAAAGAATTTTCTGGTCTTTCCTGAATTGTGCAAGAGCAATTAGCAGATAACCAATCATTGTGCTTTATCTACGAGTTCGTCTGCATTTTGACAGTCCGTCTGGTCTTAGTGCCCGCGATGGTTAACAACTGTGACCTCACCCAAGACAACACGATGCGCATGACCAGAGGAAAATATTTTCTCTCCATCTCTTCCTTCTTCATTCATTCTCCCAAATTTCAACTTATCTCGTCGTCCTCACAACCCTTCGCTATTACCACACACTCGTTACAAACCACACACTCATTCAAAATGCCCTTCTCACTCGCCTCCAAACTCCCAAAACTGGCCCCCTTCCCCCAAAAGACAGCCGTCGAGAAAGAACCCCTCCTGTGCTCCACCGAGCTCAAACCCCCACCCCCAAAGTCTCCCCAATCCGCAAAGTCATCTCCCACATCCTGCCCCCCAAACTCAAAACGTCTCTCTGCAGCCGTCTCAAGCGCATTGTGAGCTCGGCAAACTCGTCTACTAAAGCCACGCCCACAGCTCCCTCAAACGAGCGAATATTCGATATGCTGGTTAAAAAAAGAAAGTCCTATAAGAGGAGAAGGAAAGAGTTGGTGAAGGGGTACGAGAAAGATTTTAATGCTGCGGTTGGGGTTAAGAGGGAGTGGGTTGATGTGTTGGTGGGCATGAGTGATAAGGAGCGACGGGGATTGAATTATTATATTGGGCGGCCGAGTCCGTTGAATCCTGCTCGTAAGTCAGATCACGCTTCCCAGTTCCCGTCGCTAATGTGTGATATAGCTAAGAAATCAGCATCGATTAATGAACATGCGGATGAGTTGCTGGAGAAATGGCAGGATGCGAGGACGGTGTGTAGGAAAAAAGCGTTTGAGTACGAGACGATGCAGTTCCGCTTGGTGTTTAATATTAAGAATCAGAGGAGGTTCAGGGAGATGCTTGGGGAGAAGGAGGTTAGGAGGGTTAAGGAGAGGGTGAAGAAGGGGAAGGGATTATGAGAGGATACAATATGTTGGAGTTCGAGCGTTTGAGCATAGCGGAATTTTGTACGGTTGTATTTGGGGATTGAGTTTGTTACGCGGATATCTGAAGATCGTGGGTCGAAATTGTGTAAAGGTGATGGTAATGTAAAGTGTATAATCTCCTTAGAAAGGAGATGTGGCAAACGTATAATCCGAACAACTCGTATCTACAGACTGCCAATTCATATGTTGCATGTGTTGAGATGAAGCCATCCTTTTTAACCACGCTTCGGAATTCGAGTATCGGGTTCGTAAAGACTCAATAGACAATCATGATTCTTCACAAACTGCGTCGTAATCATAATATCGTAACTTTCACGAACCGTGCCACAGATAAAACCATCAGAAGCCATCTCCCAAGTTCCCTCTGTCATCACATCATCCCCTCTCCAACCCCTCGTCTCGCCGTCCAGAAAAATACTCTTGGCAAACCCAGAAGCCCAGACCCCTAGAATCTCCATCACGTGATTTACAACCCGTCAGAACCTTCACGCCTTCCGCTGCGCCAACCCAAATTCGTACACGAACACACAGCGTAAAGGTAAGCCATCGTCAAGCCAAAAGCATCTACACAACAACTCTACACGGTCAGATTCCGTCATAAACCAAAAAACAGCATAACAATGAGCAAGTAACGTGAAGTTAGGCAGATGTTTCTACATACAACGCCTCACCACGTGGACGCCACAACCGTGTTATGCCCATCCATGGCTGCATTAAATAAGCAGCTCGGTAGCGCTTGTTTGGGCTAAACAATACCTTGGAGATGACTGTGCGACCCTAGGCTGCTGGTCATTACCGAGATGTAGGGAGGCGATCGTCGTCTCATGTTTCTATTTACGCTGTTTTTACGTGAGGAACCCGGTTCTGCCTCTGAGAATGAGGTTCTGGAAAGATGGGGTTGTTCTGTCGGGTCTCCTTTTCTGGTGTTTTGATGTCAAGCGATTTTAAATGCCGGGTGGTAAGTGGTGAGTGAGTATTATCTCGTGTCTTGTTTGGGTTTCTTACTGTATTTTTGTGTTGGAGAGTTGAATATGGACGAAAGAGCGATTTCTTATTGGTCTTGAGATTCTGAAGTTGTTGTAGAAGTCTCGTGTTGGATGAAAGTTCGTCGTCTACTGTCAACGATCGCGAGAGTTCTAGGCAATGTGATCGACAAAGTGGCACATAAGTTAGACTTACTGTATACCGAGATGAGATTACGTTCATTAGCACAATGCTAAGTGAACTACGACATGCTGATCTTCTAGATATCCTTGGGGGGTGAAGCGGCGCAGATTTTCCGAGGCAGGAGAGGTTCAGTTCGGATTCATGAAAGGAGAAGTATATAAGTGTTCAGCAATCCGCTTCGAAGTTTGCTCTTCACCACTCAGTCACTCTCTCCTTCTTTACCAAGCTTGGGAATATTCCAGTACTTTGCTTGCTATTTCTAAGTCCTTTCCCAGTCTTTTCTGCCTGCAAAGTCTCCGAGATTCTGAGGAAGCTCAATTACTCAACGACAATGTATACCACCCTCCTCACCCTCGCTCTGGCATTAGCCCAAACCTCAACCGCAACTCCTACACCCACCCTCCTCGACCGCGCAACTCAAGCCCGCGCAGCCGCCATTTGGACACCCACCGCCGGCACAACCTGGCAAATGCAACTCTACGGCAGCGTCACAAAGCTCGACTTCCCCGTCGAAGTCTACGACATCGACGTCCTCGACAACCTCAACACCGGCGTCATCGCCAAACTCCACGCCGCCAACAAAAAAGTAGTCTGTTACTTTTCAGCGGGCAGTTACGAGAACTGGCGCACCGACACTAAGGAGTTCGGACTTACCGGCAAAGACGATGTGAACATCGGTAAACCGATGATTGGCTGGGACGGCGAATGGTGGTTCCAAACCAGCAGCACCAAAGTGCGCGATCTGATGCGCAGTCGGATTAAGAAAGCAGCGGCGGCGGGATGCGATGCTATTGACCCCGACAACATCGACGGCTACGACAGCGACGACGAAGAGCCGAACAAAACAGGCTTCAACCTCTCACTTGCCAGCGCGACCGAATACGTCAAGTTCCTCGCCGCCGAAGCGCACGCCTTGGGAATGGGAATGGGACTCAAAAACGGCCTCGATCTCATCCCGAACGTGCTGAACGACGTGCAATTCCAGGTACAGGAACAATGTGCGCAGTTTCCTGCGAAGGATGATAGTTTAGGTTCCGAGTGTTTGTACTCGCAGCCGTTCATCAAGGCGAACAAACCGGTTTTCCATGTCGAGTATCCAACGGGTGAGACGCTGAGTAATACTATTCCGGCGGCGGAGAAGAAGAAGGATTGTCAGGATCCGAATGCGAAGGGGTTTTCGAGCATTATGAAGGGTTTGGATTTGATGGAGAAGATTGCTTTTTGTACTTAGATGAGATCGGGTGTGGGAAGAGGAGGAGATGAGGTTAGGAAACCTAGACTAGATATTTTTTTTGTATTTGGGATGTTGGTTTTGGAGTTGATGGATAGATGGATAGATTGAGATCTTTAGAAATTGCTGGGATGATTGCTTTGGGATAGATTTACCTTCGTTGTACATAGTTTTTTAGAGATGGGCTAGCAATTAAGCAAGGATAAGGACCCACTTACGATTTTGTCGTTTCGAGTAGAAAATTCAGTGACCACCATTGCTTTCCGAAATTAACTCATTGAAAGGATCATGGTCCAAATATCCAAGACAATGCAAGAGCCCCGCCACTTCAAGATATCAAGACGAAGAATTCTCCGAATAACGGTCCTCGTCCGCATACTTGTGATTGTCGGACCTCCGTAGATGCAATAGAACTCCGATCCTTCCTCTCAGCCCCTAAACAAAGAACCCTTTCAAATCCGCCTCTCTAACCTCATCACCCACTCTAGCTCTCTCAACTCTCTCCCTACCAACCCGATGCACACTCGGTAAATCCACCTCCTCACCCTCCTTCCCCAACATCAACTCCACAACCGCCTTCGCACACCCCGTCGCATTCGGCATCCCATGACCCGTAAACCCAGCACAGATCCACAATCCCTTTCCACCACCCAATTCCTCGGGTACGGCACCTACCCACGGTCTTCCATCGCGGGAAAACCCCATAATACCCGTCCATTCGAACGACGCCTTGAGCTCCTTGGAAGAGGAAGAAGAGGGGTCAAGAGCGCGACTAAGCTCCTCGCGGAGGGTTTTAACCTCCTCAGAAGATGAAGGGGAGAGGTCGAGGGCGTGGTTGAGTTCGTTGCGAAGGTATTTAGCAGCGCTTCGAGATGTCCATGAATCGTCTGAACAGCCCACGCCACCATCCGTTGCGTATTGCCGACCACCGCCGAACATGAGTTCGCCGCCAGAGGGACGTTGGATCAGGTAGTCATCTTGATACACATTTTTCACCTTGTCATGGCCCGCGAAGACATAACTCATCGCCAACGGCGCTCTTTTCACATTTCGCGGCGCCACTAAAGCACTCATCTCGCCTTGGACTGGGACGATGAGATCTTTCATCTTGGGTAACAGGTGAGATGTGTACGCATTTGTGGTTAAGATGACGTTTTTCGCGGCGACCATTCCCTGGGGTGTATGGACGATCCACGAGCCATCTTTTTCAACTTTCTGGAGCGACGTGACCGGTGTGTTTGTCTGAAGATTGAAAGCCCCTTTCGTCAGTAAACTCTCAAGCGTCCAGCATACCAGTTTATACGGCCACAACGATGCCGCATTAGCTTGTACGAACGCTCCCACCGCTCTCGGAACACGGAGGTCACTCAGACTCGGACTAATTGAATCTTGTGTTATGACTTTGACGGTACCGCTGAGTTCAGGATCCGCATCCTGGAGAATCTGATAAAGACCTAGTGCTTGCGCGAACATATCCGCGTCGTAATAAGCGTGACATCCCTCTAACGTCTTCCACTCACACGGGATCTCATTATTCGCCACAAAGTCCTTTAAGAATTTGTAATTCCGTAACTCAAACCCACCGATATCAGGCGGGCTGGGATAAACGGAAGGTTGACAATGTCCTCCATTCTGTCCATCTATTAACATGATGTTCACGTAGGTTGAAAAGGAGGACTTACACGGCCAGTAGCACCCCAACACGCCTCTCTCGCCTCCAACATAAGGACATCCCTCGACGCGTCTTGCTCGTGCAGAAAGTGCGCGGCAAATGCGCCGGTGATGCCAGATCCAATTATTATTACATCGGTGGTTGTTGGGAGGTCCGGAGTGGTTCTGTGGCCTAGGAGGAGCGGGGAGGGGTCGCAGTGCCAAAATGAGGTGGTGGGGTTTGTGGATGGGAGGCTGGATTGGCCTTGGGTTGTTGGGGCAGATACCATGGTTCAGAGCGAGTGATAAACAACTTTGTTTTCTGTAACCTTGAATTACTTTTCTGTTGTAGTTGATAGGGATGTGTTTGGCACCTGATGCGGTGGTGTTTAAAAGTGGGGGTGAGCATGTGCTCATGTGAGCGCATCGGCATGCAGAAACAGTGGATTTGAGAACATAATAGGATCGGATGTCAATTGAACAGACAATGAATAAGACGATAATATATATCTTTTAATTTTTGTATCTTAAGACTGGATTTAGTAAATTACTTCTAATTGAATTAATTATGTCTTATAATAAACCTATAAATTCCTTACCCGGTAGTCTATAGATTTCATGGCGTCTCTAGTAACTAAACCTAAAATCGAAGTCTAGCTAATTTCCATTAAAATCTTACTCCCTATAACAGGTGCGATAAAGTTTATATTAACTCTAAAACTAATAACCTTAGTCCTATTAGTATCCTATAAATCTTAGTATCTAGTATTAGATTATATAATGTATTCTTCTAAAATTAACAAGTATATTTCTTCTAAAAAAAGTTAAAAAAATTATACCTTATAAGTCTTAGTATTACATCTAACTTATATAGTTAATTTATAAAACAGTATAGTAGTAAGAGTCGCAAAAGCCGTTTTCGACTACTAACCTAATTAAAGGCTTATTTACTAAACCCGCGACTTCTAAACTTCTACTAAATATATTAATTATAATACTTTCTAACTATAATAATAATTAGAATTACTTCTAAGATATCTTTCTATTACTTTACTTTTACCTTTAGAGTAAAACTCGACTTAACTTTATATCGTAGACTAGGTTAGTTATATAGAAAATATAGTTTAGGTATACTACTAGAGAGTAGCTTAGGCTACTTACTAGTATATACTAAGTATAGGACTATATATATTAGATACTTAGCTGTCCTAAACCTAAAGAAGTAGACTTATTTAAATAGACTAAACCTCCAACCCGCCTACATGCTGCGTAACACTTCGCTTAAGCACTCAGCTGTTAGTCTACATCGAAACTCAACGTCAGCAACTGAACCTCACTTCCTGAATCTCAATTTCTCAAATTCTAAACACTGTAAAGACCATACCCACGATCTTTTCTCAACATGGCTCATAAGGCGAGTACGGAAGCCATCATCCGTCTCAGTGTTCGAGGTAAGACGCGCTTTCAGTCTTTCTGTTTTGAAAAGATATCTAAAAACAACTAGTTCCCGAAATTCCTGACCACATCTTCCACGTTGAAAGCCAACACGACCTCGCGTACAATGCCCTAATTGAAACACGTATGAAATGGGTCGCAGCCATCGCTCAGTACTTTGCGACTACGAAGTCAATGAATCAATATCATATTCGTGACTGGGATATCATCTTGAACTATGATGGGAAGATCGAAAATGTCGGAGACCAAATAGTCGAGGCAGCTTATGAGTCGGCAGTAAGACAATATCCAGCACGCTACCAATTGCCAAAAGAACTCAATAGTCTTGCCATGTCAGCGTCAGAAGCAGTGAGACGACAGGAGATGTTTGCTCTAGGTGGCATGTTTTATCACATTCTTTCTGGGAAGCAGTTGTTTCATGAACTGGGCGACAGAGCATATATTTCTCAAGTTGTGTCGGCTCTGCTTGTTGAAGGAAAGTTTCCAGACGATGTGTGGACTCTTCCTATGGCAGAAGTCATTCTCGCTCATTGGTGTCTGGAGATCGGAGAAGAGTTTAAGAAGTTTACTATGCCTAGTAAGTAACATGTCGAAGATTGTAGAGATTTTGCTAACTTGTTCGATAGAACTCGAACCACCAGTCTTTTATACACCGTTCCTGGGAGGTATGATATTTGTAAGAGGTGTTTTAGCAGCACTTGTAGTACCAGCGATACCTGCAGGCATTGTTGAATGGGGAAACAAAGTGTTAGTTCCGACAACTGATAACATAACGGAAAGTTTGGACCCACAATTCGGATGTAGAATTTCTGGTGCAGTCAGAGGGGTGTTCAATGGGGGATCTGTGAATGAAGACGCTTGTGTGTTGAAAAGAAGATTTCTCCAGAAATGGAAAGAGTTGACCGGACAGGTTTAGCCACTTCTGCTGGTGTCATGTTTTGTTTACAGCGCATTTGAAACTAAATATTATGTTAGCAGTAGAAATGAAAGTGATATAGTATACTGCGGTGGTAATTATTTGCCAGTGCTATCAAAGATAATTAAGTCGAACCGCGTGCTACAAGTCAAAGAATGTAAGAAGCACAAGAGCCCGACTGTATAACTATACTCGAGTACCAGACTGGTTTATTTCAGTCGTGCTGGCGACCAACTTGGCAGCCTCATGCAGTGCAACGCCATATTTCTTCCGGTTGGTCTCATTCCTGCAACAGCTCACCGAAGCGAATGCCTTGTGTAAATGGGTCTCGACCCCGCAGCGCCTCCACAGCCTTATCTTGAACTTACTTTTATTCTCGTAAACAGCTTTCGTTCTCCTCCCTCATTACCAACCGTCGTTGGAGATATACTCAGCATCGTCACTTACTTCCAACCTTCACTCGCTCCACCATCGTTCAGCAGCCAAATCAACCCGATCTACTCAAGAGCGTCAAAATACAAACAAAACCATCGATACCCAAAAAATACCTCATCAAAATGGACAAGATTGTCGGGGCTACGATGAAGGCTGGTGAGCAGTTGTTGCCACTGGCGAACACGGCTTGGAAATATTCTGTTTCAGAGCTCGGAAAACAGGCCTCTCGAATTTCCACTACGGGTACGTTTAACGTTACAACTCCGTAAAAAACATAGACCTTGCTGTTTCGAAGTCAATCCAGATATCATCCAGTCCATCCCATCCATCCCAGCAAGTACGGTCCTCACAAGCGCCCAAGTAATCGGTGTCGGAACAGCAACTGTTGCTATTGCAGCACTTGCCGCCCCCGCAGCTCTAGGAGTAGTCGGGTTTAGCGCTATCGGCCCCGTTGGCGGCAGCATTGCAGCGGGTTTGCAAGCGAGCTACGGAGCTGTACCAGCGGGCAGTGTTTTTGCGTTGTGCCAGAGTGTTGCGATGGGTGGAACTACCGTTGCTGGGACTTCGACGGCTTTGATTGCCGCGGGTGGTGGTGGGGTTGCTGTTGTTGCTGGTGCGTTGAAGGGGTAGTGGGAGGATGTTCGTGGATTGAGAGAGGATATTGTGGGGACGTCCAAGAGTTTTATGAGAATAGAATTAGGTAGGGTCGCGAGTTGGAGGGAGAAATGAGTGGAAGAATTGAATCGATGAGAGATTTGTCTGATAGACTTGGCAGGTCTTGAATGTCACGTTGATGAGTCGTCCCTAGCCTCAGCGTCAATAAAAAAAAGTTTCGATGAGAGATACTGTGGTTGTTGCTTAAAGCAGGTCTAAATCAGGGTAGAATCAGCTTTTGCATGACTACATGGCCGACAGTGTGGTAGAAAATTCTAACTCACATAAGCAGCGGGCTTGGCCACGTTCTTGAGGCAAAAGAACTGCAGCTATATAGTAATTTCCTGCGCTTTTTCGCTTAAGATCTTTCAGGAGCTGGACGTCGGGTATCGCTGACCTGATGCAAGTCAGCATGACGCTTCTAGCTTGAAAGCTTGGTAATAATTAAGAGCCGTTGTTGCCCTGCTAATAGCCTACTAACTCATCTACAAGTTCTCAGCTGTTTACTAATAATCGCGACGGCGAAAGAGTCGAACGAAATGGTGCGCTATAAAGCTGTAGCTCGGCTTCTGGTAGAGAAGAAAAATAATCCCTTTTCCACCAGTCTCTTGCACTTCCACGAGACGACCTATCCTATATTTATATTTAAGACCCAATCAATCTTAGCAAGATGTCTTTTCCAAATTCTAGGGGTAGCATCTCGTCTAATGGAAAATACCCCTACGCAGTCGACACTCCCGAAATCAGCATCGAGACCGCTCCAACATGGGACAGCCAGGCAGAGGACGGCCTGCCACCAGGAGAAATCGATCACAAATCTTTCACCTATCCCGCCATCGAAATGGCATATAACTGTGCCGTGGACAACAAATCAATCGCGCCATGTTCGCGGATTATCGTGAGGTAAAAATTTCTAACGCAGTGGAAAAAGACAGAGACTGATTGGGTTTTAGGGAGAGTATTCATCGAAGTCCTCCAGGCCAATTTGACGATGACCGTTGGCATTGCACGGTTGATTATGTGGAAATCGATGATCAGGAGGAGGAAGATGAGGTGACGCCTGAGAAGGGCAGGAGATGGACGGCGCATGTGAGGGTTAAGTGGGTTAATCCACCGCTGACGAAAGATGATAAAGGTGTGAAGAAGCAGAAGAGGAAGGATGGCTTTCAGTGGGAGGGGGAGGATATTTTTTGGCTGCAGAGGCCGAAGAATAAGGGGAAGAAGGCACCGGTTGAGGCGGCTCTAGTGCAGAAGGGGAATTGGGCGAAGGGGTTTGATAGTGAGGAGGAGGTTGATAGTGAGGAGGAGGTTGAAGAGGAAGAGCCATCGGAGGGAGAGGGAGAAGAGGGAGAAGGGGAAGAGGGAAATGCCGGACAGGAAGATGGGGAAGAGGGAGAAGGGGAAGATGAAGATGAGGATGAGGAGGAAGTAAAGTGAAAGTGAAATAGAACTTCTATAAAAGACCAAGTACTCTATAGATCTCATGAGAACTTAAGTATCCAAGTAATAATTACACAATAGGGTATTGTATATAGAGGTACTACTACCCTAATTGATGAGCCCCTACTTGATGAGCAATAGATTAGGCCCAAGAAGCCTATCGTTCCAAAATTGTGATGTCGCAGCATTAAAAACACTGGCAAACTCAATTACATCTATAGCGATGTGGATAACATAGTATGAAAGTCGAGTGTTGGCTTTTTCTTTCGATTATTTGCCCAGAAAAAATTGAAGAACCCCGCGTAAACTTTGCGGTATGTGGAAACCCCTCCGGGTCAAGAACGTGGAATGTATCATGACAACAACCTTGTCATGCTCAAACTTCGGTCCATAACACGACGCAACATTAACAAAATTCATATCAAAACAATCAACACAATATTCTCATACTCCCCACACTCCACCTCGCCCACCGTCCACCTGGGCATCTCATAAACATCGTCACCCCACCAAACTTATTTGGCAAGAGCGATAGCGACATGTACAACCATCACTAATCCCAGATCGGACTAGCTTCACACCTCATACTCCCACCTCCCCCTTTCTGTGTAACTTCATTATTGCAACAACAAAACTTCCAATTCTCTTGTCGATCTTCTCACCATCAGACTTCCGTTAGATTTCGTCGTAAGTTGACCAATTTTCTTTCCTCGCAATGCATGCCTCTCAGAAACAAAAGGATGGGAGGGTGAAGCTTTCCGTCCAGGGTCAGGAATCACTGCGGGAGAACGATCGATAATACCACCCCTCATCACTCAAGCATTTACGAAACTCAAATAACTCCTCCTTCCAGTATGCGCAAGAGTTGTCTTGCTACGAAAGAAACGGATCTTCTGTTATACTCATATATCATTGAATTTGGTCTTCGAATCATCGAGCTTCACTTTCGCGCATTGTTTACTTTCTCCCATACCTTCGTTTTCTGCGACTTTGGAAGTTGAATACTGACCAGAGCCGTAGACTGAACTACAAAATCGAAAACCAGTTACTTCGATCGAATTCAATCCCTTATTATCTACAAACAAGCATCAAGGTATGACTCGAGTCACTCGACTTCTTTACTCTATAGCACATCACCATTGAAATCGCAAGGCCAATGATTCTCACACACATTCCCCACCCGATCTTCACCGTCAGGCTCACTCCTTCATAACACCTCAGAACCATATATGAAAACTCTCACCTCACTAGTCTCCACACAAAAAACTAACTCCCGCCAGACTCCCTTCAAAACGACCATCCCAACCATGTCCTCAACCACTCCCCAAACTCTACACCAACCACTCCGCCGCAACACACCCCACCACCTTCAAAAACGCAACTGGGCATCCCAAGAAGCAGGCGTAATTGTAGTCTTCTGCATCGTCTTCGTCGTCGGCTGCGGTCTTCTCGCTCTTGCGATTCGAAATTGTTTAGCGAAGAGGAGGGCTAAGAAGGCTGTGATTGCTAGTCGATCGGAAGTTCAAACACCAACTTCGAAAAGGGGCAAGAGAGGTTAGGGAAGGAGGATGTGATGGAAATGTAACCGATGAGATACGAATGAGGCCAGATGAGATGATATGGAATAATGATGGATGGAAAGAGAGAACATGCGGGACAAGATACCTATTTGCTATTTTTACGACGAATTTTGGGAGCGAAGGAATCTTGGGCGTATCGGACGATTTGGCTTTGGTAGGGGAGGGCTGCTAGATTAAAGAGCAATATCGAGGTGGCATAATAAGAAACTGGGCGTTTTGGTGATATGAAGTATGTAATTATGATAGATGAGGCCGGATGAAACGAGCTCATGAGTTAAGTTGAGAAGGGAAATATACATGTTCAAATGTCGCTCATTGCAGCTCATACGTTGTTACAAATCCATAAAGAATCCGTAAGTATACCTAGGTAGGTAGACTCATAGAAGGATTTCCAAGTGACGCAAACTTGATATTTTCGAAATCTCCGCCACCCCAGATAAAAAAAAGAAAACTTGACACAGAAAAAGGCCTGTCAACTTAATTTGATTATATTGGGAGATTTCATCTCATCTTTCTCTAATAGAAAAATGTATTCTATATATACACTTAGTGGAGAGCTATACGCTAAAATAGTGACTTGTAAGCTCGCTTCCAACCTGACTAATCTCGAACCGCTGTGATCTCAACTTTCCAACCTAATCTCGAATGTGTGTGTTCAATCAATCTTGATATCCAGTTTCTTTCATCCGATATCCAGGTTTCTTCCTTCTCATATCCCGCATTTCCCAAAGTATGATCGATCGTATCCAGTAATCCACCTATTTCTCACCATCACCCCGGGCGTGATTATATCCAGGAATATCAAAAGAAAAAAGCCAAATGAGGTATGAAAAACAAGATGCAGTAGCCAGATGCCCCCAGATAAACGCCGACGCTTGTGTAGTAATAACAGAATAGACCGAAGAACATTCGAAGAATCACGACTCTTTGAAAAGAAGAAAAGATAGGAAATCAGATCATCAACATATCCTCTTCATATCACACATCTTACCTCACCCCTCACCCCTCACCCCTCACAACTCCACCCCCTCCTCATCAACATGAATCCTGAACCCAGCCTTCGAATACAGATCCAACCCCAACCCCTGCTGCGTACTAGGATACTCGCTGGGCACTTCACTTGCATCACTGAATGCTCCATCCAGATCCTCATCTACCCGCGGGGTCAGCGGACCGACTCGGAATCCCGCCGCTGGACGTGAGTCATAGCCCATGCCGTCGTCTACGCCTCGCCATTCGTCATGCGCGACATCGTTGGTGGCACCCTTATCTGGCTCGAAATCGCTCAATGCGTTTTGCTCCCAGTCCTCGCTTTCGGGCGCTGCGTCGCTGAGTTCGTTTGTGGCGCTTCCTTCGTCGTCGTCGTCTTGCCAGATTTCGATGTCTTCGCCTTGGTGAGGACGGGTGTCGACGTAGGGTGCGTTGCTGTGAGGGGTTGCGTAGGCGAAGGGGGTGGTTGGTCGCTTGGAGGATGTTTCTTCGGATGCGAGTTGGGGACTTGGTGGGCCGATGCCCCAGAGAGGTGTGTCACCTGATCTGCTTGGTGAGCGGGAGACGCGACGACGTTTGAGCGCTACACTGCTGGATGAGGTGGAGGCGGCGATGATGGGGGATGATTGGGCTTCTTGTTCGAAGGATGTGATTCGACGTTTGGCTGATGGAGCTGGGGATTTGAGTGGGACTAAAGATGGCATGGATAATGTTCGCATGTGCATTGGTCGGAAAGGGTTGCGTTCGACCACTGGGGATAACATTCTTGTCGGGATTGGTACTCGTGGGGTGGGCGCTCTAGATGGATGAGGAGATGCTTCAGCGGAGGAGAAGTGGTCAGATGGAGAGACTGGCTCTTCTTCGAATCGTAGAGAGCGAATGCTGAGTGAGGATACTTGAGATTCGAATGACGATGAGTGGAACGAAGAATGAACACTCATTGGAGCAGGATCTAGTCGTTCATCAAACTCCCAGCATGGTTCATGAGCGTCCGCCTCCGGTGTATGATCCTGACTGGACTCATCTGAATAAACTCGAGGTAATTGTCGTAACTTTTGCCAACTCCAATCTGCAACATCTCCATGATGCTGGATATAGCTGTCCCGCTGAGTGACATATAATCGCCTCAGACCTGATGTCCTCATCGCGACACTAGAAGCAAGAAACTGCACTGTCCATAGAGCGGGAGTGACCATCTCGGATGTATTGAGGAATTGAAGCGACGAGTTTTTGTGCAATTTCCGCAACGGAATCCAGGAAGCCTGCAGTCCCAGGTAATGCGATAAAGAACTTGGAATTGTATTTGTTTCATCATTTTCGTGGGTGGTGAACGGGTCTTCCACAAGCAGACCGGGCACTTCACCAAATGCCTGCATTATAGCAGCTTGAACGTCCCTAGCATCAGGTCCCTTCACATTGATGGTTCTGACCAACCCTCGACTACGGAGACGTTCATCGATCCTGCTTCCTCTGCCACAGGCTTTTGCAGTCAGCCAGTCAACACTCTCTTCAGTAGCAAGATCATCTGTAGAGCGCTCCCAGGCAGAAGTATGCTCATGGGCCGCAAGAGATGCCTGGATGGCTGCCAATGATTGATTTTGTGTCTGAGTCCAGTTGTCATCCGCGCAGCTCTCTTCTCTAAACCTTGACCGTTGTGCTGAGGGTGGCTGTGAAGACCAAACGCCAGGTAGGTCCGATCCAAATGGAACAAACACGACCTCAACCTCCCAAGGACGGTTGTGAGAGGGTGGCGCACAAGCTCGTAGCTCAGCCACATGGTCTTCCAGTGCCTCGATTCGGCTGGGGTCGATTTGGTCAATGGCAGCAGAGATCATGGCAGACGATGTTGTAGATATGAAAGAGCCTTCCACCACATGCCGACTGCTGACACTGCTTCCGTCGTTCAGTATTTTCTGAGCATTTTCAAGGTCTAGCAGCCTGTTCTCCAGGTCTGCCACCCGTGTGTCCATGACATTATGGCCCTCCTGAAGATCTTCCACAACTGGGTTGGTAAATGATGTATTCTCCAAGCGGTCAAGCCGACGCTCATGGTTTTCCACTGCAGAAGGGAAACTAGACACCCGGGCAAGAATACTTTTAAGTCGAGGTATGAGGTAGTCATCTGACTCGGGCGCAATCGTAGTAGACTCGATGGGAGGATGAGAACTTGATTGTTTGACCAATACTTGAGAATCGGAATTTTTCTTGACAAAAGGCTTCGAGGAGCCCGCTGACTCGGGTCTGACCTCAGTCAACTTCTCAAGAGCGTTCTGCACTTCTGCTATATTCTGGCTCAACGCGGAATCGTCTTGTGAGGCGTGTAGGCTCGGAGTTGCGACCTCGGTGATGCTCTGGAGGAAGGACTGCCCATTGTGGTCCTCATACACCTGCATAGCTCTGAAATTTTCTCCAAGTGGTGATTTCCTTGACTTTGAAGCGTCGACAGCAGTGCGATTGGGGATATGGCTCAGAGTATTGAGACCCATCCCCCCAAATGGCTGATGATATCTGGACTGGCTGCTCGACGTACCGGACCCATTATCTGAGGGTAGCAAACATTGCGAAGGTATAGCTGGCAACGCTTCGGGCGAGCCCGAATGGATAAATCGACTCCAATGAAGAGTTTCGGGTAGCTGTGAGTCTCGTAGAGTCCCTGGACCAGAACCTCCCCCACCGAGTTTGCGCAGTTCGGCCAGTCGCTCCGCCGCAGAATTATCCTGCTGCTTTGGTGTAGTTGATCTGATCGAAACCTGCCCGTTGCTCACCCTGCTGCTATGTCCAGCTTGCGCATCGTGGTCATGGAAACACGCATGATGCTCACACATGCAATACCCCGACTTTCCCACCAACACGCGCCCATCAGAATCGACCGGTGGTTTATCATAATACCTCCTACACCCACATCTCGGTGCTGTCCCACCTCCCGCGGCGCTCAGGACCGTGAAGTTGCATCCCCCGCTGGGCGACGTTGTTTGCTCGACCGTGTTTGCGACATTGTGAAATTGTTGACCATTAAGGAGTGGAGTGTTTGGCACAGTTGACAGCGGGGATCGAGGAGCCATCTGCGACGCAGAGGATTAGGAATTATAGACAGGAAGAAATGTAAAAAAGTCGTGTCGCATTACGCTTCTATCTGCGGTCGCGATCTGGGTCGCATGAGCGGCTATCGACCTCTATCTTCCCTCACACTTCCGTTCACATCCACCTTTTCGAATCGTGAAAATCGCGCTCGTAGGATATCGTCACTTGGGATGTGGGAATTGACAAACAGTCGCAATGGGAAAACGCGTCGCAATCTGTTTATTTTGATGGCATTGCAGCTCTGTAAACAGAATTAGTCGGCGCATGGTTAGGCACAGAACGCATGCAACAACACCCACCTCACTCTAGCGGCGCATATACAGCGATAGGAAATTCATAATAGACATGAAAGTTGAAGATATATTACAGTAATTGAAAGCAATTAGGAGACGAAGCTCATGACGGGAGGTAGGTAGCTAGCTAGGTAGGCACGCAGTCGTGTTGTATGTGGGGGGTGTTGTGCATGGGCACGTTTAAAAAGATCTTGGGTGATGGTTCGCGAAGGGGAAGGTGGAGAACTTGAATGACTCCTCTCTCCCCTCACCATCCCGGCTGCTGGGTGCAATGGGCGTCTTCGCGGCACCTTATATCAATCCGATTCGTCCTCAGGATTTTTGCTTTTAGGATCTCGACGGCTTCGACGTTGATGCACTGTTGCCTTGACAATGAGGTTGGAAAGCTGTCACGGCTCGGGTCGCCTTGCCATTGCCTGAGAACGTCATTGGTTTAGACGGGGACATAAGGAGAATTGGCCGACAGGCAGAATAGATGAGTTGTACAATTCGGATGTATTAGACGCCTTGCTTGACGCTGAGCAACTACACCAATTGCTCGTTTAAAAGCTATTTGCAGTCGGTTTTGATAGACAGTTCTGGATAACAACAACGCATGATACCAGGGACCCAGCTTGAACTCACTTCAAAATGAGAAGCAAAGCAATTCTTCGGAAAGTCCAGGATATCTGTTCCTGGAATCGGTGGAAATCAATTGAAATGAAGCCGTACCAAGTAAGTGAAATCAGTGTGTTGCCTTCTGTGGAGGTCTCGGCGCTGCACCCAGCTGACTTGTTGACCAGAGCAGCTGGAGTTGTACAAAATCCAAGCTATGTTTAGCATCTACAACATCTTTACTTTAGCTTCACCGCTCCTTCAAAGGGCTTCAACATGGTAACATGTTTTGGTGGACTGCATTGGCGCGTACGGAAAGCTGCCGGGTCGACGAGACATTACTAAAAGTCAATCATGCGAGAGCCATCCACACCGGTGTTGTAAACACGAAGGATGATCGCATCGGCAAACGAAGACTTCTCAAACGAGAGCATTGTAAACGGATGAAATGCTTTTGGCCGTGGGTTTATAGGTAGCACAGGCGCTTTCCAGAAGTGACTTCCGACAACAACTTTCCGTAGAGAAATCAACATGTGAGTGTAATCAATGTGTTATAACATCTGCCAGTACAGAGTGCTGATTCGTGATTTAGAACGCGCCCCAAGACGCTGCTCAAGTTCAAGTCAACCATCAACAACCCAATCTCCACCGTCTGCCAGCAAAAGCCGTCCAAATAGCAAACTTGCAGCATGTCTTCTGGAAGCTCGTCCAGCGCCGATGACCTCGCAAAAGAACATCAAAGCCCTGACAAAGAGGACTCGCCTCTTCTGAAAAGCACAAATAGCCACATCTTCCTCGCCTGCATCACTTGCGAACGAATTGTCATGCTCACCGGCCCTCGACAAGAGATCGTCCACGAGGGTGATTCAGTCAGCAATCTTTTCGCTCCCACGATAGGCGCCTCATGCGAGCCAGACGACGACTCAAAGAGTTGGAGTCGAATCTCGATCAACAAAGTGTTAATTACTCTATGGGGCCCGTACCTAGCTATATCAGCATTCATTGATTCTTCTCTGCATGAGAACCTTAAGCTGGATGAATCGCATGATAGGACTAAAGTGCGCTTGTCTGGGAGAGCCTACGCGGCTCAGTTGCTTGATGGCGATGTCGAGGTTTGTAGTGTTTTGACGAACCCCACAGATAGAGTGCGTCTCCAGGTTCTGCCATATGTCGAGAGCGAGTTCTTTCATTTGGAGTGAAAATTGAGCTGTTGACGCGATGCGACTGGTGTCAAAACATCCGCTCAATCTTGAGTAAATATTTCGGACGACGGAATGCCAGGTAATAGTCACTAGATTCCTTTTCAAATGAGATTGGCAAACGGGAATATGGCAAACCCAAGAGGTCTTTTAGCCACCCAATATAAAGGGGTTATCTCTGATTTGTTCCAAGTGGCTGTCCACAACAACTTTCGTCAATTGAAAACAACTTGTCAGTACCACAGCAAACCCTCCCTATCAATACAAAATTCAACACAATAAATCGCAAATTTCCAACCCCCCATCAACTACATCCAGCACTCACCACAAAAGGCCTCCTCCATAAGACCCGTCCACCCCCTCCCAACCCCTCCTCCAAACCTGCAACAACTGTTATCTCAAATCAACAACCTCCATCTCATTCCTCACCGCTTCTCCAAGTGTTTTCCGCATGAGGGATCTGGGTTTCTGCGCCTGCATTGGCGCGTACGGAAAGCTGCCCTTGTGGCTGGAAATCACCAAAGACTCATCAGTTATGCAAGAGCCCTCAACACCGTATTTTGAGGACGGAAGATGCCCGTACCAGCAAACGGGGATAACGCAAACGATGAGAGCGATGTGTTGATTTCGGGCTTATAAATGAGACTGTCGCTTTCTTGAATTGGGCTCCAACAACCATTTTCCTCAAAGCAGTCAACATGTGAGTTCGATCAAAACATCGTCGAATAATTATTACATTATACTGATTTAATGTATAGACAACTCAAGTTGAATGTTCTCTACATCGTCCAAGGCCTAAGATACCAAGCCTCTCAACTACTAAGACGATCCAAACCTTCGTCTCGCCAAATAGACAACCTAAGGTCACCAAAAGCCACCGAAGCAAGAAACACTATGTCGACAGCAGCAGCAGAACGCATAAGCTTCATAGAGAGTATTGCAAACACAAGGTCTTATATCGTTCTCGCCTGTGTCAGCTGCGAAAGAGTCGTTCTCTTTAACGGGCGAGCGCCAAGATCTGATCGAAACCGACGACGGCACCGCAGTTGGCAGTCTCTTCTGTCCGACCATCTGCGCGTCCTGTGACGGGGATCCGGATGGGGAAGCAAGAGAGGCGACGATATACCTGGACAAGAACCTTCTCACATGCTGGGAGCCATTTCTTGCCATAGAAGCTTACATTTGTCACGTTGAAGAGGAAAGTCTGCAGTTTGATGAGAGCGAGGGAAAGGTGTCTTTGATGCATAGGCGGTTAGTTCTCGGACCGAGATACTTTAGTCAAGGGGATATTACGGGGAATAGCGTGCTGCTGAACCCCAGGGAGGGTGTTTCAGCAGAGCTTCGACCATTCGTGGAGCATGACTTCTTCGGACCCGCGAATAATGGGGCAAGGTTCGCTTGATGTATGCGAGGATGGATGTTGGTGATTGTTGTGGGCGTGTTTAGAAATGTTACTGGAGGCCGAGGAAAACTTTCTATCTGCTGAAAAAAACTCAGACGGGATTGTCTCTATATGTATTATAGTGAAGTGTTCTCAGAATAAGTCACAGAAACCGGAATCTCCTCTCTGCATACTCTCAATCCACCCGCGTCAACTGTTTCATGCTTCTTCTCAACACACACTTCTCACACCCACACCGTCTCCTCACCATCTCCACCTCACTCTCACTTCAAATCCCTCCTCCAAACCTCCAAAAAATGCTCCCTCAACTCAACAACCTCCGTCTCATTCCTCAACTTATCAAAGAACCCCGCTCCAGTTGCAGCCACAAGTAACGACGCTCCCGCAACCCCCGTAGCCATAAACGCCGCCGTAGCAGCACCTCCCGCGCCTGCACTCGTCAAGAACGCAAACACACTACCTCCCTGAACAATACCAATACTAGATTGCCACGCCGCGGCCAAAGACCCAGCGACCACGCCACCACCGCCAAATCCAACGAGTGGGAGGACAACCGGGGCTGCGAGCGTGGTTGCCAGACCGCCGCCGAGGATTTTCGCGCCGAGGAGGAGATTCTTCTTTTTGGCGGCCGCTGTGAGTTTGGTTAGTTCTGTGTCTCGAGGTAACCCAATTTAGAACATATTTTTGATGCTATGAGAAGTCTGTACACACCTTTCTCCTTCCTCTCCCTTTCCTTCTCCGCATCTACAAATTCCTTCGCAAACGGCGGACACCAACATCCCAACACCCTAACCGCAGCCTTCAACCCCCAAACATCATCCGGAAACTCCCCAGCGATGAATTTCTGCTCAATAACAGAGATACTGGCAACATTATTTGCAAAATCGTCGAACATGCCTTTCCCGGAGATGAGTTGATACACCAACCCACCTAACGCGAAAAGTTCTTTCCGCTCGATCTTATCTTCTCGTGAGGGAAGGTGATCTTCGATTTGTTTTGGCAGGTTGAAGCGTGGTGTGTAGTCTCTGATGGACGGGTCTTCGGAGTGGATTTCAATCAAAAGGTATGGATCTTTAGCTAGATTCTCGATCGAGCCATCATGATTGAGAGCGATTTGAAAATCACGGGTTGTGTTTGGGTAAGTCTGGTCTTCTTTGCGACGTAGATCTGAGGTTATGGCGGAGACCCATTTGAGGCGGAGGTCTTCTGGAGTTTGGGTGAGGTTGAGGGGAGTGCTGGGGAATGTTGTGTTGGTTGATTGAGAGACGTCTAGGGTTGTTAGGATAGATCGAATGCTTTCTGGTGTTTGGATGTACCTCTTATCGCCATCTCAGCCACCGCTTGATTATTTGCCATATTGGCTTGGGAAAATCTTCGGCTTGCTGGTTTGGTTCGATTGAAATGGACGTAAAGTGATGGTGATCTGATGGAGCGACAGTGGCGAACTGCGGGGTGCGAGAAATATCGACTACCACAGTACATTGCCTGTTTTCAGAGAATTAAAAATGACTGATGCCTTGAGATCGTGATGAGGTTATCGAGCCGCCGAAGAATTGAGACGAGGCTCGCGCTTCGGTGTGCTCATGCAGATGAGGTGTAAGTGGCTACTCGATGCACGGGATATGCAGAGCGCCTCATCCGATTGAGATTTCAGGAATTGCTTTTTTTCCGGCCACAGCAGAACCCCCGTATAAATTTGTAGGGAGGATATAACGATTTATGGTCTCAAACGTCGAATACTTATTTTAAAGCTTTACTAAACCGAAACAGTTTCCTTCAACTGGAATTGTGAAAATCTCGGGTATTCCCAAGGTATAAGTTACACTTCAGGTACTTCTTAAGAAGCAGAAACTCTGGTTATCTATGTTATAATTATTTAAAAAAATCTGAACATGTTGAGAACTAGAGTTATTGAGTATAGTTATGAAGTGAGGAGGCTATAGTTATTTTGCAGTAAAGAGATGTTCTGGGAAAGCGAAGTATAGTAACCTTTATTGAGGTTGTACATGGGGTTCTGAGGTCGTTTGATGTAAAGTCTGATTATTCAGGTCTTGATATTCCCAATTCCTTCAAATCTAGAATTTTTTCATTCCTAACAACAACTTCCATCCTTGTCAGACCATATAATTTCCACATCCTATAAGCACAAGAAATCTCCGCCTGCCTTCATCTAGCAAAACCTCATCACTTCATGCAGCATAATTCTCACTCTTCATCCGCTCTCCTTCACACTCATCCAAGTCTTCAGAAATTCCTGCTTCAGATGATCAGGATCCTCGCGTTCACCTTTCATCGCACTCGCAATAGCAGCAGCAATTGCACCTCCGAATCCCATACTTGTAGTAAAAGTACCAAGAATTGCCGTTCCTCCCATCGCAACACTTTGGCACCATGCGAAGAGACTACCAGCTTGCACGAGTCCGATGCCGGATTGCCAACCCGCTGCAACACCACCTGCCACTGGGCCTAGAGCGCTAAAACCGAGTATACCTAGAATTGCAGGAATGACCACAGGTGCAGCAAGAGCTGAGAGTGCTGCTCCCACTCCTATCTTTATGATGCCATTGAGGAGAGCGTCGCAATTTTCAGATCCTGAGCAGGCGTCTAGATTAAGTTCGAGTTAGCAAAAGCTGCGAGCTTGATGTATCAATCCGACTCACCATATGAATCCGACTCGCCATCAACCAAGAACCGACTTTCATGCTCTCCAAACTCCAGCGACCAACAACCAAGAATCGTCCTCGCCATAGGTAAACCATAAACATCCTCCGGAAACCGACCAGCCACAAAACGAGCCTGGATTTTCTCATCTCCACTTAACCCATCGAGTAGTTTTTTGCCAGACAAGATATGATAGAATAATCCCCCGAGCGCAAACAACTCCCGTCGTTCCACAGTCTCATTCGTTGGAGTCGCCAGACAGTTCAATACCTTCGGGAGCCTATAACGCGCGGGATACTCCTGCGCGGGTGAGATATAGACTGCTGGCTTTACACGCTTGCCACCGTCTTGAATTGTGCCGTCAGGGTTGAGGATGAAGTGCAGTTCGCGCACATGGTAGGGTGAGCTGGACGGGGATTCCTTGAATGTCTTGTAGATGTTGGCAACCCATTTCATGCGTATTACGATGGAAGCGATGTTGGTCAAGTCTTCGGCTATGTAGAGGCGGTTTGATGATCGATCTGTTTGTTTTTCAGTTCAAGATCTGCAATAGCAGTATGGGCAGAGAAGTTCGACTTACTTCGATAGCTCAGTCGACATGGTACTGTGGATACTTTTTGACCCATTTTGAGAATTGCTTTTCGTGCTTTCAGGTGCGGTCGAATTAATTATGAGAGAGTGATGCTATTGACGTGGTGTTTGAAGAGAAGCCTGAGAAGGTCGTGTTGGGTGAGTGAAATGTTTAGCGATAAGAAAGAATTCTTTTGATTTCAAAGGTGAAGCCAACCATGACTGAAACTGTCGCGGCACAGAAATAAGCCTAACAATAACTAAACCAAAATTCATCTCTGTTTCTTCACATTACTATAGAATTAGTAGATCTTTTTAAATGATTTACTTTAATTTCCGTTACTTCGTGAGCCTCCTAAGCGGAGAAAGAGAAAAACGAGGCGAATTGTCAATACTACCTCGTAACACTTTACAATAACATAAGTAAGATCAACCCCGTAGCACAACGTTCCAAATAGACACGAAAGGACTAACCATGTTAGCGAGCGGAAATCCTTAGTGCCGAGAAGTATAAACGACGCAAAAGCTTCTTGTCAAAATCGAGCGACTAAAAAGTTTTAAGTCTTACGATGAGATATTAGAGTACACTAGAGAAGCCTTCGACGCCGGCAGATATAGATCCTAACACACAGGAGTATTATTGTCAAAAATCCCAGTTATCGACAAATACAGCATTAATTGTCATCGCGTCAAATTTGTTGGCCTCGATCAGTGAAAACATGTCTTGAGTTTATACATACGCACAAAAAGCGAAGGGTCTCGTGACAACTATATACTCTAGAATCTTTAATGTTCAAGTTGCCAGCAATATACAAAATGAAAGATAATTAGTGTTTGGATCTTGGGAATGTTCCAAATTGGTTTATTTCGCTTGTGAATTCAATGTTACCTCTCGTTTTAGAAAAGAGGTTCTCTCACGAGAATAAGTGCGTATTGGCTGAACTCATCTATTTTCAAATGGATTTGACTGCAACATCATGCCAGAATTTCTTGGCGCCTCGGAGGAAGTACGTTCCGCTCCAAGATACCAGCGGGGACCAGGTATATCCTCAAATGTGCGATTCGTCCACGAGCTTCGAATTCTACTTGCATTTGACACGCGTCACGGAACTTTTCAATTCAAAGTCCGTATCTATCAAGTGCCATTCGAACATCTGTGGAGCAGAATAATGTAAACGAGGGTTACAACCAGTCAAATTACAATTTTTAGAAAGCCTCGAAAAACGTTAACTCGGGGGTAGTATCTCTCGCTTTTTATAGCCTAGATAGGGTCAAGACGACTCGGTAGCGACGTGATATAATATCCTAGTACTCACAGTCTTATTTGACCAGGTGCACGAGATATCTCGTACCGTTACATTGGATATAGCAACTACCTCGATGGGAGTAATGAGAGCGGAAGAAAATGTATAAAGGTTCGAAGAAACACCCTTTGTTTTCGAAAAGCTATCCTCATCGTTTATTCAGGACCCACTTCTGCTTCTTGTTCTTCAGACTTCAGTCCGAATCCAAGAGATCTTCTAAAACTCCTCTCATCATGCATCTTCCAACCTTTTCCCTCGCCATCTTCACCGTAGCTACTTTGATTAGCGCGGGTCCAATTGAGCCACTGCCTGGTACTACCCCCGAAAAGGCGGATGGCTTCTATGCATCCCGATTTGAAGACGACGGTTCAGCCACCCTCATGGAATTCATCCCTTTGACCGATACCATGAACAACACAACTTCCTCCACCATCCTCGACACTCGCACCATTGAAGCAAGATCTAGTGCCGTTACTTGCGAGAATGCCATCCTCAATCGCAACGACCTGATCTCCGCGTGGAACTGTCTCATTTGGACTATGACCCCTTCCAAAACCATGGAAAAAAACTATGTTTACCATGTAAGTCTCACCCCACAAGTATTTTCGCCTTTGATCGAAGTTACCTCCACTTTCGCGACCCCTCTCTAATCCTTTTGTTGGCGTATAGTGTAAATCAGCCTCAGTAGTTGCCTATGCTTGCAGTTATTCCAAAAACACGCTGAACCCTGTAATAATCCAAACCACTCTTACGACCGTGAGCAACACCTGCGGCGGGGTCCAGGCAGGTTACCAACGTTGCAAGAAGGATTGCGGCGTTACTGATATGACCATTGGAAGGAATTACAATGGCGCGGCATTTTGCTTTAAAGACTTTTACGGGTCATGATGCGGGCCGTGTTATGTTTCAGCACTGAGTTGAGAGAATGGGAGATTGCTAGTAAAGCGCGGGATAGGAACATGTTTTAGATCATCAGGAGTTCGAAGAGTGTCGCGTTTGTCAAAACCTCGCCGAGGCATGACGCCTAGAAAAGTAAATTATTCAATAATTATCCCATCATCCTCTACTGGAATGATCCTCTCTGCCCACAAGTGACAAGTCCCGTCGAGGATAATAGACTGTGGCGTTGGGAAATCAAATCCTTATAATTGACTGAAGTATTATATATCTTCTCATTGAGTAGCTACAGATCAACTGTTGTTCATGAGCTCTTTGAAATTCTAAGTCTTTAAAGCAACATTCACAGTGGTAAGTAATCTAATGGCTTGTTAGTGACTGGATCAATCGGTCAGACTTCCTAAAAATTGGATACATGTCAGAGATTTCCAGATTTCCTTCAACTATAGAAAAATAAAACACTGACCAGCTACCTCGAAGGAGGTTGATCATAAAACCTTCCAGCAATAACAACATATATATTTTCTACCCCCTTCGCTAACCGACGACCCCATTCACGATAACAGACGTCGTTCGTCAATATACCTAGTCAAGTACCCCGTGCGTAGGCTATCACAATAGCACAAGTGATCTACTTTTTCTCTTTTAAGGATCTGGGTGTCTCTCCCAATCAACACCTTGGTCATCGTAAGGTCTTATGACTAAACAGAGAGGATTTGCACATTGATAATGCCGTGTACTATGAGGAGTTCCTGAACGGCAAGACCGGCAATACCAGTACCACTGATAATATATTTCCGATTGGAGTGTTTTCCTTTTTTCGCTAGTAGAGTTTTGTGGGTCATATTTGTGCGTGTTGGATTTGCTGATTGGAATTTTAAGGCTCTTCGAAGGGGAAGGGCGTTTTTGCAGTTTGCCTGTCATCGATTCGTCGGCGGTAGAGCTCTGTGGCTGTGGTTCTTCAGCAGGGGATTTGCCAGAAATCTGACGGAGTTGTGCATGCGAGCTTGGTAAATCATTGACACAATACTCAAAAGAACCAGGACCAGAAGACGATTCGTTACTTTTGGCCACAAAGCTGCTTCTCCCAAGATCACTTATCACTTCTTTTTGAATCGCAAATGTGGTTTTAGCTATGAGTTGAGACGACGGAGGTGCTGCAATTGCGGAGGCTGCATTTTCCGTACTTGTTGATGTGTCGGAAAGTTCGCCTTTTTGACGGATCTGTAAATGGCCTGTGATTGAGCCCCTTATATCCGCAGAAGAACAAGGTAAATCATCTAAGTCTCTATTGCTGCTCGCACTGTCGCCATACTCACGGTGTTGAGGGGTTGCGAGCAAAGCTAGTTGCTTCAAATGAGCCCCGACGTGCCGTTTGAACTGGTCCACATCTACCAAAAGTTTTTCGTCGGCCTTTTCATTTTGAGATGATTTTCTAAGATGTAACTCCCAATCGTGGCAGAACAGGCAGTCGGATGGAGAAAACTCGATGATCGGCTGCTGGCTCAACTCCATGAGTGCTGGAAGTAGGCTTTTCGTTATATGAATATTCTCGTGTAATTCCTCGAGATGTTCACGGTATCTGTCCGGTGTCTGGAAAAAAGCTTCGAGGCAGAAAAAGCACTTCCATCGCTTCCGATGAGTCTGCATTTCATGTGTAAACCAAGCGTGCTCATCGGCGAATGGCTCGGCTTTGCAATCTCGAAAGGTACAAATGTAAGGTTTGATATCTTCAAACACATGATTCCTGTTGAAGAAAGTGTCAGAAACAAGAGCTAGATTATTAGAATTTGGAAACGTCTTACTCCCATGCCTTTTGTGTCTCGTGGGTTTGACTTTGCCAGCAATATATGCAATCAAAACATGATTGGTTTTTGGAGATGTCCTGGAGTGGAATGACTTGTAGATCGAACATGCTATCATTTTTCTCCACGGAAGTTTCGTTTGATATATCGGGCTGGTTGGAAGATCTATCTCGTGCAGTGAGGTCTTCGGTGGATGCCTCTGATACGTAGCGAGTACCACAAGGATTTGATAACAAATTCGCCTTCTTTTCAGTGGATGAAGGAGTTTTCTGATGATTTTCTGTCTTCTCTGATGGGGGGGAAGCGATCTCATTATGATTTTCTCGTTGTTTTCCTGCTTTCTCATAACGTTCTGAGCAGTATTTGAGGTACTGACGGCGTTGCGCAATCGCGTTTCCCAACCTTACAGCAAGCCAATCCTTGTCTTTAGCAACCAATGCCGAGAACTTCTCTTTTACCCCAGCCACGTCGTGCTCACAGCTCGAGCTCTCTGAACTTATCATTAGTGATGAACTCCAAGTACTGTTGGTCTTCCGGTCTATCTCTGTACAATCGCGAATGACCATTGATATGCGGAAGAGGTTATGGATTGAATCGGTAACCGATTCAAAAATCTCTGCCATTTCATCTGCTCCTTCTTCGGCGGAGTTTAGAAAACCAAAATCCTCAGTTGTGTTCACATGATTTACTCGAGTATGGTTCGCGATTGAGCAAGCTGAAATCAGATGTCAGTACTTTCCAAGGTCTTCTGAAAGCTATTGGAGGCATAAAAAGGTTAAGGGCTAGTAGAACTTTGGATTCTATGAACAAGGTATCAATAAATTCAACCACAACATCGCCTCTCTTCAAACTTGGGCACTTCTCTTTTTTCTTCGGCACGACTTCAATTCAATGAGATCTCCGTGCACATCAAAGAGCTAAGACGGAAGAGAGGATTTCTTACCATCTTCCAAAGATTCTCTCAAGTCTTCAAGAGTCAGCACAATTTGCTCCACAATTTTTGGAGTCTGGCGTAGCTCAATGTCCAGGAAGTTGTTGAATTTGGGGTTATGTAAAACTCCGACATTTCCAGCCCACAGTTTGAATCGAAAGAACGCGTCCTCAATACCACCTGTTGTTGCTGCTCGTTCTAGTGCACACAAGTTGACTAGACGTTCAAAATTCTCGTAGCATGTCTTAGCTCCACTGATCACAGGTGATCCTAGGTTTTCTCGGAATGCCATTTAGTGTTGCTTGGCCAGATAATTCATGCAAGTAGCAATATCACTTGGAAACCGCATTCCCACGTCGATGTTCAAGAGCCTCAGACCGGTTACGATGACTTATGTTAGATTGTACTTATTTTGGTTTTTTCGCTCTGTCGCAATGAATTTTCAAAATAGCGAACCCCTTCGTCGTAAGAGATGATATAGTAGGTGTTAGCACAATGGTATATTTGAAGCCAAAATGTTTTTCTTTGCCCTAGCTTTCCAATAATACTTCTCTTCAAAGGAATAGAATGAGGCTGTAGGAGTATAAGGCTCAGAGGTTGCCAACGTGGTGGCTGTGAAAACATAAGGCTGTCGACGCCTAAGTGAACGCCCACCATGTCAGCCCGCTTATCCCACTTCTTGGCACTCGTAACCTTAATGCTCGCTGTCTTGTTGAATAAAAACTTCCTTTATGTGTAGTCAAGTCGTGATGTGCTTTGAAATTGTGTCTTTTCCCACGTTCCTTTTCCACGTCAGACATTTCGATTGGAACCATTGATACATGGTCCCTGACAATGAGTGGTATTGAGATTGCTGGCCTTGTTCTAGCCGTTTTCCCTTTGACTATCGCAGTACTGGAGAATTACCGTCGAACTGCCAAGGTCCTTGATTCTTGGTGGAATGTCAAAACAAAATATCAGAAGTGTATACGCGATCTTAATTTCCACCAACTTACATTCAAACTCGCATTAGAGGAATTGCTTCAACTATGGTTGATGACGAACAACAACTAGACGACATGCTAAACAACCCACAAGGCGATCTGTGGCGGGATCCGGAGATGGTGACAAAATTAAAGTCAAGACTGCCAAAATGCCACGCTTTATATTTCCAAACAGTAGACGACATGGTAGAGACTCTTCAAAACCTTCACGATATTTTAGGACTCGGCAGAGTTGGTTTCCAGCAGCGATTACTGGAAACAGAAGTGGTAAGTCAAGCCAAGGCCATTCAACTCAACTTAGTCAATTTCTTTTGTGGTACTATTTAATGGTATGATGATTCAGTCACTCAGTGTTCTAGCAAGAACGCCACTCACAGTCTTGCAGTGCTGACTAGACATAGTTAGTCGCAAAAAGCGAAAGCACGGCTCCTACAACTGCACTAGCTGTCATCAAAGGCATAGTGGAAAAACTCAGTCGTAATTTCGATTCCCAGGCTCAAAGAATTAGACTTGCTTCTGGCAAGACTGAGAGGAAAGAACTTTTTGAAGAATTCGGTGCCCATACAGCTCGCTTAGAGAAGCTTCTTCGCTCATCAGACCGCCTAAAAACCTGGAAAGGATATCGTGATAAGCAGTTAATCGGCCTAGATATCGGCTTGTGGGACTCTTGGAAGCAGGCATATGCTTTATCCAGACTTCTAGCAAAGGTATGGCAATGCAAATGCCGAACGTATCATCATGCCAATTTGCTACTAGAGTACAGGAGAGTCCCGACGGCCAACTTCAAAATCCTGTTCTTATTCGGAAACCAGCTAGAACTCTATCGGAACTCTTGGGTATGGCAAGCTACAAGTTTTGGTTTACTTCCAAAGCGGGTATATACTTCGCAGGGATCAAATCCGGTTGTTTCAATGTCCAACGAGCAGCGAACAAGCGATCCCATATTATGCAGACCGACAGAACTCCCAGAAGGCCCTTTGAAGAAGAAAGGCTGCAACAAAGGCGACGAAGAGTCTTTCTCCCAACCAATATTTGAAAGTCGCCCTAGGAAGCGCTTCACATCGCTGTGGAAATCCCGCAACACACCTGTTTTTGTTAAAATTGGCCATTTAGTGGAAGACAACGTTACTTTCACTGAGCAATCAGAGATCACACAAATACCTATCCAAACTGTTCCCGCTCAACTCATCAATTCTACTGACTCCAACATCATTACGAATTTGTGCGCAAAGATATCCAATTGCTCAGCTGAGCTCCTCCCCTATGGTGTTCTAGAGGAAACGGACATCAAGTGTACTATCGATCCGCTTTGTATGCCAGAACATGAGCCCCAAATTGCAATATCCTTGGGTGACTTACTTGGACCCGCGGCCCAAATTATCCTCTCACAAAAACAATGAACTCACATTGCGGTGATCCTTGCGTCCTCATACATACAACTCAATCGAACACCGTGGCTGGATACCTCGCTTAACAAGAAGGACATTCTTTTTTTATACACAGACGGAGCATTTGACAAGATACGTTTCGACCAGCCATATGTCTCTCAACCTGTCTGTAATGATAAACAACACGATTTTGACGTTTCGACAAAAGATTTGTACATACTTACAACGAATTTTCAAGATAGTATACGAAATCTTGGTGTCATACTACTGGAGCTGTGTTTTGAGCGTGCAATAGAATCACATCCTACGTGGCAGAAGATTTTCGTACCAGATGAAAGAATACTACGCCTAAAGTATTATACCGTCGCAACGGAATGGTGTCGGAAAGATCTTCTTGAAAATTACGGCCCAGACTGGTATGATGCTATCAATTGGTGTCTCCATTATACTCCAGATAGTAGAGACTTAATTGGTGCCAAAAGGAATGAGGACGCGTGGCGAGAGCAGATGTTTGTTGGCGTTGTCGAGAAATTGACGCAATGCTACAATCATGTTTCGGTTAAAAAATTGGATGCACATTCGAGTAACGATCACTAAAGTAATGAACTCTCGCAACTAAGCAGAGCCGTGGCTTAGGCAAGTTGAAGTGTATTAAGGCGTACGAGACTAGCCGAAATTCGGGGGGCGGGGGGGGAAATAGGGTCCTCAAGCTGTTGAACCATGAGAAGAGTATCAGAACCCATGGAATTTAAATTGAAAACTTTATTAGACAGCTCGCTTCCCTTACCATTCATCATAAATTCACGACCGAATTCTTGCTATGCTGATTAATATTCTCAAGACGTTCTTGAAAAAGTCAAGTCGGTGACGGAAGATAATGCTTGGATGTGAGGATCCGATACATATGTCGTTATGTAAATACTACATCTGGAAATCGCAAAAACTCATTAATGCTCGGTATGTCTGTTTCAACAACAAAGAATTCAGCAGTTAATTTATACTCATACATTTGCATATATCAATTCCTCTGTGAGCTATCCATATTTTATTTAACCGGCCAAAACACTCAATCGTCTACTCGGCAAAAGAAAAAGTAAAGGGGAGAGATATCACTTAACATCCACAGATATCACATATCGTTTATTGATCTTTTCCCCTTACTTTTGTTAGGACTTTTATGTCACTACTAACCCGTGAAGGAGTTGCGGCTCACAGTTTTTAGCATTTGAGTGGATAATTAAGCGAAACCGCCTTGATCCCTGTCTTGAGCCTGTTTGTCGTCCAAGCTTTCGGCACCTCATTTCGTTGACCTGAACATCAACAATACACCTAGGTCTTCAAACACAACAACGGATATTACATCGACTCTTAATTCCAAATGGTACCCTCATGGCTTCCTTCGATTTTACGACCTGACTGTGTGTGGAAACCTCGAAGAAATCTCACCCCATCAAGCACGATACCACCAACACCATCGCCTAACCCGCAATTTGTCCAGCGATTCTGGGGACACATACATACGTATCTAAGAAACTTTTCACAACATTATTGCCGATGGTTGGGCGTCCAATTTGATAACCAAATCATCCCACTGCCTTTTGGGCTTCTTCTGAAATGGTCCGATGGCACGCGGCTCGAGGAAGTCCTCACGACCAAAGTCTGTTACGCCGCCGGTTTACCAACACCTTACATTATTTCCTACGGCTCACATCCTGATACGCCACATGCTCCGATTTCGATCCTAATGACTAGACTGCCAGGCCGTGAATTGGGGCAGATTTACGAATCATTGAGTTCCGAGGCAAAGGCAACCGCACTTTCGGAGTTCAAATTCTACATATCCAGTATTAGAAAATGGAAAAGTCCGTGGGGCCCATCACGGATATGTAGCCTTACTGAAGGTCCAATTCGAAGTATACGGGTTCCGAACCACATAGTTGGCCCTTGCGAAACTTCTCAAGACTTCCACGATCATCTCCTCTCCCCTGCATACAACTCTTTCGGGTCAGAAGAAGTATTTAATTCTAAACTTCAACTCGCCAAAAAGCTCCAGACCTTACAAGCTAAACGTCCTGGTATAAAATTTACCCATGGTGATATCAAACATCATAATTTCCTGGTTGATGACATTGGTCATATCACGGGGATTTTGGATTGGGAGGCTGCGAGATGGTATCCCGTCTTTTGGGAATGGACGACGGCCATGAGATTCGTGCCCCAGGACTTTTGGTGGTTCGACTTTTTGATTGAGAGCGGGGCTGGCGAATATAGAGAGGAGTCAGAGTGTGAGAGGGCATTGACGAGTTTGACTGTAGATTCTTATTCTTGGTAAGAGGTGGTACTTGAAAGGTCTTGCGGCTCCAAAGCGTTTCATATTTCCACGAGTATCTAAACTCCAACTATGAGGGTCTAGAAATGAAGAAACAGGATACTTGTGGTGTTGACTAGGCGATGATGCTTTCTTGTAACACAATATATTGTGCTTACTTATTTACACATAACCAAACACCATTCAACCATCCATATTCCACTCAGCAACTCTGCCCAACAGAACACAAATCTCTGACCCTCCAAACCCGCAAACAACCCAATTCCATTCCATCCCCTCCTGCCTCCTCACCTACTTGCAAGCCTAACACCTCCTCCTCATACCCCCACCACCACCCATCCTCCGTCGTCCCCCCATCATACCACCTCCCCCCATTCTCCCACCTCCATACCCCATAGTCGGTCCCATCGGCCCACCCATTCCACCCCCACCAGTATGATGCACTACATGCGTAGTACCAACTCTTCTCGAGCTTCTCGATCCGTATCTATTATTATAGCCTCGTGAGCGGGAGGAGGACATGCAGAGACCCATTTTAAGAGTTGGACAATGAGGTATTCTTCGGATTAAATTTCAAGGTTAAGGTGTATGTTCTGCTGAGAGGTACGGTTGAGATAATGGAAGGAAGGAGAGTACTGATGATATTATTTTGTAAATTGTGCACTCGCTTGCTTTCCAAAATATCATTAATTTGAGAGAAGAAATTGACGGATATGTTTTCTTCAATCTCCGCCCCGCAACTTATCAATATATATCCCACCACTTACGCTACTGGTCCCAAAATCATCGAGACCCATTCTGTCTTGGGCCTGACGTCCGCCTAGGCCATCGCTTCTTAGCGACAAGAACAAAAGTCTCCTAGCCCCTTTCCGCAAACCCCAAGTACACTTGTCATCCATATTCTCGCCCCACAAGATTCTAGTCGTTCATCCAAGACGTATGGCAAAAATCATCAGACCCATGGCACATATTCAAGGGTCTGGAGAAACCGAGCGTCAAGATCGTGGCGGCTACTTGGCAGCGGGAGCACATGTCATCGACTTGGCGACCAAGCAACACTTAGAAGATATAGGTGCTTGTCAATTGATTTGCCGGTGGGCCGAGTCTCGTAATATCTATAAGAAGAATCTAAAAGTTAATGAGTCTGATGTATGAGGTTTCGAGAGGGTTATGAGAGAGTTCGAGGTGAGAGGAGGAGGAGAAGGAGAAAAGTAAATCGGACAATTAAATATTGTAGATATAGATAATTAAAGATAGATCTACTAATCGGTAATCAACAAAAAAGTGTTAATATATCAAAAGTCTGATAAATGTCGTCCGTCGAATGACCTTGGTTAACGAGATATTTGACTGTAGCTCGAAAAGAAACGAACCATCCCCACTAACGACATTACCAATATAAAAACCCAAGACACAACCATTACCAAACCTCCTAACCCATTTAATCCCTCAATCATCCTTACCCCCCGGCTTCCTCGCAACAAACATAAAATCCGGCGTAAAAATGCCCTCTCGCCCACCATCCCTCATCCCCCAAACGCCCTCACAAAGCTCCTCCATCGAGACATAATCCTTCCACTTCATCAACCCCACGCACGCAAGAACCCACACAAGAAACAGCCAAATATGGAAAAACCACTCCTTCATCTTAAAGATCATCCATTTATCCCTCCAGGCCCAGAATGGAGCCATATTGCCATCGATGGGCGCCCACCAGGGCGGTCCGCCTTGAGACGTGGCGTGGATGTCTTCGTGACGGATGCATTGGAGACCGCTGTCTTTGAGGGCTGTGAGGACCGTGGGCTCGGTGACTAGGTCGTGACAGCCGGTGCCGCGCATGATGCGGTATTTGATTTGTTTGTGGACCGGGTTGGAAGCGTCGTATCTGGGCGTCATCATGAATTCCATGGTCGCGAAGTAGCCGCCAGGTTTGAGGACGCGGTGGGCTTCGGAGTAGACGTCTTTGAGGTTAGCTGCGTAGCAGGTGGCTTCGATAGCATAGACCGCGTCAAAGCTGTTGTCGGGGAATGGAATGTCCTTTTTCTGGTCAGTAAAAGTATATATAATTTTGGTATCACTTGAGCTTACCGTGAAGTCTCCAAATTGAAACTTTACTTTATCTTCCCCAATACCTGCCTGCTTCGACAGAACTTGAGCTCGAGCAATGTGAGGTATGTTGATATTAATACCAGTCACATGAGCGCCTGAAAATAGAGCTATTTCCCTCGCAGGCTCGCCAACTCCAAAGCCCAGATCCAGTGCCTTTTTGCCAGGACCGAGTTTGAGATTGAGTGCAAGAAGGTGTTCGTGGCGCGCAAGTCCTGTATCAATTGTTTCACCTGGTAGGAAACGACAAAAGTGGAACTTGCGCCCCCAACCGCTCTCGTAGTTCTCGGTAATTAAGTCATAATAACTGAGTATCTGTCAGCACTGATGATGAAGTCGCTCATTAAAAAGGCTTACGCGGAAGAAATCGCTGATGCTCGTTTATGCCGTTCAGCAGCTTCCTCTTGTGTCTCATCCCCCCATGTCTCCTTATAGATAGTGCCTTGATCCTTCATTTTGCAAGCTCTTGATTCAAGACTTTGGAAGACTACTGCAATACTCCGGCTCGTACATAAAGTATAAAACTCTTTATTACCATTTCTTGACGCTTCTAGAAAGAAAACAATCTTGAAGACACAATTTCGAAGCTAGGAATGCCATCATGCGATGAGGCGCTGGTTGATATTGTCGTATAGCGAAAGCGGAACGCCTAGTAGCAACACTGTCGCAACAACTCTGGAGTTACTAATATTGTTCGCCGAATATGGCTTCTCTGGTCAATGAAATTGTGAAAACACCAACGGGTGGCTTTGCCAAGAAATCTTGTACTCTCTGGAACAAAGGATCCCAAGGGTTGATTTCGAAATCTCAGGCGCAGGCTAGCTAATGAACAAAGAGATAGCGCTCTGCTCATGAAAAGACAAAGAACTTTCCCAATCCTTGATTCGAGAAATGTTTACCCGACGCCGCGACCTGTAATCGGCGGAAAGGTTATGTAGAGAAGAGCGAGAAATCGAAATAGATCAACCACACACAAAGTTGACGCTGACGGAAATGCCCAAACTATAACAACTTCATACTCTGAAGTTCCATCGACCATACAGCGCAAAGCCAGCCCAGAAATACGGTGCTTGGGTTGCTGGGTTTCTCTTAATAGCAAGAGCAGCGTCTCTCATCCGTCTCGCAAGATCAATGCACCCTTCAAATTTAAATTTCTTATCGCAATCAATTCCATAAAAGTGCTCGCTGAATTTTGCACCAGACAATCGATCATGAATAGGCCACATAGTGGCAATGACCGAAGAAGCACCTGCAAATAACAGACTAGATACAAGGCCTAGCGGCTCATCCCCTGGATCTAACCTCTCGACACCTGAACCGCAGCCGATGAGGAGTACTGCTGGCGATCTTTTTGATAAATCCATTTTGAAAATTTCGCGGGCGGCTAATTTCTCACCATGGTGGAATAGTAGCGCTTGATTGAGAGGATGGTCTGCGGATATGACATGGCCGTGGAAGTGTATCCATGATGCCATGTTGATGCTTTTCAAGAACTCGTCTTTTGAAACATCATCGACATGTTCCTGTCTACCGCACTGTGCGACAATTTTGCGGACGACCTCAGATCCGGCTGGGGTATCTCCTGTTGGACTACCAAAGAACTCAAACTCCCCAACATCTGGGCGTGAGCTAGTTGAATTTTGTTGCATTATCCGTCCGAGGACTGCAAAGGAATGGGTGTAAACGACAGGAACCAAGTCAAGAAGGCAAGTGCCATCCACAGGGATTGCATGAACTGGGATTTTGAAGATGACCTGTGTAGGGCAGAGAATGAAAATACTATCCTTCTTCTTAGTGGCGAGATCAATAAGTGGCCGTACAAGCTCTTGAAGCTCCGACAGGATCTCATCGGCAGTTTCAATGTCTGACAAATCCTCATTCGAAGCTACTAGGCCATGGTACCACTCTTTTACCTGCGATGTGGTGCAATTGAGTTCCAAGGAGATATAGGTAGTTGAATCCTCGCGAACACAAAGCAGAATATTTTCTTCGAGGATTATCCAATGTACCATAATGATGGATTGCCCAGTCATAAAGCGATCAAACCCCGTTTCATCCATTTCGGGTTCTGTAATCTGCTGATTTAGCCCATCTTCGCAGCTGTGGAGACTTTCACGAAAGGCTCGCGCCTTGCTGTACTCAATCCAAGACCATACTTGACTATGTTCACGGAGGGTGACACAGATATCTACAGCCATGCGCCATATCGAATATGGTGTCTTTGCGTTTCGCCCACTTATTGCGTATCTTGTCAAGAGGTCTTCGAGCTTCACATTGCCAAATTTTGGTTGCATCACCTTGGTCCAGTTATGTCGCACTTGGGTGATGTGGTATAATGTGTTCTGCAGGGCGTCGTTGTCGGCATCTCGCTTTGCATACCACATGGTGGCTAGTAATGTGTGGCAGCATGCCTTCCAGTCTAGTCTTTGCTCCTGTGTGCACAAGGCAAGACAAGCCGTTACGCTTTCATATCCAGATGACCACTGTGATGGCTCGGGGCTGTTCTGATATAGATGCAACCAAGCTCGAGCGGAAGTGAACAAGGCATTTGTCTCTATGACACGGTTGTTGGCTACTTTGGAGATCTTGATAACCTCCTGCAAACTTTCAATACAGCCCAAGTAACTTTTGAAGTCAAACTTTGCGTGAGCTAAGGCGAATAGGACACGTGGGCGATAGGATAGTTGTTCCGCTACTCCGAGGTGACTAAGTGCCTCCAGCGTGTTTGCATACCATTTTTCACCAGCTGGTGGCCGACCATTGGCCACTGCTAGATCAAGTTCTTTATCGAGAAGAGCCTGAGCATAGCGGAAGGTATACTTCCACTTCTCTTGTTTTTTAGTCTCTTCGTAGAGAATTTCTAGATCTCGAACTTTTGCGGCGTTCCAGCTTTTCTGCTTGACCCCATGTGGGTCATCTATCATTATGATGGCATCGTCCGCAAACACAAGATGGAAGTTGCAGTCAGCTTCGTCCCTGATGTCCTCGTCATCACAATCCTTCGCAATTTCTGCGCCCAAACCTCTCCAGTGTAGAACTTGGTGCATGTCCCCAATCTCCTCATAACATTCTGCAGGAACAGTAGACAAAGTATATCGTAGCTCAGGGATAGTGCACTCAGTTTGAAATTCAAAGAAACTCTGAGCACATCGAACAGCCAAGGGTCGTCTATTTTGCGCGTTCATATCCGCAGTGAGTAGATCCATATACTGACGCCAGAACAACCATGCGGACTGCGAGGGCGCTACGGAGTCTTGGGCTTGATCTCCTTCAATGAGATCAGTAGGTGTTTTAGGAAGTATACACGATTGACTGCCATGAAGTTAGATTTCGCAAATTCTGTGAAAATTCCTTGCGACTCACCTTTGCTTCAACAGAGCAAATAACTCTTCTATGTATTGATCTACAAGCCCTGACATCAAATGTCTACGGGCTCGTAGAAATCCTATTTCTTGCCACAAATCCCCAGTAGCTTGCATCTCTACGGTAGCATCGAGGGTTTCCAGAAAGGAATCGACCTCGTTGCTTGTTTCAGTATACTTAACTTCTAGATATTGAGCGCACAACTGCCTTTCATAATTGTGCTGAGCCAGAACAGATGAGCATAAATCAGAGACCAGTTCGTTTGCACGCTGACGATCATCTGTATTATAGTAGGCATTTAGTAGGAGTACCTTAAGATGAACTTCGAGACCGGGATTCTTTTTAAAGTTAGGCGACTCAATTGTTGCTTGCAAATGCTGGATTTGGTCGGGAGCATTGAGGCAGTGTTTCTCAGTGAGATGGACCATTCCTAACTCATTATGATTTCCGTTTTGTAGTAAAATAAGTCGAAGCTCTTCAAGCTTTTGCAAACATTCATAGTCCTCGGTGCCAAAGAAAGCACTACCGAGGTGTATGATGATGCTACTAAAGCACAGTAGCAATACATGGATAGGCTGAAAGTCCGAAACTTTTGTGTCGCGCAAATGCCTACCATAAACTTCACCGAACACATCTAGTGCTCCTTTGAGGTCTATGGCAGTGTGAAAACGTGCATACGCGTAGATCAGCCGGAATAGATCTGTGTCAATCTCTGCCCAAGCCGAGCTTTGTTCGCTGATGAGTGCTGCAAGCTCTTTGACAGCATGGAATTTTTGTGAGAGTACGCTGCATAAAAGTCGTTCAAGCAATAGTTGCCGCTGAGTTTCCGATCCCAGCTCGGATTTTTCGAAATTTTCGTCAGATAATATCGATAAGGCTGCGTTATATTGTCCAGAAGATCTAAGCCGAGGGACATCTTCGAGACCCTTTGAGGGCATCATTGCAGCTAACTTTTGGTACAATTCGGGTGGATCATGCAATTAAGAGTTCCGAACTCATCTGAATTAATGGGTGAGAATGTCCCATGTAACACGGCGGCGCTTACGTAAAACCTTTTGCTTCCATTGGATGATGCCTATGAAGCTGAACCTCTGCACTCTTCGACTTGTTCATTCAAGTGACTGACAGCATCTACCGCTACTTTGCGCTACCAATATGGAACCTCCAACAATCAAAATTGAGCTTGAGGTCGACAATCTCAAAAATCAGGAACTCGGCTCATGGCCTTCCAAACCTGCCGTGGCAGAAGATGGCTTCACAAATCTCGAGGCTGGAGACGCCAAAGGCTCAGGATCTTATTTATCCGTCCAACTCACAACCATCCAAGCCATTGATAGCAAACACAGCTTATTCGTTTGGCATACTGTGTACCACCCTGGTGTTGGAAGGCGGTTCCAGAGCGCCGTTCTAGTAGTAAAGCTTTCACAGAAGCCTTCAAGTCCGGCGTCAGTCTCTGGCAACATAGCTTCGTCGGTGGTTCCTCCAGTCCGGATACAACAACATGCTCCTCGAAAAGCGTTTGGAGGAACAGCAGAAGAATCCAAGACTGTGCACTGGGGTCTGGAGCTACCTCTGACGGTTTCCGTAGGACCCGTAGGGATTGGAGTAACTCCTTGTACCGAGCGTAAATCCGCTGTCGAGGTCGACCACGCATTCGTGATTGAGGGCTCTGTTCGAGGGATACCGCAAAAGCACACGTGTGTCTGGACAGTGGAGGAGAACAAAGCTACCGAACGTGGTGTGCCGTCGGAGGTTCGTTTTGCAGCCTTGATCGAGCACTCTCAGCCGATTATCTGCGAAGTGAGTGCGTCAGGTTGGACAGCGGGAGGACTGAAGCCATCACACCATCTCAAGACGAAGACACCAAAAGAGGCAAGAAGCTTGGAGGTCGATCCTTCTCAGTACAAAGGCAAACTCGTTGAATTTGAACTCGGTCAAGACATCTCGCAATACCAGGAATTACTGAGTAGCTGGACAGGAAAAGTTGAGGGTGCGTTGCTTGAATTTGACCAGACGGTTGTTGGTCCGTAGAATTTAGAGCCATAGAGCTACACGTGATCCCATAACAGCTCGCATGTACTTTTCTCGTGACCTGCGGCTTTGACGAAATAATTTGTACAAGAATTGCTTGAGCGTATTATGGACATTGAAAAGCGGATGAGTCTAGTATATAGACGCGTGCGCGCGACGACAAAACTAGTACCGTTGAGATGTATTTCGGAACCTACCTACTAGGTTAGGGGCCAATCTACACAGCTACTAACTAATACCTTATATATTTTTTGCAAACCTACAACAAACTACCTGATTTTGTACCAGAATGTAAAACATGAAACTTTAGGCTAGCGAACAGGTCCTTGTTAAGCTACTAATGATTGTGTAGGTTAAAACCTAGAGAACCTCTGATCGAGTACTGTTCAGGGTGAGTCCTGGAAGTCTCCAGCTCCTTTGTGCGTAGCGTAGTAATACTCTTTTCAATCGCGCATTGTGAAAGTCCAAAATATGATCGATAAGCCAAGTACGCTCGAAAGCAGACGAAGCCTGATCGAGTACTATTTGGCAACTCTGAGACTCAAGTGCAGAGCAAAACGCCATTACTGTTGTGAGATTCTGGTGGCCTTCGCTTCGAGCCGTTGCGTAAGAACCCCGATTTACTCAACGGCGATTAGCGATTGGCTATGGAGACGACAAGATAAGAGAACACCCTGATCAACTTCGAACAATATACCTCAATATGTCGATAGTACCCGTCTATCAGGTCAGTATGAGTTGTCACGTAGCACATTTAGCAATAACAAGTGTCCACTTGGAATCCTTCGGATATGTGCTACGCAGTTCCTGGTCCAAAGCGAACGCGAAGCAGATCGGCTTTCTGATATGAGATTTGACCTCAAAATCACATCGACTTGTCTCCACACGTGGCACACCTTCCAGTCTCACTCGCCGACTTGTAATCCACCCCTTACACCGCCAGCATGCATGTTGTGCCCCAGAATTGCCGGGATTTCACAACGGCCAAGCAGTGCCTTGCTGGTTCACGCACATCTGCTTCCAAAAGAGCGCGACATCATCCGTTCCCGCATGAGGATTACCAACGGTATGTGCAGTCTTGGGAGCACAAGGCGTATGGAGTGAGATACGACATGAAAACCCCAGGTTCTCTCATTCTAGCGCCGGCATCTTGTACGTCCTTAGCTGTAAAGACTAGGTAGTTGTACAAAGTCGTCGAACTCGACTAGGAACAAGACTTTTGGACATGGTCTGATTCTGTACGTACTGCTTAAGAGTAAGCTTCTTACTCATACAGCATATCCAACATGAGAGGCATATTGTTTTAGGTTAAGGTTACCAAAGGATGCACCGAAGAACGCCCACATAATCAAGGAACACACCTTGAACTTCCATTTACGCGGTGCCATGCTTTCAAATCAATGACTCTCACAATGCACGCAACTCCCCTAGTCGTCCAAACGGTTGTGCAATTGTTCAATGATCCTAGCAATTACCTAGGTAGGTTTGAATGCGGGCATGGTTGGAAGCCTTCGGGGTCTTCCATAGTCCATATTCCAGAGAAACTGATAAGTTCTCCAATCATGGATCGACTGCGCCGTCTGCAGCGTCCAGCTCTGCGCGCCTCGAACGGAGGAAGGCGTTAAGAAAGGTCGTATGCGAAACCAAGGCAGGGGATGATTGCGTGCTGTTGGTGTCGTGGTGAAATGCAAGAAATACTGGCAGATCGAAAATCACACCAACCAAACCAGGGGCTAGCGTAATCGACCTTGGGCGAATCCGGTAATGTACAGGGTTCAGCAATCCACAGCCGAGCCCAGACGACACCACCCAAATCTTTGGTGGGGAACGCTGCTCGACTCTGATTGCATCTTTCTCGTTGCGAGCCCCTCCAAGACGCCGTCCGAGATGACCGAAGTCAAGCGCAACGAAAATAATAATGGCCAGGAATGGCCAGGAATTGCCGTCCTGGGCAGTCTTTACAGTTTGGTTCAGGGTCCAGGTGGAGGTACATTTGGAACCGGGATCACAATAGACTATTGTGCATCGTATCGAGCTCTACGTGAACGGCCGAGAGGTGATTACCTATTCTATCCGACGCGGCTCCCTCCTCTTTGTCTCTTCTACATCCACTTCCCACACCATCATCACTTTCGGTCTCCTACAAGACCTCTACACCTCCCACCTGTACAAGTAATGGACCATGGATCCTAATATCAGTGCGACCCGCGTGCTACGTAAACGCCGCTTCACATTTCGTTCCATCTGAAGAAAGCGTATCGACACAGACCAAGTATCACGTAGGTCTATCGAAGACTATCTTTGCCACGGTCGCAACATACAGATCGGCTTTCACCTCGAGTCCTTATCGTATGTCAATATCCTCTGCCATGTCCTTTGCACAATGTAACTGATTCACGTAGAAATTTATCGCGTCTACGCCACACAGCCAGATATCACAGGACGAAGGCGTCACCATCTGTACAATCGAATTCGAAGAAACTCATCCGAACCATACGAAGGAGAGATATCTATTTGACACCTTTTACGGACTTTCATACATATACAATGGCGCTTGACCACCACCCGATTCAGAACAGCGAGGTTTATCTCTGCCTTCCTTCCCACGGCCCGCCCCTGCCGCCTCCTTCTCCGCCCTCCCCCGCGACTCCAGGTGATGACATTCCTTGTTTGGATGGATTGGCCACTCCACCTGAGATACCTACTTCCTTCCCGACCTTTGGCAAGAGATTGGAAACTGCCCTGCACGTTCTGCGTACCGAAGCCTCGGCGCTAGAAGGACTATCCAGACTCTACGAGAATGACTTGGTTGCGCAAGAGGGTTTCAACGCGGCGGTGGAAGAGATTATCAGATGCAAAAGGCGGAAAGGAAAGATCGTGGTTACTGGGATTGGCAAAAGTGGACATATTGGAAAAAAGCTGGAAGCTACTTTGAACAGTCTCGGGATAACCACAGTCTTTATGCACCCCTCGGAAGCTTTGCATGGAGATCTAGGAGTCCTTTGCCCAGAGGATACCATTTTGTTCATCTCCAATTCTGGAAAGACCGGGGAGTTGCTCCAAGCGCTGCCACATTTCGATTCCTGCTTACCGGCTATCATCATCACCGAAGCTGCTCACCCAGCGGCTTGCGAGCTGATCAAACAAAGACCAGGAACGATTCTTCTACCAGCGCCGCTACCCATTTCCGAGGAAGCCGCATTCGGTGTCAAGGCACCTACAATTTCAACTACCATGGCCCTTGCTCTTGGAGACGCGCTTGCGATAACTGCTTCTAGCGAACTATACAACCAAAAACTTTCAAGCGTGTTCTTGAAGAACCATCCGGGCGGTGCAATTGGTGCTGCGATTCAGAATATTCAGAGAATCTCCGACCGAGCCATCTCAATCATTGATATTCCAGACGTTGGCTCATCCTCATCAGTAGCACAAGTTGGGTTTGCCATGCTCCAGTCTAAATCCGGATGGATTCGGATGGGTGGTGAAGTAGTATTTCCTCCACGACGCATGAAGAAGCTTCAACTCAGCAACACAGAAGTCTTAGCATCGCGTGTCCCTGACTTGGCAGTCCCACGTAGGCAATGGGTTCAAGTTTCAGCTGATCTCGAAGTATCGGAAGCCAGAGAGTGGATATTCAACAACCGCCGCGCCATACCAGGAGGCCAATACAAATTCGGCGATGACATAGTGCTAGTAACAATGGAAGAGGATGAGATGTGTGGGGTTATCGAAATAGGAGAGCTTCTATCATAAGCTTACCGGGTGGTATTTGTGTCGGCGTTTTCAATCATGGGCGGTTTAGTGCGGAGTCATGTTCGGGAATTGATATCAGTGCTAGCGCAGCCAAATCAGGTATCTCTTGGGTTAGAGTTTCTCGGGTTGAGAGCAAAATTCTTACGAAGTCTTTTGGGACAATAGAGCTTCTTCGTTGTGATGGAGATTAGATGGATATTAGTCCTTAAATATGGGAGCGATCATTGGTATTTGGATAGAATCTTTGGGAGACGAGCGTTTGGAAACGATTAAATTATCGATAGCGAATTGGTGTTCTAAGGGAATGATGCTTCATATAATTCTCGCGATGATTTCTGGATCAAATTCTCTCCACATTCTCATCTTCGTTGCACATCTTTGTCTTGTAGTTAGTGCCACGGGCCCTTTCCCCCGCTTCCCAAAGTCATCGAGCCACTAACGTGAACGGTCGCCGGCACCCTATTTCCCGTAGCATTAGAAGGACATCCATAATGTAGGCTATGAATAGTAAGCAAGGGATAACATGCTACAAATATGTGGAGTTGAAGCGATTCACGTGACCCGTCTGCAGCTTAAAATCCAAAAGTTAGTCATGTAAGAGACGTTGTTACAGAGGGCTTAATTAGATATAGCATTTTATTCACGGGAGGCGAGCTTTTGAATTGATCTTTTAGGATAGTTGCTTATCCTTTTAGATCACGTGTTTGATAAGATTGGAGGATTGTAGCGGAATTTCCAGGATCTGATCCTACTTCGCGATCCAGTAAACTTTTTTCTAACCATTTCTGTTTTCAATCGGGGACTTCAAACTAAAAGCACTCAAATTTGTTCTGCTAATTAATCTATATATTGCTAACCTCCCCACCGAAACTAAGTCTCGTTTTCAACAGCCAATCTCTCTACCTCGGCCACGTGCCCTCCTTCAAGCCACACATTCGTGAAGTTCGAGGCGCGGAGATCGTCATTTAATGGCGCTCTTACGTTCACCACAAAAACACATGATGTGGACAATACTTGTGGATATGTTCTAAATGGGAGCCGCGGAAGAATGAAGAGAAAAACCAGTCAAGCTAGTGCTTGACTCGAGCCTCTTTTCCAGTAGGTTTGTGATTGTTCGCTGTTTGTTCTTTCCTCTTAACGTCTTAATTACCTCTGGAATCCTACCTAGGAGCTTCTTCCCTACAGCGCTTTCACCATCGACAGATCTTTGCAATGAAACTCTCATTTCTTCCAGTCGTCTTGATGCTCTTTATATTCGCAGTACATGCGCATCCACCAGTTTCGAATCCGCACCGGAAAATACAGGTCGACGATGACCAGGAGGATATCTACGCATACAGACCTTTGCAGAGACCTTTACACACGACTGTGTTGATGGCAGGACCAATCCCGACTGCAAAACGCGCCGAATTGAAGTGAATGCCGATTGAAGGATAAGTGGTGGATCAGTGTGGTCTGGAACAAGGTAATACGTGACGTCAGGAAAGCTGTGGCAATATATGGAGCTTGGAGGGGCAACTTAGGACTGCTCTGTCATAACAACAACACGACTCGAAGCTTTACATTGTTCACGCAGTAACATTCGAACACAACACAAGCGGACTACATCAAAATGGTACCTCCACCTATTTCACCGAACGATCCACCTCTCCCAGGTTCGACACCATCAGAACCCCCTCCACCATACTCCCGCACCGACCAGACCACTGGAGGTACTTCAGCATCGAGTTCAAGTCGTCCTGCACAAGATGCTTCCCATCTCCAAGTTCCACGCCCTCATAAGGTCCGCAATGGCATTCCAGCAGCTGCCCGACGATCAATGGAAGATGAAGCAAGACCTCTCCCTGAAGGTTGGGTCAGACAGTTCGATGCCGCCTCCCGCCATCAATTCTTCGTCGACACCCGCCGGAATCCTCATCGCGCAATTTGGCACCATCCATACGATGATGAGGAATACATGAGCAGTCTCCCCCACGAAGAGCGTTCTCGAATCCAATCCCTCCACCGCGTCCCAACCGATGCAGATATCCAAGCCGAGAGCAGCGATCCGGACACAGATAACGAACATCGTCTGCCACCGCGCGAAGAAAAACCTAAAGGTGTATCCAAATTCACGCGCAAAATGAAGGATAAGATTACCTCTTCAACCCACGAGGAACGAGAGCGGGCTCGGGAACAACGTGCCCGTGAAGAACAAGCTGCGTATGAGAGACACCAGCATATTCGCAATTGTATGGCAAAGGCGATTGAAACTGGTCAACCGCAATTACTAGGCAAGGACAAGCAAGGCAAGGATGTTTATATCGAGCCACCTCCACGAGGTATGGGATATGGTATGGGCGGTGGTATGGGTGGAATGGGCGGAATGGGAGGGTATGGAATGGGTGGTGGTTATCCTGGCCGCATGGGTTATGGTGGTGGTGGTTACGGTTGGGGTGCTGGTCCTTATGGACCTAACTCTATGATGTTAAGACCGAATGTTGGGTATGGAAGACCTTACGGCGGAGGATATGGGGGAGGTATGGGATTGCCTCTTGTAGGTGGTTTGGCTGGTGGTGCTTTATTGGGGAGTTTGATGTTCTGATGGCGTGGATTAACCTCTTGATATAGCTTAGCTTTATGAAATCATTAAAACTTAAGTAGTGTACACTGTCTATCTCCTCAAACCTTTCCTCACAATACTTCTGTTCCTTACGCGATAATAAGGACATTGGATTTCTGCTGCCGAAGAGACGTGTTCGAGTCTACTGAACTTTCTTCCAGCTGCTACAAACTAATGGAAGTAATTCCAGGTTTTAGGATGCGGTGAAACCTAACTCGCGGAGGACAAAATAAGTGGCAGTTGCTTACCCGTAAATCTTAGACTAAATTAAAAGTCCACTTCGAATAGAGCTTAAAAAGCCACATTTTTCTTAAAACTGTTCACGAAATAGTGATAATCTTCTAAGTTGATCTACTAAATTACGATGTTTCGTCAACTTGATCGAACTATTCTAGTTCGACTGCCACTTATGTTGTCCTCCGCGAGCCTATAGTCATACTATCCATTCATCCCACGTGATGTCGTGACGCGTTGAATTTCCGTGCCCAAAAAACAACATCAACTCTTGCAAATCGACACACATTTGAATACATGCCATCACCACAACTGATATTCCTTATATATAATTTGCACTGACACTGGTAGTGTATGCTGATACACCCAGAGGTCCGAATCGATGACGCTATGGACAAAATACACGACGTTAGATATTTAAAAGCTCCAAGGTAGTCTAACAACCTCACTAATCCGACCCTAAAAAAACAAGACATCCACAGCTAATAACACCAGTTAATCCAGGAAAAAAACCGCCTTCCTATCGAGATACACCCAGCAAAAATACAAAAATACAAAAATAATCAAACATGTACCCGACCAAATCTTTTAGGGATACTTTTCGAACGAACGTACCCCATCAACCACCTTGAAACAACGCCCAAATAATTAAGAATACCTCGCCCAAAATTACAACATATTCCTACTCGACTAACCCATAGACTGCCCTTCTCCCACCAAATATCTTGGCAAAGCCTCTGCTTGCCGAACAACTTTCGTTAGTCGATTGTACAGGTATGTTGAATCCACACGACACTCCACATCCACCACAAGGAGAGATCGCTCTATCATGTCCAGGAGTTCACCTAGCGCAGTACCGGGGCTACACTGTGGATGCTTCCTGAGACACGACATCTTGTCGAGCACCTGTTGATGAACCTTGGCTGTTGTACCGTCGATTTGGTAGAACAACATTTCTCTATTCCCGTCGGACTCTCGCGCCTTGGTAAAGCTTTGTACGGCCTCCCAATCTTCCACAAGCCATATCACAAACTCCAGATATATGCAACCCATTGACCATAAGTCGTATCTACGAGACCTCTCTTGCTTCAAATTGAGGATTGGTGAGGCCTCGGGTGCCTCGTAGGAAGGTGTAGTCGCTCTGGTTGTAGTAGGTTTTCCCTCTCTTTGAAAAGTCTCATTGATATGGATCCTCGATATACCAAAGTCACTGATCTTTAGTATACCCTCTGGTTGTCCATCGGTTATGAAATGTAAGATGTTCCCTGGCTTGAGGTCGCCATGACGACAATTGGCTCCTATATCGATGTGTTTGTGGAGACCTTGCAGAGCATCAGCAAGGCCCAGCATTTGCTTCAAAGACCAAAGTGTCAGTGCAGGCGTTCTCGACTTGATGTCCTTAGTCCTCCAAAAGTCTGTCAAATCTCCACCTTCAGCGAACGGTAGAATGATGTAGTATCTTTTCGGGTCTCCTTGCTCGAAGGTAGCCAAACTCTGGGTTATGTGTTTATACCTTTGGAGTCCTCTGATCTTTTCCATATTGTCTTGTTCTTTTTTGAATTCTTTCGATATCTTGAATTCTTTAAGGGCAATGTGAAGATTTGGTGCTTCTTTCTTCGAGGGAGTTAGCTTTCTGATACGACAGTTGGCAGTAGATGGATTTGACTACCTCGAATCCTTGCTGGTGAGAGGAATTCACCTTGGCTTTATAAACTACAACTGTGTTGTGGGACATGATCTCCGTGAAATCCGAGAAAGGCAAGGGACAGTCTCGAAGAATTTGCCGATGCGTTCCAGAGACGTCAAAGACTGGTGCGAGAAACATCCACTGCATTTGCAGGAAACAATCAACATCTTGCTCGTCCCATTCTTCGGGTGGTCGCCATTTTTTCTTGGGGTCACCAGCTGACCGGAGCTCGAAATCATGTTCCATGGTTTCCGAGGCTTCATCTGTGGACTTAAAGCTATCTTTGGTACTGGGCAGTGGAAGATCATCTTTGGTACTGATGAGTGGAAGGTCCTCGTCCGTAAAGCCGTGCTCGAGCAGATCCTCAACATCACCGGCTTTTTTGCAGAATACAAGAACCGCAAGAAGGTTCTTTGCATTACGCGTTACTATCTTTTCGGCCGGGGAGCTGCGGAATTTCATACAAGTTCTACCTTTCTTTCCCAGTTGGGCTTCAATGTTGTCCTTGGTCATCGCCTTATCGACAATATCCCGGGGGACGTATTGGCGCGAGGCGTGAAGTGGGTCCAAAAACTTCGGATGCGTCAATTTTTTATACAACGTCATTGTGGTGCTAGTTGTACGAATATCACGCTCAGCGTAGCTTGCGATTGTCTATGTTGTGTTTCTTCACCTTGGTTGAAGGCGCTCGCTGCTGAAGTGGGGGTGCTTGGTGGGGCTTGAATGGTTGTTGTGCAGGCTTTGACTGTTCCGATGTCTGTCAATTCGCAGGTTTTTCATCAAAGGAAACTTCTATAGGCCTCTGGTCCTCTCGGGCGATTCGTTTGTTGTCAGTTCCGTGGGTGGGTTGGCAGAGCAAATCTATAGCCTTGGGAGTGGATCTCTCATATCTTTATAACCAGTGCTCACGCGCGGAACCTTTCAAAGCCACAGTCTTTGGACGGCAGGTACGTTGTTTTAAGCCTCTCAGGCTGTGTTGCAACCTTCAGCAGGAAATCTACCACGCTTTCGACAATGCTTCCAATGGCTTGTCTTAAGATTTATGCGGCTTACTCTGAAAGCTGGGGCGTTCTGTGGATGAGCAAACATCTTCAAGTCATTCTATGAATTACTGACGAAGTCATGGATATGGATCGAGCTAATTACCGCAGTCCTTGCTCGAGTATGCCTGTCTACGTCAACTCTTCCTTATTTATTGGTCAGTTGCCAGTATAGCCCCCTTCGTCTGATATGCCACCTCGACCAGGCAACGCAAGGCTTGTGTAACGTGGACTCTGATAACCCCGCAAAGATTCGCTTTGGGACTCAAGCAGATAAGAACGACGGTGGTGGTGGCCGACGCTGATATGCGGAATGTCATGTATATCGAATTGCGGGGTTTATTCCAATGAAGCACCCACGATGATATGCAAGCCAATTGGCACTTCCACGGCAAATTCCCAAAAGCCTTGCTTCACCGAATCTGCCTCGCGAGATGGTCAAGCAAAGATATCGACTCCCCCGTAGGTTATCATGAGTCCTAGGCAGATTCTCACTACTCTCAGCCCATGGCCCAGCTCTAAGAGCGAGGTTTGTTCGTCAGCAGAGTCAAGCCCGCTGGACGACAAGCACTTCGCTTCTGTGCCGAGTTGGCCGATTATTGTTCCTTCCCGTCGAGCCAGTACTGGGAGTTCTCTCATTCAAGACAAATTTAGGGAAAGACGAAGTGCAAAGCGCCCACCAAGAAGGTCCTCATTTCCCGCAAGCTTCGATAAATTAATATCATACATAGCACCTTCCTGGGCGCATCAGGCTGTCACTATGTCAGCTACGAAAGTGCTAAGGAGAGAATTGATGAAAATCCGGACAAACGTTCAGATTGACGGCACCCCAAAACCATGGATCTCTCGACTTGATATTCGCAGCCTCATTATCGAAGACACTGTGGAAAAGGTACTTTGTGAAACGAAAGGGGTCGACTGCTCTCCGACCCATATCAAAGAATTGAAAAACTTTACACTCCAGAAAGCAATTAAATTGTTCTCCCTTCTCGTCCTTCTAAGTCGGGTACAAATGCTAGAGTTGTTCTACCAGAAGGGTTTTGGTGATGATATGTTCCCGATTAGCAAATTGAATTCGGACACCATCGATGATTCCCTCACGGATTGGACGATCGAATCTACTCAAGGAGTCAAGAAAAGGATAGTCTATGAGGGGAGCGAAATATCCGAGGTAGATATTGACACCTTGTGTATGTGGCAGTGGCAAGTTTATGTGCCTCTTTTCAAGCAAACCGACGCCCCTAACGAATTTGACCCGCGTTGTCACATGCCGTATTTGAAGGAGGAGGAAGGAGAAAAGAAGAATATAACAAATTTCAGCATCGTTCGACATTTCGTCATGCATCGGTCTCACTTGTCTTCTTTTGCCAATACCGATCAAATTGTAAGGCTCAATATCTCGCCTTGAACATACATATCTTGATACTGTGATATTAACTGGCATAGGGAGAAGCGGCAGACGACGATGGTAATCCACACGTGGCTGTGAAGGAGTTGACGGCAGCTCAATACCTTAATCCTAAGGACTTCCTCGATCTCGCCAAAAATGAATCGGCTATTTTGACCAGATTTGGGACTCAAAGTCATCCTCACCTAGTTCGTGTTATTGCCTATTATATACAAGGCCAACGACATTTTTTCGTCTTTCCGTGGGCGAAAGAGGGTAACTTGCGTGACTTCTGGCGCAAGACACAAAACATGTCGTTCAACCTCAAACCCAATGAGTGGAAGAGCTTCTTACGATGGTTTTTTGAACAATTGGTAGGTCTATCGGATGCTATTAAAACGCTTCATCATCCAAAGAAAAACCCGGACGAAAGCTGTCGCCATGGCGATTTAAAGCCAGAGAACATTCTGTGCTTTTCCAAGGCAACTAAAGAGCTGGACACTCTCCCAAGTCAAGTCAGCCTTGTCATCGCCGATGCAGGTCTCGCCAGGGTTCATGAAAAAGCCACCGAGTTCCGCTTGGAAAAGACAAAAACATCGGGCGGAACCACCATGTATTCGCCACCGGAGAGTGAGACGAATGTCGAACAGGCGAGAACGAGACGGTACGACATATGGTCACTTGGGTGCTTGTATCTTGAATATGTAATCTGGATATTGTATGGTAACGAGGATTTAGAAAAATTCCGCAATGCTATTGGACGCGACAAGCCATATTACGAAAATGGACCAGTAGTTCAGGTCAAGGATGTGGTCCGCGCGGCTTTCAAGACTATCAAGAATGACCCGAGATGTTTGCCAGCGAATGAAACTGCACTGGGACGTCTGGTTGATCTAATTGAAAATAGGTTTCTGGTTGTCAAAGTTCTGGTAAACCGCAGTGATTCATTTTCCCAAAGTACCGGACCTACCATCGTTAACGAGCCCTCGGATATTGCCAATTCGCCCACTGTATTCGTAACAAGACCAACATTTCGGCCGGCTTCTGACGACGGTTCTGAACCTCAGCGTGCGGATGCGAATGAGATGTACGATGAAATCAAGAAAATCCTTGACGCTGCGCAAAATGATACGCTCAACTGGATGAATTGGGACGGCCTGGAAACTCCAGCAGGCTTGGAATTGCCGGAAGCACCTCGTACAAAGGCTAATCCAACAGGGTCAAAACTTCACATTGACCCCACCAAAGGAGTGCGTCACAATCTCCCGTTACGGGTGGTACCAAGTGCCCGCTAATTCTTCTTCATAATGCAGAGAAAAGAGGTACGTACTTTGAATAGGTATCAAGTTATTGACAGTAGCTGACACATTCATTGAAAAGAAAGTAAGAAAGCTTTTTCCTCTTTTCTAGTGTCGTTGTCGCTACTAAGCTCTCGTGGCTGAGGTCCGCGTCTGATAACTTTGGGACATGTACTTACATTACGGTGTAGTATGTAAGCAACGCCACTCAATATATACATCACTAATCAATATTGATAACTCACTTTTTTTCAACTATAGATGGTAAGTCTGCGTTATAACGTACCTAAACGCTCCAGATTCAAGCTAATCGGTGGCCATAGTTTGTAAGTCACGAACAAATCAAGCCCGATCTTAGGCATTGACCACTGACTGTTCTGTTCTTGCAGACCGTGAGTGATTTAAATCTCGACGTTATTTCCCATTAGCGAAATTATGACCCGAAACACATACAGTATTTTCTATTCTGACTCAAATTAGCCTGTAAGTGCAATTCTTCGCACCTCCCCGATCATAAATCACGTTTGAGACTGACGCTATTACGGTGCACAAGCTCGACAACAACTGGGTATATGAACCCGATGAAGGTATTGCCGGAACCGTTGTCAATAACAGCCCCGAAAAAGACGTGAGATATAAGAGTTCAAAGCTGTGCGGACGCTGCCGCTTACTCAAGGTCTGGTCAGCCAATTGTGTATTCTCTGACACTCTGGCATACTTAACCCAAAGATCCGATAATTGCGACTTTTGTCGGCTTTTGGCGCAGTCACTCGTCAAGCGAGCAGCAAGGAGGGAAGAGTTTATCACGTTTGTCCGGTCTGGCATGTTTATATCTATTGGGGGTGTTCACCACAGCCCGATCTTGTCATTATGCACTACATCTGGTGAGTAAACTTGTGCTATTTCTTTTGTGGTTTAGATTACGCCATGCCTCCTTTTCAGCATGTCCATGGTGATGCTGTAACACAACGTTGACAGAACTTCTCTAGAATCCCGACGTTTACATTCCAATGGTGTTCACCTCGGTTTTCCTCGCCTTTTGGAGCCAGGCGGCGAAACACATACCAAAATAATCTCATCGTGGATAGAAAGATGCAACAATCGTCAGCATTTTCCAACAGACAACTCCTTTAATCCGACACGCCTTCTGGTCGTTGGAGATTCCACTTCTACTCACGTTAGCCTAGTCTCCGATCCAGGACCCGAGTCGATAAAATACGTTGTTCTCTCCCACCGATGGGGCACTACTGATCATAAACAACCTTTAAGCGTTAAGTTTCCAACCATGACTAAAGACAACTTGCAACAGATCACTTCGGGAATTGAAATAGCCGAGCTTCCCAAAACCTTTCAGGATGCTGTTACCGTTACCCGCGCTCTCGGTCTCAAGTATCTATGGATAGATTCTCTCTGCATAATTCAAAAGTCTAGCGCTGCCGGTGACGCAGAGTCCGCACAAGACTGGGCCAGAGAATCGAAACTAATGGATCAAGTGTTCAGTCAGGCGTATTTCACTATTGCAGCAGGTTGTGCGGAACATCGATTTGATGGCTTCTTGAAGCACAGAGCTGCGCGAGAATTTGTAACTATGTCTACGGATGATAAGGAACAATTTCACGTTTGTGAAATAATAGACAAGTTTGATGCAGAGGTGGAGCAAGGGGAATTGAATCAACGAGGTTGGGTATTACAAGAACGTGCGCTTTCGAGACGGACAGTTCATTTCACCGCTACACAGTCGTATTGGGAATGTGGAGATGGGATACTATGTGAAACGTTTACCAAGACTACAAAGTAAGTTGAATCCCAGAAATTCACTTAACAGAATGATTGCAAACACCGATTGTCTCATGGCTAACGACCTTCAACAGCCGAAAAGCCTCCTTTCTAAGCGACTCCAACTTTCCACTCGCAGTACAAGCCTACAAAGAAGGCATGACCCTCCAACTCCACCAAAACCTCTACGAACGCTACTCTACTCTTGCTCTCTCCTTTCCCACCGATCGTCCCCGCGCCATCGCTGGTCTAGAACGCAGACTCATGAAAGCATTGCATTCCAAAGGCGGCTACGGCGTCTTCCAAAGCAGCACCCGAAACCAGGATTTTTTCCACCGAGGACTCTTGTGGCAGCGTGCTGGAAAGGAATTGAAGCGGTTAGACGGCATTGAGGGGAGTGTACCGACTTGGAGCTGGATGGCGTATGAGGGTGAGATTCGGTATATGAATGTGCCGTTTTTGGATATTGAGAAGAACAGGGATATTGGATCGCCGTTTGAGGATCTAGAGGAGGGAGTGGTGCATTCTGATTTGGTTGATAGAGGGCCGGCCGAGTTGAGGGCGAGAGTCTGGAGGGTGAGGGAGGTGGTTAAGGGGAGGGTTATTTGGGATGAGGGTGAGGGTGTGCAGAAGAAAGGTAAAAAGGTAGGTGGTGGAGATGAAAATCAAAACTTGAAAAACGGTAGGATGTGGTGCGTGATTGTGGGCAAAAGCGTTAAGCCTAGGGATGAGGGAAGGATTGCTTATGTTATTATGGTGGGACCGGTTACGGATTTGGGGAAAGACAACCAGGGTAAAGGAAAGCTTTATCAGAGGAGAGGCGTTGGGTATTTGAATGTGGATGATTTGGAAGACGAGGATGGTGGTGGGCAGGAAATTGGTAGCATACGTTGATTTGGCCGTGCGTGGGTGATGGCAGCTGCTGGGTTTTCTTTTAATAATGATGTCTACGAGTCTCATTACATTTAATTCTCATTGATAATAGGACACAGGCTCATGGAATTACGAAGTTATGATTATCAGCTACACTTCCTAGCCATGCTGTGAGGGAAATTGACATAATTCTATGTGTAAAAGTCTGACTGTGAATACTACTTGCTGTCGGACTATATCTCATCACCTCATACTAATGGTAATCATCCATACTCAGACCACACAACCTCAGTTTCCCGTCGGTCCGGCTCAATTTTTTAGACTCCAGGCAACTGTACACTTGCCTCTCCCATGTATTTTGGGTTCGCTAATAACACACCGGTTCATAATATGTTATCTTCATAGCATCATCTTGGCTACCTCATGAGATACTTTAAATCATAGTCCTTTATGTAGTCAAATCATCTATGCGTATATACATTATACACCGTCGTTCTCCTCTAATAAGTTCCGGTGCAAAAATTCCAACATCCCCACCCTTCATCTCTATACATACTCCGCACATATCCCAATATATTCAGCCCCTCTTCTCTGCCTTCCCTTCTTCCCCGTTCGCCTTCTTCCGCCCAATCATTTATCTATCTTTCCCCCCTCCTATGCCCCGCTCACCCTTAAAGCCCAACAACGCTATTTACAACTTCGCCTCCTCCTTCACACTCCCAATCTTCAACTTCGGCTGGTACTTCTTCAACACACTCTCATTATGGTATTTCCAAAACTGCTTGCTTGCGTCTTTGCCCGCGACTCTTTTGAGGATTTTGGCGCCGCCGGGGTGTTCGTCTACGAAGCCTGTGCAGGGAGCGTATTAGCGGGAGTGTAGGAGGGGGGGGAGGTGGGGAAATTTGGGGGAAGATTGGCGAGAGGAGAGGACAGGAAATGGGGAAAAGGTTAGGGGGAAAGGAAAAGGTGTAAACATACCAGTAACATCATAAACATCCGCATCAACAATAATATACAGCCCTTTATCTGAATCCTTGTGGTGTTCCGCTACTTCTTTGATGGTAAATTGTTTCGACATCTTGCGCCTGTTGTCCTCGCGTGTATTGTGATCGAGCAGTTGTCGCTGGTTTCGACTGACTAGTTGAAATAAGGAGTTTGAAGTTCGGATTTGAAGTAGCGGTTGTAAATTATGGAATTGAGATTGAGCGACGAAGGTTGGATGTTGGGGAACTGGAGTAATCCCCGGATTTCGTGATGCCGAGGTTCGTTTTTCGGGCCGTCAGTCAGCTGGCTTGCTGGGGTTGTGATTGGTCGAGCGCGTTGGCAAATTATGGGGATAGATACTAAGTACTTAATTCAATTGTCGGCTTCTGAGTTTCTTCTAAAAAAGAGTGAACAGATGAGACCTTAGCGGAGCAATCTTATAAAATGTCTGTTGAACTGGGAAAAGAGCACAGAGACACCATTGTCCTCTTTACTAGTGCTTTGCAAGATAATTGAAGCTTACTTTATGAATATATAATTTCATTTGCTAGCGCTTGTTTCATATGCAATCATTATAAATCAAACCCGCTACAATCATGGTATCTATCGCTTGAGAAAACTCTCCTTTTCCGTATCCGAAAGAAATCTCCGGCATGACATCTATTCTATACATATTTTCCACCCTTCTTAATCATAGCAACATTCTCCACCGAACCAAACCCAATATGTCTCGTGCCATCCTCAGTTCCAACCTCAAAAATACTACTACTTCTACTTCTACTCCCACTCCCTTTCCTCGTCCTCGCCCCCTCTCCGGCCACCAACTCCCCAAACCTCAATCTCGCACTCCCTTCAAGTGCCATCTGATATGAATTATCACCCTTTCCAATCCCCTGCCCTCTACTCCCGCCGAAAACGCCCAGACTATGCCCTTTCACGTATTTGTCTAATTCTTGGTTCCGAGTCGTACCGATGATGGCGGAGAAATTCGAGGAATGAGCTACACCGTTAAAATCGAGCGAGTAGAACCCGAGGAGGACGCCGAAGAGGGTGACGAAGATGGCGATGGAGTAAGAGATGATCAGATTTTTAGAGTTGTATTGGTAGACATTAATGGTTTTGAAGTGGTGGACTTCGATGTCGGTTGCATTTTCGGTCCTGAAAAGTCTGTCAGATCTAGCGTCACTCGATGGAAGATACGTCTAACTTACAGAAATGATGAGTCGGAAAACATGCTGATGGTGACATTATTCGCCAGATCCTCGATTGCTCTCATAAGTGTGTTATTTCGACACATCCACCCTGGCTTCTTAAACAGCGTGTTATTGATTGCGGTGAAAAACTCTGTTGGGATAACTGTATCAGGGCCCGTTTTGGCGACGTTTTGGTTAAAGGATTTATCCCAAGTTGCAGGTCCTTCGTGGCCGATTCCGATGGCTCCCAGGCCATCCCACTATAGACGTACCGTTAGCAAAGCAGGAATGGTTTAATTCGTTGACATGAAAAAGTGTTTGATTTTTGGCCAGATCTCAAACTTACCTTGCCGTGTGCATACTCAGGACATGCACTTAAACCATTCTTGAGGCTCTCGCTTGTACCAGAAGCAACTATAGCATTACCATCAAAATGCAAGATATCCGACGGCTTGAGCTTGGATATGTTGGGGATAGTAACTATGTTAGACAAACTTGTGGTGACGTTACCATTCAATAAGCCCGTGAAAGCTACAAAAATACCCATGTAGGAGTGCATTTCTCGGAAGTGTTCGGGGTCGATATTTTCTCCATCCGTAGTTAGATATGTAGCTGTATGAATCGCACTTTGTGGTGCCCAAAAGGTCTGAAAGTCTGAAATTACATAATCTGATTGTGTTTGTACCCCATCGACGAAGGTAAAGTCGACATTGAAGGAAGCATTGCCCATGGAACAGACAATTGATTGGTCTGAGGTTTGGGCATATATTTGCTGGGGGGTATATGGGACGCCATTGAATAGGCCGTTCATACTGTTCGAAAAACTAGAATAGTTTGGATTCCACCATTTTGTAACGTTTATGTCCCTCGGTGTCCCTGACCACCAGTTATTGTAGGTATCAGGTTGAGTGATGTTCACCGAGGTTGAAGCTGAACCACTCCAGCCTCTCCCACCTGCTGTTGGGGTGAATGCCGAGAACACATTCATAAGCGGAGCATAGGCGTTGGGCATATCAATAAAGACCTTTTTGGTTTCAGGATCCGTGGCGTTTGGCCATTTAAGCTTTCCTGTCTCAAAAAAAGCTCGGTCGGCAACAATGTTCTAGTTTACACTGTCAGCGACAATTCTAAAGCAATAGAAGTTCCATGGCGTAGGCTTCCACCTATGATATTTTCACAACTTCGAGGATATGCTTATTACGAAAAGAGAATCTCACATCTGGGTCGTCCCATAACAAATCCCTGTAAGTATGAAAGGCTGCTAGCTGACTTTCATTTGCTGGAGCACACTGAACTGATGGGCCGTAGAATTGCCTGTGAAACGACACGTTTTGGGCAGGTGGTGCTATTGGAAGTACATTCATTTGCATGGCCGCGCGAGACGCCATCTGAAGACTCGAATAAGTGGGAAAGGAATAATATGTCATGACATCGGCAATACTCCTTGATTTCCAATTTATCGCAGGCATTGAGGTGATCACACTCTCATTCTTGAACCCGTAGCTAACGGAAAGAGTGGCTGGTGGTGTTATAGCAGTAAATGGTAGACACCTAGAAGAAATGTCAATAATCTGAGCAAAAGAGAGAGATTTGCGCGAATTACCAGGCTACCACTGCTAGAGCAACTGCTAAGTAGGCGCGTTTTATTAGTTCCAAAGACCGAAACGCTGTTAGATCATTTGTCAATTGAAAAAGCCTATCGATGGCTGCGATTGAGAACGCCTTGCGCTTGAACAAGGTCCAAATATACTGCTTATATGCCACATTACAAGCGGTTCGCAACAATGCAATTGACAGAAACGAGAAAGCCGTCCCAAATCGAAGCGCCCAATTCTGCCTAGCTGCACTCCCTACGGGCGTACCATGAAGAGACATATAGTATCCATGGTGTCCAATTGCGATCGCAACTCCAGCGAGTGTGAACCCAACCATCATTGCTGGAACACCCCAAGCAACGCCCCATTTAACGTATGTCGTTTCCTGCATCGTGGAAGGCGGGTCATCATGTAAGAGCCGTTGATCAGAAAAGCTACTCTTGATTTGTCTTTCGTGCACACTAGGCAACTTGGTTGATTTGCTCCATTGCTCTGTTGGGGGAGAATATGGTAAAGGAAGAGCGGACGTCTCTTCTCTGGCGAGTCTCAGCCGACTGAAAGAGAGAGAAACCATGGCGAACGTAGCATATGAAACAACAAATGGTGATCAGAGTCGGTGCAGTTGCCGGGAGAAAGGAAGAGACAGACAAGATTCGCTTGGACTCTCACACGGACAAAGAGATATCAAGGTCTCGAAAACCCGATTAATAGAGAAAGAGAACTCGCAAGAGAATGTCATGAAAACATACGCGAGCCAACATTGAGGTCAACAGGCTAGATCTGAACTGCTCCATATGAGAGGACTGAGCCGCTTAGCTACATATCCTCAGACTGATAATGGGCCACCAACGGCCCGCCACCTGCGCAGTGCAACTCAGTATGGAGGATTTGACCTGCTAAATCAAAGCTTGTATGCATCTCCGACGCCGATGAGCCCTGCCGTCATTGATCTGGGTCCAGTAGCAAAGAACCAACAGTGCTGTGCCGCCAATGTTGACGAACTGCGCCCACATAACTTGTTGGTCGCGTTAACTGCAATCTCTCGTCTCTTGACTGAGGCGCCTCAATTGGCCGGTCGTTGGAGGGCAAGATCGGAGGTACATAACGGTTTCAAAGGCATAGCGAGGCCAGGCCGATGAATCTGATTCCTACGTCGTGTACGGAGTATCGTCACTGGCTGGACCGCCCGCATTGGGAAATGAGCGCGTCAAACAACAAAAATTGGTAGCACAAGCGTTAAGAGGGACAAAAATCGAAACGCCTTTTCTTTATTGAAGACACACAAAATGGAGATATGTCTGGCGGAAAGAGCGTGATCAGAAAGGAGTGTTGAGATGACAGAAGGAAAGGAGGTGTGGGGATGCCGAGTTTCTTCAGCCCTACAAGAAAATCCCACGTGATGTTTGAGCACGATCTCTCACGTGAGACGACTCGTCATTATGCTCCAGTCAATTATGTTAGAAAGAGATAGGGACGCAACACAGAACAAAATTTGAGTATAGCTTTGGAGTATCAATATCCTATATGATTGATCTTGAGATGTCTTGCTGCTCATAATCACGTGATGCTACTATCTGCGTAGTTTGCTATTGAAGGATCAGACAAATCTTGTGTGTGACTCTGTTCTTTTTTCTTATTCAGGGTAGTTCTCGTAAGTTGTTCTCTACAGATCTCGTCTGAGTTTTCGGAAATCTACCAACGTCACTT